AAGTAAGAATATTCATATAACGTGAAAGATGGATAAATTAGTAAAAGAACAAGAGAGGGACTTTGAGCAGACATTTCAATCATTAAGTAGTGTAATTAACAGTTGGGAGAGAAGTGAGTGGGAATAATGATGATGGTGTGAAAGTGGAGCCAGGAGGAGTGATTGAAGAAGAAAGAATGAGATTGTAGATGTGTGGGACCCTTAAGCCCAAACCCAACTCGATCATTTCGCATTGCGCGGGTAGTGATGAGTAAGTACTATGAATGGTTGGATTAGTGAACTCATTTTCAAAAAGAGAGGTAGCAATAGCGTAGGGTAAGTGAATAGGTGATTATTGATTTGTTAACCATACATATTTGAGGGAAGGTGTGAGAAGTGTGAGTAGTTGCACATTACAATAACGGGGCCATTTGCTTTTGGGTTGTTTAAATGGAAAAATTTGGAGGACCCATTAGCCGTCATAATTGCATCTTATCGCACAAAGCTACACGCCTTGATCATGCAAACCGCCACACGCAGCTGAGGCGCATACACACACAACCACGCCCATACAAAAGCAGATTCTAACTTTCAATCCTACCTAATCTTCTTCCGCAGAGCAGTGACGCTTCAGTAGCAACAACACAAGAAGAGAGAAATTTTAATGTCCTCATTTATTATATGCCCCAATTAATTCTAGTTCGTAACCGGTGCCACCTGTTTGGATGGAAACCAAAGCAGTGATAAATGTTCAACTTGATCATACCTCTTGAATATTATAAATATTATTCAATCATTCTTTTTATAAAAACAATATAAAATAAATTTTTAAAACTTTTTATGTATTTATTTATCATAAATTTTATCTTAACAAGACATCTGTTTATTATCTGTATAAATAATTATATTTATTTATTTAATATGCTTTACTGGAGAAATTGAATCATCTTTTATAATATTACAACAAAATCTGATCATGTTTAAGAGAGAATGGTGCAATTTCTTTTATTAAATTTAGCTAGTTGAACCTGCCACCAGTTAAGGTGTGCTCTTGTTTAATACTTTCTTTAACTTATTTTACAAAATACATTATAATTTTTATGAAACATTTATTATGCTTTTACAATTATTTTTAACAAATAAAGTTGGTGGGAGGTTAGAAATTTTGTTATATTCAAATTTGGTTTAATAATATTTTTATTTATCTGTATATTTATTAAAAATTACTTTAAAAAATAACTAAAGAATAAAATGGTATCTTTTTAACATGACCGTGCCATGTCAACATGAAAAAATCTGAATTTTTTAGTAAAAAAATTATTTATTGTGATAATAAAAATAATTATATGTCATGAATTAATATTTTATTTTAAAAATATTTATGATATTAAGTAATTAAATTAATAATATATATATACATAATTTTTTAACATATACAATATTGTAAAATATAAAAAGTTATATATGATACTTTTTTTTAAAAATTATAAATTTAATGTATTAATAATATTAAATGTTATAATTTTTTTATAAAAATTATCATATATAACATTTTATTATGTGCAATATTACACAAATTAAAAAAATTATATATATAAATAAATAAGTGCTTCGCTAATATAAATTTCACAATATATCAATAAATTAATAATTATTATATTTAAAAAATAGTGTTTATTTTTTATAATTAATATATATAAATTTATTTTAAAAATAACAAATATTTAATTATCAATTTGATCATTTATCATTATATATTTTTAAAATATTTTGTAGATATATGGCATATGGCTAAGTTTTTGTATACATATACATATATATATATATATATATATTATTTAACAATTAAAAAATTATAAAAATAAAAAGGTAAGATAATTTAAAATTAAAGTCTCACCAACCAATGCACTTTTATATCACTTATTCAAAAAATAGAAAGTATGTTTTATTATTAAAAACCATATTAAAATTATTAAAACTGTATATTAAATATATTTTTTATAATTTTTTAATATGTGTCAAAAACATATAATCTACTATTTATTAAAACTTGTAACAATTATATTAAATTCTATAATATTTTATTATTTTTAATAAAAATTATTATATACAAATCATTATTATGTATTTTTTAACACGACAAAGAACTCATATTTTCTAACACTTTAATTTCAACTTCTTAACTAACCATTTCAAAACAATAATTAATGGTTGTCTTGTCTTCCACTGAATTCACTGTAAATTTCCTCTTATCCCAACACCATTAAAGTCACCAACCAACTTCCCATTAAATTAGTGAGGCAGTGGCACGAACCTATATGAAAATGACTTTGGGGTATGTTGAGAGATTCACCCACGCAAAAAAGAACCTTCTTGTCTAATGGAACACTGACTTGGAAAACAACCGAAGCGCAAAGAGGGTTCGTAGCATTCAGAAGTAAACTACTTTTAGCACATACTAAACCATGAAGTCTACCAAACATCTGTATGGACCAGAAATAGTAAACTATAACTTCAATGCCATTATAGACTAATGGACCCTCAATTTTGGATAAGTGATGTAACCCATAGCAGTGAGAAAAATCTAGTACCCTTTCTTGAAGGATACGTGGATGGGACTAAGAACTAATCAGTGATATCACAACGATGCTTACTATATCTCACACAGATACTCTTCTTTCTATAAACAAGTCAGCATATTGGTACCTAGCTGTCGGCTAATATGTTTTTCCTAATCTTCTTTTCACATTTCTCTCCTTAAAAAAAATAAAAATTATAAAGTGTTCATGTTATTTAAAACTTTAAAGTACTGATTCATGATAAATATTACATTTGGAAGGGTGCAAAAAGTATTTATACAAAACTAATAATTTTGTTGATCGATAAGTGTCATGAACTCGCATAAGTGTTTTAGAGTTTTCACTCTTTTTTTTAAGTATTACATAATTGATATTACGAACAAAATATTAACACATATATGGACATTTAAATGTATTTCAATATTCTTTATTTTTTAAATAAAAATATTATTTTAAGAGTCAAATATTATTTATTATTGTAAAAAATTATTGTGAGAATATTATAAATCTGAGAAATTTAAGATTTTTAAATTTATTTATTTTTAAGCATGTGTGTTTAATCTTTTATATTTAGTATAATTTGTTTGTAAGTGTTTCTTATTTTACAAACATTTAAGAAAACTTGATGATAAAAATTACCTTAACAATTTTAATAAAGGCAGCTAAAGTTGACTCTCAATTGAAACATTTTTAGAGCAAATCAAAATATGTTACCTGTCTTAACCTACCAACTTAGTATTTGACTTACAAGTTGATTCATTAAATTTTAAAAATAATACGTTATAAAAAAAGGTTAAATTAATATATTGACCTCTTAATTTTTAGTTTATTTTGATTTGATCATTTAAATTTTTTTTTCATTTTAAATTCTTACTTTCAAAAGTGTTTCAAATATATTTTTTTAATAAAAAATAACTACTTTCTTTATTAAAAATTAATGTCAACTCATTTTCAGTTACTTTTTTTTTTTTCTTACTGCTTATCTATACCTCTATTACCCATGTCTATCCCTCTTCAAACTTTTTTAAAAAATTATTCTCTTTTTTTCCTCATCCCTTTTTATATGTTTTTTGGTTGGGTCTTAGGACCGTAGAAGAAGGAAGGGAGATATGAAACAAGAGTATCTAAAATGGTACCTTATTTGCAGTCAATGTTACTATCGTTATTTTATTTCTTGTCTTTTCTTATGATTCTAAGATCTAACAAAGAGAATGAGAAGATTTGTCAAAGTTTAAAAATGGACAAAAAAATGAGTTGTAGAGGCATACATGAGAGTAAGAGAAATAGACAAAAATTTGTTTGAGATTGAAGGAAAGAAAATATGCAGGCGAGAGATAAGAGATAGAAATAAAAAAATGGAAACATTCTTGTTCAAATTTAAAAGAGGAGGTAAATAGTTAATAAAAGTTTAGATGAAGAATAAAATGAAGAAGAAAATAAAAAAAAGAAAATAATGTAATTGAAAATTTTATTAAAATAAGTTATGTTTCATCAGAGTTCAAAAGAAAAAAAGAAAACAATAATAATTTGGTGACGAGACTAAAGTAAAACAAAGATTTATTTAAAATAATTTTTTAAGTTAAAATAATCAAAATTGACAATTATAAATTATTACTCAAGTTTTGAGTCACGGTGAGTTGTGATGTATGATTTATTTGATAAATATATAATATAATAAAATTATATCTTATTTTTGTAGCATTTATTTAATTAATATAATATAATAAAATTACTCAATAAACTTATTATTTCTGTTTCTTTAATTTAACATTTATTCTATTACGATCAAAACTGTAAATAAATAAGATATTATAATATAATTATCTAATTTATCATATTCATATAATATAATTTATCTTCCTGTTATTTTATTTAATTTTTATCAACTAATTTCAGTGGACACTGAAACTGATAGAAAAGGCTCACATTATTATTTTCATAACAAAAAAGCACACCACCTGGGCAGAATAATAGACCCAGCAGAAATAGAGATGGGTGTCCCGAACAAGAAACCAATCCCAAAGAAAAGAATACCAACCCACGAAACACAAAAGAGAAACAAAAAAATTATATTACAGTTGTTGTAACTAGTAAGCTTATGAAATTTTAAACCACTTCCAAACGTTAAATAGTTGACCAGCCTTTCATCAATTTAAGGGCGATTTAGAAGTAAAATAATGTCTGCTGTTAGTTTAAACTAATTTTAATTGTTGAATTATTTAAGCAAAAAGTGTAAGACTAACTATGGGTGTGACATGTTTAGACTTCTGAGTATAAATGTCTAGATATTTTCGCCTATTTCTAAATTAATGTTCAACAACAAAAGAAAACAAACCAAAATGCTGCTCTAGTGACAACTTTATCCACGCCTTGGTAATTGTTTTGTTATTTTATGTATCAATTGAATAAAATATAAATTTCGTAATTTGAACAAAAAATGTGAACAACTACGCCACTAATTTGAACATTCATTCTGAGGAACTTGACACAGTTTTTTTCAAAAAATGTATCTGTGCACGTACGCATAGTGTAGCTGAAAGGATATTTACCAAATTATTAACAATATAACTGCAAATAAAAAGGACATGGTGGATAGTATACTAACGTCGAGGAGAACGATTTCGGGATTTGGGGTAACCATTGTTGTAATGTCGTTGGTTATATGAGGGATGCTCCTCTGATCGCTTACTTGTTTGATGCACTGCGCTAACTTTCTTCCCTTTGGGTTTATATTTTATTGTTTGGGCTTTTTCTAAGGTTACCAAAACCTCCTTCATATCTGGTCGCTTTTTTGGGTCAGATTCTAAACATTTCAATATAAGTTGGGCTATTTGAAATGCAGCCGTTGATGAAAACTGTTCGTCCATACTTGGATCCATTATCTTTTTCAGTTTCTTTTTATCACTTAGACATGGCCTTGCGTAGTCCACCAAATTCTGCTCCCCCGTGGGCCTATTTGTGTCCAGTGCAATTAAGCCTGTTAACATTTCTAGCAGAACAACACCAAAACCATATACATCGCTTTTCACGTAGAGATGCCCTGTCAATTTTTTATGTACACATTTTGTCATTTGGAAACAAAATATTAATATCCCTATTATAATTTAGTATATTTCTTTTCTTAACCTTTAATTTTGATCTTGGTAATTTTTACCCCATTATAATTTTTGGCACAGTTTCGTGCTCATATATAAAGAATATAACTAATTATTATCTTAATTGAACACCCGAGATAAAAACGATGAAAAAATTAAATAAAATTGTACGAGTAAGAAACATGGTACATATGTACGTACCCGTGGCCATGTATTCGGGGGCTGCGTAACCATAGGTGCCCATGACTCGCGTGGTTACGTGGGATCTACCATTGATGGGGCCAAATTTTGCCAATCCAAAGTCCGAGAGTTTCGCATTAAAATCCTAACAAAAGGACAGTAATAGCGATAGAAAATTGAGACGCGGTTAACGATGGATAATTTTTCTGGCTACTAAATATAATATGTTTATAAAAAATATCGTGTACGATGTTGTCTCAATAACCGATTCGAAGAAATTATTATCACAAATACAAAGAAACTTCCATACCCCATCAAGTAAAATGTTGGAGGACTTAAAGTCTCTGTAGATCACAGACTTCTCTGATGTATGCAAGAAATCCAAACCTCTAGCAGCTCCTATGGCTATGTTAAGCCTTAAATCCCACGAAAGTGGTTCGGGGCTTCCTGCAAGAACAACGACATTAATCATTTAAATAAACATTCTTAGTTATACTAATTTCTGTGTCACAAAAAATATGTATATTGGTTGCTGGATTTCCTACTTCTGAAGAGGTGGCTTTCCAAGCTACCCTTTTGCATGTATTCGTACACGAGCAGGAATTGATTTTCCTCCAAGCAGTAGCCAATTAGTTTAACCAGGTTTGGATGAGAGAACTTCCCCAAAAATTTCACTTCACTCTGCACCCAAATATTATAAAATCAATGTTTACTCAAACTTATAGTACTATATATAATAGAGCTCAAGGAACCAAATTCATGTTTGACCCCCTTATTATTTTATGAGTCGTGATTATCGACGCCGACGCTTTGAATACATTATGTTCTAGTTCGACGTTAAACAACTATGCGTTCATATTATTAGTCTAAATAATTACATATGGAGCAATTCTTGCGATAGCACATTGCTTATAGCTAGTTAAAATCAAGTTCAGGATAAACATCATTATTATTTTAAAACATATGCAAAAATTGCGCTGTTAAAAATGTCTCCCTTAATTTTCCGTCTAGCTAGATAATTTTTTTATTAACCATCTATATCCGTACACAAACCTTGTGTTCATGATGGACGGAAGTAAGTGACGAGTTTTTGTCCAATAAGAACTTTGGGAATGAAGTGAAGACACAATTGAAAGTCTCTAAAATCAAAGTAAGCGCCTTTTGATTTGGTGTGTATAAATTATGCAATGACAATTGAGGTAGTAATAAACACACAACAATGAAATTAGGATACCTAACAATCATGATATTGCGAAGACTTATTCTTATGGCAGACACACGCGTATACGTTGAAGTTACCGAAATTTTATCCTATGCACAGGAATCTTGAGGAATAAAAAAGGAACAAACCTGCCATTCTTGTAGACCTTGGAGGCTATCGGGGTTAGATTTCTTGACGGCGACGGGGATTCCAACGCCAACTCTAGAAGGTTTGAAGGTGTTTTTGTCAATCCAACCTTTGAAAACACGTCCAAAACCACCTTCGCCTAGTACCGTGTCAGGTCTGAAGTTTCTTGTGGCACTTTTCAACTCATCCAATGTGAACGATTTAAGATTTGTCGTCACGACCCCTCTACTGGGTGGTGGCTGTGCTCGATTGACACTGCTATCTGCACGATCCTCTGTTACTTCCACCGTTTCCTTCTCCACTCCCACGAATTTCACGCCATTGCTTCTCTCTGCATTTTAATTAATCAATTAATGATTTCATTTCACGTAATTGTTCAGCAATCATACTAAATAAACAAATATTTGATATGATGCAATTTGAAAAAATCAAATCAAACACATGATATTAAAAAAACATAAACAGGGTGAATTGCAAACTACCCACCTAGGAAAAATTGACATGTTATTTAATTTATATCGGGGGGGTTTTATATATTCATATATTCGATCATAATCATACCATACAATATGTATGTACCTGTTGGAGAAGTGTGGGGTTTATAGGCGTTGGTAGTTCTATGCTGAATCTTATTACCATCATTTGGCTTTCGGAAACAGTTCCCCATGGGTCTGATAAACCGGTGGTAGTAAAGCTATACCAACAAGCGAACAAGTCTATATAATTGAAATTGGAAGCTGGCAAATAGTTGTGGGTGTTATAATATGGTGTGAGAGACGTTCCACGAAAGAGAGGAGAAAGTGAAAAGAAATAGCCAACAGGAAGAATAGTACTCCTTGACGTTTTCCCTTCACATATTGTTAATGTCTCTTTCGAGTCTTGACTTATGGTTATATTAATTTATACAGATAAAAACAATTGCCAGTGCCACACTTTGATTTTATACTAGTTAGTTCTACTTTGCCTTTCCATGTGTGCCTGGAAATTATTGTTGCAAATTAAGAGGAATTCAGAGGTGTAACATCAAATGTTATTCAAATTAAACTTCACGGCAAAGAGACTCGGGGGCCAATTAGAATCATACCTGACCCTCCTCTGCTCCACATGGCCACTATAATTATAAGAAGATATTGCAATTCAAGTAGGAGACGCCATCAAGGTCAACGGTAGCGTTACTAACACTGAACATTCACACGTTCAAATGTTCATTGAGAGGTCTGCCCAACACGAATTTTCTTCTCCAGAGAGAACTATGCACAACAACTGAGTATAATTATTTTACAAGTTGCAAAATAAATAAATAAAAGTGTAATGTTATCGGTGAGAGTGAAGGAAAAAAATAGATTAAAAATTAAATAATTTTTCTCAGTTCAAATATATATATATATATATATATATATATATATATCATATTTTAGAGAAATTAATAAAAATTAATTTATACAAATATTTCTCCAGAAACTTATCCAAACTAAATTTAAATTAAACACTTGTAATTTGCAATCAAATCATGGAATTTTTTTTTACCTCTAATAGTACTTTTGTACGTTAGATCATGGATTCACTCATCCTATGTATTGGAAAAAGTTAATAGTATTCTTAAAAAATTTCGGGATAGTTTCTTTCAACTTTTTCCCCATCTTTTAAGTTTGCCGTGCTAAAAAAATAAAGAACAAATAAATTAAAACCTGCTTTGTGGAAGGTGTAAAAGACGTGGTATTATTGTTCTTGTAAATTTAAATTTAAATTTTGAATTTGTATTAGTAATGTCGTTTACTGTAGTAGCCATCAATGGTTCGTTGAACCTCTCAACAGCAAGAAGGATTATATCCTTGACCTCTTAAACCATCCAGTCAAGACTGTTTGAACTAAAATAATCATAGATGCACTTATACACATAAGTTTTCAAACATAATTATTAAGAAGATATCAAATAATCAGTAAAAGTTATTGATTTACATGTAATTTTTATAAAAAATGATAGTGTAATTCTAAGTAAAGTCAAGGATATCCCTGAATTAATTAGGATTATATATGTATGTATACGTATATGTGACCTCGTTTATTTTAGTATAAGGTCATAATTGTTAATGTTGTTGCCATTTTTGGTAGCTCCGTGGCCTTGTCCGCCTAGGAAAGAAAGTAAACACGTGTTACGTCACATAAGTCCCTCTTACCGTTTTTTCCATTTAGTGAAAAAAGAAAATCGAAGAAGTGAGACTCAAATATTAAAACCACGTCAGCAATGCCATCAAAATGGGGGGAGGGATCATGGGTTATTTTTTCACCCGTGAGTTGAACGTCTAGTTAATTGATTTTATATTTTTGTTTAAGCTAAAAAAATTTATTTAAGAAAAAATGTAAAATTTTATTTGAATAGGAGAAAATTTGTGGTCTTATTTTCTCTATTTTTATTTTACTGTAAATTTTAAAATTATATACAAATTAAAAATGTTACTCATTTATATATATATATATTTTTTTTTTTCTCTTATTTTTATTCATCTAATAACATTATTCTTTTTTATACTTTTTAATTTATTTATTTTTTATTTCATTTTTCTTTTTGTTCATAATTATTTAATTTTATGAGTATTGTTATTGTATTGAATCATTTTTGTAAGATTTGTTGTATTAGCTAATCCTTTGTTTAATTAAAAAGGTAAAAAATGTAAAACATAGGTGACGATATATATTTTATTTCATTTTTGTTGAACACAAAAATAAGAAAACAAAAGAAAAATTTGACTTTTAAAATATCTTTTTTCAATTTAATATATTTTTCTTTCCCCCACTTTCGTTCCATCCTAAGGGTAAAACAAAACTCTAGACTCTCAGCAACAAGTTCTCTGTTTATTTCGGGCAACAATTACGTAGGAATGTGCTACACGTGGAGCTGTGCTTGATTTTGCTTTTACGTTTGATTTTAGGGGTCTGTAAAGTAGAAAGTTAAGAACAGAAATCAAGAAAGGAAATAAAAAAAACACAATAAAAAGATAAAAATCTGTTAAATATACTAATATAACTGTTAATTATTGTTTTTTTATTAATTTTGACAAATTAAATAATTTTTCTAATAGGTCGGATATAATATTTTGGAATGGATTTTAATCTTAAAATTCTGAGAATTTGTCATCATTGCGTCTGAGCTGATGAAGGCAAATTTTGACAATTGTTCAAAAATAGGAAGTCAACGTACGAAATGCAATGAACTATGGTCATGAGGTACCTGCCCCAGCAACTTGAAGTTGAAACTCATCCACTCGTGTAGGGATAAGGATAGGGATGTTTGTGCCCTTTTAAAATCCCTTTCAAGTCCATTTCTGATTTTGATAAACAAAACTAGTTTTTTGAATAACTTTAAAAGAAATTTTAATTATTTCTTGGATATATTTTTAAAATGTTTTTTTTTAAATATATAAATTATATGTAATATTATATTATTCAAATAATTAAATTAATTGAGACTTATTGACCCCCGTTCCCCAAAAAAGAAAAAACTGGGAGACTACACTCTGTTGTCACACCAATGAAAAAAATCAACGTCATGAGTTACTAATGAATGGGACCCGCTGATTATTCCGACTCGTTTCACCGTATATATTTACGAATTATGTTATTTATATGTATTAATTTCCAATATTTTTATATTTTTTATGTTTTCTTTATTCTATCAGTTATTTTATTTTTAATTTTTAATTTATTATTTTTCCTGTTATTGAATCCAAATTATAATGAAAACATATACATTTTTTCTATCATCTATGTATTTTTTGGTTAGAGATTTTGTTGAATGAACTCTTTGGTAAAGTAATTTGAAAGTAATTATTTTATTTCTGAAAATAATATTTTTTAATAACATTTTAAGGGATTATATATTTAAATTTGTGTTTTTCTCATATTTAATAACCTTTTAAGGCTCAAAAAATCTCTAAAAGTTAATATTTTTCTTCCGCTTTCCCACCTAATTATCTACTACTCATTTTGTAAATAATACAGCATTTATATAGAAATGAATTATATCCACCTTCCTATGACTTGGTAAAAATGTTCTTTAAAATATAGTCTTGAGAATAAGTTGTCTACGAACAGAACTTGTGATACCATTTTTATATGATTAGAGAGAAGATTTCTTGTTGATTTTCATCTAATGTATAGTTCAGGTAAATGTCATTGGATATCATGACATCAGGTAAATAAATAACTTATAATTTCACATAAATAGGATTTGTGTGGGCGTGTGTGATTTTTGTAATTCAATTAACAAAACAATTCTCCTTAATTTTCATTTAATTAGTGTTAACTTTTATTTATTTATTTATTTGTAATAAGAAAAGCTTAACTAACTAAAATGTTACCTTAATTTTGACTACAATTGAACCCGTTATTAATACGTCTCTCCTGTTACCATCCGATTAAAAGTTGGTCAAAGCTCTAATTTTAAATTAATTTGTTGTTTAATCAAGTTTCATCGCTTCCCCTAACCCTAACCCAGCTTGATTATGTATAATTAGAGTCAACATTAATCATATTTCAAGTAACTAACAATTGTGAGAGTTTTTTTAATTGACACAACAAAACAAATGACACAATGATAGCCAATTCAATAAAATTGTAGCGCGTGCCAATTCATTACCTGACCGGGTCTCAAGTAAGGGGTGTCCAGTTCATGTTTGAACTGTTCTCGCTTCGGCTACAGTTAAGGAGGACAGATTCTTGGTAGTTGGCATAGTTTTCATAAAATTATTTTAATTTTTTTTAATATATACACAAGAACATAGGTTAAAAATTATTATAAAAAGTACCTGTTAAATTTTTTTTTAAGTGTTGTTAGTTCCAGCAGAAATATCGATTTTTTCACTTAATTTTACACCAGTGAATAATTCCTATTTTTTTGATATAATAATTTCTGAACTAACTTCAACAATAAACAGCTGATAAAAAGAAATCAACCACCAACACAATTAATCCTTTTTTTTTAAAATAACATGTTTGAGTGCTTTGAAAATCACATTCAGCTCTAGCCTACAAATGTCAACACTAGTAATATTAGAAAAATAAACTCATTATGGTTCTTTCATAAAGTTAGAAAGTAAAATATATATTAAGTATGCTTTCACAAATTTTTTTTTTATATATTTTGAGTCATTATCAGCTCTCTTTAAAGTTTGTTAGAACTCAGAATTGTCAACAGAATAATCACATGTTTTATTATCATCCTTATTTGTCAAATGTGACATATATCCATAACCATTAAAAATAAATAAGATGAGCAATAAATTTTATTAACAATAGGATATTTGTCTGACATGCATTATAGTTACATTTTCATTGTGAATGTATGTAGGTGTTTTGTTTTCTAGATTTAGTACACTATCTGGAATGGATTTTTTCAGTCTATTAAAGCCTAATTGCTAGATTTTAAAGCTCTGAGATCTTATTAACCTAAAACATTGGTGAAAAAATCAATCATTCTAAATATTCTATTGATACATAGTAAAACTCTAAAATTTAAATAAGTTCTTAAATTAATTTCTGAGATTGCATGAGTTAGAAATTTTAATTTTTAAAATATCGAAATCTCCTTAAAAATGACCTTTATCTATTAGTTTAGTTTTTTAAGCATCTAATGTTACTTTATGCTGATAGAATGTTAAGTTGTCATGTTAAATAATAAATAAAATAACCTATACGACCAAAACGACATTGAGCTCTAAGCATATCATTTCGATCACTATAACAATTTCTCTAATTAATGAAAATCTAACGATGTTATTTTAGTCATGTATGCAATCTTACATGTCATTCAATATAACAGTTTAACATTGTATCGAAGCACAACAATACTGTACACTTAAAAAAGAACTAAACTTAAGTACAAACGTCCTTCTCATGAAGAATTTTTCAAGGAATTTAAAAATTTGAAGGATTAAAATATCCAATTCCCACTATCTTAGGAATCAATCTATGAGCTCTAAAAATATTACAAAAGAAAAAATTATCAAACTGAATAAGGAGATACAACAACATGCAATGGAAATAAAAGACTAGATAATATTTTCAATTGAAGTACTTGAAATTAAATCTTAATACTATTTCTAACCTGAACTATGAAATTTGTTGGGAGTTAGATGTTATTACTACATCCAATGCATCTTTGATTTATTATTTATGTTTTCAACTGGAAAACTGAGTCATAATTCTGTGATTTGTAATGAACAAGATTGTTTAGAGCTCTTAAAAACAGAAATTGATTGTACTGTACAGCTAACCATTATTTGACGCCTTAGTCAACGTGAATTACACTAAGTAATTGGGAGAGTCAAGACTAATTTAGTGTTAACCAGGCAGTCGCCTAAGACCCATAATCCTCTAATAAGACCCCTAAAATATTTTTTATTTTTCCCAACAATTATCTATTAGTGTTTAATTGGCAACTCAATCATGCAAACAAGTGCATGATTCCTGTGCATGCGCACCTCGACTATGATTAAACCAGTTATTAATGTAATCCTCTTATATTCCTATACGAGATTGAGCAAAGGGGAAGTCGAAGGTATTATTATGATGTAAGCATCGAAACAAAAAATAAAAATTATACTAAACTCCCATAAGCTTGATTACTCAAACTAATTAAACTCGGCAATTTTTAATTTTGAAGGTTATCATCACCTCCTTTTAAGGAATCGAGATCAATGCAACTTCAATTACCGAATATAAAAACTGTTTAAATATAGAAAAGCGTGGAAAATGGGAGAAACAACAAAAAGGAAATATATGGACAGCGAAATGCCAAGGACACGGAATTTGCGCAAATACGCGTGATCATTGAATTGGTGTGAACGATGCATGCCTTCAACTTTTTTAAGGAAAAACTTCAACTTACTTCGTTTGACTTTGGTGACGACAAACAAATAATGTAAATTTTCTTCTAAGTTGGTCTGCTCGCATTCAATAGTTAGTGCAGTCACTTTAGTATTTGACACTTGCTCATTCATATGCCCATTTTCGATCATAATAGCCTATTCCTGACAATTCAAAAGAAACTGCTAATTTATTAGCGACATATAATGGGAGAGTCGGGAGTAATTATTTTTTAATTTTTATACTACGAAAATTTGTCAAACAACCTAAAGTATTTTATTAAAAAATTATTTGTTTCTTTCTTGGCAGCATAATCTTGAGCAATTGACTTCCGAAAATGTTTAATTCGTTTTGTTTCGATTCATTTTACTTTTTTCTTTTTAATATTTAGTAAGAAATTTATGCAAATTGATTCAAAATCCCATGTTCACATTCACACCTAGTAGATGAGTCTTCACTCACAAGCTGAGCACCTGGATGGGTAGTTATTAAGTTATTCTCACTCTACATTAATGATATCAATGGAGTGTGGTGGTGAGGGATAATATACTATCTGCATTCATATTTATTAAAATTAAAGAATATTTATGAAAGTAATAAGTATTTATAAATTTTTGTATGCGTTGAAGAATTTAAAAACTGAAAAAAATTATAAAAACATATTATATTAATGTTATATATAAATCAACATTATGTAATACCCATTAAAGATTAATATATTAAAAATATTGTTATAAAATAAAATTCATTCCATCGTAAAATGATTTTCAAAAATATAATATTATATATATATATATATATATATATATATATATATTAATATGCGGCAAAACAAGTAGTATGATATCTATTCCCACTTGTTTTACAAATATGCGGTTATATTCACAAATATTCTCTCATACATATATGTTTTACGTCCTTAATCTATATACATGGTGCACTCAACTTTTAGCAAATTTTCACCTTGGGTAACTAGAAGCAAATTTTATGCATCATTCTATTAATTTTAAGATTTAATTAGTTGATAAAATGATATTCTGAATACTAATTTTGAAAGTTTACAAAAAATCTTTGTCTGATCGTTTAAAACTGCGAAATCAACAATGAGAATTCAAAGCTAATTGTTGAATTCTCGTGTCAATTAAAGTGGAATAACCTATTAGGGGGAGTGTAATGCTTAAAAATAAAAGGGAACGTCAGCGAAATTTAAACATCTCTTAAAAGGAAATAAAAGAAAATAAATGATAATGAGATTAACAGAGAATAATTTAATTCCATTCTATAAAAATTGGGAAAAAAATAAGACTAAATAAACTAAAATAAAATAAATCCATCAAGTTAAATTATTTTATATATTTTTTAATCAACATAGCATTCCCCAAGTAATTTTCAAAATATGTATTACCAAATGAGAAACACCATCAGACTAGCAGACCTTACAGGGATATGAATATGATAATGAAAGTCCTTGTATCCGCAGGCCAAAGCGGATTCATGCGTGATTCAACTAAAAAATGGACGACGGCAAGACTTGAGAGCCATCGTTCGGCAGTTTCAATTTCAATAAAATATTCAAATTTTGGAGATTTCACAATGGAGTACAAATGCTCGGCAAATCATGTAACTTTCCTTCGTTATTAACTTCGAAACAACAACTTAAATTTGCCAATCAAATAAGCTCCTAAAATATATTATTCAAAACACACCCTTTCAAGTTTGAAGTTGATTTCACTCACAGTTCTCTTTTAATTTAACCCTGTTAGTTAATGCAATTTCCATTTCAGCCTGAAAAAGAAATTTGAACAGACTTCTATTTTAAATTAAGAATCGTCTGTATGAGCCTGTGCAATATTGTGTTCGAACTATAACAAAATTCGACACCTCTGGAAATACACCACTCTGTCACTTTTGTTTAACATGAGAAGGAAACTCGCTGTTCTGTATTAGAGAATGCAGGATCATAGTCCAAAAATTGCTCTCTAAGACCAATACAACATCACTACCAGAAGAATAGGTACAAGCTACGCCCATCCTTCCCACTAATCTATCCTTCTTAAAACAAGACCCAAGAGTAAAGAAGAAAGTATAACTGTATATGCACAAAATAATTTCAGAGCACGTTTCCTCTCTCTCAATTAAAATAAAGTAAGAACTAAGAAACATAGCTACCCTTCATTTTATATGTGCTACCGTCACTCAATAACACTCCAGCTCCAGCCTGGGTTGTTGCAGCAAAATCGATGTTGGGAAAACCAAACACCACAATCAACAAGCGACAACCCTCTTCCCCCCACCTTCCTTATTTGGTTGAAATGACATTGATAATAAACATGCCATAGGTGCCTCGAGGAAGTTTAAAGCCTAAACAAGCATAAGTTCATGTCCATTGCAATTAATTAATCCATATGTTTACTACTACTATATCAAGAGGTTTATCTTCACTAATGCTATGACAGTAAATTAATTAACGCAATAACACTTAACATTTAAATAGGTAAATTGGTAGCTTACACTGACCAAACTGATAAGGAAATTTGTACCTAATATCATAGACAGAAATGGAACTCAAGCTAGAATCATATACCTGTGAAGTATTAATTTCTGTCCATTTCAGAAGGTGGTTGCAGTGGTGGGCTGCGGCCAACTTGTTTATGGACTTCAGGGATACTCTGAGAAGCTAGGTATTCCAGTGCAACAACAATATCACCAATAAGTGGACGGAATTTTGGTTGCTCCTGGAGACACATAGCAGTTATAGCAATTGCCTGATGCAAACAGCGCAAGGGAAAGTTTCCTTGTAAAAGAGGGTCGACCATATGTACAAACATTCTCCGGTCACTGAAAAATGGGCGAGACTGAACAAAATAAAAAAAGGAAATAAAAGTATAAGGAGTGATTTTATATGTGAACAAGATTAATATATATACAGTCATCTAGAAAGCTAAAGACATATTGGCATGTCAAAGATTCCCGGTAAGGATTTCTTGTAAGTTATGGAGAAGAAAGGAAACATCTTATTTTCATACCTCTGCTTTTGTAATGAAACAGGCTCTACTTTCTAGTACTTTCACATTTAAAATAATATATGAAGAATCTCATTATGCTAGAGCAAAGATGAAAATCTACAAGGAATCACACATGCAAAACTAACAGAAACATACTTAAAGGAGAAATTCTTTTTAAAGAAACTATACAAACTAAACATTTACCCATGAAACTAGGTTTTGCTCTCCAGGTCTTCTACTAGTATCTATTGCCCTCCGTCCAGTGATCAACTCCAACAAAACCACACCAAAGCTATAGATATCAGATTTAAGAGTTAATTTGCCACTCATCGCATACTCCGGCGCACAGTAACCATATGTTCCCATCACTCTGGTCGAAACATGTGTATTGTCTCCTACAGGTCCAAGTTTAGCAAGCCCAAAATCTGACAGCTTTGGACTGAAATCATCATCTAATAAGATGTTTGCAGATTTCAAGTCTCTATAGATAACAGGCGGATCTGCTTTACAGTGGAGATACTCGAGGCCACGGGCAGCTCCAACAGCGATCTTCATTCGAACACTCCAACTTAGGGGTTCTTTGTCTTGATTAGGATCTGAAATGAGAAAAAAGTTATGACCTGATTGGTGTATTTAATCGTTAAAGTTGGTCTCATAACAATACATAAAAGAGAAATAAATTTTGGGATATATTTATGCAACCTAATCAAAACTAAACTGTTCTTGTTTTAATAATTTTATAACAACCAAGACTTATCCCACTAGGTCTTTCTCGTAGCTTTACAATTTAGTCAAAATATTTATTTTCTTAAATTTTGCCATGTATCCACCAACACAAGACTGTAATCTCTTTTTAGAAAGTACAGAATAATCCAAGTTCAAAACTGCTTTCACTGAAAAACCAGAAACAGCTTAGGGCCCCTACACTAAAATCCTTCAATCCCAATAACAAATAACAAGGAATGCATCCTTCACCACTTTTTCATCCCACAAAAAGAAAAATTATTTTCTCTTCTTGAGGCCTATACTCATTCTCAGAATCAGGGATTAATGACACAAACTCCCCTTATACAGCTAAAACATAAACCAGATCCAGTCAGTTATATAGTCAAATTGTATTCAATCATAGAGAATCTTTCATTAAGATGAAAGTGCACAAAATATATTCACTCTACGCAAATATACTGCATTTTCGCATGCATGAGGTTAATAGAAACAAATATCAACAGAAAACACATGATATATACTTAAGGTTAAGGCAAACACAAATGAACTAATTGGTTATCAGTAAGTACAAGATGTGCAATGTGCACAGTTGCATAGAATTTAGATCAATTTCTCGTCTTAGACAAAGTAACAACTATGGAGAGTTGAGATCACCCACGTAGAAAGTTTTAAGTTCATATATCACCTCCGGCAGCCATAGTTGTAATTTAGGTTAAATATCAATGAATGAATGAATAAATACAACAAAAAAGGAAAAGGGTTAAAAAATAATGCAACTTCCAAATCATTGAGTCGTATAACTTAATCACACATGAAGTGCAGATATGAGAGAAATAAACAATTATAAAGTTACCAAAAAGATGATCTTCCAAGGAACCCATAGGCATGTATTCGTAAACCAAAAGCCTTTGATCTCCATCAGTGCAGTAGCCAATTAACTTAACAAGATTGGAATGGTGAAGCAGGCTCAACATAAGAACCTCCGTCACAAATTCCTGAAAACCTTGGCGACCATCGTGACTTAATTGTTTTACAGCAACAAGCTGCTTATAATTAAAAAAATAAATAAATTATTCAAATGACCAAAATCCAACAAGTCAATCTTCCATAAAGAAAATCAAAATTGAAAAGTAGAGATTATTTTTGGGTTGCAATGCGATCTCCATCAGCACAATTTAAAACTTGCCTCGCCTGTTGAAAGACGACCCTTGTAAACCCTTCCAAAACCACCTTCCCCAATCAAATTCACTTCCTTGAAACCCCTCGTTGCCGCTGCAAGCTCACGAAAACCAAAACTAGCCGCAGCCTTATTGCTTTTGCTACTGCTCACACTCTTCCCCTTCGCCTCCGAGGATTCTCTCTTCCGTCCACTCTCTGCACACACAGTAACAAAATTTATATTAAATTAAAAAAAAGTACTGCATTATTAGAAACTAGTTTTAAAATTTAATCCTACTACTAATAATGTATATATAATAATATTTATTCGGAAACCCTTATCAGTAGCGGCAACGTTCACTCCCCCAGTCCCTGCAAAATGCAAACACCACCGTCAACATTAAAAAAAAAATAAGGAAAAAAAAATAAATGTAATAAAAATTAGAGGAAACAAATTAACCCGAAGAAGTAGCGGATCGAGTTCCATTATCAACTTCGACCCTCCGCACATCTTTCCGGCGAGAAACAAAGCAAGAAAAACAGCTCATCGCTTAATCGGAATTGGGAAACCCTCAGATGAACTCAATTTTGATTAAATTAAAATAGTAATTAAAAAAAAAAGGAAGATCCGTATCCTGAGTGAATCAGAGGCAGGATCTTGCATTTCCCCTCTCTAGATCAGCGAAGAAGGTCCCAAAAAGAACAGAAAACATAGCAATGTGTGTGATAAATAATAAAACAAAGGGGAGAAATGTGGTTGGCAGAGGCAATCTGGGAGATAAAATTGAAGAGGCGTATGAAACAATCTGCATTTGTTTTATTTGTCTGGTGTGGAATGGAACACCAGTTTAGCGAAACTCACTCACTGTTTGTGTGTCCACATTAGTTGATAAGTGTGTTTCTTTTTCTTCGGTGGATTTTAAATTGAAATTAAGCTATATTGACTATTTGTGAATTGTGAGACTTGGCCTTTTCTTTCTTCCCTCTTATTTTATTTTATTGTTTATTCGATTTCCACTTTGGTTGCATTAATGTCTGTGCGTGATTGCTGCGAGTCGCTCTCAATCCTTCTCTATCAGCCTAGTGCGCATTTATAAACGTTACGGTCCCAGCCATCATCGCTTTGTTTCGCAATTTACTTTCTTGCCCTCGCTATTCCTCTAATTTTCCAATCTCTGCGTTCCGCCATCTGCATCCCACCCTTCCCTAACGTTAATGGTTCTGTCTTCAACGCCACAACTAGTCAATAAAAAACGGTGCATAAAACATTCAAACATTGTTATCACTTTCTAACATTTCTTAAATGATAACATTATTTATATTAATTTAATTAAATGATAGAGAGTACAAAAAATATTCGAAAAATATTTAGTAGACAAGTATAGACATCCAAAAATAATAAATAAATTTATCACTAAAAATATTTTATATACATAAGAAGATTCAAATTTTTGTGTACTTAAAATTTTTTTTATAATAAACTCATTTATCATATTAAAGTGTGTGACTTAGATTAAATCTAAATTAAATTAAATAAAAAATAATAATAATAGTAAATAAACCTAATTGAACCATTGTAAATTGAATTTAATTAATAACTAAAATAGATTTATTTAGTATAAAGTTTCATGAATGAGATTTAAAACTATATCTATAACCTAACAATTAATTCAAGTAATGCCAGTTACTAAATCATAATTATACATATACTATGCTTTTATTATTAAAATCAATGACCCAGCAACTCAAAACTTCACCAAACCCCATGACCAGCCTGAGTTTAACGTCATTGTTAACAGCTTTATTTGACATGTTAAGTAAGTCAATAAAAGAAAAATAATTAAAAAATCCAAAATATTCAATGCTTTTTTTAAAATAATCAATACATCTATTACAAACGTTTTAAATGAATAAAAAAATATATAAACTTTTTTATTTAAACATTTATAATAATAACCTATATTTAAGCTCGGTTTTTTTAAATAAAAAATTAACTAAACTCGAAGCAGATTTAAAATAAGAACCAAATTTACAATTCAATATTAATTATCTCTACATCATTAAACAAATAAGATAAATGATAGTTTGTGTTTCAAAAATATTAATTAAAATTTAAAATTTATTTTATAAGGAATACAATAATGAATGGAAAAAAAAAATCAATAGAGTAATCAATTGTATTTTGTATCTGGAAAATTGTAAAAAAAAATCACTTTTTATTCTTCCCACAAAATTGAAATTTAATTCAGATTCAGCCTCATACTGTATACTTAAAACCTTGTCTAGAATAAATTAGAATAAGTCAGGCTAGTCAGAAATTAATCAAATTTAAATTTTAAAGCCTGAATTATATGTTTTAACATGTTTATTCAATTTGACCTGACTCAACTTTATTTCAAAATAATTTTAAGGACGTATTTTGTATTAAACTATGTGATAAAGTAAAAATAAAATTAAAATTTTGCCTAGTAATGTTTCAAAAAATGGAAAGAAAAAAAAAATACTAACTACCGTATTGGTATTCTAGAATATTTAACTTATATTTAAATTGCGTCACGTATGCATTATATTCACATATAGTTTTAGAAGCTACTATTTGAAACATGTAGTTTACGCACGTTTGAAGCTCTCCGACACAACATCAAACATGCATGGATAAAATGATATGTCTGCGCAATATAAGCATTTTTTCAATAAAGAGTGCATTTTACTCTTGTTTTAAAAATAAGTACTTTAATATACATACAAAATAATCACATTTTTACTTAATCAATGTTTTGTTATATGTTTTATATTAAAAGCAGCTTGATCATACTTTAATTCTCCTTAATTCGAATTATATGTAATTTTAATGTTTAAATTTTTTAAAAAGTATTTGTTCTGATTTTTAAATTTTTTTATATTTTAAAATATATTATTCTTTACAAATTTTTTAGAGCCAATAAAACAAGACTATTTAATCAAATCACTTGAACTTGTTTGAATAAATGTTTAATTTAAACTTTACATTTTGAAACTAAATTAAATTTATATTTTTTAATAAATCCGATCAAGTCAAAACGCAAGATAAACTGATAAAAGTTTACAAAATAAATAAATTTTACCCATTTTAAACACCATTTTTACAAATATAATTATATATAATTTTTTATAGTCCAATCGACTAAAAATTTATTACTCGTTACAAATATTTATCTTGTTTATTTTCTCACGAATTGATGCAATAATATAGCACAATTTTAAATAGATATAAGTTAGAATGTTATGGTCATTTTTTAAAAATTTAACATATTAATTACTTTTATTAATCTGATTTGTTTGAAATGGTTTTATAAATAAAATTGAAAAGCAAGAACAATTTTAATTTTTCTTAGTTTTATATTTAGAATTTTTTATTTATTAATTGGAAAATTATTGAGTATCTTTTATATTTTATAAATAATAAATATATGTATTTTTATTTAATATTTAAATAAAAAACTAGCGAACATTTTTTTATTAAAGCAACAGGTAGAGGATATAACATATCTCATAAGAAAAATTGAATTATTTATCTTTAAATTTAAACAAATTGAATAGAAAAATCTAATGAGTGTCTTAACGATACTAAATAAAATAATAATAAAATATTTTTTTATTGAAACATGCAATAATACACTCGTTTTTTTTAATATACTCTAATGAATTTTGTAATATAATTTTATTGTTTATTTTATTTTTTAATTGATATCCTAAAAGCACTAATTAGTAAGACCAAAATTAACATTATTGTGAATTATTTTTGTCTGTTACCACATTTTTTCAAAATTGACCAATGGGTTTCACTAATTGAATTGGAAACTGGCGAAGATCCTGGTGGTCTAAAACATTCCGAAGATCAGTCAGTCAAAATTGACAGTAAACGTAACGACTAAATTGTTCTAAACCAAAAATTTCGGATTTTTTTTTGTTTTTTAATTCTAAAATATTTAAAAAATGAATAAAAATTCACACATAGATTATTATTTAATTATTGGTTGTGATTTTTATTTAATAAAATATGCTAGATTTTATATTATTTTATAATTTTACCTGATTTTATTTTTTAATAATTTATACTGTTTTGTTTACAATATTTAAAAAATATATTCAAATACCGTCAGTCAAACGCTGATTCAACTGTGGATCAACGATTAAATATTGATTTAGTATCTTCGTCAGTTTCTTGCTCCATTTTTAAATATACAGGTTACTCACAAAATCATCAATATATAGTTATGTATGACGTTATTTTCAAAATATGCAAATTTATATTAAAAAATTCAGAAAATTTAAATTAAATACATAAACACCATTAAACATTGTATTTTTGAATAAAAAAACTATAGTCACGGTATTTTCCCATATTAAAAAATGGATTAAAAAAAAGAAGTTATGTTATTGTGTTATCCACGTGTCATGCGAAGAAGTGCGTGGGGGTGAAGCTAGGACATTGGACAGGGAGGGCAATGGAAGAATAAACGAAGATGTTGGAAGCACGTAAAGGTGGCGAGGCATAAGCTCACTGAAGGAATCACAAAAAGTAGTTCCATTCCACCCATCTTCCCTCCTTTTGTCTACTTGACTTATTTCTTTCCCTCTCTCCCCACGCCACACCACACCACACCACACCACACCACAAGATGACACCATTTCTGCATTCATCTCATCCAAACCCAGAGGCTTATATACAGTACGTGTTGCATGCATATCTCTCTCTACTTTCTATTTATAAAGCCACTCTAATGATTCACTCAGCGCCAGCTATCTGTAACAAACTCTCCCACAACGCTTTCGCTTTCTAGAATATGATTCTTAATAAAGAGAAGATCAAGCCCTCCCCTTCGCCTTCCCCTCACCCCTCATATTCTCCAATAATAATATCGACCCACCACATCAATTTTCTTTTATTCTGGCCCTTCCATTCCAATTCTAATATTAGCAACACAACAACATCATCATCATTATTATCCCAACCCTCCTCAAACACTTTCTCGTCTCTGCTTCTTCGCCCTTGGAAAACCATGCGGCGAAGACCCCGCACCACCTTCCTCCTCTCCCTGCTCGCCATTATCCTCTTCGCCGCATTTTCCCTTCACCTCTCTCGCAATGCCGTTTCAGGATGGCGACCCGACTCCGACATCCGAAACCTCAACGCCAATCTAACGATCTTCCGCAACAAAAACATCATCAACGAATTCCCCCGACAAGCACGCCACGTGTCCTCCATCAAGGATTCCCTTTCTTCCGTTTCCGTCCTTCTCCCCGATTGGGAGATTCTCCTCATCCTCTCCCCAAACACGCCCTTCTCTTTCTCCGACCAACACCACTGCTTCTTCCGCAACAATGCCCAGTCGCTCGCCAGATTCTCCGGCTTCCTACCCTTCACCAACCGTACCACGTTTAAGTGCGACTTCCCCGAATCGGTTCGCCGCCGTCGCATGTTCTCCCAGCCCATGCTGGTAGCCGGAACGACGGAGACTGAATTCCCGGACCCATCGCCGGCGCCGGAACTCATGAGGTGGAACTTTCTCGTTTACGAGTCTTTCTCCACGGAGGACGACGTCGTTTTGTTCGCCAAAGGTGTAAACCATCGCCAGGGATACAACAGGTCGCCGAAGGAGCTACGGTGCGTGTTTGACGTGGGGGACGGAATCCGTAACGCCGTTACGAGCTCCGTCCAAGAAGTGTTCCGATGCCCGCACCCGGATCCGTTGGAATTGGGTTTGGATTATGATAATGGGTTGTCCGAGAGAGGGCAGAGAATCGGAATTTCCCTTGAGATAGTTGCCGAAAACATCGTGGTTCCGTCCGTGGCGTATTACATGGGCAGGCCCAAATCGAAGCCTAGGGTCAATGCACTAGCCGTAAAAGAAGACCTCGGGTCAGAGGCCCAAACCAGGCCCAAATACTTCCTATGCGCGTGCACGATGGTTTACAACGTGGCGAAGTTCTTGCGAGAATGGGTAACGTACCACTCGAGGGTGGGTGTGGAGAATTTCATACTGTACGATAATGCAAGCGATGACGATTTTTACAGCGTGGTGAAGGAGCTTCGTGCTGAGGGTTACAACATAAGCACGTTGTTTTGGATTTGGCCCAAAACCCAGGAAGCTGGGTTCTCTCACAGCGTTGTGTTCTCAAAGTCGAAGGGATTGTGCAAGTGGATAATGTACGTGGACGTTGACGAATTCGTGTTTTCTCCCACTTGGGGACACGGAAAATCAAAATCTGCTTCGTTGAAATCATTGTTGCCGTTGCAACGAGGAACAACGAAGAGCAGGATCGGGCAAGTTTCGATTAGGTGTTTGGAATTCGGGCCTTCGGGTAACCGGGAGCACCCGGTGGAAGGGGTGACGCAAGGGTACACGTGTCGTAGGAGGGTGGAACAGCGGCACAAGTCGGTGGTGTTGGTGGAAGCGGTGGAGGAGAGCTTGCGGAACGTGATACATCATTTTGAGGTGAAGGAGAAGGAGGGGTTCAGGTCAAAGGAGATTAGAATGGAGGAGGCGTTGGTGAATCACTACAAGTACCAAGCGTGGGACGAGTTCAAGAGAAAGTTCAGAAGGAGGGTTTCTGCGTACGTTGTGGATTGGACCAATGCTGTGAACTCTAATTCTAAGGATAGGACTCCTGGATTGGGGTTCCAAGCAATAGAACCCAAAGATTGGACACAAAGGTTCTGCGAGGTTAGGGATGGGAGGTTGAAATCGTTGACCCGAGCATGGTTCGGATCCTCTACCCGCAATGGGTACAGAATGTCTTGGCAAAGGAGCCAGCAGCACCTATAAATCCATATTTTTTCAGCAAATTATATAGGAAATTTTGAACAGCTAGTGGGGTGGGGTGGGGTGGATTTCATATTTCACATGCATGGCACTTCCTTTCTGTTTTTCTATTCCTCTATTTTTTTTATGCATGGAATAGAATTTTCTTGTTTCTTGGTCGTTCCATTTTTTATACAATAAGAGGAAAATGCAAAAATCAAGTCAATAGAACTTGCACAAATAATGTTTAAGTCTCACCATAATTTGTTAGTCTCTTTTTCGTTTCTGAAATAAATAAATAAAACATTGGCGAGAGAACATATTTGTCTGTTTTTTGAGTTTACAATCTTTTTCGTTTGACAAATATTGAAGATTCAGACATTTTATCGACAAGAAGTACCACAGTTCGACAGTTGACCCTCCAACGCCGACCAGAAGCTCAAGACACAGCATTGCACCTTTGTCTAATTGCAAATTCACAAGTCTTATTTATATCTATGTCTGTATATAATATAAATCTGTTATAATCACTAAGTCGTGTGTTTTCCATCCCACATTTAATAAAATGTTTATGAAAAACTAGTTTTAAAAAATTATTCAAAATAATAACAAAGTGTTATATTATTATAATAATTTTATACTATTATGATGACATTATATTAGAAGTGATAATAAAATATATATTTAAAAATAGCATACTATAACAAAATGATGTCTAATATTAATAAATAATTATTATTACTTGTATACATTTTTTATCATAATATTTTATTATTGTTTATATAAAATGATAATATTTTCCATTTGTTATTTTATCAACCAAAAATTGCTACTGAATTTTATTATACAGTTTGTTATATATTACATTAATCAATCCTTTTATAAACATGGATAGTCGTTTTGTTCCGTTAATATTTAGACGTTAATGTTTATACTAGCTTTTTTTTCAAATTTTTTATCAGGTACCTTCTAAAATATTTTTAATAAAATATTAAAAATACTTTTTTTTTTCTAAACTACATTGCTGAACATAATTTTATTGTATTGAGGTAAAACCACTTAAAATACTAGGAATAATTTTTGTTAGCTAACTATTACAATAATTTTAGGATTTATTATCTAACTATTTTATCACTTTTAACAAAGACATTTTACAAAAATTATTTTATATTATAACAATACTTGATAAAGCTATTTTTTTTCTTGGAATGCGTATTAATATTAAGTAATATCTAATGAGACAGAAAAAGTAGTGGAAAAAATATCCTTAATAAATAAGGATATCTCACTTGAAAAATAATTAATACTTTTTTTATATTCTAAAAATAACAAATAATTTAAGCAAATAAAAAGTATTTAAGTCACATAAAATATTAATACGCCTGGTCTTATTCTAAAACAGTAAACGCTATCACTAAAATAAAATGATATTGAGAGAGAAAGAGAGAGAGAGAGAGAGAGAGAGATTTGACGATAAAAATTGGATTAGCCCTTAACGTGGTGTGATAGTAAAAGAAAAAAAAAATTGTCTCCAGTTTTATGAGTGCAAATTCGGAGGGAGGTTTTCGGAGGGCAACCGTAATTATTAATGCATGTTGTCTCCAAAATGTATTTAAATGAGTGAGGTAAAATTAAAAAAAAAAAAGAAACACTTTCCAAACAAGGAGATTTAGTATAAACATTTACGCTTTGTTTCGATAAAAAAAAAAGGATGAAAAAAGCACAAATAATAATTTATTTTTCCTTTTGTTTAATTAAAATAGAAGTACACAAAAAAATGTGTTTTTAAAATATTTTTAAAATAAAAAATAAACCTTTTTCCTAGTTTTTCTTCAATTTAAATGTCTGTTTTTATCTCTCTTTCCTTCCATTCTATCTATTCTACCAAACAGTGTTAGAACTGCTCCTAAATGCACAATAAGGACGAGTATACCTGGCATCAATATCTCGACAAATCGTGAATTCTTTTTTCACTGTCATAAAAGAAAACGAAGAAACCCAGTCAAACGACTAATTCGGAGCAGAGCACTGAGAACAGATCCAATAATGCACTCATAAAAAGTGAGACAAACTAGTGAAGAGTTAACCATTCATTACCACAATCAGTCACCTCTTACAATCATCTGCCTTTTTTCGGGTCGAGAATTTACGTGCCGGGTGTGTTGAACGTTGGATGTAACAAAGTACGGCTATTATTATTATTATTTAATTCGCATGATCAAATAATTTTACTTGTTTTTATCTGTATTTGATCCTCCAACAAAAATATTTATTAAATTCTTAAAAACATTTTCTGAAAAATGATTAAAAAATATAATTGTAAATAAATTAAACTTTCATTTCTTATCATTAAATTGGTTAAACCCAAATTTTAAAATTTATTCAATACATAATTTGAAAATAATTTCATGTCAACTAAAATCAAGTTGAAGTTCTATGTATTCTACTGAAAGTTGCTGGAAAACGGCCACATGGAGCAATTGATTGTATTACAATTGTCTGTCCTTTAGCGCATCCCCGTTAATATTATAATCATTATATTTTTATTTGTTACAACGAAAATGAAATAAAAGAATATTGTTATCCAAAAAGATGTATCAAAGGAGGGGAAAAAGTGAATTAGAAATGTTGAACATTTAACGTCTCAATCACACGTAAGTCATAAAGACTTGGCCAATACCAAATCAACTGTAAACTAACCTCTATTATGAAGTCAACAACAAAAATTCAAAAGAAAAAGCTCTGCTTCTACATGCTTCTGATATGGAAAAGGTTCATTAAATTGTGTCTCTCTTTCCTATAACATGACAATATCATGTTAGTAAGCAATATGAGAGAGGATTCAATCCAAAAAAATAATATATCATCATAGCTGTAATGCCAAATTCGGCTGCAACTGAGAACCAGTTTCGGCGTTGGAACTAGGTGAATTTGCTGTTCCAACCTTTCCATTTAAGTCATTAGCAAGTGAAAAAGAATTCTGTTTAGTAGGAACTTCCAATCCCTGCCAAGATGATTTTCCAGCAACACTTTGAGACCAACTTTGCGACTCAAATCCAGATTCCCGGGTCAATGAATTTCCAGAATCTAATTGACTTTGTTTGTTGAAGTACTGGTCCTTAAGAGGAGGATTGATATTGGTATGCCCAATGCGGCTGCTTACAGGATCCATTTCAAACATTTGAGGAGCATTACCAGCACTCGTTGACCCAGTAAGGTCAGCAAGTCTTACCATTTTCATTTGAGGGGGAAAATTAGAACCTAACCAATCATTTGAACCAAAATCATCAGAGTGCACCATGGATTCCTGCTGAATCCTTGCTGGAGTTGTGGATCCAATCCCTCCACCAATGCTGTTGACCGGATTCAACTCATTTTGGTATTTCAACTCTCTATTTTCTACCATGTCTCTACTTTGCAAGCATGATCTATTTGCAAGAGGGAAGGTTCCAGATGGAGAAGAAAACTTGCTTCTATAATCCTCTGATACAGGAGGGTCTGAAGTTCTCTCCTCATCACAAACTGGCAAGTGTTGCCTCTGTGACACGTCATCTTCACTTACCCATCCAGGACCAAATTCATGTCCTACTGGCAAAACACTGCTGATTTTCCTTGCAGCAATCCTCCAAACAACAGGACCAAGATCTGCCGCAAAATGGGCTAGACTTCTAGCATAGCTATGCTTCACATGTAAACCTACCTGATTTTACAAAAGAAGACCATGATTTTTTTAAATCAATAAAAAGCCTTTATAACTGATTGAGCATGAGATATTAACCGCAACCTAGAGACAAGAGATGATTTTCAACGCATCATGGTTCATAAAAGACATTTGTCTAACTTGTTTTCAGATTCACATTTTCTGGTTGAAGAAAACAGGAAAAAGAGTAAGAAACAGAAACAATAGAAGATCATACTGCAAGAAGTTGCTTGAATTCATCTTCAACTGCAGTTAACATTGGTGGTTCATTCCCTAAAGGTGATGGATTTTTGTAAGTGTCACGCCTGGTCTCATCAACCTCAAACTGCTTCTTTCCATACCTTAACACAGCTTTTAAAACAGAAGCTGAAAAAAAACTTATATAATTAAATGGAAAATTCCAATAAATAAATACATTTGTCGCCCCTTGTTAAACCCAGACGGAATTGGACAATGGGAAGGCTGCATATGTATACTGACCTGGAAATTCATTCTCCCATTCAGACAACCAACTAGTATAACCTCCACCGTTAAAGTTGCTGTTGGAGGCCCTGGCAGATGAATCTGCAGGCTGAAATTTGCTTGGTCCTTTCCTAAGATTATAACCATTGGAGCCACTGGCAATATCCCCACCAGAAGCAAGAGTTGCATCAGAAGAAGATTCAGGACCAACACGCTCAGAAGGCGACATGCCCAGCGACTTTCTTGGGTGCTTCCCAGGTGGCCTTCCTCTGTGCACAATTTTGGGTTGCGGTTCACTATCATCACTATCTTGTCTCAGATTCTCAAAGTCCTTCCTTGCCATCTCCTGCATGGCTCGGGCCTACAAAAAGGCTCAACCTTTAACTTAAATAGACACCAAACAAACCATAGAAAAGGGATGAAAATGATTTAGTTTACGTAAAGACTTTCATCAAACCTGTCGGTAGTAGATAGTATCCGGTGAATTATATTGCATCGCATTAGAGCATATCAAGAACACATCTTTCTGCAAGAATGGAGCAGTAAAGAGTTTCAAATTTGTATCAGATTAACAATAAATTCTTTCCTAAAAGATCAAACAGTTTAACATAAAACCCAAACTAACACAAAGGGGCGTAGGATCAATTAGTGCAGATCTGCTAACCAGAAATGTAAGCTATACTTAAATTTCACGTATTAATGAATCTAAAACCGGCATCATGGCAAGCAACAGTCGTCGCTTGGGTTAAGAACTACCTGTTGAATCAAACAGATGAAATATCAAGAATGACAGCCCTTAATTAGTATTACTACTAACTAGAGGTCTAAAGCATGCAGAACAATGTTATAGATTATCAGTTTATCATATATGTTGGCTTCCCACTAAAAAAAATTTCTAATCTTACTTGTAGCACTTGCTTAAAGAATCTCTTAATATCTACTCTGCCAATTTTCTAAATAACTTTCAAGCATACATTAGCCACAATTCAGAAGTATTATGTTATGCTATAGTTTCATTCCAGGTTTCCTATCATAGATACCAAATAAATGAATAATGTTTCTTGAGAAGAACTAACCATAAAAGGGAGAGAGATTAGTTTGTTCACTTGGCTGATGGTAGATGGCAACTGTTTATAGATGCTTAAGGCAGAAAAAGTAGTAGTTTAGTTATTCATCAAAAATCATGATATTGGTATAGTATGCAACATTATCTGAAAATTATACTCCTCTTGCTTCAACAATTTTTATCATTCATAAGCAAATAAACGAAAATTATATAGTACAAAGTCATATCATGGGATTTTGACAGTAGCAAATCACATATACTCCAGAAAGCTGTTCAACAAGTAACAGCACCAACCTCAAATTGTTCTAAGTTGGTATAAACTGCCCCATCCAATTTCTTCCTCACAGTTCCAAAATCCATCGGGTGTTTAATGATATCATGATAATCAGGAAGCTGCAGCAAAAAAAGCTTATTTGTTGAGCATTCAAGCAGTGGGAACTCAAATGCAAGTACTCCAATACCACAAATACCCAGCACGCCAAAAAATTAAAAGAAAGAATGAAAGAATAGAAACGCACCTCTTCTGGATCCACGGGCTCAGAGAATACCCCATGTGTGTCCTTTCTGCAAGAAAGGTTGAGCAGTGCAGAACAGAACCGATCAAAAACCCAACTTAAAAAAAGGGGCGAAAAAAAGAAAAAAGAAAAGAAGAGAGAAAGAAAGAAACAAATAAGAGACACACTTTTGAAGTCTGTCAAGGATAAACAGCAAGAGCTTTTTGTCTGGCAAAGGTGTAGTGGGACCGGCCTCCCCCTGCGAACCTGTCAACACATAATATAAAAATCGCCATTAATATTCCCCCACTACGCCCCCTTGCACCAGCATTTGAGAAATCATTTCATATATCTTCATACCATGTTTACTGTCAGTCGCTTTCGGAACCTTCCCATCCTGCAAAATCATCCCATCATCAAATTACCCAAAAAAAGACGTGTGCCTCTGATTTCATAACACAATATCCACTTTTTATCCATAGTCATCCAAAAGAGAATCGCAAATCAAACTCCCCAAACAAAATTTATTGAAAAAAAAAAAAAAGAGCCGAACTCACGAGCAGCTGCTGAGCTAGAGTCATGTGTTGAAAGGTAAAAAATAAAATAAAAAAGGAACAGAAAGATAATTTTAAAATAATAATAATAATAATCCCAAGAATACTCAGAGATAAGACAAATTGAAGCTTTTATGCATATCCGTGCATTCAGCGGAAAGACGAAGGCTCGATCTAGCGTACAGCCAATAAGGTATGCATAAATAATGAATGATTAAAATTAGGGGCAAAGAAAAGGAAAGAAGAAGCACCAGTGCCAGTGCCCCACATAAATTTTCCTCTAAATAAATTAAACAAATAAATAACATCAAAACCTAAACGGTCAAACACATCCCCTGCTTCCTAGTTCAACGAGTTCACCGCAAAATAAAATTAAAACGAAACATATTACGCGCGAAATCCGAAAAGAAAAAAAAAAACCATAATCGTGCTTCTAATTGGACAAGGGATTGTAACAGCGGAATCGAAGAGAGGAATGGCGAAACGCACCGTTTCATCTGATCCAATCTTGCGCCTCTTGTGGGCGGCGTCGGGATCAGAATTGAATGGCGATAATGTTGGATGATGGAGGTGGGAATTGAGACCGACCAATAGCTTGTGCTTCTTCTGTTTGCGTTCGTCGTCGTCGTCGTCAACGTTGGAATAGGAATTGGTTAAATTGGGGTTTTGTCGGTGCTTTTGCTGTTGTTTTTTGAGGGATCGCTTTTGAAGATCCAAAAGAGATGGACGTCCCTTCTTCTTCCTCTTCGTCATGGTTTCAGATACCTCGCCCATTGTTTCCTCCTCTTTTCTCGCTCCCCAAACAAACAGGTCCTAACTTCTCTCTATTCTCTTCCCCCTTTTTTTACAATTAATTCTAAAATTATTATATTTTAAAACAAAATATCTCTATTCTATTCTCCTCCATGCGTGCCACTCACGTGACTGCCGTGTTTCTGCTCTCTCTACCCCTCATCCACCTCACTTTCTCTCAACACAAGCAAACCATGCTTTTAATTTCACTTCTATCCATTACTACTTACTTTTTTAAAGTACTTTTTAACCACTCTTCTGCATTTCTTTTTTCTATATTTAAGCTTTCACCATTTTAAGATCACTTTTATGTCACGTAAATTATAATTAATGTGTTTATAAATAGGTATTCATACATATTACATAAATTTGACAAAATTTGACAAAAACTATTATACACTTAATTTATAATCACATCAAACTAAAGGGTACCGTTGTAAAATAAAATAAAACAATACATTATAGACAGATAGATTTTGTTCTATATTTATTTAACAGCAAATTTTTAGGAAAAAATTTGTTAACAAAACACTTTTTTCCATTATACTGTTTAACATATTTGATAAGATTAGTTAATTTTTTAAAAGGTTAAAGTAATTTTTAAAATATATTTAATTATAAGGCAAGCATTTTAAATTTTTGTAAAATTATTAATGATAAATTAAATAATATGTTAAAAAATGTTTAAAAGAGTTTATTGTTATCGTATAAATTTTTACCGTCATAAATCACGAAAAATGAGATAATATACAATGACAAATATATTTTATTAAGATTCGCTTTATACTTAAATACAATTTCGATTCTTTGAATATTTATAATATTTTATTCACTTTTTTTATTGAATATCTTAAAAAATGTTTTTATTTTTATTTATTTTTTCTGTTAGTGATTTATTAACGTACTTTGACATTTATTTATTTATATCTATATTATTTTAAATTATTAGTTTAAAATATTATGTAAATGTATGTGTTATTAACAATGTCGTGTTTTTTATGTTTCTAAATAAAATATCATAGATTTTTTTTAATTTGAAAGTTACAAATATAAAATTAGCAACAAAATTACAAATACAAAATGAAGAACATATAATCTTTATATTATAGTTTATATCAAACTCACTTTACGTTATATAAACTAAATCGGATGCCATGATATAAATAAAGAAAAATTCATTAATAAAAAATAGAAGAATAACAAAGTTTGCAGTAAAATTATTTTAAAAATAAATAAAAGATAAAGTAAGATAATTGTAAATTTTCGTGTGAGTTTGTTTTTTTAAGTAAAAAAAATATTTTTGATATAAATTTTATTTTTATTTTTTTCTAAAAACTTTATTTTAAACTATGAATTTTAAAAATTAAAAAACCATGACAGAAACAAATAAGCTCTATTTTTTACTATTTTCAAACACATCAATTAAATATAAATTTATTTTAATTGTAATAGATGAATTTTAATACGTTATACTCTTATTCAATTCCAATTCAACGCATTGCACGTAAAAATGAGCAAATTTTTATACGTTTAATTTAGTACTAGCGTTTCAACCTTTGTTGGAAGCTTTAAGCTATTTATTAATGCTTTAATTTTTTATTTTTTTGCCATTTGTTGTATTTTTACGATAACGTGGCGTCTCCTTTCTGATTCAAGGCGTTTGCTCTGTTGGATGTGTTGGGTTCTGTTTTTGTTTTTGTTTTTTTTTTTTGTAGTAGTTGAATGGGATTTACCGTTTTACGTTTATGTGATATATTTAGAAGTTCTGAAGATCAAATCGTTGCGGTGAACTAATGAACTGTTTAATTTTTATTTTTTTTTATTTTGTGTTGAATTTTGAAATAAAAGATCGACTTAATTTCAACACATTAATAATCCAATGACTTGAGTTCTAATTGAATAGAATGTACTAAACCAAAAAATGAGTGTTTAGTGTGGTTATATAAATATGTATTTGTGAGGTACGAGGACGAGAATAAAATTACCATTCTAGTGAACAAAATTTTAAGAACAATTTTTGTTTTTTAATACAAATATATAATACCTCGTCTAAATTTGTGAACGGGTAATTTCTGTGACATTGACGATAATTTTTGTGACACTCAGATGACTTCAATTTCATAAATTGATTGTTAAATAATTTAAAACCTCCTATGTTATTAAGAAACGTGATATCATCATATTAGGAAAAAATATATAATTATTAAATCATAATTTTATTATAATTAACTATGTAAAATATTTTTTAAATTTATTAAAAATATATATTCTACCATCATAATGTTATATTATTTAATAATATAAGCATGTTAAAATTCGTTATTAAAATGTATTATGTGGGCAAATTTTGCTATTTGTTGCTTTTTATCTGTTAACAAAAGAAGTTTTATTTTTTTATATTATTTTGTTGTGACTTAAAATTTTAACATTAAATTTTAATTTAAAACGCACAAATTACTTTTTAATTTTTAAATAAATGTGTTTAAGTAATAAAGTGACATAAGGGACGATATTAAGGGGGGGAAATAGTAACAGTAATCGCAATTATTAACTTATATTGACAATAATTATGGTAGTAATTATAACTAACAATTTTGATAAAAATAATAACTGTTATAATAAAAGTAATAACTTAGTAATAGTATTATTATTATTATTATTATTATTATTAGTTGTGGTGACTATAAGAGTGGAAACATAAAGATGATTATAAAAATAACAATAGTAATAAATATAGTATTATTAATAGTAATTATATAAGTTATACTTCACAATGATAATAATTATTATAACAAAAAATAATGGTGATGACTTCAATAGTAATCTATTAACGGATAATAGTAACGACATTGAATCAATAACGATAATTATTATTATTTTGCTATACAGCTATAAAACAAAAAGTTATACGTTTATTTTGTTTTAAATATCAAAATACTTTTATTTTAAAATTAAGTTAAAATTCAATTCAACTTCATTTTACTTTAGCCAATTTTGCTTTGAATTTTTCATTTCAAATCTAAAAACTTTCAACGCTCCAAACATACCTTAAAATTATCATTTTCTGTATTATGTAATGCTCCTCTCCTAATCATTGATTTTGGAGTTCAGTTCTTCTGGTTCTATTTGATGGAAAAGGCATACAATAAGAAACCTACAAAGTTTGTTCCAACTATCATTATCTTGCAACATTGCTAAGGAATGAACATTCTTCATAGCAATGTCACGAATCAATAGTCAAAAACTTTAGAAGAAGCTGTGGGATGTTAATGCTTAACGAGGACATATACTGAAATACGTATAAGTCTTACCTAACTTGTGTTAAATTATGCAACAGCGGAGTATTTGTAAACCCATTCTGACCAATATCTCACGAAGAAAAACAACAAATCAAATTAAAGGATTAACATTCTGGTTAATGTTTCCTCTTGGTCTGCGCATTTGGCATATGGGATCACTGACACAGAGAAAACAAAACAAGTGATACTTTGTTGAAATTTATATTCTAACGGAGAGGTTTGTGTAGCTTATACTTTGTCTCTCATAAAAGAGGAACGCAAGGCCTATTGTGGGACTCACCCTAAATATGGTGAGTATAAACTTAATATAGAAAAGCTGACATGCTCATAAGGCAATCGATGGAGTGTGGGAATTGGTGCAGGGAGCAACATTGTGGAGGGAATCATCTTTGGTGATAGTACTTAGACTATCAAACACCATGCAAATGTTATGACAAAATAGGAGGATTATGTTTTTGGACAGGTTTAAATATGCTAAATAGAATTCCATCCCCTCCTAGTAGTTAAACCTGATTGCTTGAAATTAACTACAATTTTCAACAAGCCATTAGAAATGCTTTTTGAGTTCCATCAAGTTGCTGGAGATTGTCAAATACCAAGTGATATCTTCTAAAGTTCCTATCAAATTTATGTTTGCCTGAATGTCAAAATACACGAATTAGCTAAATATGCATGTAACTATATTTAATTTTTGTGCCGTGGGCACATTAATAAAATAAAATTTATTTATAACAGTTAATAATAAAATTATTATAAAAAAATTGCTTGTTGATTTTATCTATAAAAAGACATTTAATTAAAAATTATAGATAGAATAACATTTTTTATATTATTATCTAGTCATTGATATGTAAACGACGATGGTTGCTTTTTTATAATAATCATTTAAAAAGTCATATCTATTATATATCCTAATCAGTGGATAATGTAAAGAAAAGACTATACAGATAATATATCAAAATTATATTTATAAACTATTTACTATTTAATTTCTAAAAGAACAATGAAGATAACTTTATAATATAAATGAGTGTGTGTATATATATATTTTAAAAAAAAATTACATAAAAATTAAAATAAAAGATTGTATAGGTGCGTGTGTGTATGTGTAGATAATTTTCCATTAAGATGAGTTGTGGAATTTTCTTGCGTTAACTCAGTTGGACTCCTAAAGTTTTGCCCCCTTAATTTCAATACTTTTGCTTTGGTGTAAAAAGAAAACATGAATCCCTTGTCCATGTGGTTTATAAATCACAATTACATGGCTTTTTCTAAAAGTTTGACCAATATTTAAATTTAAGTTCCTTGCATTTTAATTTATCATTATTATTTTTTTTTGCTTCATGGAATTATTTCTACCTTTTATTTCACAATCTCGTTGTGGAGTGAAAAAAGGCTTTGGTGAAGGACGAAGATTAGGTGTGGGCTCTGGCAGAGAGAAGACGCGTTATGAATAATAGTCCAATACACTAGAAAATGGGCTTGGGGGAGCTGGACTGGACCCAAGTCACAGTCACAAACGAAATGAAGCCAGCAAGAACATCGGCGATCGATAAACGACGCAAAAGAAAGCACACAGAAAACACAAAATGGAAACGGTGGCATAAGCTTAGGAATAACGCAGCCAACACAAAGAGAGCGCACGGATCAATGACATGGCATTAAATTTAAATTCCCGCCTAAACCCCTGATCTCCCCTTGATTTCATTTCGTTCGCAATTGAATTTCAATTTCCCCTTAGGGGCTTAATATCTCCCCGCATTTGTGCCAAGCCTTATGTCATAGATATTTCCCCATTCTCTTTCTCTCTCTTCCTCTCTCCCAAACCCTAACTCCCGACCCCATCCCCTCCCTTTCGGTGCGTCTTTCCCTGCAATTTTCCTCGTTTTTTCTGCGATTTTCTTCCTTTTCTATCAATTTCCGCCGAAAAACTGACCCGATCGCGTTTCTGCAGATTCCGTCATGAAAGGAGGCAAGTCCAAAACTGAATCTAAGAAGGCCGATGCCAAGTAAGTTTTATTCGTTTTTGATCTAAGCTCAACTCGTTTAATTCTTCGTCGATTCGGTTCGTTCGTACGATGAATTGAACGATAAAGCCTGGGTTCAGGCCTTTCCAGATCTGAGATCTGGCTGTTGACAAAACCTGCCTTAAGATCTGTAGTTTGCACGATGGCGATATGAGATTCGTGTGTTCTACAATTTTGTAGTTTTTGATGCTATTGATTTTGATTTGATTTTATAGGCTTGCTGTGAAGAAGGGCGCCGCCGCCACCAAGGGTAGCAGGAAATCAAGCAAGGGGAAGGCAGCGAAAGACCCTAACAAGCCAAAGAGACCTCCCAGTGCCTTCTTCGTTTTCATGTAATTATATTTTTTAACTCTACGATCCATTTCATTTGCGATGCGCTCTCTTCTCTTTCCACCGAATATTGTTCCGTCAAAAATTAATCCCGACGCAACGGTAAATCATACGTTTTTCTTTGTTGTTGTTTATTCAGTTCTGATTGTTTAACTATGGCAAACGTTATGTGAAAATGAAAACGATGCATATCACTAGTATTGTAGATCTATTTTATCTTTGTTGAAGCTAGGAACTTCTTCTACATGACATGCCGTGTATGGTTGTTTTATGCTGGTTTTTCTGAAATTTGTGTGGTTGATAAAGGGAGGAGTTTAGGAAACAGTTCAACAAGGAACATCCTGACAACAAAGCAGTGTCTGCTGTAAGTCTCTATTGTGATTCTTCTGCTTTAATTACATGAAATCAAATTAGAAACGAACCTCTCGTTTACAATACTTAGCATGAACCTTTCAGGTGGGCAAAGCTGCAGGAGCAAAATGGAAATCGATGTCTGATGCTGTATGTAATTTTGCGGTTTGTTGGCTTGAAGTTGCCTTTCTAACAATACTGCTTTTGCTGATTAAATATGCTTGAATTATGTAGGAGAAAGCACCCTATGTGGCAAAATCTGAGAAACGAAAGGCGGAGTATGAGAAGAGCATGAGAGCCTATAACAAAAAACAGGTAGGTGCAGTTCTGTTGATGCTTTTGCTTTTGATAAGCATTGGGTAAAATATGTATTTACTACCATGTGGATTTTGTTTATTTGTTCTCATGGATTTTTTTTATGTTGTTGCCAGGCTGAAGGACCTACTGGTGGGGATGAAGAAGAATCTGAGAAGTCAGTGTCTGAGGTGAATGATGACGAGGATGATGAGGAAGGCAGTGGCGAGGTTTGCTCAAATACTTTGTCAATCATATCCATGTTGCTATTGAAAATTTTTACTGAGCGGTTATATCTGTCTTTTTTCTGTGCAGGAGGAGGACGACGATTAGGAAGTGCACTGCGCATAGAATTTATGTAGGTTGTTCTGATGACCAGATCATCTTTTGTAGATGGTCTCATCGTTTCCTGATAAACATATTTCTTGCTTCCAGAAAATATTTCCCTACTCCCTCCCGTAAATTTGTTTTGTCTATCCAAAACGTGAATAGTTTAAAGAAGGGAGTTGATCTTTATTTGTACTTTTAAATCCAACTGTTTAGTTAAGGGGTGTTTATCTTTTGTAGAGCTTTAGTTTGATTTAGTTTTTCTTGATGAAATCTGGTTACGCTTGTATCAATATAATTGGCTTATCATTCCTTTCTGCTGTATCATGCGCTGTATGTGTGTTTCAATGTTTTTTTCCGTAGTCTTGACATTGGTCACAATATTACTCATTGACTTGTGCTATTGGGCTTGTGCTGCATGACTGCAGTCGTGATTGTGTTTTTTAACAACTGTTATTGGAACCTTTTGCTTTGGTTGTAGTGGACGTGTTGCTGTCTAGTGTCCTAGGTTTTAAATGAAAATGGATTCTCAGTTAAAATTGCAACTGGAGCCAATGCATTTCTGATCTGATAGCTGAATTTCTCAAACTATAATTTTTTAAAATATATTATTTTTAATGTGAAATGCTTGTCTGACTTTGAAAATGTGTGTTTTTTGATTTCTTTCATTATTGTTGAGTTGCAACCCTACTTTGTTGTGGAACTAGGAACATCTTTGTTTCACTTTTTAAAAATAGTTTTTTACAAATTTATGTTATATATTTTTAAAAATAGGAAACACTTTTTAAGTGTAACAAACATACTTTAAGTCGATTTTTCGCATCTCCTTAGCCGGTTAATCGGTAGCGTCCATTTTTAATCTTTTGATTTTAAATTTGTCATACGCCTTTGGTCTTATTATTCGCCTTAGCTGGTTAATCGGTAGCGTTGGATTTTGTTGTAAACGTTGGCTAGGTTTTGAAAACGTAAACTGGTACAAAGTCGTTTTTAGTGTGTCCGTTGGTTTTATTCTTAGGTTGTGTTTGGATAATTTATTTCAAATTACAACATTCATCTATTAGAAAGGAAATTTTTATTTTAAATAATGAAAAATTTAAATGAAATTTTATGTTGAATAGAAAGGATTTTAGACAATTGTTTCTAAAAATTTGTTTTATATATTTTTCATTTAAGCATTTTTTTATTCTATTTATATATTTTAGAATTCTCCATCACTACAACCCAAGTTACTCCTGGTTTTTACAGAACGAGAAATTGTATTTGATCTGTTTCTGTGCAATGTGATTTTTTAATTTGGTAATGGGCTGGGTTTGATTATAGTATCATGTTTTTTTAGAGACGAAATAATGCACACTCCACAGCCCGTGTTTCTAATGTTGTTGTTACTTAGAACTAGTATTTTGAAAAGGGGTTCGGCTGTTGTATAGTTGGGTGACGGTGCATTATTTTAATTGTTTTGGATGTTTTAATTATTATTCATTTTTTAATTTTTAATAGTTAAAATGCACTTTGGTCCATTATGGTTTAAAAAAATTAAAAAAAATGAATAAAACTGGAAAAGTAGATAAACAATAGTTAGTTTTGACTTGTGGTAATAATTTATTTTATTTTCATAAGTATTTATTAAAAGAATGATGTAAACTTAACCCAATTCTTTTTACAAGTTCATTTTGACTTTGTTAATTGGACAATTGTAAAAGAAAGTTGTTTAAATAATAAAAAGGTAATGTATTATTGTAGACTTAAATTGATTATAATCACCATAGACAGTGCAACCAAGCGGGACATATTTTTCATGAAACAAGGTTCGTTCTTGCTTTGCCCTAGCGATGTAATGCCAAAATAGGAGGGGGGCAAACGAAGAAAAAGCTGCATTGCAAACTGAACTGTGACTTGCTTGCAATATAATCTTGGTTCTTATATTTTAGTGGGGTAAATTTGTGTTGTATCTTTACTATTGTTAAAAGTTTTCGTATAATTACACAATGAAAAAGAAAATTAAGGGCTCGGTCTTCTGTTAAAAGATTCATGACTTGTATAAAATAGAAGTTTTCGTATAATTACACTAGCATTTAGGACACGGATGCATAAGACGCTTATGATATTTCAGGACATTTCCGTGTACTACAAATGTTTTATATTTTTAATTCAAGATGGCGATTATTCTTGAAATATGTTATATTTTTTCAATTAATATAAATATTTGTTAAACAAAATTTTAATTGTCTTGTTGATCATAATATATCGCCTTAGATAATCATGAATTTTTTTTTTAATCTAAATTCGATAAATTGATTTGCTCGCTAAAGCTAACACAACCGTTTAAATTGAATTAATATATATTTTATTTCAATAACTTTCAAAACATATTATTTATATAAATGATATAATAGAACGAAAGTCACTGGCTAGTTAACTTAGCAACCATTTTCAAGAAAAGGATAATCCGTATATCCAACCACAGGATCATTGGTGTAGAAAGTGCTTCTATCGGCCTTGTTTAACTCAGAATCCAGTTCGAATCTTCTTGGCAAATCTGGATTTGCCAAAAAAAGGCGTCCATAAGCCACCAAGTCTGCACCACCGTTTGCTATCGCTTTGTTTCCCTCACTCCTATTGTATCCACCAGCAACAATAAAGGTCCCATTGAAGGCCTTTCGAATTGGTAAAAGGGACAAATCAGTGTCATGCTTATCAAACATTGTGAGCATCCTGGGCTCAATAACATGACAATAGAGAATGCCGAATTGGCTCAAAGCCCGTGCCATGTAAATGCCCAATGCTTGAGGGTTAGAGTCTCCACAATCACAATAATCAGCAAAAGGAGAGATCCTAACACCAACTTTGTCAGCTCCAACCTCATCAGCCACAGCTTGCACCACCGTTAGTGGGAAGCGACAACGATTCTCTAAGCTACCACCATACTCATCATCTCTGTCGTTCACTTTGTCCTTTAGAAACTGATCAAGCAAGTAACCATTGGCTCCATGAATCTCCACTCCATCAAAACCTTAAACAAATTATTCATGTAACAAAGTAAGATGGAATTGGTTAAACGTGAATAAAAGCCATGTCTAATAAGTTTATGTATATATAAAAAATTATCACAATATAAATAAAAAAATGATTCTTAAGGATTGATGTTAATAAAAATTATTGACTGTGGATTGTAACATGTCATGTGTACGTATGTAGCATCTGGGGTGTAAGATAATTCTGAATGAAAAACTACATAAAATGGTAAGCAAAGGTTTACTACATATACCCGCTTCTATGGCATTTTTGGCTGCGATTCTGAAGTCATTGACAACGTTAGGGATTTCATCAGTTGTGAGACGGCGAGGAGCAGGGTATTTAGTGCTGCTTCCTTCCTTATGAATTGCCTTGTCTGTGCTTGAGATTGGGGCCTGCCCATCTGGCTGGTAAACTGTTGAACCAATTTAATTTTTTCTTTTGTTGTTATTTGAAGAAAATAAAATAAAATTTCTATTGTTTATCTAGAAAGTAAAAACTAACATTACTAAATGATTTAGAGCGCTTTATATAGATTATATCACTCTCATAGTTTTTAATGAAGGAAAGATAAAAGCTAGATGTTTATTTTATGTTGCTGTGAACACACGTATACCGTAGTTGGAGACTCTTCCAGCGTGCCAAAGTTGGCAAAAGAAGATGCCCCCTTTCTCATGAACAGCTTTCACAATTGGTTTCCATGCTTCCACTTGTTCCCTTGTCCAAATGCCAGGGGTATTTGGGTACCTAAAATCACCAAAGCAAGTTAAAAAGAAAACAGGGAAAGAATAAAAATGAGCTATATGAAAATTAATTAACTAAAACTATTAGATGCAAAAATCAGATAATTAATACAGAAATATTTGCAACAAAATATAATTAATTCTTTTTATTAATAGTAATTTTTCAAAAAAAGAAGAAGATATTATCAACTTATTGCTTAAGATAGAAAAGAGATATAAGATGTTATATTCGCTGTAGGACCCAGAAATAAAAAATTTAACACCCACAATGATTCTCATTAAATTAAGGTGAAAGCTAACTATATAGATGTTGATAATTACAAAGGTAGACTATGGTCCTTCGAATTTTTAGCTGCAATTGGTAATTCTAGACAAACTTTGCCAACAATGTTAGAGTTTGAATCTTAAAATCGTGATTTAGACACGAGTGTAGTGAAACTGTGAAATAGAACAAATGTTTTGTAGAAAGAGAGAAAAAAAAAAGTAAACCTTAAATTAAATTTAAAGATTGTATTGATCATATAATTTAGTCAATGTGATTTCAAATTAGTTTTCAAGATTTGGTTATACGCTTTAGTCAATGAAATTATAAAAAAAATCATTAGTATTTAATTTTGTAAAAATCATATTTACTTGGTCAAAACAATAACACAAACAAAATAAAATGACCTTTTTATAAAGTAAAAACTTAATTAAACTTTTTAAAAAATTGAAAGATTCTAATATAAAACTTATGGCCTTGAGAAGGACACATAGAAGATATAATAAGAATGGAAGCTTACCCTTGTGCAGTGTTTGACACCCCTGAGGCTTCCCCAATCAAGAATCCACCCTTTGTTGTTCTTTGAGAATAATAGATAGCAGCATGAGGCTGAGCCACAAAGTTGTATGACCTTGTTCTTGTTAATGGTGCCAGAACTATCCTATATCCAATGGAACAATAATAAAAACATCGTTGCAAATATATATTATACGAATCAAAAGTAAAGAACCACGAGGAAACTGAGGTTGTTGCATTATCCATTAATTATCTGCAATGAATAATGGCCTGCGAAATATCATAGAAAAATGAAATATGTTGTAACTGGTAAGAGTATATGAAACCTGTGGGAAAGATTAAATTTTCCCATGTTGAATGGGGTGAGGAGGGGTATCGCTTCTCTTCCCTCGATCACTTTTTGGTTCTGATCTTCTTCTATCATCGTGTTCGTCATCTTCTTCTTCACCACTCAGTTCACAATCCTACAATAAGCAATGAGTACGCAGACCAGTCTTGATTCTTATAGAAACTTATGTCGTTTTCGAACCAAAAATAACACAAGTTGAAAGATGTCAAGTCACACTTAATCAATTTTTTATTTTTCTATTGCGGTTTCAAAGTAATTCCAGAGGTCATTAATGGACGATATAATTAATTATTTTCTTTAATTGATTATTTAAGATTCAAATCATCGGTTATTTTTACAGTTAATCCTTTCTGCAAATTATAAAAAAGCAGATTTGGTAGATATGTTTTCAAAATTTTCCACAAAAAAAATTGGCAAAAATTAGTTGATAACTTTTGAAGAATAAATTGTTGAAGTTAATTAATATGCATATATTTATTTAAACAGTAGAAGCCGTTCTAATTTCTATAAATAATAACAATAATGCCATATAATATAATTATAAATAACAAAGCAAAGCAAAGGAATATTATTTAATTCATTTTAAGAAACCATTGAAAATATAAGCTAAAAATTAAAGTTATATAATTTGCATTTAATTTTAATTTTTAACTTAAAATATGTTTTATAAATTCATTTTTGGTCAATAAAAGGCATAGTTTTAAGTATTTAATTTTTTAATTATTATTATTATATGGAATTATTTATTAAGCACTTATTAAATTTAATAATTTTAATAATATTGTTTTAAATAATATTATTTAAATTAATTATATATTACATTTAATGAATTTATAATTATATACATATATTAAGTATTTTATAAATTGATTAAAAATATTAAGTATTATGAAAAGCCAGACATTTAATAAACATTTATTATAATGAATGATATAGTTTTAATAATATTATTTAAAATGATTATATATTACACCAAAAAAAAAAACGTTAAATGTTTCTATGCAGTGAGTTTTATTTTAAATATAAAATATTATGTATTTTAAGTATTTAATTTTGTAATTAATATTTTATATTTTATTATTATAAGTCATATATTTGATAAGCAATTATTGTATTGAATATATTTATTAAATGTATTATATTTAAAAAGGTAATGGTTTTATAATATTATTTTATTAATTATATATTGCACTCAATAAATATATTATTAAATGCAGTTATGTAATAAAAAATTTATATTAAATTAAAAATTAATTTTTTTCTTAAAAGATAAATATTAAAAAATTTATTATTGTATTGCACTCGGAAAAAGTGAATAAAATTGATAGCAAATAAAATTGTTTATTAAGATCAACTCATATTTTTTGTCTACTGAGTTTTATTTGAGTTTCACTTTCACGTTTTAATTTTTTATTTAACCCATTTTTATAAGCTATTTTTTTTAAAAGATAAAATGATCCTTTTGTTTTGTTCTTTATTTTAATTTAATCAAAAAATTTAAAATAATAGTATTTTAGACAAAAAAAATTAATTCTTATTTTACATATTTTATCTATTTTACTGTTAGATTGTCATTTAAGATTTTTTAAATATTATTGAAAACTTCTTTAATTGATAATAAATCATTTCCAATCAGCTGTTCATTTCTTTTATTTCTTTCAATGTAAATATTTAATAATTAATGTCAATTAATCGTAAAATAAATACCAAACATCAGAATAAAAAGGGAAAGATCCAAAAAATAAAAGCTTAACTTGGCAAAGACAAAAAAAAATGGTAAACAAATTAAACTAAAATAATTAAAAATATAACAATATTTGTATCTATAGAATAAAGAACAGAAGAAAGAATGAAAAATAAAATTTCTAAAATACAAGAAAAATAGATAAAACATTATCTTTATAATATAGCAAGATTTTGTTTTTTGTTTTTTAAATATTCCTCTTTACATTTTGTGTCGTCTCATAAGTTAAAAAAAAATTAAAAATCTCAAAATAATTATAATACGTCAAAATTAGAGAAAAAATTAAACAAATAAAAAGTACCTTAAAGAAATAAGAAAAATAATCATCATCATATTTTGTACCACCATCCCCTTTTTTATTTTACATAGCATATTATAAAGTAATAATAAAATTATAATAATTTTTACAGTACATTATAAATTAAGATGACATTACATATTATTAAAAAATATAAATATTTTTAATTAAAAAATGTAATTATTAATTTTAAAAATATATAAAATATCTTCTTAATTTTATAAATACAATAAAAAAAACTCTTAAAAAAATGTACACGAGGGAAAAATTGAATAATCCAAGATCATTGACGTTCTCATCAGTTACCGCCAACAGTGTTCTGTACCCTCCTCTCCAGTGTTATATTGTGTACCCGTCCAATACATTGATCCATGACCCATTTTCACTTCCTTTGGTGTACCTAAAATATAAAAATCCTTACTTTTACCATTTCATTTATTTGATAGTATTTGGTATTAACTTATTTTCATTTAATTTCAAACAATTTAGAATTATAACTCATTACAAGTAGGTTTTGCCCTGAGTTTAAAATTAAATTTTATGCTTGGAACTAATTTCCATTTCTTTTGATCTTATATTTTTACCTTTAAGAAATAAATTAAATGTCAATGAAAACAAAGGAATCTATTTATTTAAAACAAAAGAAATTGCATCAAATTTGAAAAGAATCAAATCCGAAGGGCTGACTTTATAAATAGATGAAATCTGATTTTTAATTGTTGGAAGCACACACTCTTTCAATTAAGAGAGTTTTATGATTATCGTGATTGTTTTTTAATTATGATGATTATGCTGATATTTGTTTCATCACGCATAATTGAAAGTGATTTTAGTACACAATGCAATAATGGTTTTTAGTTAATCCCTACCATTTGGCCAATTGATACGCACTGCCCTGAAACTCAATCCTAAATAGAAAAGTGGGCATTTGTGAAAGTGGGGTTTATTGATGTTGTTCTCACGTGAAATATGGGGAGATTCACCGTATCACTATGGCACCCTCACTCTACGTACCCCCTGAGTCGCAACTAAACCCATCATCATTAATGTGCAAGAAATACCTAAAGCACATACACGATTTGAGTCCCAAATAAAGAAAGAACATATATAGTGGAGACTTCAATCACAGATTCAGATTCTCCACCCCCAAATCGCGTTCTAAATATGAACCTTCTCTATTTTAACATATCTTTTTCTCACATTGGTCGTTGGTGATAGGTCATAGGAATTGGGTGGAAGAAGAAAGGTTTATGATAAGTGCAATCATCACTTTAAGGATTCCAACATATGAAAATTTTATAAAATCTAGTTTCTTGTTTAGGAGTAATTTAGCACCTTGTGTTTTGAAATTTTAACAAGACTTGCCAATTGAATAGGGGAATTGGTGAAGTGATGATCCAAACAACTCGCAAGAACTCGTTTGGATTAATGTTCTTTTAACGTGAAGGATTCTGATAGCAATATCGACGATTGTTACTTTTTCCTTTGGTCAACTATCACCGATCATTGTTGAACGTGAAGCAACTTTATATACCACGTTAAGTGGCGTTGGAAAGTAATGGTTGTGGCTAAAATAAATTTCAACAGTTTAATAAAGTGATCTTAAATTACCTCCTCCAAGAGTTAGTATGAAAGCATCAACATATTAATGATTTAAATATTTAAAAATAATTTTAAAAAATGTGGTTAAGAAAACTTGATTTTATACTTAATGACTCAGATATCAATATTATTAAAAAGAAAATACCAGCAATGCCCCTCGTTTCAGGACTAGCTTAATAGCTGTGTTCCACGTCAAGTGTTAATTATATCTCCGCTGGTGTTGATCTTTTATTGGTTTGATTTGTCTTTTCAGAGGGGCACATCCACTTTTTTACGAATAAATGATACCCGCAAACCCTATTTTTGAGGTCGAAAAGGATAAGTAGTACGACCTAATTTTAGACAAAAAGTTTTGAATTGACTGCGACCGTACAGTCATATTTTGGTTTTGTTTTGATTTTATAGTTTTTTTTAATAAACATTAAATTTCTTTTGATTGTTAGGATAAATAAAATGTAATAATTTACTTTGAAAAGGGATCATTGAATATAGGGGAAGGTTGGGTACGAGGAAAGAGGAAGATTCTCTTGATTATCAACCACACTAGGAATGCGAACAGCTTCGATCAATCTATCGATTCATTTGAGTTTTTATTATTACTTAATTAAATTTATTTTATATTCAAAGTAGTTTATACTTATTTTTATAAACGATAAAAATGCATTTAAATTTTTATCAAGAGAGGCTCAATTTTGTATAATATTTTTATAAACAATATTGTTTTAGTTTAGTGAATACAATTATGATAAAATATATTTAAAATAATATTTTAATTTATGCGACCCTCATCTTGGATTTATAATGTATTATATTCGATAGAAGTCAAATATCACATTGTTTATGTAAAATGGATTCTATTATACATTGCACTGCCCTCTCAAAATATACATTGAACTGCATTTTTGTTGAGATGGGCCAGGGTAAACAAGAAGGGACTCCACGCCCACGCGAAGACTAATGGTGCAATTATCCTGGTTGGTAAGAGATGCTCACATCCAATTATAGCAATGATAACATTATCTTATCTGTAGCAGTGGTTCTTAAAGACAACAATCCACTCTGTTTCCAATAGTTAGTGGCATTTTTGCACTTTTTTAGGCCGCGGTTAATCATTATGCACTTGAACACAGACGCGTACCTTGCTAGAGTTTCCAAATGTCATTTACACAATTCCGTGTTAGTTCATAGCTCTATGAAAGTTTAAGCAAATATACCTCTTAATGATGTTTTCGAGTCTTGAATCCTATTCGTTTTGAGATGAATCCATCTTTTCTTTCTTCTTTCTTCTCTTTGTTAAATCTTCTTCGTGTTTCTTGAGGCTTTATGAAAAGTTCAATAAAGTCATAACAATACAAATTTGTATCTCACTCTAAATTACACACATCTTTTCGAATCGTATAACATTATTATAGAATATAAAATTAATTTTATTATAACTCAATGAAACAACTCTATATTAATTGATTTACATGTTTAATAATTTTATATCAGCTATCAGATCCGTTTTTATCACTTTCTTTTTTTATATTTTTATCATCACTGTCGGAATCAAAATCCAAACCGGCCGGAAAAAATGAAGTTAGCCTTCAAAAGCCCTTGAATGGACTCAAAGTTGGTGCAGGAGAGGTAACACTGACGTGAAAAAATCTTTGGTTATTTCTGATTTGCCGATCGACATGCTTCATACGCACGTTTCAGACTTGGAAGTTAGAATGGAGGTAGGTGCAGGATCAACTGTTACTGAAATGTAAATGAAAAATATTTTATGCAGAGTTCACAAAATTGTTAATGAAAAAACATTGTTAATATAGTTTTTTCAAATCATATTCATCCAGATATTCCCTTTACTAGATTTGAGCTACTCTAGTTTATTTAAGTGTGAAATATAAGTTTGAGTTGTTCGGATACACAGCTCTTTTTTTCACACGTCTAGTTTTATGTATTACCAAAATAGACACTCTGTTTCCTTTATATTTAGAATATATTTTTGGGATATTGATATATAAATTAGATGAAAATATAAGTAAAAATAAAAAGAATAATATGCAATATCACGTATGTGTTAAATATCGAACAAAATAAATACATTAAACACGTGATTTTTCAAACTTTTAATATTTTTTATATAAAAAGTAAGTTTGATCTGATCTAACTCAAACCTAACTGAATTAATTAGTGTCAAATTAATTTTAAAAAAATGACGAAATTGATTTAACAAAATTTAATTAGTTATATAAAAAAAAAAAGTTAAAATTATATTTTCGGTCAAATTCAAGCCAATCTGAGCGGTCAACACCACTTCCCCAATTATTATTTGGAAATGAATATGAGACAACGGGGTGGAAACTTTGTCGGACAACGTTGTATGCGTACGCGGGGGAGGCGTTGATTACGGTGTGTTTCAAAGTCCAAAACGCTGCCCCCCTCTTTCTCACGCTACAGAGATCATAATGGTAGATTTTCTGTATTGTTTGATTAACAGGTAGAAGAAAGTTAAGTTAACCGGTTAATATCTACACTATGTCACGTAATAAGAATTTACTTATAAAAATTTCTTATTAAAAATTATAATATTTAATAATTGATATTCTTAAATGTTATAATTTTTAATAACAAAATTTTATACATAATTTTTTGTTATGTCTAATATTATACAATTAAATAAATCGATAATAATTAAAACAAATATTAGGCACTGGTTAAAAAATAAAATTTTTCCCTTTTCATAATATGTAATAAAGTTTATGATAATTTTTAAATTTTTTAATCAATATTCTAAACTCACTAGTTAGTAAGACCCATTAAATTAGGTTGGACTTAAGTATCTAAAACGGATAGATTTTTATTGAATTGAAATACCTTCATTGTATTAAAGAAATATACGTTTTAATTAAATTTTAAATCAGTAGTTTCATAAACTTAGTAGATATTTTTCTAAATTAAATGAGACCTATCTAAATAAGAAAAGTGATCGAGAGTGAATAATTGTTTTTCTATTAAAGTATTTTTAAGTTTAACAAGATTAATTTACTACAATTTTTTAAAAATTGTCGTGGTTTATATACATCTTTGTATTATGAAAAGACATCTAGAATTGAAATATTAATAGGAAATTATGTTTGAATCCATATTTAAAATTCATTATATTGAAATCAAGTTTACAGCATTTTTAATGCTACATTTGAAGGAATGACACAAGTTCGATAAGCTATTCTCATTGCTGGTGATGGATCGGGTCTTAACTAAAGCCAAAAGCCATTGGATAGAAATTTAAAAACACAATACAAATACCCAAAGTGTGAAGCATGCGTCTCAATCAGTTGGTAGGACTGGACTTCTGCAATATGGTGAGGGATGAGGCTTCCAAGATGAGTGTGATTGTGATTATGTCCTTTTATTATAAAAAAATTACACAAATTAACTCTTCGTATTGATTCATTTTATTCAAGGCCTTCAAATTGTTCTTTTTATTTTAATATTTGGAGTTTACGTATAGTATAGAATTGTGATGTAAAATAATTTTTAAAGTTTACAAGTAAGAAAATTAGTGAAATTTAAAATATTTTATAAACTATAGAGTTAAGTTTCAAAGAAAAGAAAAATTGATTTATTTTTTACCTTGGATGAAATTGAATGTTGTTTATAAATTTTGAACAGAAGATAATTTAATTCATTCAATTGATAAAGATTTTTTAAAAATTGATAATTTTATGTAAAAGAAAGTATCAAGAATCAAATTGTTAAAATAAAAAACAAGATTTAACTAACTAAAAAAATAAAATCACATAATCTAAATTGAATAGACAAAAAAGAACCTTAATTTGATTTTTACTTTCATGCTTTTTCCCGGTTTATGGATGATAGTGTGTAAAAATAAAAGTATGAAAGTAATAGTGTAAAGTATAAAAAGGGGAAGGAGGCTAAATTGCGAGATTTGCGGAAGGAGGCTAAATTGCGCAGTAAACTACGGTCCTTAGGGCTTGACTTGAGGAAATGCAAAATGCAAACGCAAATGCAATTGTTTCTACCAAAGCCAAAAACAAAACTGTGTTCTAACATTCTGCAAAAGAAAAATTAAACGAGAAATGGAAGCAGAACATGGTGAGACCTCAAATGGAATCGGAGGGTTGTACGTGAAAGTGATGACCGATGACCAAATGGAACTTCTGAGGCAACAGATATCTGTCTACGCCACCATCTGTGAACAGCTTGTTGAGATGCACAAGGCCGTAACTACTCAACAGGACCTCGCAGGTTTCCTCTTCAATTTAACCACATCATAAAATATTTCTCCGATCTTTGCTTATTTGTACGCATCTGATTGTGTTATGCTTCTCTGTGCCTTGCGCGTTCTGGTTCTATCTTGGATTTGTATGTCTTGAAATTGAAAAAATAATAGTGCTAGCAGAGTACGTTGGTAGATCATGAGGGTTTGTGATTGGAGAAATTAGAGGAATATATCAAACTAGGCTCTTAAATTATGAACATTATTCAATTTAGTCTTAAAAAATTATAAAAATAGGTCCCTAAAATTACAACTAAATGATCTGTATTTAATAATTTTAAAGACTAATTCGGTGCATTCCTCAACATCTTAATAACAGTGCACTTTTCTATATTGAACTTCGAAAATATAATAAATTACACAACAGTTGAGACGGTTTAACCAAGAATCCGCACAAGCCTTCTCAAATGCATGATTTCGTTCAGATTGCTTGATGAATTTGGACATATATGTAGGTCGAAATAGTTGAATTCTTGTTCAATTTGATGAAAGAAAACACGTGTTTTATTTGTTATTATGTTTTGTCACTTGCGATTCAGGGCTGAGGCTGGGTAATTTGTACTGTGATCCGTTGATGGCATGCTCTGGACACAAGATAACTGCTAGGCAGCGTTGGACTCCAACGCCTCTGCAGCTTCAAATACTTGAGCGAATTTTTGATGAAGGAAATGGCACTCCAAGCAAACAGAAGATCAAAGAGATAACCCTTGAGCTGGGTCAACATGGCCAAATATCAGAGACAAATGTTTATAACTGGTTCCAGAACAGAAGAGCTCGTTCAAAGCGGAAGCAACTTGCACCAACTCCAAACAATGTAGAACCAGAAGCAGAGACAGAAGTTGAGTCTCCAAAAGAGAAAAAAACACGCGCAGAAAGCGTTCAAGTTCAACCCTATGAGAATTCATCACCTCCTAGGGTCAAAGATATGTACATCCATAGCCCTGACTTAGGTATTAATCTTTCCATGAAATAATTAGATGGTCATCTTCTATTATATATTGGGATGTCATATGCACACAAAAAATTATACAATAATATTTAGTATATAAGGCATTTTTTTCCCTATTTATCTTAATCGCATTATCATCCATCTTATATCACATTTCTCTCTACTCTTTATATGAATTGTTTTATGTATTATGAATATAATTTTTCATATGTATTTATGGGCGACAGCTCTGAGTTGGTTTTGTGCTCTTGTTTTATTTGACATTCCATCTTTTATATTTCATGTGCGCATATATAAGCCATAAAACTTGTCTAGGCAAGGACACCGAATTTAGAGATATTCAAGCTAAATGCTATTGGTTTGTTTATGCAGGATTTGACCAACTGATGGGCAAAATAGAAGTTGCAAGCTGTTACAGTTCTTATTTTCTTTGATAAATCTGGGGAATGACTGATTAAAAACTCAATTCTCAAAAGGCGCTGCAGGATTGCAGCTCTGTAGACTCATGATTGTTGATGAAACTGTTATATATATAGAGGTTTCATCCAATTATGTTGATAAACCACGAATGATGTGGCATCTATATATTCACATGCATGTTGTGTAAGTTGTTTTTCTTAGGTGCTTTGTAGAGCTAATTGTTGATCGAGCATTGCTGTGATTGTTACAATTTTACAAGTTTTAAAAACTTGATTGCTTTTTCCAATTAGCATTAGCTTTGATTTATTGGAGCTGACGTAATTGTCATGTATGTTAGTACCGTAGAGTATGTTATCATCAGTAGGCAACATTAACATCTTGTCAGTAATGTCTATGTAAATCTGCTGAAATACTTTTTCCATATTGGGTGTCTCAGCAAGCGAAGACTTGATCTGGTACTCTTGCACCCCACATTCAAATGAAGTCAGGCCCACGGCCTACTCGCCCTTCAATGATTAGATTAACAATTTCTATCGCACAAGCACTCAAGGTGTGCTCACAAACTATTACACTGGCAGCAACCTGCTTCCGATGTCACTTTAACAACCCTTTTGTAGCCATAGCCATGAATTCAACAACCTATTCAGGCCATAACCTTAATCACTACAATCTCCTGTGGCATTGTTGTTAGCATCAGTAATTGCTTCCATGGTAGTATAATCCGCTTCAATTTTTTAATACGGAATTTGGACGCTAGAACTTGCAATTTGAATTTGACAGCAATGAAGCTAAAATGCTTGTTATAAGTAAATACAATTACTGACCAATGGTGTATGAAGAGTGATGCAACATCTCAATGCCTGGAGGGACCTTGATAAAAAGAAACACAATCACAATTTATGACAAAAAATATTAACAATTGATACAATTTTTTTAAACACATTAATAAGTGAAATTTATTGATAATTATAAAATCATGGAAGTTTTATTTCTTATTTAATAAATTTAACTCATAATTTTGTCATTTTAATAATTATTCTAAAGCAAAGAAAGGAAAGCCTGCCTTGAATGGCCGTAGAATAACCATTCAGCCAAAGCTCTACATCTCGACAGCTCCAACCCACTTGAAATGGACTGCGATAATTCTTTCTTCGACGGAATTTTATTAAGACAGCAATTTGTTTCATTCCAGAACCACTAACTGGGAACAATTCCTATAGGTGATGCTGAACACCTTTTATATTATATTATATATATATATATATAGCTTGGTGGGTTAGATTTTATAGAACTTTGGCCTTCTATAAACATTTTCCGACAGTACAGGTAGAAGGTTAGTTGACCCTTCATTTTGACTGACAATAACAATATATCTGTATGAAATTAAGAATCGAGAAATACTCCCGTAAGTCCCAACAATAACTTTCTTGAATTTAATGCATTTGGGAAATCGTAGCACAAGTTTGTTCTAGTAAAAAATAAAGGCAAATGCTAATAATGCCTTCAATTACCAGCTTAACAATATTATCTACTAAACCTTATCTCACTTGGTGATCTAGATCACATGCATCATTGAATTCAATAAAATAAATTAAAATTTTAGAAATATTATTAATCAAATAATTTTTTTAATAACTTATTTTAACGCTTTTTTTTTAAGTCTTCATCCATCTGTCTTCAATGTTCTACTTTGCATGTTGTGAAATCACTTTAAATAGTTTTTAATCACATGTTTCAATTACCTTGTTAAAATATTTAAAATAACTTGTAATATATAAGTGTCATTAATATATTTTTAGTATAACTTTTAATACACACTAATCGAATGTTTAAAAAGTGATTTATTAATTTTTTTAATTGGTTTATTTAAGTTACTTATTAATAAGACAAAAAAAAACTTGTCTATTTTAATAATTTTAATCCAACTTAATTTCAAATGGAGTAATATTAGTTTAACATTTTACTTAAACTATTAGTACTTGTACTAACAACTGGCAGGATGAGTTATGATTCCTTGTTCATGGGACTGGAATTTAGTTCCTTGGCACTAGCTCAATCCCCATCTCACCCAAATTTCAATTGGCTCCAAGGACCCAAGTATGTATAATGACTTCAATAGTCATGTTCACGATAACAATTTGATTACAAAATTAACGAAGGGTATCCATTGGTGACATTTTGTATCCATTAATAAACTATTCAGAATTCAAATATAAATAAAAAATTAAATTAATTAAAGTTTAAATAAATTCCCTTGGTTAATTATAATTTTTAGTTTTTCTGAACTATCCTTGTAACAGCAAAGCATAATAAGGTAAAATAATTTAAAAAAATTCTTGTCGCAGCGGAAATAAAAGTGTTCGAACAAAAATGAACAAGAGACTATTTTTCCCTTTTTAAAAAGAATAAAAAATAGTAGAAATTAAAAACGCTACGGGAATAATTATTATTATTTTGTTTCTTTGGGTGTATGAAGGGGGGATTATTTTTGTTTTTTTAGGTAGAAGGGGATTATTATTCTATTTCTTTATGTAGATGTAGATGTAGATGTAAATGAAATCAAATGAAATTCTCCGTTGAGGCACAGGCTGTGTTGCGGTCGTTGTAGTCGGAGAAGACGCCACATCTCACTCAACCTCGCCGGCAAAAGGAATCACCGCCGTTCACTTTCTCGCTTTCATTTAATCATTCCAAATCTGCGAATTCAGAAATAGAATAATCCAATTCCTTATTTGTTCTTTTTCCAATTCATCGTTTCCTTTATTTCTTCCACGAAACGAATCCCTAACCGCCACGACTTGATTCCGTCGCGCGCGATCTACTTTGAATAATCGGATGGCGGCACCCAACGCGGATCAATTTGAAACGTATTTCAGGAGAGCAGATTTGGACGGAGATGGCAGAATCAGTGGAGCTGAAGCTGTTTCTTTCTTTCAGGGATCGAACTTGCCCAAACAAGTTCTTGCTCAGGTTATATGTTCTTCTGAATTTCTATTATAAATCAAACAAATCAAGCCACAACACTTCTATATGTGTTTTCTCTTTGAGGCATAGGGTTTTCGTGACAGATAGGCTATGATTTGGTGCTTGTTTGCTTAGGCTTAGAATATTTGTTTTAGGTTTTCGTTGCTGCTTCATTTCGCTGTTCATATAATTGGAAAATGTTTACTCGATCTAGCGTAATGCTTCTTGTTCTTGGTATGAACTACAGGTGTGGGCGTATGCTGATCAGGCAAAAACCGGTTTCCTTGGGCGGAATGAGTTTTATAATGCTCTGAGGTTAGTAACTGTGGCTCAGAGTAAGCGAGATTTAACGCCTGATATTGTGAAGGCTGCGTTATATAGTCCTGCTGCTGCTAAAATCCCTGCGCCGCAGATTAATCTTGCTGCTATACCTCCGCCACGTCCAAACTCGGTTGCTACTAATGCGTCTGTTGGGCAGATGGGTGTCACTGCTCCTCTGCCGCATCCAAATTCGGTGGGTGCCACTGCTTCTGTTGGGCCGATGGGTGTCACTGCACCAACATCGTCACAAAGTTTTGTCTATAGAGGACAGGGGTTAGCAGGTCCTGTTGCAAACCCGCAGTATTTTCCTTCCCAGCAGAGTCCTGGCATGAGACCTCAATCTATGCCTGCTAGTAGCGCTCCCCGTCCACAACAGGGTCTTGCAGGTCCAGATATTTCTAGAGGAGTTAACATGGCTGTTCACAGTCTCTCAAATCCTGGCATCTCGAATGATTGGAATGGTGTAAGGCCTGGTATTGTTGCTGCAAGACCAGGAGGAACCACACCAGCGGCTGCGTTACCAACATCGACATCACTGTCTCCAGTCCCACCAATGCCTCAGTCAACAACTGTCAACACTAAAGCATTAGCTGTTTCTGGAAATGGGTTCTCTTCCAGTTCAGTTTTGGGCAATGATTTATTCTCTGCTGCCTCATCGGCACCGAAGCAAGAACCTAGTGGACAGGGTTATTCTGTCAGTAGTGTCTCATCAGCCATTGTTCCAGTTTCCAGTGGTGCCCAACCTGCTAGTAAGCAAAATTCACTTGATTCATTACAGGGTGCAATTTCGTCAATGCTGCCTACAAATAGTCAATTTCATCGTGCACAGTCTGCACCAAACATAAACCAGCAAATTTCACCACCAGCTTCTTCATCTCCACTTACATCATCTGGCATATCAGTTGGACTTGGAAATAATAATTCTGACAATTCACAGCTTTCTTGGCAAAAAATGAAACCTTCTGATGTGCAGAAGTATATGAAGGTGTTTATGGAAGTTGACACTGATAGGGATGGCAAAATTACTGGGGAGCAGGCGCGCAGCCTATTTTTAAGCTGGAGATTACCAATAGGTAAACATTTTTTCAGTCTAACTGACAACTGTTCGATGTAATGTTTATGCATTTTGGTATGTTGATGTGTTAGCTAGTCCATGAAACAATGCATAACTAACAAGCACAATAGTCAGCTGAAGGTTTTAGGTTTAGCTCCTTGAATTCAGAGTTTTGTTTGGTCTGCCTTGATTCTTTTTTCTGGTTGACAAGGAAGGAACTTCCTACGGTGAACTGATACTGGAAGTTTTGTTGTTGTCTGTTGAAGGTAAGACAAATTGAGAGTCTCTAGTAGCAAAAGAGGTGTTCAATGTCAATGTTCAAGTTTAATTACGACTAGTAATTGACAGTGACACATAGTTATTATGACTGCTCCTCTTGATTAAAACAATGGTGGAAGGTCGATCTACATTTAAGAATCCAGAGAGTGTGTCTGCTGAAGCTCTAGAGAAGACATGCTTTTTCTGCAGGGGTTTGATGTATTTTATTGGAATGCAATTTTTTTGGAGTCAGATCATGTTCCTTTTAATTTTACATTATTTTATTTGCTCTCATTTGGAAAGAAGCTTTGGAATCACATTGTTAACAATTATGTGGTAGTAAGTGAATGTAAGGAATGCAAGTTCAGCACACATTTGAGCATGGGCTTGGAGGTGAAAATTGGAGATCATACCATACCATACCATAAGTCACTCGGTTTAGGCATATTGGATCTATGGATCTGTCATTCTGGGTGACACAAATAGAGGAAGATATAGTCATAGAATTCAAATTGGGTGGATAAAATTAAGAAGCACTTTTAGCGTTTTTTGTGATCAAAGGTGTCTCTTGAGTTAATATGAATTTTTCATCTAAATGAACATAAGACTAACAATGCTTAATGATATTGAATATCTGGTGATGGATTGCCTATAAGAGCATAGTTATAAAGATGAGAATGTTACGGTAGATGAGTGGGCATGCAATAAAATATGGGAAACTTATAAAAGAATGGTGATGCTTGATCCATGTTACTCTCTCTTAGTGAGAATATGCTTTTGTTTTGTGTTGTTATATATAATCATTCTATGAATTTTGTTGATTAACTAAATGTTTGAATGGAGATAAATGATTAAGTACTATGGGCAAAATTTCCTGTCAAGATAATAAATCCTTTAACACCCTAGGTGTAATTCCAAAGAGAGTTCTTGACCAATTGAAGTGGAACATTATGAAAGGATGACTATTACTATAAATTTCTTATACAGGAAATACAATATTTTTATCTCCCCAAAATGATTCATAAATTACTGCAATATCATTAACAAATATTTCCTAGATGATTTTTTTAAAAACAATTTTTTGGCATTAAATAAAAGAACAGTTTTATTTGAACAAAAAAATGATGGCAGAGGAGGAGGCTAAGGAATCCTCCTTAAACAAACCTACTGTGAAAACCTGTAACCAATGAAAACAGAAAATGCCCATTAAAAGTATGTTTGGAAAACTGTTGGGGTGCACCTGAATGTCTATTCATGTTTTCCAAGGGACAAAACATGTGATAGGTCACTCCATTGATAGTTTGTCTCAAAAGATTACTTAGTTAATCTCCATTAGTTGGTTAGCTAGGTGAGTTAGTTGAACAAGGCACGTTGCCTATAAATAAGAGTGGAGATTAAAGAGGGAGGGGGGGTTTTTGGATGAAAGGAAATTAGGGCCTTATGGCATTGGGAGGTGCAGACCCTTGAAGTTCTGCAGTGTGAGTTTTGTAATTAGAATTCATCCCTAATTCTTCTTAATAAGATACCTACTTCTTATCAACTGGTATCAAAGTTCTACGATTTTGGGCATGTTCATGGTGGGAACAAGGATGGAAAGCCAAATAGAGGCATTGGAAAGTAGTTTGTTGGATCTTCAAAAACAGAAGGAAGAGGAAGGTGAGCGCAGGTCGTTAAGGGAGGCTTGGGTACGAAACACTGAAAGTAACTCCCAAGAGATATTGCGCAGATTAGGAGAGATTCAATCGGGTCTTAATCATAATACCCTTGGGGAGGCCGAAAGTGAGAATATGGGCAGAAACGAGCACGTTGTTGAAGGGGATGATCGGTGGAAGAAACTTGAAATTCCAATCTTCGAGGGAGACAACGCATATGGGTGGATTAACAAGATCGAAAGAGACTTTCAACTACGAGGAGTATCAAAGGGAGAACGCATGATAACAGTCTTGGTAGCGATGGAGGGAAAAGCTCTTTCATGGTTTCAGTGGTGGGAATCTTGCACCGGAAGTGTTTCTTGGACACAATTCTGTCAGGCAGTCATTCGCAGATTCCAACCCTCAATGATTCAGAGCCCATATGAGATATTGTTGGGGTTAAAACAAGACGACTTAGTACAAGATTAGTGGGAACAATTTGAGATTTATGCGGGACCCTTAAGAATCACAAAACAGGAATATTTGAAAGGGATCTTTTTGAATGGTCTCAAAGAGGAGGTAAGGGCAGAATTGAAATTACATTCAAGGGAGTCTTTGTCAGAGATGATGGAAATGGCTCAACCCATTGACGACAAAAACCAGATACTTTGGAGAAAAGGAGGCACCGAAAACACAATAGGAACTATATGGGGTACCAATAACGAGAGTAACGTGGTTCCAAAAACCTATTCTGGGGATTACGATAGCCGATTCAGACCTAGAGGGGCAACTGGAATAAATGGAGGAGCTCGTGTGGAGTCTTCTGCACCGAACAATTCAAATTTGAATTCTACAACAAGGAATAATTCTAGCATGAATTATTTCAATAAATCCACTAAAAATCTTGGAGTTAGTAGAAGGGGAAGAAATTTTAAAAAATTGTCGACAGCAAAATATAATGAAGACAGCAAAAAGATCTCTGGTTTAGATGTGATGAGAAATTTTGTCCGGACTACGTTTGCAAGAATAAAGAATTAAGGGTCATGTTGTTGGAAGAAGACCTTGATGAAAGGGAAGTGTTAGGAGGCATACAATACAGCATTAGTGAGGTAAAATCAAGAATGTGGGACCCGGGTGGGGTTATGTAATCCTTCACCTTGAGGACAAGGTGAAGCTTTAGGGAGGGGAGTATTGATAGGTCACTCCATTGATAGTTTGTTTCAAAAGATTACTTAGTTAATCTCCATTAGTTGGTTAGTTAGGTGAATTAGTTGAACAAGGCATGTTGCCTATAAATAAGAGTGGAGATTACTTATTACTTATAGTGATCATTTATCAAAGAATAACTCTGGTTATCAAATGATTGAACAACCGGGAGCAATTTACTTACGATACTTAGTTGACATTCATAAAAAATATCTAATGCATTATGAGTTTAATATATCCTGTTTAGCAGAAAGACGGATATTCCTTGCTCATTATCAGACAATTATTTATTCACAAATCCTGTGGGAGGCTAATAGTTTTCATTTCCCATCTCATGAAAAACTCTTTTTGCTCCGCTTAGCCCTACCTCCCCAGGGGTATTTTAGTGATAGGTTCTATAGGAATTGGACGATCCTATTTGGTCAAATACGACAAACTCCTATGTTCCTTTTATTATAGTATTTCTGAAAAAGTTCCTGGATAACAAGTTTAAATTATTGAGTAATGTCATAGGAATTTTTTTTTTTTAATTAATATCAAAATAAACGAATCTTCGTAGTTTTAGTGTAATTCATTATTTATCCTCACTCTATACTTTTGTATAATTGTAAAAAAAAAAAAAATAGAAATTCACATTTTTATTTTTACATATTTTCTTTTTATTATTTTATTAAAATTATATTCATTATTTATTATAGTAATAGTAATAAATATGAATGGGGAGTATTGATAGGTCACTCCATTGATAGTTTGTTTCAACAGATTACTTAGTTAATCTCCATTAGTTGGTTACTTAGGTGAATTAGTTGAACAAGGCATGTTGCCTATAAATAAGAGTGGAGATTAAAGAGGGAGGGGGGCTTTTGGATGAAAGGAAATTAGGGCCTTATGGCATTGGGAGGTGCAGACCCTTGAAGTTCTGCAGTGTGAGTTTTGTAATTAGAATTCATCCCTAATTCTTCTTAATAAGATACCTACTTCTTATCAACATGGAAGCAAAATTTTGTTTTGTTTAACTAAACATCAGTTTCCATTGAGATCTGCCATTCCTTTTTTTCTCTTGGTTAAAAAAAATAACTATTATTAGAAAGATGGAGAAGGAGGGCATAAACACTATACTATCTCATTACAAATGTAAGGGCAAAGTGATGACCTTTAAAATATGGTGTTTCTTATCAACCACACCATAGAATTATATCAACCACATGTTGCCATAAAATTGTAGTCTCCTTTTCCAACCAAAACCTTTGATGTGTGCATTGAAAAACTGCATGAAGTTGAGAGAAGGTGACTGTTATTATGAGAATCGCAAATATTATCAATTCCTATATATTACATTGAGTATTGAGAGTTAGAACTTCTTTTAATCTACTCTTTCAATAAACTATGCGACTTCTATATCAAGCATCTCACTTGTTACCATTTTTGAATTCTCTCAAATATTATTACTTAAATTTAGTCAATTCCAATTTATTCAGTTGTTAATCACACAACTTTCCATATCTCTAACTTTTGGATTCAAACAATTTATTTCTTCCTCAATTTGTGAAGTCTTATCTCTTTAATTTACTCCTATATAAGAAAATATAATTTTCATTCTTGAGACATGGTTTATTAATAGTGGTGATATTTTTCAAATATATGTCTTTCTTTCAATTTATATATTTTTAAAATTTATTCAAGTTAAAAAACATCTTTGCATTGCATTGGAAACTTATTAGTTCCACAATACTGTAAATTTGTAACCACCTTAAATTGACAAATTAAGTGGAACGCTGCATTTGAATTAGACCTGCAATTAATGCAGACACAAGGAGAAAGAGCTGTGCGAGGTCTACGAATCTTCATTTGTATCTATCCTACGTATGGTTAGGAGAGTGAAATAGAAGCTGTAAAAGAATTTATCAGAGAACATGCAAGAAGAACTTAAGTCGAAGTCCTTGTATATCACTTAAAGTTGCGGTGAGTAGAATCAAGGAAAAGGGACTCTGATTCACCAAATTATATCACTTAGGTTCCTATGAGATATTTCTAGGGGTATGAATAAATTTTGGTTATGAACCAAGATACCCACCCAATGCCAAATCCTCATGTTTCACCTTGATATCACAATAATTAATAAACTATTTTTTGAAGGAAAAATAACACAATACTGATAGCTTGAGTTTAAGTGGGATTCTGTGATAGGTGATGGTTATTAGACCTGAGAAATAGATCAGCTCTGCATTTTGAAATCTACTGGGTTATGAACATGAAAACTCAATTTGAATAGGCTCATGTTTGTATCATACTCAGTGCTATGTTGGATTAATTTTTAAAGGAATGTGAAGAAAATAGTTTATTTGTCAGCCAATTCATGATCCACAATTTTTGTGCAGAACATCATACTGGCTGCGAATTTATCATTGCTAATGAGGTTCCCATTGTCAGAAAGACAGTCAGGCTAAGAGAAATTAAAAGCTACTAAGAAATATGTTACCCTGATAGGACAATGTTCCTAGCTATGTTACTTTTTTCTTTTGCACTGTTTCTTGGTTGAGTTCTGTCTGATCAAATACTTCACTATTTTGGAACTTTTCTTGGAGAGGTGGACAAGTATGGAATGACCTTTTTCTTATTTCTCTGATAGCAAAACTTAATAATAGCTTTGTGGACTTGCTGCAGATATCTTAAAGAAGGTGTGGGACTTGTCTGATCAGGATAATGATAGCATGCTTTCTTTGAGGGAGTTTTGCTTTGCTCTTTATTTGATGGAGCGGTATAGGGAAGGTCGCCCTCTTCCACAGTCTCTTCCCAACAGTGTTATGTATGATGAGACACTGATGTCAATGACAGGCCATCCAAAAATTTCTTATGGAAATGCAGGCTGGGGTATGGGCACAGGTATATTCACTAATTTACACTATCTTAAATTGTCTTTTCTCTTTCCCTTGTAGGACATTTTCTGATGATTTTTTTTTATTTGTCTAAAGGTTTTCAGCAGCAACAAGGGATGCCAGGTGCTCGACCAGTGGCACCAGCGGCTGGCTTGAGGCCACCAGTGCCTGGAAGTTCTGCCCAGGCTGATGGCACTACACAGCCCAATCAGCAAAAGTCAGGAACACCTGTGTTGGAGGATTCCTTTTTGAACCCCACAGACAATGGTGAGCGGAATATATTGAATTCAAACCCTCAAGAGGCAACAAGTGCGGAGAAAAAGGTATTTGCTTTGGCTATGTGGTTGTTGTCCGTATGTTATAAATTTTGGTAAAGTGAAGGCCCCAATCGTGTGGTGTTTTTCATTTTTTTTGTGCTTTTGTTTTTCTGCTTACATTATGGAGGATCCCTTGTTCTCCTATTTCTTTGTATTTATTTTCTCTTCATGATTGAATTTATGATTTTCTTTTATTAAAAAAGTTCCAGTTTTTAAATGAAAAATTAAACTCATTTTTAAAGCCTTGGATTCAATCATATTTACCAATAAATGTTAGGCTCAGAGACTCCTTTGAAAAATGAGGCATTTCTTTCCCAACCAAATGCTCCTAAGTCCTAAGAACTGTGTAAACGGCATTCTCTAATAAAATTACTGTTTCCTTATTTATGCCAAAATCTTTTGAATGTATAACTAGAAACTGCTCTTATAGAAGTTCACAGTCCCTTAGTGTTTGTTTGAATAGCCTCTTCAAAATTATTTCTGTTCTTGTGGGGCCCAAAAGTTAGTCTCTTCTTATGTTTTTGCTCCCAAAGTTAATTTTTGGTCTATAATATAATTTTGCAACAAGTGCATTCAAAATGAGGGGCAGGAAGTTACTTTTGAATCCAAAATTAACTCCCTGTATTTAGTAATATTTTGAACCAGGTCTTTTTATTTGTAAGTGGTCTGGGTTATCTTGCACACTCTGAAATCATAAAGAAGAAATGTTCTCTTTGCTGTTGTAGGCTGAAGAAACACAGAATGTGATTCTGGATTCAAAAGAGAAGATCGAGCTTTACCGCAACAAAATGCAGGAACTGGTGAGTAATTCATGTCTTTTTTAAAATCTTAGATTGATGTTCCATGTGAGAGGTTTAACATGGTTGAAATCAATTATCTGTAGGCTAGGCCATGCTGGTGGTGGTTTGCTTGAAAGTATACTTGTGTTTGCATTAATGAAGTGACTGCATGCATATTAGGTCAAACAAATAATTAAGTAATCTTTGACCTGTAAATGTGAAGAATTATCATACATTTGGGTTTACTTGCTTTTTGCAACAAACCCAACTTCTAAGCTAAATGGTTCTTCAGTGTACAATTGTAACCATTAAATAAGCTAATTCAAACAGTGTACTGTGTACTGGAACTGTGTAATTTAGCTAGAAGGACTGGTTTGCTATGACAAATGCACATTGTCCTACATTGACATAATGGTAGTGTTTATGGTTCTAATTGGGTTTCAGTTGAATCCTTGGAATAGAGTTCTGGTATTATCATACATATGGGTTTACTTGCTTTTTGCAACAAACTAACTTTTAAGCTAAATGGTTCTTCAGTGTACAATTATAAACATAAAATAAGCTAATTCAAACAGTGTACCAGAACTGTGTAATTTAGCTGGAAGGACTGGTTTGCTATGACAAATGCACATTGTCCTACATTGACTTGATGGTAGGGTTTATGGTTCTAATTGGGTTTCAGTTGAAGCCTTGGAATAGAGTTCTGGTTGGGATGGCTGGAAATTTTGAATGTAAGGAGCAATTTTTTCCCTCAAGAAACTGTACTTGGAATCATGCTATGTGTGGAGAAAAGATTGATAATTTTAAGTGGATAAAGTTAGGATTGTTTTTTGGGTAAAAACCAGTATTTTCTTTTAATGAATAATTTGGGTGATTGTATGCCATGAATCTGATTAAAGAAAGACGAATCATGCCCTCACTCCCCCCCCACCCCAACCCCATGTTGTATTGCAGGTTCTATACAAAAGCAGGTGTGATAATAGACTAAATGAGATTACAGAAAGGGCATCTGCGGATAAGCGTGAGGTATATTCCTTCTACTGAAAATGTAATGCAAGTTCAAGATGTGAAAAAAATTAACTATCATTTGGTGGTATGTTACAGGCAGAATCTTTAGGCAAGAAATATGAAGAGAAATACAAACAAGTAGGAGAAATAGCATCCAAATTGACTATAGAAGAAGCTAAATTTCGCGATATACAGGTAATTAGAAATTCTAAATTACTTGTTGATGGATAGGCTATTTGTAAGAGGTGAGAGTTATTGACTATTTAGTATCTACTACTTGTTTTACTGCATTATTCTTAAATAATGTTGAAGGACCAACTCTCCTGAAAGCTTAAGTTGTTTGGCAAAAGCTCATGAGTGGTTTTATTTTACATCTAAAGTACCCCCTCATGCGAGATCCCTTTGGACTTGAAGCTTGCACAATGCACTACCACACCCTATATTGTGCTCAAATTCAAATTTTATTTTGAATGGAGGTGACAAGGATCAAACTCATGACCACGTGGTCATAGAAGCCCTGATACCATGTCAAAAACCAATACTCTCGAAAGCCTAAAAATTGTAAAGTAAATGCTCATGAATTGTTTTATATCTACAATTATAAAGTGGGTTGTATTTAATTTTGGGCTTGAGCAGTTACTCCTTGTAATATTTGTTGGTCCAAGTGAATCTTCTCTCTGCTTTGCTTGCGGAGTTTGGATGCAGGCCTGTAATTCACTGTTGGCTGAACCACTTGAAATTCCATGTCTGTTTGTCTTCTTCCTTTTGTTTGTTTATGTACCTTACTAAAACACCTTGCTCATTCAAACATAATCAGCGGAGCTAAATTCTGCTGAATCATTTCCTTAAATGAAAATTTATTTAATTTGCATTGTATTCTCATGGAAAATTAGGTTCAGAGGAAATTTACATGGCATCCTGATTATTACATTGCAATCTCATTGTGGAGATTCTGGCAATCCTAATATGTCCCAGTAAATGTCTAATCCACCTTATCTTACAACTTGTAAGTGTTTTAGCACAATAATCAGGTTTTGCCCTGCTGCCTTGCAACTACATTTTGCTTCTTGCTTTTTCATGAAACTAGGTTTTCCTCAGAAAAAAAGACACAATACTTGGTAGTGGATTCTTAGTCTATAGGAATGAGGTTCAGACCAAGAAACTTCAGGATAAGCTTTGAGCTGCATATGCCTCATTGCTACAGAACCTTTCTCTGGAACTTTCTTAAAGAAAATTATGCAAGTTAGAGCTTTCAAGTAAGTGGTAGTTAGTCTATACTCTATACATAGACTGACTGACAATACTCTCTGGCAAAGCAATGTCCAGCCAGACCACTAACCTTTTGTATCTATTAGTGGGTGACCCACATGTTGTCCGATCATCTTTAGTAAGCTTCATGCTTGGTTCCATTTGTGTCTCACAAGGTTCACACCCAAGCAATCCACTCTTCTCAGAAGAAAGGAACATACTTTTTAGATTAAAAATCATCTTTTTTATGCCCAACAGAGTATTTATACATTCAAATCCGTAGTTATAATGAAATCGTTTTTAGAGCACAGATGGCACTCTTGTCCACTCAAATCCACTGAACCCCCACCTCTTTTCTCACCCCATCCCCACTTCCCACACACACACACAAAAAAAAAGGCAGAATTTGTCTGTTATCTGTTTTAGAGAATGTTTCTTACCATAGTATGGAATTGGTCTGATGTTAGGAACTGGTTATTTATTCCTCTCTTCCATGTTTCCTCTCTTTGCAACATTGAACCTGTCTTAGGAGTATATATGACCATCTTGAAACATTTCAAGTTTCAATGCATCTTTAACCATTAGTTGGTACATTTTTAGGAAAGGAAGGTGGAGTTGCAGCAAGCCATTGTCAAAATGGAACAAGGAGGCAGTGCAGATGGTATTCTTCAGGTGAATTTTATTTCTTGAATTTAGACAGGGGATTTCTGTGGAAGCCTTTCTAGTATGTTGCTGATGTTTAGCTAATTCAATAGGTTCGTGCTGAGCGCATACAGTCAGATCTGGAGGAGTTATTTAAGGCTTTAGCTGAACGGTGCAAAAAACATGGGATAGATGTGAAGTCAATTACAATGGTTCAACTTCCTGCTGGTAATTATAAATCTCATTATGGCTTCTTTCTCAGTCACTTATTTCTGTTTTATGTTGATTCTCAGAATCACACTACAATTATGTCAATTTTTTAAACTAGTTTTTTTTTTCTTGCTATATGTGATTTTTTGTGTTGGCTATAATGTGTGGAAGCCTCTTCTTACATTTTAGAAACCTACTTTTTCCAAGCATTCTTTAGCAAAACCAAGGGATATTAATGACTGATAAACTACTTATATTAGCTTCAAGTGAATGCACTTCTCTGTTTCTAACTTCAAAAATGGTTGTCTATGTATGTGTATGAACCTAATGAATTACAAGGTTGGCAACCTGGAATATCAGAGAGTGCAGCTCTTTGGGATGAAGATTGGGATAAATTTGAGGATGAAGGTATGCCATAATCTCTTTTTCTTGCAAGATTAATTTCATGTTTTTCAGTAAGTAACTTGTTTTATTGATTGCTTTGTTTGCTTCCAGGATTTGCTAATGATCTCACATTTGATGCAAAAAATGCATCTTCAAAACCAAAGCCTGCATTCATTCATGGAGTAGAAAATTTCTCTGATGAAAATACTGTCCATGATTCACCTGTGAATGCAAATGGGAAGCAAGATAATTCTGCTAATGGGGATTATGCAGTTGAGGATGAATCTTATGCTCACAGTGAAGATGACTTGAGAAGAAGCCCCCGTGACAGTCCAGCTGGGAGGACTACGGTGGAGAGTCCTTCTCAAGTTTTTTCAAATGCTCATTTTGGAAAAGGCTCCGAAGCAGATGCAGAAACACACAGGTAATTTTTTTTTTCTTGTGAGGGGTGTTGGTGGGGTGTGTGTGTTGGGGGGGGTTTCTCTATTGTGATTGATTTATGTTTAATCCCCGTCCTTTCTTTTTCTGCAATGTTCGTCTTTGACTGTGTTGCATCTACTAATTGTGCTGTTATTAATCTCTGTTCACAGAAGTTTTGATGAATCGACCTGGGGTGGTGCATTTGACAATAACGATGATGTGGACTCGGTGTGGGGTTTTAAGACCAAGGTAACTCTTGTTATACATAACTTTTAATTTTAGTTTGTTCCTTTTATTTAAAAAAGTTCTGTGTATCAACTTAATTAATTGCAGTCACAGTTATTGAGAAAGAATTGTTCTTGGGGAAATGCTTTTATTCAGATTATTTGTACTGAATTGATGTAAAATATGCAATGGAGGACATTTTTTTCCTTATTATTTTTGGAATTTTTTTTAGCACAACTACTGAAGAAGGTATTTCATTTTTCAAAAGTCAAGTTTGATTTTCTGAACAACATAACATTGCCATGGGATAATGAAAAAAGTAATTGATATATAAAACTACTGCCTAGTAAAATTATGTTTGGTTTTGTAGGACACTGACATGGACCAGCAGGGAGACTTCTTTAAATCTGGTGATTTTGGTATAAACCCAGTTAAAACCGGATCTGGCCACTCTGATGGCACATTCCAGACAAAAAGCCCGTTTACTTTTGATGATTCAGTGCCTGGTACTCCACTTTCCAAGTTCGGCAACTCTCCCAGGTACAGTGAGGCAGGGGATCACTTCTTTGACATGTCAAGGTTTGATTCCTTCAGCATGCACGAAGGTGGATATTCTCCTCAACCAGAGAGGCTTACGAGATTTGATTCCATAAGTAGCAGCAAGGATTTTGGCTTCAATAACGAGAAATTTACGAGGTTTGATTCCATGAGTAGCAGCAAGGATTTTGGCTACAGTAACGATAATAGATTCACAAGGTTTGATTCTATGAGTAGCAGCAAAGATTTCGGGTACAATCACGATAATAAATTCACAAGGTTTGATTCTATGAGTAGCAACAAAGATTTCGGCCACAATCCTGAGAGGCTCACAAGGTTTGATTCCATGAGTAGCAGCAAAGATTTCGACTTCAGTCGTCAGGGGCATGCAAGGTTTGATTCAATTAGTAGCACCAAGGACTTCGGCCACAGTGGTCCATTCTCTTTCGATGACTCTGATCCATTCGGCTCCTCTGGCCCGTTTAAGGTTTCTTCAGAAAATCAATCTCCGAAGAAAGGTTCTGATAGCTGGAGTGCATTCTAACCTGCAATCCAGCTTTTTCCTCGTTGCTTCCATTTCCTTGATTGTTCATGATAGCCTATTTTTTTTGTGTATAGCGAAAAGAAAAGCTGGACGGTAATATTATATGGTACGGCCAATGTAGTAGTTTGGAGACAGCTTTTTCTAATTTTTTTGAGGGGTATGCGAGCACGAGTGTGTGTGTGTGTGTGTTGTGGGAGGGAGAGATACAGAGATGAAACTAAATGTCTTGGTTTGTATGTACTACTAAGTTTAATGGCAATCGCATGCAAAATATATTTTTCTTTTTCTTGGGTTCATTACATGCATTCATGTATGCCCCGTTCCGATGGCATTTCTCCGGGCCTATAATTTGACTATTACCATGACCAAAACAAATTGACTATCACCACAGAAGAAACAGAAACCGCATAGAAACTATTGCGCACTCGTTAATTAATTATCTGTAGTGAAATCTCGAGTCTTGGTTGCCGCACTAAGCATTTGATGCAATGGTTGTATCCTCGAGCACTGAATTAGTGAATTAGCAGTGCTTTATCGTAACTCAATAAAAAAATGAGAAAAACAATGATCACAGAAGCCCAATTACTATCCATTTTTAAGTGATCTAGCTATAAAAGGACAAAAACTGACCAAATGTTTCGAGTGCCCGCAACAGTCCGGCTGAATTAACGACATGCTTACGACTAATTTTCTACATGTATTCGACCCATTTTGACAAATCAGAGCGTCCTTTCAAACTTATCGAGCCAACACAAGAAAATAACATGAAAAAGAAAATAACGAAAAAAATTAAAAGAATAGCAAGAATATAGATTCTCACAAAGATTCCAATTGGGGTTCAATTATAGGATGAATATATTTTCATTGGTAAATTAATTATTCATTCAATCAAGATGAAATAAAAATCCTTTGTATTGAACTCGGGTCATAACTGTGGCAGAGAGGGGCAACCTTCAGCAAGCGCACAACTGTTTGCAAGCGTCAAGTAAAACCCGTTCCCCTCTTACCAAGACAACATAATGTCCATGTAACTCTGCCCAATATAAAAATGAAATAAGCACAATGGGGGAATTTTTCAGTGTCTTCTGATAACATCAATAAATTTAACGCCAAAATCTTCGCAAAGCTGGATCCCCAATACTGCAATTAAGATTATCCACATGCGATGCATTTCCGACAGCCTGCATAAGAAGTTGATCACCAGGCAGAAAAAAGGTTCTATTTTCTTCATGAGTTTCTCATTGAATCACTACTAATTCAATCAATAACTTACATCATAAACCGTTTGTTTTTTATTTCTCTCTTTTCTTTCACGTTTAAGTAGAGGGAAAGATCAAAGATTTTGCCCGACTATGAGAGGCTTTTACAGGAAAACAATGTTACCTCTTAAGATATTGTCAGTTTTCCACCAACAATGTTCAAACACCGTTTAAAATTAAAATGCCTCGTGCCACTGAATTAAAGTATAATCTCATCCAAGCATGTGCCACATACTGTGCTATATTTTATTTATTTGTTTTAGTATTTGTTCACGATAAATGTTACTTGAATACGATCTTGATCCTCTTCAGTGAAAATTTCACTGCACTAAATCTAGTGATAATTCTAACTTTTCATTTTGTTAAAATAATTTTTTAATTGTTTTAATGGTGAGGATCCTCTCTAGTGATAATGACACTGTAGAGGATCCTTATCCTACTTATAAAATATCTGATGTATATGCAGATAAAATACCATAGTCCTGATATGCTATTGAAAGAAAGTATTCCTCAATGCCATTCTGAGTTTGTAATTGTACAGTCAAAAAATAGGAGTAGAAGAGAGCGGGAACAAATGGAGTAAAGATTATCTATACCTGAAGGAACTGATACTATTTTCATTCTTTGGTATCTTCCACCTCTTGATGCAGTCGGTGAAAAGAGTATAACAATGATGATTGCACATTTGCTATTTCTACAAGTGTCTCTAGTGCTGTAAAGAATTTCAATTGAGAGAATGCTTTATATCGTGGAAGTAAAGTACAAACTATAAACAGATGACTAAAACCACGTGTACAAAGAAATGGGAATAAAGATCTGAAGTTCTGTTATCCACCTCTCTCAAATGACAGCTGGGTGGCTCGAAGTTTTGGGGAAATTAAAATTCCAAAAACTGACAAGGACTTGGATCGCTCCTTTTGAACCTTTAAAAAGCACTGACAAGACTTAGATAGTAGCTCAAACTCTATCCAATTCTATGATTTGTTCACCATATTTCATGATAGCATTGATATTAGAGATCCAATCCAATTCTACTTTTTATGCTTGCGTTGATTTAAGAATATATTGTCAAGAGAAACTAGAATATATACTGATGAAAGGAAGGGATAATATTTGTAGAAGAATACTTACTTCATCATTATCTGCAAGTCCTGATAAGTTCTTTGCAATGATCACCTCAGCAGTTTGTACAACCAAATATATAAGAAAATGAGAAACAACTACCATGCTACTTAAAACATACAGAATGAAAATCATACCAGAAGAATTATTTGATGCAGAGGGAGAAGAAAACCATACCAGAAGATTTCACATCACTACTATCTCGTGGCTGCATATTCTCGTCTTCTAATTGTGTACTTACATTCTCAGAGGATACCCATTTACGCAACTTGAAGCATGGCTGTGTACCTATTGAGTCAAGTACAGTACTTCACATATTAAAACAGAGGTTCCATCAATATTAATACAAAGAACATGTTACAAAAAAAAACATCATAAAAATGCAAGTGAAAGCATGCTAGCTAGCACACGGGAGGAGAAAAGAAAAGATACTACAAGTAAGATCAATCAGTTGCAATCGTGTCCTTCAGTATAAAACACAAATTTTACCATCAGAATTGGTTATCTCCACTGTTGTAGAAGCTGAATGGAATTTCAGGTCCAATAAAGAACTATTAATGCGAGAGCCACCCATGGAATGACGAGCACTTGCCAAATCCAGCCATCCCTGTAATTACACATGGTCACCAAAAAGACACAAAAAACCATAGCAAAAACTCTTAGTTGCCAGATTTCAGTAGTGGACAGATCAGAAAACTAAATTCAAAGCATTTGAAAATTGAAACGAAGAACGCATAAAAGAAATTCGAAATCCTTCGTTGCATCGAACGAAAGGGTTTTAGTTTTACCTGTCGAAGTGTGCATGAAAATGCATCGCAGAGGGCAAGGTAGTTATGCATCGAATCCATAAATTGCAAAACAAGTTTCTCTGCGTCCTCTCTCTCCGGTTCCAGTTTCTCTTCATCCTCTTTCTCCGGTTCTTGAATTTGCGGTTCTTCGCCGTTCACACAATACTGATGATCCTCTTTTTCCATCGACCTTCTTCACACTGATCACCTTTCTGTTAACGCAATTTCTCACTGCACTTCACCACAAAATTCTTCCATAAATATCCCTTCTTGTAATTATTTTCATTCTATTATGAATTTATTATTTAATCTTGTTTTCATGTTTCTCTGCATCAATATAACGGTGATACAATAAAATTAATATGTTTCCGAAAATAACATTTTCCATAATTTAAATCTTATCAATTAATGAAATTCCTTTAATACCCTTGTATTTTTTAAAACTAATAATATCCTTTGTATTTAACCTAGTTAAATTAACTTAAAAACCTTGGAAGACTTGCCAATTAGATGTAGGGATGGGTATGGGTAGGGTAATACAGTACCTATTTCCGTACCTGCGTTTTAAAATAATACTGTATCCGGCTTCATACCTGTGTGGATATGAACATTAATCCCCATATCGTATTCTTTGGATACCTGCATACCTTCTTATACTCATTACTCGTACTTGTTTGAGAAAAAAATATTTATAAAGAAAAACATGTTGATATAATTTCACATAAGTAGCATAATAATACAAAAATTCAATATGTAGTTGCCGAACAAGTACAAACATAGATAAAAAATAAATATTCAAATATCATAAATGTTAAATATATTTTAATATAATAATTTTCTAAACTAAAATTCTTAAAAACAACAAACAAAACTAAACACACAAGTTATTTGTCAGTGATAATCCTATCTTGTGTGAAATTTGATTGATTGGTAATGTCAGAGCGACAACGAAATAGATTTGTACAATGATTGTCCCTTCGTGTGAGATCACTTAGTAATCTCTTGTGACAACATTGATAACTAACTATAATTAATAACATTTCATAGTTATTAAGTCTTAATGAGACAAACATTGAGAATGTGAATAGAGTTAGAGTAGAGAAGTTCAATACTAACAACAGAAAGTTGATACATAAAATATTTTTTTTAACTTTTGAATTTGAAATTGTAAGAAAACAATAGATTTAATTAAAATAATATATATATATATATACTAGTATTTTTTAACTCATACACTATACGAAAGTATTTTATCAAAAATATAAATGTTTGAAAAATTATTTTAGTTAATTAAATATTTATAATGTATATAAATTTAAAAAAAATAATTTGAATAAAAGATAAATAGTTACAAAAAAATTTTATAATAAAGAAATATATGTGTATATTAAAAAAATTATACTTTTTTTTATCTTAAAAAAATTAACAAATAAAAATTAACAATAATTTTTTATATTTATATATTTTCAAAAACTTATTTGAATGTGAATAAATAGTAAAAATAATATTATTTAGATTTAATAGATTATAGTTGTGCTTATAATACATATGTTGTATAGAAAGATATTATTTTAAATTTAAATATAAAAATAAAATTTAAATATTATTAATAAATAATAAGTTTACGGTAATAGTAGGTGATTGTAAAATTTATAAAATATTTATAATATATTTATTATTTATCATTCACTTTATGATTTAAACATTAATATGATTTTATTAACAAAAATATTTGTGTAAAAAATATTTTATGTGTGTTATATATAAATAATATTTAAAAAAAAGTCAATCTCATATTAATTATGTAATAATTAAATTGTGTTAGCCTAATTAAATGATATAAAATAATAAATAAATTTTTCTATTAAAAATATAAACTAAAATAAATTTTTTGATTTACTTTATTATTAAATATATTTTTATATTAATCTTATATAACTTCACATAAGTAATATAATAATACAAAAATTTAATGCATAATTATAGAATAAAGTTCAAGCATATATATATATATATATATATATATATATGTGGGTATGGGACAGGGTGGATACTTAGATACCCATACCCGCACCCATTCCTATTAAAATTTGTGAGTTTTTACCCACATTCATATTCGTATAGTGGGTAAATACTCTACCAATTGTGGGTAAATTTTACGGGTACCCATCAGTACTTTATCCATTGTCATCCCTAATTAGATGTTAATGTAAAATAATTAATCTCATAATAATTTTGTGAATAAGTGCATTGAATATATTTACTATTTTTTATACTTGTTTTAAAATTATTTGATAAGCATAAAAATAAATCAGACATAATATTTATATATCAAATAACCTTTTATTATGAGTTAAATTTCTGGTTAATTTTCATTTTAATAAATAATTTACATCTAGATATCCAATCAAAATATTTTACGGAAGGAATTTAACTTTTTTATATTATTTAATATATGCTTTTATTAAAATTTAATAATAACAAATCATTTCTTTAAGAAAAAAAAATGATGATATGTGCAATAATGGATTAATCTAAGTCAAGATACTTTTAAAAAATAATTATCTATCAACTATGTTAAGTTTTGAGTTGGTTAAATATAGTAACATACAGTATTTTTTTAAGAACTTTTGTTTTGTGTTTTAGTATTGTTTTTAGAAAAATAGGTGTAGTTGGAAGTGATTAATGATGATTAGTTATAATAATTAGTGATTACATAATACATTGATCCAACCTGGTATTTGGGTGGGATGAAAGCGCCACCTTCACCCTTTCCCTTTGTCTGACCTGATGACTATTACAAATCGAGTCAACCTTCTCTCTCTTCCTCCATTTTCCATTTTTTATAAATATATATATATATATATATATTTTTTTTTTTATTAGCTGTTTCTTATATGAAGCTTTTCCCATTTTTCCTTTGCCATTTGGGGGTTTCTCTGTTACTCCCTCAACTCTTCCGCTTCTGCTCCTCCAATTCCAACTCTTTACTATGACACAACAACAACTACCTTCTGCAATCAACTCTGCTTTAAGGGTTTTTCTTCAATTTTCAAACTAAATAGTAAAAGTAGGTTTGAAGGTCCTCCGTTGCTTCTTGGAACACCGACACAGGTACGGTAACGGTTCTTCTTGATTACCTTATTGTTGTTTTCAAATTTTTTTATGTGTTTTTAGAATTAAGTCTATTTATTCATTTTGTTTGCTTTTTTTTTTTTTTTATCGACTCTGAATTACTTTAAACACCGTTGTTCTCTGTTTCTAAATTAGTGGAATATGAGATCTGTGGGTTTTTTTTTTTTAATTTGTCTTCATAATTTATTGCTTGCCATTGCATTGGATAAATGATTCGTTGGGCTTTGACTTGATTGGATTTACAGTTGGACGAGTTCTTGCAGTTTCATTGTTGTAGTTAACTTCTGAAACAGTTGGTTTATGTTTCTATTTGAGCTGTTGAAGCTTTTCTTGGTACTCTTTGTTGATGATATAAATGCCTTCACATTGAATTTATATGATTCTATTGCTGTAAGCTTGTCAGCGCTACCTTAACCCTGTGTTCTTTGTGGCAACAGGTATATCATGGCGGCAAGCTGGGATGGAAGTAACGACCCCGGCAGCCAGTCTGATGATAGCTTTCATTTTGAGAGGTTGCACATTGAGCCTCTTTATGATGCTTTTGTATGTCCACTGACGAAGCAAGTTATGCGCGATCCTGTTACTTTAGAAAATGGACAGACTTTTGAACGTGAAGCAATTGAAAAATGGTTCAAGGAATGTAAGGAGAGTGGACGAAAACTGGTTTGCCCTTTGACTTTGCAAGAATTAAGAAGCACAGAACTGAATCCAAGTATGGCTTTGCGTAACACCATCGAAGAGTGGACTGCCAGGAATGAAGCTGCGCAGCTGGATATGGCTCGCCGCTCGCTGAGTATGGGGAGTCCAGAAAATGAAACTCTTCAGGCCTTGAAGTATGTCCAGCACATCTGCCAAAGAAACCGGCCGAATAAGCACACTGTTCGCAATGCAGGGCTTATAGCAATGATCGTTGACATGCTGAAGAGTAGCAGCCGTAAGGTTCGTTGCAGAGCTTTGGAGACCCTTAGAGTTGTGGTGGAGGAAGTCGATGAGAATAAGGTTGTCACAGGTTTGCTGGTTATCATTTCATTTTCTTTACAGTTTTTTGGTATCATAAGCGTACTTGGTGAATCATGTTAACATCTTCTCTTTGCTCCAAAGGAATTGTTAGCTGAAGGGGATACTGTGCGTACGATAGTAAAATTCCTTTCGCACGAGCTTTCTAAAGAAAGAGAGGAGGCTGTCTCCCTGCTCTACGAGCTCTCAAAATCTGCAACCCTTTGTGAGAAGATTGGTTCAATCAACGGAGCCATTCTTATGTTAGTAGGAATGACAAGCAGCAAATCAGAAGATCTTTCAACTGTTGAGAAGGCTGATAAAACATTGGAGAATCTTGAGCAGTGTGAGAATAATGTGCTGCAGATGGCTGAAAATGGTAGATTGAAGCCTCTTCTGACCCAGCTTCTTGATGGTACTATCACGACTCTATACTATCTTGCATCATACCCTTGTTGTGTGGCTAATCTGCTCACCTCTGTGTCCAGAGAGCATGATTTGCTAGACCAGCACATTACACATTTTATTGTAAAAGTGGTGTGCTTGAGTTTTCTTTTCTTTGTTTCTTATTTTTTGGAATTATTTGGAAGTCAAAGACAAAAAATATATTTCTAGCATGGATATTTCAAGGATCACATGAAATGAACAATTTGAATCATATGATACAATTTGGTTGGTTGTTCCATTGCAATGTTTTGAGTCTTCTAAAATATAGGTTACACATATATTTGATTGTTACATTGTTTTGTTTTAATTTTCTGAAATAGAAGCTCCACACACGTTGTTGTGACTTGTGATTTTGTTTGGTGAGACTTATCGTCATTTTCTAGTTTGAAATTGTTATATTGAGTATTATACATCATTCGTATGATATATATTTCAAGCTATTCTTCATTGTGTCTTTGAATCTTTCTATTCAATACAACTTAGGATTCACAATTAAAAAAATTGTAGGATGATCATCACAAGTGTTGTTTTTTGTGAAAAGTGTTCCAAAGAAGCTTCCAAATGAAGATTGATCATTTATGTGCTTATTAATTTTCATTTTTTATGGCTGATTTGGAAAATGTTCAGGCAGAAAAAATAGTTTCTTAGAAAAATATTTTCAATTGAAAACATTTTATTGAAAGTGATGCATCGACTTATATTCTACTTCCACCTGTATTGAAGTGAAAGTCAGTTTACCACCTTCAAATAATGGAGAAATGTTTTCTGGAAAATATTGTTCACCCTAATCATCAGAAACTATATGAATAATACAAGCATTTAGAGAAGGTTTGATTACCAAAAATTAGAAAAATATAATTTAAGGGAAAGATTAGAGAACGTATAACGCTTAGTGGAGGTGAATGTCTCACTTAGTTTTGATTAATTATTGAGATATGTTATTCTCCCACCAAAATTTTATGACAAATTTCTGCAAAAAATTTCTTTCTATCTCTTTCCATCACATCACCCCCTTCTCTCTCTGTCTTTCTCTAATTTGTGAAAAAAATAGAACTAAATTGTTGTAGAAATAACATTTCTCTTAATTATTTTCATTAACAACCCTAAATATATGGGATCAAATTTTGTCATTTGCTTGTTGAACTCCATATTCCTATGTTGTTATTGAGTTGTTTTTCATTAAAATGTTTGCAGGTCCACCAGAAACCAAACTCTCCATGGCTGGATACCTTGGTGAACTGGTTTTAAATAATGAAGTTAAAGTCCTTGTTGCTCGAACTGCGGGTTCATCTTTGATCAATATAATGAGTAGTGGCAATTTGCAGTCACGAGAAGCAGCACTGAGGGCTCTAAATCAGATATCATCATGTGACCCAAGCGCAAAGATTTTAATAGAGGCTGGAATACTTTCTCCTCTTGTCAATGACCTTTTTGCGGTGGGTCCTAATCAGCTTCCCACACGGCTAAAAGAGATCTCGGCTACAATTCTTGCCAGTGTTGTAAACTCAGGAGAAGACTTCTATTCCATTCCATTTGGTCCTGATCACCAAACTCTGGTCTCAGAGGATATAGTTCGTAATCTACTCCATCTTATAAGTAACACTGGTCCAGCAATAGAGGGAAAACTTCTCCAAGTTCTTGTCGGACTTACTAGTTATCCAACTACAGTTCTGAGTGTTGTTGCTGCTATCAAAAGCTCTGGTGCCACTATCAGTCTAGTTCAGTTCATCGAGGCACCACAGAAAGAGTTGCGGGTAGCGTCCATAAAACTTCTTCAGAATTTGTCTCCACATATGGGTCAGGAGCTAGCTGATGCACTACGTGGCTCAGTTGGACAGCTTGGTAGTCTAATTAAAGTCATATCAGAAAATACAGGAATCACTGAAGAGCAGGCAGCAGCTGTTGGCCTTTTAGCTGATCTACCTGAAAGGGATTTGGGCCTGACGAGACAGCTACTAGATGAAAGTGCCTTTGTGATGGTCATATCTAGGGTGATTGCCATCAGGCAGGGAGAGATCAGAGGCACTCGCTTTGTGACACCCTTCCTTGAAGGGCTTGTGAAGATTGTTGCCAGGGTTACATATGTCTTAGCCAATGAGCCTGATGCCATTGCACTCTGCCGAGATCACAACCTGGCCGCACTGTTTATTGACCTGCTTCAGTCCAATGGACTCGATAATGTACAGATGGTTTCTGCCACAGCTTTGGAGAATTTATCGCAAGAATCAAAAAATTTAACCAAGTTACCTGAGGTGCCATCACTGGGTCTATGTGCTTCAATCTTTTCATGCTTCAGCAAACAGCCCATCATAACTGGATTATGTAGGCTCCACCGGGGGATGTGTTCTTTAAAAGAAACATTTTGTCTTTATGAAGGGCAAGCAGTCCTTAAGTTAGTAGCCCTACTGGACCACACAAATGTGAATGTGGTTGAGGCAGCACTTGCAGCCTTATCTACTTTAATAGATGATGGAGTAGATATTGAGCAAGGAGTGATGATTTTGTGTGAAGCTGAGGGAGTGAAGCCTATACTTGATGTGTTGCTTGAGAAACGATCAGAAAATTTGAGGAGGAGGGCAGTTTGGGCAGTTGAGAGACTATTGCGAACAGATGATATAGCCTTTGAAGTTTCTGGGGATCAAAATGTGAGTACTGCACTTGTGGATGCTTTCCAGCATGGTGACTATCGAACTAGGCAGATTGCTGAGCGTGCCCTCAAGCATGTTGATAAGATACCCAACTTCTCAGGAATCTTTCCAAACATGGGATGAGCCTGTGCCTGTTGTAGATGCTTCACTGTCGAGTTGATGATCACAAAAATTTGTATGTAATTTTCTGTTGTAATTCCAACCAGTTTTGGATTGTATCTATGGTTATCGTCTGCTATGCATTTATCCAACTGCAGTCGGGTATTGTTGTATACAAATTACGCATTCTTTTACGAGTTGTTCATTTGTTGCTCATGATTCTGTCACTTTTTTATGCTTACACCAGATGTTATTCCCTAGCTTCTCGAGCTATGATCAGTTTAGTTTCTTTCCCTTTTAGATTTAGTTCGTCAAAAATAATGGGACGTGTAAAGTAGAAAAACACGAATGTAATTACTTTTGATTTAGTGTGAAAAACACAGAATATTTCTGATTCAAATCACATGCATCCTTCTTTTTTATGTTATATAGGATTGTTGAAGGACGATAAACTGCTAAACCAACAAAAAAAATAAAATTGAACAACTTTTAACAAATGAAACAAAAAAAAAATCACTTTGTTATACTGTTTAGTATTTCATTTCCACGTTAAAATCAAATTAAAGACATACTAAACTTACTAGTTTTCTTGTTTCATCCTCAAATAAAGTTACATGAATATGTATTTGTATTTTTGAAAAACTTAAAATTATGATTTATAATAAAATATTATATAATTTAAATATTTGTAAATATACCATTTATAATTTAATTTTTTTATATTTTAAAAATATATTACTCATTAAAAAAAATTTAATAAAATATTTATTAATTTTATTTGTATAAAATTTTATAAAACTAATTACTTAATAAGAATCTTCAAATCAATAGTTGAATTGATTAATATTATGTTCTATAAAAATTATTAAGTAATATAAATATTTAAGTTTAACTTATAGTGTTAACAAATCCTAACTTGCAAAAATATATATCAAATTTATTACTCAACAAGTGAAAAACGAGTAATTTTTTAAAATTGCAGATATGGGAATAAATCCTATACCCATTGTTAATACTTTTATTAAGGGTTGCTTAGACGTATGCTAACAATAGATACCAACGTGATTGATGTCTCAATCTCAATGATTTAAGGATCAAAATAAATTTTTATTTAGACAAATCTCAAATGCGCTTACAAAGTCAAGGACTTTTAAGTAGTGATTTACTCTCCAAAGAATATCGAGGGGGAAGGGGAAGGAAAAAAACCATGTTAGAACCAAAAATCAGGCTATATTGTGGAACCATATGCCTGATGCGAAAACGCGGCTTATACGAGGTGTTGTCATGAAATTTTCTTGGTATCGAGGACAAGTAATACAAGGGCAGAGGCAAGAACCTTAACTGATCCTCCTCCATAAGCTGATAATAATAGACAAGCCATCCTCCACATAGATTCACAAGAAAATCCCATGCAATTTTTCCGGCATATATTAGCAGACTTAGATTTAAGGGTGTGGCCACCCACCTAATTCACACATTATATACTCGTTTCCACATTCTGCCAATTCCCTGTTATGTCTTCTTGAGAATTGAGACACTCAAATCTAAGATATGGAATGTCTCATGCGTGAAGCCAACTAATACACTTGGATTGCATAAAGCCATATACCAAATTCATAAGGAGGTTAATTATCGCAATTAGCAATAATATATAGAGGGATGGGCATAAAGAAGGTGAGAAGAATTCAACTTACAAAACCATAATTCCAGAAACTCAATGGATAGCATGAACAATATAAGTGCAAAGTCAGAGTGGAATTCAACTTTATGATTGGTGAGAAATGAATTAAATAAAAAGGTACATGAGAAGCAGAGAAACTGAGACCAGCGAAGTTCATAAGACTTGCCCACTTACCGGTCATGTTGCATCTAAAAAAGACATCGAGGTAGATTTAAGGTTCTGTTGTTCCGCATACATGCACAAAGGATTTCAAAGGTGTAGCACTGCCACAGATTTGGTCAAGCATGAAGAACCATCCAGCTCATGAGTAACATGATTCCATGAAATATGGTTCCACTTTGCCATATCAGACACATCACATACAGTAAAAAAACCCAACACCCGACCAAATATTTTGAACATCTCTACCCCAAAAATCAAGTTTTTGTCTGCCACAAAAACAGCATTCCAGTCCATTGGGGCATCAGGGTGCACAGAGGCTTCAGTCCAGGTAAGATACATAAGATCCAACTCCCATAATTTTCTAACAGCCTTGTTTCTTCTCCCAATTTGACCATCCCCTTCACACCAGGACACTGAGAGCATGAAAAGGCGGCCACTAGAAGATACAAGTTTGGGGTAGTATTCATGAACACGAGGTGGGACTGGCGTGGCTTGAACTGCAATCCAGAAACCCCGTTCTATGTCATATGCTGCAAGCTTGTCTGTCTCAGAATAAACATAAAACATCCTGCCACAAACAATTCCAGATCGAGCAACCCCAAAATCAAAAGGCAATCTTGGGATTTCAGTCCATTTATTTGACACAGAATCATATAATTCTCCAGAATCCAGAGGCTCATCCCAAGATCCCTGACCTCCTACAGCTATCAACAAAAATCTTTTACAACCCTTTGAGCTGGAATGATCACTTCTTTGTCTAAGGAATTTGTATGCCTTTCTACTAGGCAAAGATGAAGCTTCATTCTCATTAAAAGCAGATCTGCAATGACGTCTCATAGAAAGCTTGTGAGGATCCTCATAGACATCTGATACCCCACCCATCCTTGATCGTGGAAAACGTCTATCCTGCCGGCTTAGATGACTTTGACAAGTTGGAAAATCCAAACTGATCTCAGAGACTCCTAATATAGGATTTGATCTAGCATATTTCATAGATGGCATTTTTCGCCAAGATTTTGTCAAGGGACTAAATACAAGCACCCCTTTGTGTGTCTTGAACGAGCTCCTATCCACTTTCCCATAGTTAGTCAAGCTAGAACATCCTCCAACAATGAAGATATCATCCTGTATACTAGCAACGGAGAACAAGAACCTTCCTCTGAGAAAATCAGCATCTATCCTGTGCCATTGATTCAGAGACACATCCAGTGCATGTATCTCACCAGAGCAAAAGCCATCTTTAACAGCACCAAAAAGAAACAACCATGGATTTTGATGCGAGCCCTCCCTTCTCATTTGGAAGAATCTAGGGGTGGTGGTCAAGGATCTCCATTTTTTGCACACAAGTCGGGCATTCATGAGACTTGTCAATGGGAGCCTAACCAAACACATTTCAACAATGTCATCTGGAAGAAAGATATGCATTCTATTGTTTGTTGTCAATTCTTCAAGTTCAGAATTCTTTCTGTTGTGTCTCCTCCAAAACCTGTCCTTCACCCCATACGAGAAGCAATCCACAGCAGTTTCTTCGGGACCACAAATCGGTTTATATCCCTTTCCGTCGTCGCTAGCGCTAGATCTCCTCCTACTACTTGAATCACCAAATTCATCACTAGTGTCAGCACCTACCTTGCATCCCCCACCTCTGCTGTACAGATTTAGGCAACTTAAAGAAACTCCATTTACAACATCATCTTCTTCCCCTGCACTTCTGTTATTCTTCTTCCTCAACTTCTGGCTAACACTCCTCACAAGTCGCTTCGACACACTCAAACTCTGTAAATCCTGACAACGAGTTTCATCTGCCCCCAATCTTTCAGAAAACATTATGCTCCCTAATTTTTCACAAAATAATACACAAGAGCCATCGCTATCTCGCAATTTGCATTAAGAGTGGCACACAAGCTCGCCTTCTACGATTCATCCAAAGATAGAAATCACAAGAAATTAGATTCGAGCATTGTCAAAAAATAGAAACATAAACACTCGTTGCCACGCCCTACAGAATTAACGTTTTAGTTAACATTCCACATATAACCCACATAATTTCATCATTAAAAACTCGTTGCAAAAGTCCATCTACGTTACTGAGAAACAAAAGGGGAAACGGAAGTGATCCTAAAAAAAATAGAAAAAGGTTTTTACCTCACAAAATCAACCAATGAATCCAGATCCTGAAGGGAAACAGACATGTACGATGAAAATTGCCGATTTTATACGATATTTATGAAATAAGAAGAAGAGAGGTAGTAAAGTGAGTGAGCGATGATGGTGAGTGATACCTAGGTACTAGCGCAAATCTTTTGCAGAAGCAAGTTCATTGATTTCATACAGACATGTAACTTTTGTGGTTTGACGAATCTAATGCATAACGGAAACCTCACAGAATTCCAAAGGCGGAAAGGGAAAAAGGAAAAGGAAAAGGAAAAGGAGACTTACATTGCAATGCAATTTAGAAAGAAATGAATCCCCAATTTCTTGCTGAATTAGAAATCGTCATATTATACCTACCCTCTCCATACACCACAACTTTACTTTTTCATTTCATTTCATGGCTTCCGTTGGAAAAAAATAAAATATACAAACAAAAGATTTGTGCAGTAAACAACAATTTTGTGGTTTCATTGGTTGGGACGGGAATTTAGTAAAGCGACTGCACCACTGATTAAAAAGCGACTCTTCCTCACCCTCTTCTTTCTTTTTCCTTATTTCTTTCTTTTTATAATAATATTTTTGTACTGCTACGACTGCTGCTAATTGTATCAACTTTTCATGAATTTTTATTTAGATACAATTATCTCTAATAAAAATATTTATAATTCAAAAAAATTGCTGCTAATCTTTTTTAACTTCCTTTTTCTTTTTGCTTTTCCCCCCTCGTATGCCTACTAGTAACATGTTATGTAATGATGTATGTCAAAAAAATGTGCCATGTAATAATAACTGTTAACTAGCATTGAATTGGCCCTCTGTCATTTATGAACCCATCCTTCAAGTTCAACGGCTACCATCCCATGTAACTCCACCGCAGCATGTAGAACTGCTTTTGGCGTTTTGTTTAGGTATGTGTCAGTGCCTAATTTTTTTAAAAACAGTGTAGAAGTAAATATCAATTAACAATTTATTGATAAAAAGTGAACTAAATGACAGTGAAGTTTGCAAATGTCATAAGGCTAAAAGCCAAACGTAAAAACAATTGCTAATGTGTTATTTAATGGATGAATGACCACGTGAAGTGATACAACGTGACAGGCACAGGACCACCATTGACAAGAAACTTTCTAATGGATGAATTTGGGCTAAAACCCAACCGCAAGTGGCGGAAGATGAACGCGGAATTAGGAGGCAATTCAATGTTGGAAGATTGATGTTTTCAGCATTCCCGGAGTAAGCTTTTATTTTCACTAGCCATCTGTCATTAGAATAATGGTTTTTTCTTTTTACACACATTTATGTATAGTAACACATGTTAACAAGTACTCAACACGTTTTTGGCAAATGATTTAAGTTGTTGTATAAAGTATTTATTGAATTTTTTATTTTAAAATAATAAATATTCCTATTCTTAGTAAAAAATATTATTTTTTATTTCTGAAAGTGTATTTTTGGATGTATGTTAAAAGAATGTTAGAATAGTGTTTTTTTTTTTAAATAAATAACTAATTTATTGAGACTGATACAAAGTAATTATGTGTCATAAATTTATAATATATTTTTAAAATAGTAAAATTAGTAATCCATACTTTAAATAAAAAAATTTATCGATTTATATAAATAATAAATGAATGCCTTTTTAACATTAATTTTATAATAAATAAAAGTATATAAAAAGTTATTAATTAATATATTGAAAAATATATCTTTATTTTTATATTTTGGATGAGTAAAAATAGCAATCATTGTTTTTTATAGATAGAACTAGAGAAGGTCAGTATTTTAGAAGAATAAGGATTGTGGGTCAAAATATTCTTTTAAAAAAATTTAAATTGTATATTTTCTTTATTTTTTTTAAATGTATTGATAAGTTGATAAATAATATATTTTTATTAAAAATTAGAAATTTATTATTTTTAATGCATTGAATTTAGTGATGTGGTGTGATTTTTTTAATAAAAACTACTCGTTTTGCCGTATATTAGTATGTTAGTTAATATTAATACACATATTTTAAGAAAATAATTTTATTAAAAATATGTATTTTGTTGCAGTAGATATATAAAGACTAATACAATAATATTTTATCAGATAGTTGACAAAAGTCATCCTTAATAACTTTGTACATTGTTGAAAAAAGGTAATAAATGTTGTTTTGATATTCTAAAATATCAAATAACTAAAGATAAATAAAAAGTCTCAAATAAGAACGAAGAAATACAACTTATAAATTTTTATTACATGTCGTTGTTGATACATCGAAAAAAAACTATTCATCATATAAATTATTAAATAAATTATAAGCATGTGTTATTAAAACACTTTATTTGTTACTTATTTAGATTCTCATTTATTATATATACATATATATATATATATATTATTAATATAATTCTTTTTTTTTTTTACTGAATTACATACAATTATACTCAACCTTATGATTATTATTCAGAACGATTTTGTAAGTCCCAGGCCTTAAAATTAAATCTAACCATTTTATAAAAAAAAATATTTATTATATTTTTACATGCTCATACAATAAATACATTTACCGTTGGCTCTCATCCTCAATTTAACGTTTTCTTTTATTAATTTTGGAGGGATGGAGCAGAAGTAATTACTATTTACTAACTAGCGAAGCAGGTAGAGGGAGAGGAAGAGCGAGAGAAGATGAAGATGTCAGTGTCATTGTCAATGTCAATGCTGTATCTGTCTCTCTTCCTCCTCGTCGGAATGTTACCGCCGTCTGATGCCGTTGATGACAAATGTGCCGCCTGCAAAGCTGTAGCGGTATCCGAACCTCATTCATTTTCTTCGTTTTATTCTTAGATCCATTTAATCTTTGTTATATAGTATTTATTTCATATGATGTTATCGAACCATGTATCATCATCTCGTCGATTTCATATACTACAGTAAACTATTTGGTATTAGGTCTGAGTCTGACAATTTTTAACCCTTGCAGGAGGAGCTAGAGATTGGGCTTTCCAGTGTAACGTGTTTATTGCAATTCGACAATACTTTATTTACGATCCATTTTTAGGTAATATAATTGAATCCTTGCACTTAATTGAGACATTGCATTTCCTCAGGAGAGGCCTCGGAATCATCTGGATATGCGCCATCGTTTGGATTCCAAGGGACAGCGTGAAGGAAAGCTGATCGATTACAGGTATATATGTACCCATGCCTTCTACTCCAACGCCTCTCTTAATTAGGAATGTATGCTTGGATTGATGGAAAAGGATGAAATGGATTAGATTGAATGGAACTAATATTATTTCTCTGTTTCATCATAAAATTATTCAGACAATGAAACAGTTATTTCATTTTATTCCATTCCTCCATTATATCCAAACATAGGCTAGGGAATGGTAGAAATGAGTAGTGTGGTAGGTGAGTTGAGAACTGAATCCTCTACTTTCTCATTTTCAGAATTCAATCTGACATCTGACACTGAAACATTTCGTCATCTGATTTCTTCAAACAGTTATAATTGCATCTCCGTATGTTGATCTCTCGAAGATAAATAATATATTTGTTCTACTTAGTTACTAATATCTAATGACTACATAACTGTGAAACTGTTTTATGCAATATACAGAGTTAGCGAGCTAAGAGTAGTTGAACTTCTTGATGATCTTTGCGAAAAGATGCAAGATTATACACTCAAGGTGATTGGTTACATATTTTACATTGGTTCCTTGTCTTATCAACTCACCGTGCATTTGTTATTCTTCACTGTTCCAATTTCTAAATCTGTGGCTACCTGTCGTGTTCATGTTTACATTTCTTATGGAAATTTAGTTAATAAATGCATGATGTACTTCTTTATCTACTACCACATCTTTGCCCCTTTGATTCTGCTACATATTTGGATATTCCAGAATGGGTGTCATGGCGCTCTGTTTCCATCTATTTTTGCAGATAGATACACATGAATGGTTCAAAGTGGATAACTGGGATAGCCTCACAACAAGTACGTGCTCTATTGCATCTAGCATTGATTTAGCGTGCTTGACTTCATGCGGTTTCTCCTTTTGTTTGTTGACCTGCCCCCTGCCCATATATCAAACAACTGATGACCATAATTAAGAAAACACAAATGCAATATTTTAATGCTATGCCTGTCTGTTCTAGAATATGTGGCAATGATATGCTGAACAATTAAAAATGATAAGAGATTAACCATTATCAAACAACTGAGGACCATAGTTAAGAAAACACAGATGCAATATTTTAATGCTATGCCTGTCTGTTCTAGAATATGTGGCAATGATATGCTGAACAATTAAAAATGATAAGAGATTAACCATTACTTTGATTGTTATGTCAGAATGAAAAGGGTTGTTGGATTGTACTTATTCCAGAAATTCACATATACAGGATAAGAATATATATATATATATATATATATATATATACTATATTTATCATTTCAATTGCTTGTCTCAAAAAACTGGAAAATTTAATTGGATTAATCAAGTATCTGGGAATCACATTTGTGAGATGTTTGCATGGTAATTTATCATTTGCTCACTTTTGCGTCCATATCTCACCATATAGCTTGTATTCCTTGATGAGTATGGTTGACATCTTACTATACCAAACTAACCTGTGATTCTATGAATTATTTCAGTTTGTTGGATTGTCATGCTTATTCCTATGTTTAGTATTTTAATTGTCTGCTTCCTTTTTTAATGCTTTAGCAAATAAAAATTTTGGATGCTTCTTTAATGCTCATCTTAGTTTTGTGAACAAAATATTCTATTCTTCTCTTGACAGATAAGCAGGAAGGTCGGGCATATTCAAAAGATATATCTTCTTATTGTGGAAGGTAAGAGGCAACTAGTTCTATGTTTTTACTCATTATATTTCTTGATAGGGATACTTATGGCATCAAAGCCTTTCTTTTATCTTTTGCAACATGTGATTATTAAAACTTGAGTACTGCATTTTGCACTAACCATCTCTGCGCTATGACCAGATTACTTGAAGAAACAGAGGATGAGGTGAATTTTCTTGTTCTTATTACTCTGCAGTTAATGTATATATGTTCATCTGCATTATATGGCAATTTTTTCCTAATGATGGGTCTTGCAGTTGGCTGAATTGATCAAGAAAGGATCTGTTAAAATGGGAGATGTGAGCAAAGTTCTTTGTCAAGATTTGAGCAAACATTGCAGTCAAACAAGGTAACCTCAAACATAATACTACCTCTGGTCCTTTTGTAAAAACCTGTTGGGAAGTTTTCTTTAACCCTCTTTCTAATACTCCCTCCAAATTTTTTACTCGGATCAATTTTTCCTTTACAAAAGAATCCCTTAATTAAATGTGACGAGGTCATTTCTTGGACTTTCTCTTCCATATGAGAGCAAGGGAAAATGACTGGCCATGATTACCTCTTCACATTAATTGATTAGGTAGAAAGAGATTAAGAATAATTTTGGAAAAATAATGTGCATGGTTGATGAAATTTAATACCAGTACCACCAACTAAATTCCATAATTGTTGGGAAGTAGTTCTAGGGGTCCTGTTTATATAAGACTAGAGGTAATAGTTGGAATTTATCTTGGTGTTCCACTTGATAAGCTGGGATACATTTGTTGAATTGATGGTCTAGAATGGGTATTTGGGTATCCAACCAGGTTGTATGTTCTAAAGATTATAACCATTATTTATTGACCATGAACATCCTCAATTGCTTTTAGCATTACTGAGGTAGCCTTCCTTCTGGCTTATCTTCCTAGCAATGGGGCTTATAGGAATGGGTTTGAATGCGTCATAAATGACCTTTTGACCCAGGTAGGATAGTTTCGCACTTGCTTTGCAAAGCTTCTGCTGCTCTCTGGAGAAATTTCTTAAATCCATTTGACAGTTGACATCGTAAATACATACGCCTTCCCCAAGGATTCGAAATGTTACAAATACTCCGTAAAGATGTTTCTACAACGACCTGCCTTAAGGGTTAAATTAAAATTGAAATTAAAAACAAGCGAGATTCTTGTAATTTGACTCAATTTCAGTCAAAAGATATTGTAATATTTCAAAACCTCATCTTTTATTTAACAATTGAAAAGAAATGTTCCTAAAATGATGCTAATATAGAGATGACTGGAAAAATCTATATTCATGCAGTGTATCACATGAGGCCGAGGTCGATGATGATGGAGATAATGGAGAGCTCTAGAACCATGGATATTGGGGTGGCTGGAAATATCACCTTAAAATTTGACAGAATGCATCCCAAAACTGGTGTTGGAATGACCTTTTTTCTCATTACAAAAGAAGACTCTTTTAGCAATGTGGTGGATCGGATTCTCATTGAGTGCTGATTTTAACTTAAGGGGTGTGCCCTGCATTCCAATATTTTTAAAAAAAATACTTAGTACCTCAGAGAGAGAGAGATTGCGTCTACAGTTAAAACAATAGATACATAGCCAATATTCTTCAAACTGTTATAAAACATTACAGAAGTGCCTGAGAAATTTACGACCAGTATTTTTACGCTCAGCCTACAATTATTCAACCCTTTTTATAATGTCTTTTTGAGAGTTTTTGGGAGGGCTTTATCATTTATATGTTAAATGTTACCACCAGCCTATAACTTTGACGTAGACTATAAATTTATTATATTTGCTCGGCTATATTTTGAAAATGTCATCCATATCCGAGATCAAAAGGCAACTATTAAACTATTAATCTGCAAATTTCCGGATCATTTGTGACATTCGGAAGTTATTTTGGGTTAGTCTGGTGTTCTCCTAAAATGATATTAAAAACATTCAAGAATAAACTTCGAATTTCTTTTTTTTAAATAATTCCTGAAATCCTAATGTTAAAATATGAACTAAACTCCAAATTGTACAAATTTCATGGAAACCTGACCTGAAAGAAATCTGCGTGCAAAAGCAAATGATGCTTACTTGCGGAAGCTTTTAACGATCCCATATCGTTGCATTTAGGAAAAGGAAAATGTTTTATTGGGGTCAACACCTGGAGATTAAAAGAAATAGAAGGGAGTGGAAGTAATGAATGTGTGTGTGATAAATGTGATAAAAACTGTTTTTAAGAATTATTGTTGTCAGGAAAATTATACTTAGACACCCCTTTTTGAGCATGAAGAAGATGGAAGGAAGAGAAAGACAGGAAAAAAAATTTTAAAATATGATTAATGGTATGATAGAAAAAGAAGAAAAAAAATGATAATAAAAAATGAATGTAAGAAAAAGAAGACATATATCTTTACCGTTTGTGCTAAGATTAAAAAAAGCGACAAACTTCGGCGTCGTCTAACCATAACGCTTTTCTCCGTTGTATTATACCATTCTTGAGAGGAAAGGAATCGTGAATGTTGTATACAATCTATTTAACTAGAAGAAGAAACTAATGATCTACCATGTACAACAAAGTTCTAGGGGAACGTTAGAAAAGTGAACAAATAAAATAAGCTTGAAAGAAATGGGGGAGGCACGGAAGGGCGAAGAAACATATTTTATACACACAACAATATCCATCCATTCTAAACCTGAACAATCATCACCAGCTAACACTAACAGTCCAATACACCCTTAAGTAAATTGAGGCCTTCTGCTGATATACTCCTCCTGACTCGAGAAGAAGGCATCTCTATCCTAGGAGGAGGATCTGAGGAGAAACACACCACTATAACTGTTAAATTATCACACGAATTACGCTTAAGAGCCTCTCTAACAAGCTCTCTTGAACACCTTTGAGGATCATTATGTATCATCAATTCTTTTCTTGCCATGGTCACAGCACATTGGTTACTCATGACATCCCACAGGCCATCGCAGCCCATAATCAAGAACTCATCATCCTCAGTGAGGTTGATTTCCTGCAGCTCTGGTTCTGCACTCAAAGGGCAGGCAGAACCCTTTGGACCCTTCATGTGCCAGTCTCCCAAGGCACGGGAAACAGATAACTGCCCATTCAAGTATCCATCATACACCACTCCCCCAAGTTTCTCTATCCTTAGCTTTTCCGAATCGCAATTCGGTTTTTGGTCTTTTGACATCTCAATTGCTCTACCTCGCCTCCCAAGTACAGCTCGACAATCACCAGCATTGGCAACTATCATGCTCCTGTCAATCATGAAGTTTCAAAACTTGAGAAAGATAGCTAAAAAGAAAACATGCAACTGGATGAATTTGCAGTCTCCACATGGGACAATAAAATGCATGTTCACCACTCATATGTTTGTTTCCCCAACTTTTACCTTCCCATCTCCAAAGGGAAAATAAAATACACTTCCCCAGTTTCTTCGATAAGTAAATGCCTCTAAATTAGTGAAGCCGATGCTGAATCATGGAAATTAATGTAATCATAATGGAAGTTCACTACCTTCCAAATACAATAGCAGTTAAAGCAGTGGTTCCAGAGGAGATATCAAGCGAACTAGAATCTGCAAATGCATAATCAGCTTTCAGAAACGCACTTGTAATTGCCTTCCTTATGCAAGTTGGAAACTGGGAGTCCTCCACTATGAATCTAAGGATGTTATTTCTTATAAACAAAGCTGCGTCTGTACCTCCATGGCCATCAAACACCTGAACAATGAGTAGAAGTTAATGGATTGTTGAACTTAACATGCAACAGAAAATAGAGTTAGAATCACAGTGTATGAGCAACAAAATCAACGGAATAAAACAGTAGCTCTTAGGGGAATAAAATCCACAGTCTATAACTCCTAATTTTCAGCAATGTCAAATTTCAACAGAAATCAAACATCAGCCAGAATTCATCTCATGAATACTAATATATTATAGGAGTCAAGGAAGGATGGATTCAAAACAGTGGTTAAAGAACACAACTTTCTAATAAAACATAATCCAAGGGGGGGAAAGAGCAAATGTCTCCATGTAACTTGCAAGCCATGCATTTATAATGGAAAAATTAGGCTTTATCATCGTAGCAATATGTTAAGTAAAAAGTAAGGTGAAAAAAAAAATAGACAAACCCCGTAAAAAGCTCCAGGCAAAGGAATATTTGAAGCAGGACCTATATGCTGAATAAGATTATCTATACATATGTGTTCGTCTTCCATATATTGTTTAGGTCCTCTTTCAGCACAACTTCCTGACCGAAACATGGGTAGAAGCTCTGTCTTTTCTTCAGACGACGACTTGCTCCCAGCAACCCCCAAATCCAAACTCTAAAAACAGAAGATAAAAACAAACAAATTAGACAATCTACGCTTTCCAAATACTATTTCAAAGGGAAGTAAAAGCATTATTGTTAAAAGGGAAATGATGTTCAGAAGCAGTTAGAAAAGATATCAATTCTTCACAGCATTTAAGTTCTTAATTTTGCAAGACGAATTATAAAGATAGACCACAAGCAATACACGTAGCCATCGACAAAAGATAGCAGTAACATTGAGAAGCTTATAAACCAAAATACGGAGATAAAAGAATAATAAAACAACCAACTCTGCTTCAGCCAGCATCAACCCGGTGGTGCTAATACTGTGTCTCAAACTCGAAACGTGCCGCGGAGGCTTTCCCTTTCTCACTGGTTTTAGATCATTCAAATCTTCTGATTTCTCATCTTCCACCACAAATGCGCTGTCTTTCTCTTCTAACATCGTAAATGGCGGAGAAAAATCCATTCCCAGAGGCATAGTCGCTCCAAAACCATACACATAAACCAATAATTACTACAAGACAAGCTTGTGCACAATTACGGGTGAGTTTCAGAGTGAAGTCAATCACCAACTGGACACTCCTTCTGCCGAATTCTAGAATCCAGGAAATGTAAGTTGGAATCCCAAAGGATATATACAACACGTGAATTTCAAGTTCAACGATGGCACGGTTACTAATTGCTGCTACTGATTATAGAAGTTGGAAGAAATGATTGGATCAAATCCAAAATTCTAATTCTAATTGAATTATAATTATGTTGCAAAAGAGAAAGTCGTAGAGAACAGTATTGAGTAGTAATTATAGGAAAATGGAAGTTCGATAATTAGGATCGGGTAAAGGAAGAGAGCATAGACTATAAGGAGTAGGTGACAAAGCAATAAATGATCCTAAAATTTCACATAGAAATGGAAATTGAACGTATAGGCACCGAAAGAGTAGAAAATTGCGGTTGAAGGAAGCATCCACGTCCACAAGCGAAGAAAACCAAAGGAGTGAGCCACCTAACCTTAAAACAACTAATCTCGTGGGAAATAAGGAACAGTGTTATTGTCCAACGAGCAATGTTACACGAAAACGATAATGCCTTGTATTGAAGACGATGATGATGATGATGATGATGACGATGAAGGGAAGGAAAACCTAAAACAATCTATGAAACTTTGCCACCGGCGATTCCAGGTAATATCCTGCGTGTGGCGGTTATCGTTTCCATTTTCGATGGGGTACACCGACACGTGGAGTGTTCGTATTGGGTATACTGGATGGCATGTAGCGGCTTTGCGTCGTAGCCGTTGGATGTTTGTTACAGAAAATGGACGGTGAGGACTTCGTTTGTCCTCTTAAACGTGGTAAAGGCAAGGGAAAAGCCTCGGATTCTCGAAGTACACGCGTTCAGAAATGATTGGGTGCTTCTCAGAATACGCTAAGATAAAGCACTATCGCTGGAGTGATGTGCTTTGCTTTTTCGATTATCCTTATGTCCATTAGAATGGGTTGATATATCAAGATCTGAATATTGGATTTAGGCAGCTATTATCTATCATGTATACTCAAATTAACATGTGGCATGTGAAAAGACAAAACCGATTGTTTTAAAATGTTTTCTGTGTAAAAGGTAAATATTCAATGTTACATTATTACATTATTTAATGGGTTTAATATGATATTATTCGTTAAAAAAATTAAATTTATGAAAATTAAACTATCAAAATATACTTTTAGAAAAAGATATGTCAATATAAGCAAATAAAAATCATTCTAAATAATTAAAAATATTTTTTTTCTTAAAATGACATTTGTCAGATAAAACTATACAATACTGATGCATGTATCTATTGAATGTTAACCAAAGGGGGGCTTACTTAACTTTTTTTTTTTTCTCCTTTTAAAAGGTAACCCCTACATTTCCATAATTTTCTTTCCTATCTAGCATTACATAGCTTGCGTGAATTGAAACATGATTGTGTGTGTTTGTTCGTTTTGGCTAGTTTAAGAATACATTATATGGATATGTTATGTACCTTTTTTCTTTTTCTTTTTTGCTTAGAAGCAATGAGAATTGAGGATAGGATTCAGGGGATAAGAGAATATTCTATGTTAGAGCAATTTTAATGGTTTACAAATAAGGAACGGTTGCTTATATAATGTATTAGCCCAACTTTAAGGAATCATTTATAATTTAAGCACCAATTGTTTATAAAAGAAAAGGAGCCCAGCTTTACAATGAAAGAGAAAATTAAGGTGGCAAAATCAGAGATTAATTTCACCCTTGTAATGCTTCAAAGCAATCTCATAAATCTCCATGGTCCTGAGCAATCGCACGATTTAGTTAATTGGTTGATTACATGTTTATTTTCCATCCATTTGGATATAAAGAAAGGTTAAAGCCATAGATGAGTCATTTGAATTTGGATGCACTTACCAAAAATTGAAATTGAAACAATGCAAAATCATGATAGAGCAAAAGTTCAGTTTTTCAGCACAGTAATGGAAACGGGTAGTCCACAAAAGTCAAAATGGTTTGCTTTTCTCTACCGTTAGACAAGTTTTGGGGATTTTATTTATTGGGTTTGATTTTTAAAAGTTTTAAAATATTGATTTTTAATTGCCATTAGATACATATATTTGACTTTATTATTGATGGAGAGAGGTTGCATGCAAACTTGCGGGAAAGGTTAAAGGTTCTTACAAAGGAAATTTTGATTTATTTTTAGCAGAGCTAACTTACAAGTTAAAGATTATGGAATAGAGAAATAGGCAATGTGTTATGACTAAAATCCAATGAAATAACTTGTGAGTTACACCATTAAATAAAAATTATTTCAAATGATTATGCATATTAAATAGTACAATTAATTACTTTGTTGTATTTGAAAATTAATTAAATGCTTTATTTAATATATTTATATTAAAATATAAAATAATACTCTTAACTCGATTGCAAATAGTTGACATTGGAATCAAAGGACGAATTAAAAACGTGATTCTTGCATAGAATTATTGAACTCTAATGTAGTGGGTAACTTAGTAATAGCCATTTATTAATGTGCCCCGCTAGACACAATTGTCATGTGCGTGTACCCCTCAATTCCCTCCCTTCTTATCTATATTTAATTATATCATCTGACTTCATTTTTTATATTCATACTTATGTAATCTTGTTCTAATTATTTGAAAAAAAATTACTTTAAAATTAGATAACAAAAATATTAATTTTACTTAAAAAATTATTAAAATTATTTTTAAAAGTTTATTGAGCTTAACCTATATGATGTATAGTTCAAGTTTTAAAATGTAATTATATTAAATATTTAAAGGAAGGACTCTATCATCCATACAGTGATTCTATCATGCTCAAACAAAATGACTTTTAATGAAAAATACTTGTGATCTAGAAAATAAAACTAATTATATTTTAAAAGAAGAAATAAAATTGTGATCAATTTAATCCAATATAAATTAAAAAAACTAGGAATCAAGCTATTATAATAAAAAATATTTTTTATCAAATTGAAATGAACTATAGGCGAATTTTAAAAACTAATTCAATCCAATCCAAAATTATTATATATATATATATATATATATATATATATAATGTTACTTTTAAGATAAGATGTTTTGAGTAATAAGTTTTTGAACATTGGAATTTGAATTAAAGAGGAAAAATAAATAGAAATTCAATTTTTCAAAGCTAATTTAAAAGAAACTTTTAAAATTATTTTTTTAAAACCCTTCTTTAAAGCTTTTACTATTAAAGATATAACATTTTTTTCTTAAGAATTTGTTTGGTTCATGTTCAATTTTTGGAGAGATGCTCAAAAACTAAACTTACTGGTTTTATAGAGTTTTTTAAAAGTGTACTTTTGAGTTTATCATTTTCCAAAACTATTTAATTTGAATGAGTCGTCCAACTGACAATTAAAGGCGTGCGTGGCATGTATGCTATTTATTTTTCATTAAATTAGTTATTTGGAAAAAGTGTATTCTAAATCTTATTCTTTTCTGTAAACAGGTATTTATAACTTTCATTGTCTAAATTAATCCTTTTAATAAACGTTAATTTGAAGTTAACTCATCATTAGCAAGTGAATCACAATTATTGTCTCCATTGAATTTAAGTTAGTCATTTATTTCTCATTAATTTGTAAATCACATTAACATATTCTATATATATTTAAAAAAAATCAAGTCCAACTTCAACTAACCAACCCTTGACCTTCAACCCAAAATATTTTTCTTTTTATAATAATATTTACATATAATTTAATTAACAAAGAATATAAAAATTTGAGTACTCAACTAGTATAAGAGTTCTGCCATTTTGTGCAAAAAATTTCTATACTAACTTGGATGAAGTCACACCTTTTTAATCATTAGCATAATATTAAATAAAAACCAATAATAAACAGCAGTAATTCAAAATAAATCAAAATGAACTTTGATTAAATCAAAGAAAATATTACTTGAAATGTTTAAAGCAGAACGAAGCAAATGAGGCTTATTAGATCGCAATTATTACGTGCAAATCAAAGTTGGCTAAGACGAATAAATATACAAAATTAAAAATTACGAAAGGAGATTTTTGTGTCAATAATATGTATCAACGTGAGGGTAGGGGACAAAAGATAAAAGGTCTGTTGAAAAAGCTGCATTTTTGTTATTTGGACAGCATCAACATGCAATTTTATTTCATGTTATACCAATTTTCGCTATATTCTTTTCTTCTATATCAAATTATACCCATATTTTGTTAAATTTTATTTATTTGTTTTACATTTTTTAATTATATATAATTACATAAGATATTTAAAAAATATATTAACAAAAAATATACTATTATATAAAAATTAAAAGGTATTTATATAAGATATAAAAATTGGTTAAACCTTTCCTTTGGGAAAAGCTGGTCCATCTTCTTTTTTGGGTATGGAGTGGCATAACCCAGAAGCTACAACCATGGTCGCTTCTCTGTCCTTTTCTTTTTGCAATTGAAAAGAAGAAAAAAGGGCAAATGACGGTGTCATTGCTTTGTCCCCATGCAAATCTTTATCTTTATTCCAATACATTTCTTTTATTGCCTTTTCCTGTTCTATGCTGAAGTTACATGCAGCTTTTCTTTATTTCCATGTAAATTAACAAATTGTACATTACACCAAATAATATTTGAAAATACAAATAAAATATAAACTTTAAAAATATTTGTTTAATTAATAAAATTTATTTTAGTCATTAAAAAGATAAAAGTTCAAATATTAAAAATACAAACATTTGGAATTTTTAATATTAAATATTTTGATATTTTAGTTTTATTAAAGAATATCATTTTAACGGATATTTGCATCTTATTGTGTTTAATGTTAATTACAAAAAATGGAATATTGATTAAAAAAACAAATGCATTTTTTAACTGAAGAACTAAATAATGAAAAGATATTATTTGATATTGAAAATTATAAAATACATATTACAAAATGAAAAAAAAAACATGAAGAATCAATATTACTACGTAAGGAGGGTATTATAAGAAAAATATATTGATGTTATTTTTTGTTTACATTGAAAAGAAAAAATAATTATAAGACAAATTTTACATAAATAATCGCATCTAAGAAAGTCGACAGGTATGCTATTTTTTAAGGTCAACCTATATTGTTTTATGTCATTAACTACTAAGAAACACTATATTAACAGAAATAAACTTCAACAATCACTTTTTATTATATTTTATCTCTTGTAATATTACCATTTTAATAAATAAGAATACAAAATTATTTATAATACTTTCTCTCCTCTAATATGTTTTACTATCATATTAATATATAATCTTTTAATTGTCATAGCCGTGAATGATAAACCATGTCCCATATAACTTGTAATCGTATTCACATTACCGGTGAAGTTGATGAAGTGGGATTTACTATTAGCAAATAACTAATTAACGCTTGTCATTATAGCAGCGAAAAAAGATTGATAAAAAGTTAAAAAATCACAGCTATTATCAGTTTAAGCTTTATTATTATTATCAAAACAACAGACAACTACTACATTAATCATTCAACATTTTCTACACACCTCTTAAGAATTAATAAATTATTGTTCAATGATAATGCTTATCAATCGATCAAGTCACAACACGATTTTTTTTAAAAAAAAACAATTAATCGTTTGACATTTCTATACATTACTAATGAGTCAGGTGCAGGATTTCATGCCTCAAAACATTTTGGACTCTACAATACATTGTCATGACTCTACAGTACATTACTAACGAGTCATGTGCAGAATTTTATAATTTTATCAGAAAACTTATTAAAATTATAAAATTCATAAATTATTTTTAACAATTCGAATGAGTTAAAAGAAAATTCTTTCAAACCTCTAAAAATGTTAGTGAACTTGAAGTGTGCTTAATCTTTTAATTAAACTATAATTCAGGCAATAAATTATCAAAGGTAAAAAACTATCTATGATTTGAGATTTTCTGTGCAGAATCAAACGCGAAGTTGATCCCATGAGTCCATGACAGAAACCTTACGAGTCAGCGTAGTTATTCTTGGTCGCGCTTCATGGTAAAAACAAGAAAAGGTCTTTATTGTGCTCACGGAAAGAATACTACAAAATTTAATAAAATTACAATAATTTTTAAAATAATAGAAGGTGAAGGTTGATAAACAAACAAAATTTTTTCCATGTATTGAAATATTAATAGCATGGTACACAAAATTTATTGACAAGGCAGAATAATGGAGCGGCATGGCATCATCAAAATCTTTAATTAAGAAATATATCAGTTAATAAAATTAGTACAGTGTGACTGAAGAGTGAGTACAAAACTAGTATATTAATCAAACGTCCCTTCTCATTACCTAAAATGAGGCCAACAAGGAGGCCATATGTTAATCTTGATGCTTAAGCTAATTCCCTTAATCCTACATTATTGAAATTCAGAAACATTCATGTGTTTCCACTTTCCAATATTATATTTATAGTAATATAATATAATTGGAATACATGTGACAGCGTTGAGGTGCTACCTGCGTTGTTTTTTGTTTGGTGATAAGGTTTCCATAATGCCTTACTAATTTATTTGCAATTTGCAGGTGACATGAATTCCACTCCTGAACCCAGTTATAGTTTCTAGGCTCTTACTAGCAATATTTTTAATCTTCAAACAAACCTACATAACAGTCACATAGTTGTTTTCCTTCGTCTTTTCCTATGGTTCAGGTTAGATAACCTTTCATTCTTTCTTCATGTCCAAGTGCGAAATCTAGTAGTTATTATTCTATATATTATTTCTTCTAGTTTTGATAACCAATTTTCTTTTGTGCTTGGTTTTCAAATCCGAAGTTACCAACTCCACTTAACGGTTGCGTGTTGCAGTTTTCCTTGATTCTTTCGGTAAATCAGCACGTGGATATCGTTTTCGGACAGTAATCCAAAATGGTTCGCGGTTTTAATTAGAATGCAGTTCTGGTCGTGAGTTACGTGGCAGAGGGTCAGGAACACATTCATAAGTCATAACATACTTCACTGTCATTGGTTTGTACAAGGTTACCGTTGCTGTAGTTGTCCTCGTCGTCTTAGGAATAGGGTGCAGGGATTGCAGAAAAAATTGAAGGCAAAATCGTTGTCTGGGCATGAATTGATGTATTATGCTCCTTCAGGTCGGTTATTATAGTTGAGATGGATCTGTTTTGGGTTGTTTGGGGGGTGACGGTGCTCGCGTGTATGGGAGTATCGGTCCATCCGTGTGCGGCTGTTGCAAACGTGTCATCCACGAGACCCACTGTTGTGAACATTGGAGCAATCTTCAACTTCGATTCCGTAATTGGGAAAGTTGCTAAAATTGCATTGGAGGAAGCGGTGAAGGATGTGAACGCCAATACCAGCATTCTACATGGAACTAAACTTGCTCTCACTCTGCAAAATTCTAATTGCAGTGGTTTCATAGGCATGGTTCAAGGTAATACAATACTAATATGTTCCTTTTCGTCGATTTAATCATATTTGCTTACTCAGATTCGGTGATAAATATGTTGTTTTGTTTGCAGCTTTGCGGTTCATGGAGACTGATGTGGTTGCTATAATAGGGCCACAATCTTCTGTAGTTGCCCACATAATATCCCATGTTGCAAATGAGCTTCGGGTTCCTCTATTGTCGTTTGCAGCAACAGACCCTACTCTCTCGTCGCTGCAGTTCCCGTTCTTTGTGAGGACAACGCAGAGTGATTTGTACCAAATGAGGGCAGTTGCTGAAATAATTGATTATTATGGTTGGAAGGAGGTTATTGCACTCTACGTTGATGATGATTATGGAAGAAACGGTGTGTCTGCATTAGATGATGAACTAGCTGCCAGGCGCTGTAAAATATCCTACAAGGAAGGAATCAACTCTGGGCCTCAGGTTGACCGCGGCGAAATCACGAATTTGCTTGTGAAGGTGGCACTGATGCAGTCTCGGGTCATTGTTCTTCATGCACATGCCAATTCTGGGTTTACGGTTTTCAATGTGGCACGCTATCTTGGGATGACAGATAGTGGTTATGTGTGGATAGCCACTGACTGGCTCTCTTCAGTTCTGGATTCTGTTTCTCTCCCTTCGGAGACAATGAATGTTTTGCAGGGAGTGCTTGTTTTGCGCCAGCACACCCCTGATTCGGATAGAAAAAGGGCATTTTTCTCTAGGTGGAACAAGTTAACTGGTGGCTCTTTGGGGTTACATTCTTATGGCCTCTATGCTTATGATTCTGTTTGGTTGGTTGCACGTGCTATTGATGCATTTTTCATGCAGGGTGGGATTGTTTCTTGTACCAATTACACAAGTTTAAGAAATGATAGGGGTGGTGGTCTTAACCTTGATGCAATGAGCATTTTTGATAATGGAACGCTTCTGTTGAAGAACATATTGCAGAGTGATTTTGTTGGGTTAACTGGTCAAATGAAATTTGAACCGGATCGATCTCTTGTTCATCCTGCCTTTGACATAATTAATGTGGTTGGCACTGGCATTCGTAGGGTTGGTTACTGGTCCAGCTACTCTGGTCTGTCAATTATATCTCCTGAGATATTATATGCAAAGCCACCTAATAGATCAACTGCAAATCAGCATCTTCACAGTGTGATATGGCCTGGAGATACATTATCTAAACCCCGCGGATGGGTATTCCCAAATAATGGCAGACAACTTAGAATTGGTGTGCCTATTCGAGTTGGTTTCAAAGAATTTGTCGCACCAGTGCAGGGAACAGAGATGTTTAAAGGTTTTTGTGTTGATGTATTTACAGCAGCAGTAAACTTGTTGCCATATGCTGTTCCTTACAGCTTTGTCCCCTTTGGAGATGGCCACAAAAATCCAAGCTACACAGAACTTGTCAACTTGATCACAACTGGTGTAAGTAATGCTTGCTAATTTATAAATATGATACTCTACGGGTGCTAACATTCTGTGGCAACTTGTTTTATTCATCTGGTTGATTTGTTGGTGTACTTGGTTCAGTACTTTGATGGTGCCATTGGTGACATTGCTATTGTCACAAATCGGACAAGGATTGTAGATTTTACACAACCATATGCTGCATCTGGACTTGTTGTGGTAGCTCCTTTCAAGAAAATTAATTCTGGCGGTTGGTCTTTCCTTCAGCCATTTACTCCTCTTATGTGGGCTGTGACTGCTTGTTTCTTCTTTTTCATTGGGCTAGTTGTATGGATTCTGGAGCACAGGATAAATGATGAATTCAGGGGTCCACCTAAACAACAAATCATAACCATGTTATGGTCAGTGTCTTTTTTTTTTTCCCCTTACTATCTTTCTGCTATACTTGACTTAGTACTTGCACACCTTTTACATATTTTACGCAGTAAATGAAACTTCAGATGTGGTCCATGGAAAACATTCGTGTATTTCTTATCTCATTTTTACTGGATACTCATGCCATTATGCTTATCAATAGGGTGCAGAAAGCATATAAGAATTTAGATTGTTAAAACTTGCTATTGTGTGATTCATCATCATGCTTAAACTGGGTGATCTCAATTGTGTCTGATCCATTTATTTTTACCATGCCTGCAGGTTTAGCCTGTCAACTCTATTTTTTTCCCACAGTAAGTGATGCTCTAGTTACTTTTGTTTGGTGGAAGGACATAATGAAGCTGATTTATTGGTTTTTTTTTTTCCCATTTATTCTGCAGGAGAGAATACCATGAGTTCTCTTGGTCGCTTGGTGGTACTCATATGGTTGTTTGTAGTTTTGATCCTCACTTCCAGCTACACTGCAAGTTTAACATCCATACTCACAGTGCAGCAGTTATCTTCCCCTATCAATGGAATAGATAGCTTAAAAGCTAGTGATGAACCTATAGGGTTCCAAGTGGGTTCATTCGCAGAACATTACTTGATTGAAGATATCGGAATATCCAAATCTAGGCTTGTTCCTCTTGGATCTCCAGAAGAGTATGCTAACGCACTCCAGCGTGGTCCTAAAAACGGAGGTGTTGCTGCTATTGTGGATGAACGGCCCTATGTTGAGATCTTCTTATCAACCCAGTGCACATTCAGGATTGTAGGTCAGGAGTTCACCAGAAGTGGCTGGGGTTTTGTGAGTATCTCTAGTTCTCTCTACCTCTTCATAGATCAATAATCAGTGGAAACAAAAAAGGATATTGGAATGTGTTGCTACAACTGTGATTATTTTGTCTTTCCTAAGTTTTCACTGGAAGAGTGAATCAGTTTTTGGTTGGCCAAGATTAAACCTACATCTCCATCCTCAGTTACTCGCTTTTATTGTCTTTTTCACCATCATTGTGCTCTTTAATATGGTAATACATGCATATGGCTAATATTGAATCAAATGATATGACATCAGCTGCATATTGCATTGATTTTGTTTTCTTGATTTCCACTTCAAGGTGTTTATCAATGTGGTAAATAGTTAATAAGCGCATCTGCTTTTATTTATGCTATCAATTATATATTATTATTCTAAAACTCCTTTTGTTTGCCATGCTAGGCATTCCCTCGGGACTCCCCTTTGGCTGTGGACATGTCAACTGCCATTCTACAACTTTCTGAAACTGGTGATCTACAGCGGATTCATGATAAGTGGATGACACAAAGCACCTGTAGTTTAGACAATACTGAAATTGATTCAGATCGTCTTCAGCTCAAAAGCTTCTGGGGTCTCTTTCTCATTTGCGGGATAGCTTGCTTTATTGCTCTTGTATTACACTTTTTGCAGATTATGTTCCAGTTATGGCGTTCTGCTCCTTCTGAACCTGCTTCCAATGCTAGCACAATTTCTGGTCATTTTCAAAGATTTCTTTCGCTCATTGACGAGAAGGAAAATTCATCACGGAGTGGAAGAAGGAAAAGGAATGGAGAAGAAAGATCGCTTGAAGACCAACTGGGAAGGCAGTCAAAGAGGATACAAACAGAAACAAGTGCGGCGTTCAACTCAAACAATTAACGCTTTGATGTCATTCATTATTAATTGATCTTAGCCTTAATGCTGCTATAACTATACAAATCCCAAATTTCAGAGTTGCAAATGTAGGAAGTTATAGAATTTTTCTTCTTATAGGATAAATGTTGGAATTTTTTTGGGAACCACAATAGGGAGTCATTGAAGATACATATGATATATCCTCATGATTGGGTATTATTTTTGGAAAGAACACGTGTTATGAAGTTGTATCACAAAGAACGTGATAACATTCAGTATGTTGCATTCTGTACAGATATCACTAATGTCAAGGGACCCTCGTCCCATCATATATTACTCTTGTTTTCTATGACGTGTTCTCTCTAGTTGTTCTGGGATTGGTTGCTCGCTCCTATATTTGCAGTTCCACGCATCTTTCTGCGGGTGAGGTCGTTGACACTTAAATGTGTGTATTTACAACATTCCTTTCTTTTTTTCTTTTATGTACTTTTATAATTTAAGTTAACTCCCTTTATATATCTTATGTAAAAAAAAAAAAAAAAAAGTCAAAAATAAAATAAAAAAGATTTTTTTTTATTTACACCAAATTAAAATATCTATTGATGAAAAAACTTTATAACTTGTCTAGAAATAAAATATCTATTTAATTAATTTTGTAACTTTATAACTTTATAAGTCAAATATCTATTTAATTATATATTATAAAAATTAAATTGAAAAAAGTTATTTATAAAACTGTTGAGTGTAAGTTTAGAAATAAAATATCATGAAAAGAGTAATAAATTAAATTTTTTATTTTTCTAATAAATAATTTTGAAATTAAAAAAATGCCTATCATGATTGAATCCTTTTTTTATATGAAAAATTATTAAAATATGGTGTTTTGAAAAAATTATCAAAATATGATAAAATTTTTAAAAATTGTCACAAACTATATTTTAGTGGCAATTTTTGATATAATAGCCAAACGACCTTTTTTGGTACTTCAAAAAAATTAGCATTAACAATTTTTATTTTAAATTTTTTTATTATTTTAAAAAATAGTTATTTACCAGTTTTTTATTTTTATAATTTTTTAATATTTTTTCAAAAATTGTCGCTAATAATTTTTGAAACTTATAATTTCTTTCGTTTACATAAAAAATTACTTAAATTTATATATTGTAATTTTTTGTAAAATATCATATTTTGATATATCATATGATTAATGAGTCCGTATCTCCGGAGAAGAGAGTAAAGAACATGGATATTTTTTCAAGTAAAGCCTGAGATCGAGGAAAAAGGAAACTTTTTGGTAACCTTTTTCAACTTTCTTCACGTGCATGTCTGTCTTTATCATCTGTCCATAAGAATGGAGTGCAATAATCAAGTTTGTTTTTTATAATTTTGTGAGACAGGATGACCCAATATTCAAAAATCGACAGAAATAACAGTGAGGATCGTAGAAAATTGGCTCTCGAGCAAGGGAATCTTCAATCATCACAGTTCAAAATGGGGCAATAGAAACAATACAAGTTCAGTAAATAAAAAGAATACCAAGATCGAGCTGTCAGCCACAATGAGCACACTGCCCTAGCAGAGCCCTCCGTGATTCTTCATGGAGTTACTGTTGAGGATACCGGCACGCTCCATAGCCTGATCAGTAATTATATCGTCAGTGAACAAGATAAAAGCATAATAAATAAACACGTTAAAATATAGGTTCATTCATTAGACATATACTAGTTAAACAATGCTTACTGGGATCGCTAAAAGTAACAAGGCCAGTGGCTTTGAAGTCGCAGTTCCAGTAGTTCCTACCATGCATCTGATAGTAAGCATTCATGGCATAAGAGGCATGGGCAAGGAGCTTATTGGGCCGAAAACAACCCCCTCCTTCATAAATCTCTCTGCAGTCCACTCCACCAGGCCCACAACAAAAGTCCAACACACTCTGAAGCACGTTGTCCTCAGCGTGAGCCTTCGCCACACACCAAACGGAGGGACCCCGAACCGCGCCACCCCAACCTCTCTCTCCCAACCCAAACGTGGCTTCACCGCTGCAAAACTCGCACCTCAAATCCACCTCATACACCTTTGATCCATCGGCGTTGAATATCCCAAAGTTCCTCTCACTCTCCTCCCCTTCCTTCTTGTTCTCGTTGAACAGAGCAAACACAAATATCTCTATTCTATCCTTAGGCTTCATTGGAGTGCCTCTATTCGACTGCGCGCGTTCAATCAATCTCGTGTTGTATATTCTCGCATTTTCAGGCGTAGCAGCACTGTCGCTAGGGTTTCCCTTCGAAGGCCACCCTGACTCTGAAACCGTTATGTCAATGCTTCGGTTTCCATATCCAAGTGCTATAATAGCAGATCTAACGGCGTCAATTTGGGCGTCTAGCATGTTGTTATAGACGTAACCATTGGGGTCGCGGATCCCTGTGGCGTTACCTAACAGAGCGTAGTCGAGTTTGACGGAGTTAGGGTTGTCTCTATAGGCGAAGTAAGGGTAGGCGTTGATCATGAAAGGGGAAGCAGTGTCGGCTAAGAAGGAAACTATGTCGGTCATGACGGGAATGAGATTCATGGCGAAGGTGGAGGAAGAAGGAGGGAAAGAGGAAGCGAGAATGGCCATGCTGTGAGGGGTTGTCACTTTGATTTTGCGGTCGAGGGAGTGGGTAACCAGAGCGCCGTGGAGGTTTTGCATGGCCTGGAAGAGGGCGTTGGGGTCGAGACGGTCGTGGTCGTCGTCGACGGTGGTTGTTAGGTATTCGTTGCCGACGGCGATGGCGACGATGGAGGTGGCGGGGATGAAGGGGAGGATGCGGGTGGAGAGCCATTGGTGGGCGGCGGAGGGGTCGGTGCTGAGGTTGGCGACGAGGGAGTTTTGGACGGAGACGATGAGGTCGATGGCGATGTTGGAGAATGCTTGGAGGATTTGAGGGTTTGAGTCATAGATTTTAACTTTATCGATGAGTGTTGATTGAAGTAGCTGAGCCACTTTCTTTGGTGATGGAAGGTTGTTTCCCAGAGTGCCGTAGTTAATCCCAACGCCTGACGCTGGTTCAACAGAATTTAGGAGCAAAATCAACGCCACCACTGCAAGTGCAAGTTTACAGATGCATGTGGCCATGGCTATTGGCTCCAACAACCAATGCCACTATCCACCTTTTCTTATATACTATCTCATAAGAAGAGAAGAAGAAAAAGAAAAAAAAAAAAAGCGGGAAATAATATTATGAAGAACCAATTTCAACGTGGTGGTGGGACAGGGTCATCGGGTTATGCGACTCAGCCGTATAGTCAACACTCCATGTTTCAAAAAAAAAAAAAAAAACCTATTAACTAATGCTGTAAAAGTATTAGTTAAAATTTTAAAAATAAAAAAAATAAAAAAATATTTAATACATTTTTCTTGTAATTTTTAATGTAATTTAACATAATTTTTAATGATATTTTTATTGTTTTTTCTCATAAATATTAAATCTGCCCAAGATGTTAAATTTGACATAAAAGAATCCATTCTCATTTGTTTTGCAGTTGGGAAAGGCATTAGGGTTTAGGGCTTCATCCAGCTGCAATCAGATCTGTATTGATGCTAAAGTAAAATCATTGGCATTTTATCATCTGATGCTCATTGCCCAAAGACTCATCTTCGTCTTACAGTTAACTGCATGCGTTTCAAGATATAGAATAACTTTTTTTAATATTGGGAGTATCGTGAATGGAAGTAGTTCATTGCAACCCTACACATAATCACAATTATGCTATTAAATTGTATATTATTTTTCCAGTTATTAATTGGACAAATTAACAAGAAGAATGATATTTTACATAAATTAAAACGGACTGACAATACAAACATGAAAATGACAACATATAAATACTCCTTGATTGAATAATTCACATTTGTTATAACATAGTGTAAACAAGTGACATCAAGCTAAACACTATCTGTAAACATTTATACCATTTAAGACGTAACATGTTATTTGGGTTTGATGTAAACATTGATTTAAAAGCATCCTTTACTATAAAATCTCGGTCTATCCATTAAAACACGACCTTTAAAATAAACCAACGTATCTTACCTCTCACTGGACATATAGACATAGTGCATTATTGAAGATGCCAGAGCACCCCTACACTCTGATCCAACATTGACATTTTTTTATATATATGTCACTTAAACATGGCACTTAGCAAGGATTAATCAATTCGAAGAATCGTAAGCCAGATATCAGAAATGCAATGTCAATATATCGTGATATATATGAATTTCTGTCCCGCCAAAACTCATTATTGGCTACAGACAAATTTAAATTTGAAAAATCCTCCCTCAGACATCACAACACCACTGTATGTCTGAACAATTTCTTCTTTTTTCACATCATACCTTAACACAAGGCAAATAGTAAAAATGGCTTGCTTGTAATGGTAATAAAATCACAAAAGGCTCCTCCTCTATTCATAAACTTTGCATTCCTCATCAGCTGGATTTGTCTGGCAGAAATCCTCCAATGGGTCTCCACTCCCTGCTGCAGGTGTCCCTGGCCACTTGCTTGCTACCAAATGTGCCAAATCCACCACTCTTTGGCTGCAATCACCAATATATACTACCATCAATAATGTGATCCATTACAAGTGTATTAAAAGTCAATTCCTCCAGCTTCACAACTAATAAAAGTGCCATGATGTTGAATGCTCTAATTCTATCTCCCCTACAAATTCTTATGATAGGTTAACATAAAATTGTTATATATTTGAGAATTGTTAACTTTTATGATAAGTATTTTAAGATTCACATTTATATAATTGATTGGTAGAATAAAAATATTTATTATAACATATTAAAATTAAATAATTTTAAAAATAGGTGAGTGACAAGACATTATTATATATGGAGAGGGACCTAACCTGTAACCCCATTCATTGTCATACCAAGCAACCACCTTGACCATATCATCTCCCATGACCATTGTCAAGGAGGAGTCAATGGTAGAAGAAACATCAGTGCAACGGAAGTCCACAGACACAAGGGGAACATCACACACGTCCAATACACCTTTCAGAGGCCCTTCAGCTGCTTTTCTGAATGCTGCATTCACATCTTCAGCTGTAATACCCTTCTTCTCAACATTCACCACAAGGTCTACCACTGAAACATTGGGTGTAGGTACACGAAGTGCAATGCCATTGAGCTTGCCCTTCAACTTTGGAAGTACTAGGGACACAGCCTTGGCTGCTCCAGTGCTGGTTGGGACAATGTTCAGTGCTGCAGCCCTGGCTCTTCTCAAGTCCCTATGTGAAGCATCCAAAAGCCTCTGCACAACCACAATTCTTGCTTAGCTCGATATAGTAACTTAATCATTTTCAGTTGCAACATTGTATAGATATTTGATGTTCTTGTACCTGGTCTCCTGTGTAGGAATGTGTAGTTGTCATGGTTCCCTTTACAATCCCTGGAAACATAGACCAAAGGGAAGTGACTTTGAACTTCGAATGTTGCTCTTAAATAATAACTGCCAGTATGATGAGTGTTTTCTTACCAAACTCTTCATCCAGGATCTTCACAAAGGGAGCAAGACAGTTTGTGGTGCAAGAAGCGTTGCTATACATTAAAGAAACCAAAGAAAAAGAAAATAAATTATATATAACCAGTTAATACATATAGATGGAACATGAACACACAAAATGCATGCTGCATTAACATTTTCAGTTGTTAATGTTAATGCAGCATTAATCTCAGCTGAAAACACACACACACACACAAAAAAATCTTAGTTGGCACGGACCTTATAATGTTAGCGATCTCATGAGTGTAGTCCTGTTCATTTACTCCCAAAACATAAGTTGGAATATCAGCACCCTTTGCAGGAGCAGTTATGATAACTTTCTTGGCACCTGCTTGAATGTGTTTGCCAGCGCCAGGACCATCCACAAAAACTCCTGTTCCCTGAACAAAAAGTCACTCATTCTCTTCAGAAGCTCCGAAGTTAATCAACAATCTTGGGTAACTTTCACTCCACTGAATACCGTATTATAAGGATTATAATCAATTTTGATGAAATTGATTTTGAGCCTTTAAATATAAGTGAGATACGTACATAAAAAAATCTAAACTACATATGATTCGTTGAAAAGTATGAGTCTTGGTGGATGATGTTTGAAATAAATCAAGTAGTAGGGACTAATTACCTCAATAACAATGTCAATTCCAAGCTCAGCCCAAGGAAGCTTAAGAGGATCCCTGTTTGAGACAACCTTGATGGGTTTACCATCAACGGTAATGGTCTCATCATTCAGTACTTTCACATCTGCTTTAAAGGTTCCAAGCATAGAATCATATTTCAGCAAGTGCGAAGCCTGGGATATGTGAAGATTGTCACTACCATTCCATTCACTGAACTAACAAAAATAAACTCAACTAAGCCAATTAAAAGGGCAGTGGCATTTAAAAACTTACATTTTTGACACCACCACTGTCATTGACAACAATGACTTCAAGGGGTGAGTCTTTTCGACCGTGCCAGCAGCGCAGGAAATTTCTACCAATGCGTCCAAAACCATTGATTGCTACCTTCAACTTAGCCACTGTTTCTCCCCTCACAGGAGTTGATCCAATGTTCTGATTTTCATTTCAAAAATTGAAAACAATATCAACTATTTGCTAAGATATTCCCTTCATGCCACGACTCATTATATAATATATAGTTTTAAAAGGAATATTAAGCTATGCATTTTTCATTGTTTTCGAAGCTTATATACTATATGTTATGAAGTAACATTTTCTAGAGGAATGGCATATATTGAGTTGATTGAGATTATATATATATTTATTAAGACTATATAATCCACACAAGGAGGAAGGAAACTTTCATACAATTCAATGGGATTTATAACAAGTAAGAAACTAACCTTGGAAGTGAGTTGGGCAGCTACAACATCAAAAAAGGAAGAATCTCTAGCATTATTGGCATAGGTCACGCACGAAGTGGATCTTAGTCCAGAAAATTCCGTCACCTCTAGTCTCTGCACAAGCAAAGTTAAGTGAAATAAGACACTATAAAAGGTGATGAAACAAACCAACCATGCAGGCCAAAATTTTGGACATGATCATTAATCATTATGCAAGAAATAGAAAGAGTGCAACCTTTGAGGCACATTGGGTTGGGAAACAGTGGGAAGCCTTGGATTGAAACCTTGTGTTCGTGGGGATCCTTGTAGAAGCTAGAGCCGCATGGGTAGCCATGGCTGCAACAACGGTGTGCACAAACTCCTTGTGCGTGTATATATCCACAACTTGGTTGTATTTCCTCCTCTTGTTTTATTCTTTGCAGATTTTTCTAAGGTCGATTGTGAGAAAAAAAAATGAAATTATGGTTGCTGAGGAGTAACGAGAATGAGTGGTGAATAAGTTGTAAGAAAATCTACATAGGATAAGATAATGTTTAGACATCCATGTTTTTCAATAATTCGACTTCATTTTTTGAGCCACATATTAAGGCCGTTTACTAATTTCCCAACTATGCCCCTTTGGTCAATACTACAAGTTTTTTCCCAAAAGAGAGGGAAAAATGTCAATGCCACAGCCTACTTCTCATCCCTACCTTTGGACCGATACATGTATATATAAACTAGTATATTATATAGGTAAAATTGAAAAAAAAATCAAAATATTTTACATATCTATTGATAGTTATAAAAATACAAATAATCAATTTAAATAAATAAGTAAATCATTACAATTTAAGGAAAAACAAAATGAATGTAAAATATAAATTTAAAAATATTTTGCTATAAACAAAAAAACATATGAATAATAAATTCAAAAGAAATTATGTTAAAAAGGCTGAATTTTGAGGGAAAAGGTATAAAAGAATTTAAAGGATATTAATAATTTTTTAAAATATAAAAAAGTGTTAAATAATGATACAACTACCTAAGGAGATATTACAATAAGAAGTGTTCTCATCTAGTTTTGAAATCTTAAAAATTAACGATTTTTAAAAGATGAAAAACAAACTCTGGTAATTATATTTCAATAACAAAACTAGTTAAAATAAACTCCATAAAATTATCGTATAATTTCTCTAAATAAGGATGAGTTTGGATAATTGCTTATTTAAGCATTTATTTAATATATTTTTTAAATTATGACTTGTGTCTTATATTTAATGATGAAACTTATTAAACTAAATTAAAATAACTTATTTTGATAAATCATATCAAGAAATTTATTGAAATAAGTTGAAAATAACTTGTAAAAGTCATACATGATCTTTTATAAATTGTTCATAACTTCGTACAGATAGGCCTGAAGATTGTGTGCATTTTACTCATTTTGCTTCAAGGCACAAAAATAAGCAAACGGAAAATCAAATCTTAATAATGATTTATTGACAAATTTTTCTTAATTTTCAGCACTGTTACACAAATCCATAAATAGTTAAGACTTAAAAAGAAATTTTAAAGTATAAGAGTAACGTTAGAAAAATAGCAATCAATGTTTCGTTAGCATGTACAAATTATCCTTAAATAAAGTTTTAGTTTTGAGTCCTCTATATTAAAAATATCTCTTAGAGAAATAATCCCACCATATTAATAATATAGACCAAGAAAAGGTCACTGGGCCAAAAATTTTCAATGAAAGGCAAAATATGAACCAGTGGCAACTACACATAAAAAATTATAATCAGTAGGAGTAATCCTTACAGCGCGAAAAGAACAATATGCAATACATATATCGTGGTATATGAAAATAATGTAACAAATATTGAGGAAGCTTTATGAAATTTAGTCGTGTTAGTTTGTACATAAATTTTTTATAGAAATCTTCAAACACCATTCATATTTCCCTTTTACAAGTTTAATTTTGATATGTAAAGTTACCTTAAAATCAAATGAGTTAACTTTAACTGTATTTTAAAATAAAAAAGTTTTTACACTTTTAATTAATTAACATACCCTGTAAATATAATTTTACAAATTATTATAAAAACTAACTATACTTGTTACTATAATAATTTATAATTAGATGATAATGCATTTTAATTAAATTCATATAAAATTTATTAAATAATACAATTTAAAATCTTCATTAACCTACCTTTTATACCTGTCACAATGTTCGTGATCATTAGTGCTTGCACGCTCGTTTACATATCCGACTCATTCATAATAAAATTCCTTGTGACTGAGTTGGCATAGCCAAAATTGGAATCAATAACTACGTATCAATCTTTCATCTCCACCACTAGTTGTACTTTCACGTCTAATATAAGTTATTCCCATTTCATAAGTAATTCCCATGATCCATCCTTTAGTTTACCGTTGATTCAAATAAGCTTTCGCAAGACCGCACAGCGAACATAAAATATGTATCATCATCCATTTCATGTTCGCTGCAAAAGTCTCAACACCCTCGTACGGAGAATCCAATGTGATATTGTTCACTATCTAGAGCAATCATCAATCCCTGATTATTAATAGCACGGACCAAGGTTAACTAAGAAATTTCAGTCTTGTCCATCATGGAAACTTTTCACTATGAATAAATGGCTGATTGAACACAAGAAATCAGCCATAGAAACGAAACGACTATTTACCCACAGTGGAGGCTGCTATAAACAGAATACCACTTCGTTTATTATTAAGTACAAATGGAAAGATGTTGCAAGAAATCCAAATACATTTTGTACCAACAAGATTTTTGTAATGGCCAATTGTGAACCATGACATCACAGCAGCAGTCTCATGTAGCTGCTTCAATTTCATCGGAGTTCACAGCTACTCCGTTTGAGGGCTCCTCTGATCTCAGCTGAGCAGAAACATCATCTATGGCAGCATTCAGTTGTTCAATCTTGAGAGCCAGTACTTTCCGTGTTTTCTGCAATTCAAGCAAAGCAAATTATGCTAGCCATTAAAGAAATAGCCTTACAAAAGACCAACACATTGCAGGCGAGCAGCAAGAGCCAAGCGTGACATGAGGGCCTCCCAGGAGAAATTCCTCACATAATATTATGATTGTTATATAAATTTGGCATATAAGTCTGAGATAAAATATACGAGAATTTTAAAACTAGTCACACAGCAGCTACAGCACCTCCAAGCAAAAGGAGAAAGCTAGATCAACCAAGGGAAGTTTTCTTTATGAGATAACTCAAAGGATGGTACCAAGCATAAACAATTGCTCACCTCCAAAGCCTTTTCTTCATCGTATATAAACTTTGGCAATTTTCTCATTAATTCCTTCCTGTCAGCTCCAGCTAGAGCCTTGCTGATCTGTGGAAGAAAAAAAGAGCAAATATTATTCAAGCAATGAAAAATTCCTGGTCAGCACCATGTAAATGTACATCCTGCTATCTTATAGATTTTAAGGATGTGTAATGCCAACTACCTATAATTGTGTTGCAGCACTGTTTTTTCTGTTGAGGAGCAAAAGGGGTTAACCAATTTAATTTTCAAATATAGTATATAAATGATGAGTTGAAGAGCAAGACAAGAATCATGAAAGTATCCCATTGAGCACCAACATCTAGCACTTAAAATGGTATATTACAGTAACAAATGCTACCTGGGGTGCATACACGCAACCAAGAGTGCCAACTATTAATCCTCCCAAGAGAAAGCCACCGACAAAGACACTAGCACTGCTGGGCCGTCCACCATCACTGTAGTTCCAGAAAAAGCAATGGTTCAAATTAATAATTTATTCCTCTAACAAACTGCCATAATCATTTTTTCAAATTCAAGAATATTTGCTTTTTTCTGTTTCTTCCCTTTGTTAGTGGTGTGTTCTTCACAACGTTATGATTAATATTTGTGGTGGCAATTTGAAGGCATCAGTTGATCTATAGTAATATAACTTTAAAAATACCTTTCTCAAAAGTATAAATATTTAAAATTATACTCTTGATCCGATATGCATTTATTTAAGTCCAAATGTAGCTGACACCAAAACTTTCCATACTGGTTCTTTACTGTGTTTTCTTCCTTCTCCCAAATGATCCCACTAAACAACAAAGACAAAATACTTCTCAACTCCAAGTTAATCAATAGTGGCATGTCTAAAGGAGAAAGTTGTGGCAGAACAATGAAACACAGAAGCCCAGATGTTTATATAAATAAACAACTAACACTTAAGACCCTTTATTGGAAGTTATTGATACATTCTCACTTTACACTAATTCACTTACTCAAGCACACAAACCACATAGAGCTGTCATAACCAATGCACAACAACAAGAATACCTATATGTTGCTTGAATTGTTAGAGGCCTTCTGGTTAAAGGCGGTATCATTCTCCCTCGACGATTTAGATTCAGTGACAAGTTGGATGGTTTGATCTTCACCTGAGAGTGGTCCACCTTATGTATGGACGATGCTAGAAAACGAGATGCTCGGTTAGGTAAAACAATCATCATTTAAATAAAAATACTCATAGACGACTCTACTTCCAGCAAAAGCATAGGTAGTGTACAGAAGCTAGCAAGCAAGATATGTTCTTTAGGGTAAAAGAAAAATAAATGAAGGGCCAACATTGCATGAAACAGGCAAACACCAAATCTTTATATTATAACCCCCTTCCCCAACAATAAAAAATAAGAAAGAAGGGGAAAAAGACTTGATTTTAGGTAAAGATTTTAACACCCATGAATGCTATATCTTAGTGGTATGCAATCCAATTGGTCAAGAAACACTGAATCCAAGAAAACCTCCTATTAATGGGGGCAAAGACAGGGAATTCCAATAAACGAGTGTTTTGGACAGATTGTACAGCAATAAATCAATAAATCGTGAACGGAAAACGGAAAGACCATCCCAATTTCAAAGAAATTTACGGTTATAGAACGTGTACTTTCTAACTCTACTGAGATCGTTAAGTCACATGGCATAATTTAAAAACCATGGATTATGTATCCCCAAATAAAAAAGAAAAAAGAACAGTGGATCAACCGAATGAGGGAAATGCGCACCGATTATGTATGCTCTTAACTTTTGAACCAATCTTGCAAATAAATTAAAGAGGAATACAGATAAAGCGAAGTGTTATTGAAGAATCTTGAAAAGGAAAGAAAGAAATTACCGGATTTGGTTAGAATGAAAGAAGTGGAAACAGTAGTAGCCATGGGGAGAGATGAATGAGGAACGAAGTTAGGTGTGTGTGAGCGTGAGTGTGAGAGTGTGTGTGTTGTTATGACTATGAACAAAGAAGAATGGTTGAAATTCGATGATATCTAAGCTGCACAGTAACACTTTCACCCTTTCCTGTGTTTCCCTTTTTATGCCTTTGCTTAGCAGCTAGCTATTAGCTATCACCGCCTCGCGTTAGGTTCGCACACATGCGTTTCGGATATACCCACTTTCCTCTCTCCTTTTCTTCCTTCTTTTTTTGTAATAATCTAACTAATAATATCTCCTCTATCCTTTATCATATTCAATTTTCCCTTAATCCCATTTTATTTTGTTAATTAAGTAAAAATTATGACACATTTCTTAACAACATTTGATAAAGTGAATGACAAAAAATACGGAATCCAATTTTTTATGAAAAATAATAATTAAGAATATATATATGGATACATTAAATTTTTTAATATCGTTTACGTTTTAGAAGTTAAATGTATTTTTTTAATAATAATATTTTAATAATTGTTGAGAAAATATTGAAAAACAACCGGTCTGAAATTCATAATATTTTATATGCATACATGGAATTGATTGTTCGATTAATCTTAATGAACAGCGGTCAGTGATTGTTGAATACAAATGTTTCCACTTTACAACATTTTTCGTTTTTCCAAATCCCGTAAGATTAATATAATGCCAACCGCTTATTTATGGCTTACCTAAAGGAGGATACTTATCAGAGATTTTATAATGAAAATAATAGATGATATTTTTAATATATTTAATTTTATTCAGAAAATTATATTTAAAAAATCTTCACAAAGTGGTCATTATCAATATTTTAGGTATGCTACTTATTATCTCTTTCTCACTTGAGTATTTAAATGTTTTTGTGCAGAAACTTTATTAATTGACCAAGATTCAACCCTCAAGTAGGGATGGAAACAGGCCAGGCCGCCTGACAGGGGCTTGTGGCTTGGCCTGATTTTGGCCTGACTTTTTTAATAAACAAACTAAGCTCAGGTCTTTTTTAAAGCATGTTTAAATAAACAAACCAGGCTTGAGCTGTTTATAAAGTCTGTTAAGCCTGACAGGCCGGCCTGTATAAATAAATAAATATATATATATATATATATATATTATAATTTAAAAATAGAGCTATCAAAATATATTTAAATAATAAAGTTATTTCATAATATATTTTTATATTCTTAATTCTGTTATTATTAAATTAATATATTATGTTATAATTTTATTTATTTATAATTATAATAAACAGAAATTATATTATATTAAAATTAAAAATATTTATACATGATTACACTTTTTAAATAATAAATTTATTTAATAATAAATTATTATATTTAAACAATTTAAAAAATAGTTAAGTCTTTGAATAGGAATAAAATATAATCAAAACTAAACGAAATAAAATTTAAAAATAAAATAATAAAATTATATTAATATATTTTTTATACTCTTAATTTTATTATTATTAATTTAATTATTATATTAATATATTATGTTATAATTCTTTTTATTTATAATAAATAGAGATTGCTTAAATCTGAATTATATTTTATTTGAAAGTAAAAATTTATAAAAAAAATAATAACAAAATAAAATAAAAAACTTATTATAATATATATATATATATATATATATATATATATATAATCAGACCATGTAACAAATAATATAAATAATATAATTATAAATAAATTATATAATAATATATATTTTTATAACTTGCACATGTTTTAATTAAATTATTAGTCAATTTATCAATTTATATGTAATTTATAAGTATGTGTTTTAATTTATTGTATCAGTAATATTTTCTATATTACATTAATATTATAGTGTAGTTAATTTTACATTTATTTATTAATTTAAAATAACAAATTAATGAGACAAATAAAATTAAATATTTTGTAATTATTTTTTAATTTAATAGTTATTATTGTTTTCATTTTATATATATAGTACATTAAGTTTAAATTTTTATATTGAGTTTTATCACATATTTTTTAATTAAGATAAAAATTTAAAAATATAAGTTATTTTAATTTAAATATAAATTTTAATAATTCTTTCCATGTTCATATGTTATTTTTCTTCATCTATGAATTTTATAATATAAATATTTATATTTACAATTTTTATAATGACGATATTTATTTACTTTTTAAAATATAATAATATTTTTAGCTGATTCAATAAATTTTATAAGTGTTATTTTTTGTAATTATTTTTTTAATTTAATAGTTATTATTATTGTCATTATATATATATATATATATTGCAGTAAGTTTAAATTTATTTTTTTAAAACATATAATTTTCTTTTAATTGATTCAACAAACTGTGTGAATGTCATTTTTTTTTATCAATTTTATGTATTTACTATAACTTTATTTGTTGAATATAAGATGTCTTTAAATAAACAAAATATGTTTTTAAAATAAAACTAAAATATTTACTATTTATATAATTTTAAAAAATAAATAAATAATATAAATATACATTTTATTAATATAAAATATTTATAATTAATACTTAAATAATATTTTAAAAATTATTTATAAAATTATATAAATATTATTATAATTATTTAATAATTATTAAGAACATAGATAGAAATTAGAAAAATGTATAAACTAATTTAATAATAAAATATTTATATTTTTATGAATATTAATTTTTTTGTTAACAGGCTTTAGGACAGGTCAGGCCACTTAAACAGGCCAGGCCAAACCTAAAATAAAGCCTTTAACAAGTAACAGGTCAGACCCAGGCCTAATAATTATGTTACAGGTCAGGCCTGTTTAGAGTAAAGCCTGACCTGGCCTGACCTTGCCTGTTTCTATCCCTACTCTCAAGTAAATTAATAATGGTCATGTCTAGTTATAAAAACAATAGGTAAATGTAAATAGTATTTAAAAATAGGGTAAAAACAAGTGAAATAATCCAAAACTAATGAAAAGTTATTTTAAACTTATTGTTTGTAATTTTTTTTATTCAACAAAGATAATTTTTTAATCAAATAAAAATATAATATCAAATTATAAAAACTATGAATAAATATAAATTATTATTTTTAATTTGTTTTAATTATTTAACATATTTAATTATTAAAAATACATATTTAGTTGTTATATATCAATGAATCCAAAATTATAATGAATATTTCGTCCGAAACACTCATAGTTAGTTCGAATGGCAAATTCAATGCAAGAACAAGTCAGATCCAACAATATGAAGCTTATTTTTTTTCGGCTGCGGTGTCTCCTAAGATCCCACCCTTATTAATCTTATGCCACCATCGACACCATCAAGAATCATCACTAAGGACTCACGAGCAAGACTCCACGCATAATGTTACAATCAAGTAAACAACAAGACTTGTGCTGCTGACCAAATGATTAATTAATTTGATCACGGAAACCTTGCCTGGTCAGCTATGATGGTAATTAATTTATATATCACATGTATTATATTATACACAAGTTGCTGGATTAATAATATTTAACTTTTAAATACTTTCAAAATTAGTTTAAAATGATTATAAAACTATATAGAAACGTATTCATGTAAATCTTCCAAGGGCCGGCTTAAACATTAGTATATTATATATATATATATATATGCTTATTTATCATATTTTGTTTTCAAAAGCAAGCGTACGCAGTTCAGTTCTCGCAATGATAATTCCATTACGGTCTTGGCGGATAAAACCTGGAAGCATATGACAAAACATGAATCGATCGTTCTCTCCAACAGCATATATATAAGAACATATATTTATAAATAGCTTGCTTATAAACTTATATAAACTATGCTAGGCTAGCTAGAGAAATTGATATTGTTTTGGAGAAGAGAGCAAATATGGTGGAAGCAGCTGCTGGAGAAAGAACCTTGCAGGAAACACCCACATGGGCTGTGGCAGTGGTCTGCTCAGTGTTCATAATTGTCTCTATATTAATGGAACATGGAATCCATTCACTTGGACAGGTACTTATAGTTCATTAGTTCATGGTTATTTTTGGTTTTTGATTTACATCTTCTTATGTCAATATGGTATAGTTGTATTAGAGAAAAAATATGTATCAATTTAAATTAGTAAGACATGTAACTAATTAAGGTGGGTTTTATTTCATATCATGTTACTTAGTAGGGATCCAAATTCTTTAGTTCTAGCTTATTCATTAAATGGGTACTTGGAGTTGTGACTAAATTGTCCATTCACACTGTTGAGTGTTGATTACTTTCTAATTAATATATCATGACAGTGGTTTCAGAAACGACACAAGAAGGCCATGAATGAAGCCTTGGAGAAAATCAAAGCGGGTAAGCAATTGGAAGTAGTTCAAGATTCTTTATTTTTTTTTTAATCTCCCTTCAAAATTTATTTATGATATTATTTTTTGTTTGCAGAGTTAATGTTGTTAGGATTCATATCCCTATTACTTACATTTGGTACAAAATATATTGCAAAGATTTGCATCAATGTGGCAGCTGGTGACACCATGCTTCCATGCAAGAAGGTGGAAAAGTCAAATAACTCAAATGAAGGGAGGAAGCTACTTTCTTTTGACGAAAATATGGTATGGCGTCGAGTTTTGGCAACTGCATCTGGCGAAGACTATTGCTCACAAAAAGTAAGGATGATACATTCGTCTCGTTGAGCCATTTCCCTTGTTAATTAATAATTCATATATTAATTAACTTTACTATATGTATTCTTTTTCAACAAATCAGGGTAAAGTGTCTTTGATCTCTCAGTCGGGGGTGCACCAATTGCATATATTTATATTCGTCCTCGCTGTTTTTCACATTTTCTACAGCGTTATGACTATGGTTCTAGCCCGAGCAAAAGTAAGTTTACTTCTCCAAATATAAGCTTTTTTTTTTTTTTTTTTCCTTTCAATGTGTTTATTGATCAGCATAACCATGAGTAATATTCTAATACTTTTTATACTGAAAATATACATCAAAGAAAAATATTCTAATGTAGGAGTAAGACGGCATGCATTTATTGGTCACATGAGCTTTTTTATATTGCATTTTTTTTTCTCTCTCCACAGTGATTGATATAATAGACCCTTATGTAACTTTTTCAGTATTTGTAATAAGTAACATGTCCACGAATCCAAATGAAGTTGAAGTACTCCCTTGTTTTAAATTAGAACGGTATCCCGTAAGATGTATTAAATTAAGTTTTGTAAATTTTAAAATATAATAGTATTAAAAAATATTACATGAGAATATAATACATGTAAAATATTTTTTTTAAATGAAGTCAGTTTTAAAAGTATAGATCATAGATTACATGCAATTTCACAATAATTGAAACATCAACCTATTCATACATTGAATCCAGTCCTCTCTGGGCCTAATTAGAGGTCAGAATATCCATAGTCCACTCTTGGGCATGTGAGTTAGTGACTCTCTAATATGGGTTAAGCGGTTAAGAGGGAAAGAAAATAATAATAATGATGATGATGATGATGATGATATGTGATTATTGCTTAAACAGATGAAGAAATGGAAGGCTTGGGAAGCAGAAACATCCTCCTTGGAGTATGAATTTACAAATGGTAATTCTTGTTGCATTGTTTGTGGGACGGTCTTATGCATATAATAAATATAGCATACGAATCATGGACCCCACTCTTATAGTAATTTCATTAATCACTATCATCCCACCCAGATCCTGCAAGGTTCAGGTTTGCACATCAAACTTCATTCGTTAGGCGTCACTCTGGCTGGTCTAGGATGCCAGGAATTCGATGGATAGTGAGTTTTATTCATCATTCCGCAGAAAGAAAGAAAAAACAAATGAGTAACTCATGGAATAATCCCTTCATTTCCATTTTGTTAGGTGGCATTCTTCAGGCAATTCTTTGCGTCTGTCACAAAGGTGGATTACATGACTATGCGGCATGGATTTATTAACGTGGGTACCAAAGCTTCTTTGCATATATAAATGTTCAAGTGTTTGATTAAATGAGTTTGTTATATATGGAAATTAACCAAAAACTAGTGTTATAGTATTCTCACAATATATTTTAACATTTTTTTTTTATAATTTGGTTGTACAAAAATAATTTCTCAAAACTTTAATCAATGCAGGCACATTTTGCTCCCAATAGCAAATTCGACTTTCAAAAATATATAAAAAGATCTATGGAGGACGATTTTAAAGTGGTCGTGGGTATAAGGTAGGCCCTTGACCTCAGATTACTAATGCCATTATTTAAGTGGATGTCTGAAAATTTAATAAAAATACGATCAATTATGTTTCATTAAAATAGATTTATGGAAAATTTAATAAAAGTTTTTTTAATTATATTTGTTTTGCAGTATCCCGTTGTGGGCTTTTGCCATCATCTTTCTACTTATGAACGTTTACAGTAATTCTCTCCTCGTGACCTCTGTATACAAGCCCAATTCAAACTCCATGCGCTAATATGACTTACTGTTACTTGATTGCTGCAGGATGGTACACACTCACCTGGCTGTCGTTAGCGCCACTAGTGGTAATAAAGGAAATTCAAAACTGTATAAAGTTATTAATTATTAACCTTAAATATTAATATCGAGCCAACATAATAACTTTTATTGGTGCAAAAACTTGTAATTAAAACTTCAATTTGCAGATACTTTTATTAGTGGGCACAAAGCTCGAACTTATAATTATGGAAATGGCCCAAGAAATCCAAGATCGATCTACAATTGTAAGAGGAGTCCCTATTGTAGAGCCGAACAACAAGTATTTTTGGTTCAATAGACCCCAGTGGATTCTCTTCTTAGTCCATTTTACCTTATTCCAGGTGCGTGTATAATTTTCGCGTGTGTGATGTGCTTAATTTGCATTCCAATTTCATTGAAAATTGTTTGTTTATTTATTCTTTTGCAGAATGCTTTCCAAATAGCCTATTTCTTGTGGACGTGGGTAAGTATCTTACAATAAAACCAATATTTTTATCTTGAGAAAGTTCAAGTTTTGCCTGTCAAATAACATAATATTTAATAATATTTCCGAAGTGCAGTATGAGTTTAAGATCACATCTTGCTTCCATGAGCACTTGCCCCTAATAATTACAAGGGTCATTCTTGGGGTAGCCTTACAAGTCGTGTGCAGTTACATTACGTTTCCTCTCTATGCGCTAGTAACACAGGTGCACAATTTCAAACTAACCATCAAAATTAATTGGAGAATTATTACCTTTCTAATACTTGTAGCATGTTTAGTAACATTATTTTTGAGAAACAGTTGCTTATTTATGTGTAATATGTAAATTTGTAGATGGGATCTCACATGAAGAAAGCAATATTTGAGGAGCAAACAGCAAAGGCACTTAAGAAATGGCAAAAGGCTGCAAGGGATAGGAGAAAGTTAAGGCAAGGAGGGGGAGATGTTAGTGGGGAAACAACACCAAGCCAAGGCACATCACCTATGCATTTGCTTCAAAAGTATAACCCCAGCCACAAAGATACAGATAGCGTTATCTATTCTCCAAAATCATACCAATCTGATACTGACTTGTCAGAGACTGAAGGATCCACACATCACCAGCTAAATGAAATAGCACACACGCCTCTTCCTCCACCCAATGGACCAACTCATAATATTGATTTTTCCTTTGTCAACCCTTAATTAACTTTGCTCAATTTTGAAGAATTAACCGTTAATGTCATCCAAGCTTTGCGTTTCACATAAACATAACCATGATTAATATACCTGCACATAACAATCATTCCAATGTTCAAACACCATAGTAGCTAGGTAGTTAGTTGGGACTTTCTCTTCTTCTTTTTCCTCCCGTGCATATATTATAAGACATTCTTAGCCAAATCATCATAGTTATAACCCAACTGTGAGAAGCTTTTTTCACATATTTCGTGGGTGAGACTAATTCTTATTCAAATACTAATATTATTTAGGCTGTTTCTATACATACTTTATTAACTATTTATTTACTGTTTTTTTTAATAATGATTTGTATCACAAATTTAATTATAAAAATTATTAATATAAGTTAAAGATAAATTACTTATGTTTAATATGTTAAGCATTCTTCTGCAAATTTAATATTGTATAATCAATTAGCTATTTACACTACTAGAAAATCTGAAAATATAGATGGATTTACAGTATTTTTCATTATTACATATAAATTTTAGCATTACAGACGGATTTACAAATGATTCCGATCTATTTATAATATACACGTCAGTAAATAAATATAGATGAATTTTTAAATCCGTCTATAATGTATAAACAGAAAAATCTGTCTGTAATTTATTTATGAAATTTTTTTAAAAAATTATTTTATTTTATTATAAGCATAATTATTTCTCGTTGTTCCTAATTATCACAATTTATAAACATAATAAAAACTATAAAATTATATATTTAAAATATAAAATTATTTATAAAATATAAAATTAAAATTTTATTACAAATGAATAAGTAACTATCTAAAAAACTAATATAAAAATTAAATTTTGGCAGAATCTCTCCTAATATATGAATATTTTCTTATATTTATTTACATTTAATAAAAAAAATTTAATGTAAAATTTGGTAGAATCTCTCCTAATATATGAATATTTTTCTATATTTATTTATACTTAATACAACAAATTTCTAATGTAAATTTCGACAGAATCTCTCCTAATATATTAATATTTCCTTACATTTGTTTACACGTACTTAATACAAAAATCTAAATTTTCTTGACACATAATCTATATATTATGTAACAATCTATTAATCAATGCATCAAAAACATACACATTACAATCCTAAACCGTTCTAGAGCACATCACCTTATAACTCAACAACATGCAAATTCTACAAATTCCACAAACACAAACAATCCCACAGCACATAATTCTACACCCTTTTTCTCAGTCACACAATCTCCAATCCTTAACTCTATCTTAAAAATTTTAAGTCTTTAAAATACATTAAAAAATTAAACCGATTAAAAGTTAGAGTATCATACCAGGGATACAATGATGCAAATTATCTTTCAAATGGATGCTTCAATCACTCGCAAAGGTAAAAAAATCTAAAGTTTCTTGAGAGAGACAGAGAGAGGTGATAGGAAGATATTTATGAAAAATGAGAAGGGAAAAGGAGAGGCACGATTTTGATGGGTTTCAGACATTACAGATTGAAAAATTTGTCTGTAAATAGTTTAATGAAACGGTGCGTTTTAAACGTCTATTTATAGACGAATTTTTTGGTCTGTAAATTGTTACATGAAAGGTCGGCTAAAAAAGACACTATTTACAGATGGAAAAATTCATCTGTAACTCCCGTTCCAAATTTTCCACTCATTTTCAAATTACAGACAAAAAAATATATTTGTAATTTCAGTCTATATTGTTTTGCGCTAAATGGCGAGCATACTACAGACAAAATATTAATTCATTTGTATTACAGACAGATAAAAATCTGTTTGTAATATCCATCTGTTTGTAAATGACACTTTTTTAGTAATGTTAATTTAAGCTCGTTTATCGTCTTGGTGCATGTCTTATAAATACCTGGTGCTCTGATTACTCTATTTTAGACTTTAAGATAATGAAATAAACTTTTCAAGATACTAAAAAAATGTAGAAAAATCATTAGAGAGAACAAATATTTCTGCTCATATATTATTTCAAAGGTTAAAAACACTAATTTTTGTTTTATTTATATATAATTTTTACAAGTTTTGTATTAGTTGTGAAATATATAACAGGATCCTTTTCCTTTATTCATGATGGTGTTATTGTTATTAAAATGTGTACAGTTATATTTAATATCTTTGGACAAATCTTAATTATTTTGTATATTTATTATATGACTAGGCAATGAACAATTAAAAATTCAAAGCTAAAAGAAACTTACGAGTCACTCTACCACCTATCTTCAAGCTTTTTATATTTCCACTTGTTTTGGATCTTTCAAGATATTAATAATGATTTTAATTAATTGATATGATAAATGGCGTATTAATTTAAAATGAAATATTAAGAAGTTTAAAACATTTTCAATATATATAAAATATTAATTATATTTCTTAATATAAACATACAACTTTATACGAAACTATTCACGTAAAAAATATAGGGCGTAACAGAACAACAAGTTATAAAGTTGAACAAGTTATTATTATTATTTTATAAATTTTATAATTTAAAATGATTTATAATTTTTACACGCACAAAAATCCTCATATTGACATTATATGAATTTAATTTTGACACATTATTAATATAAATTACTTTAAGTTAATTATTAACTTTTACATTATCAATACACACTTTAATCAAATAATTCGTAAAAAAAAACAATTTTTAAAGTAATATGGTGAATGTCATTTTGTCTTGTAAGTGATTTATTTAATTTTCATTGTTTTGTTTTTAATGAATATCATTTTAAACAAGGTACGGTTATCTCTAACATGTCTCACATCATAATATTTTATTATTATTATTTTTATATAGTTATAAGTTAAAAATGTTATTAAAATACAGTATCTGTTTATACTAATGTGTTTATTTTACACGTTTTTAAGAGCATTAAATAGTCGAATAGCGGTTGGTAAGTCAAATCGGCATGGTTTTCATTCTTTTCTATTTTGGTTATACGTATACAAAAGACGTTTTGGGCACATTATTAGACGTTGCTACAAATTTCAGCAACTGAGGGTTTTGTTTTTGTCACTATCATCTGAAAGTGACATCGGAAAGAATGGGTCGAACAAAAAAATGATTAGTTGGAAGATTTCAAATCATTATGTTTTGAGTGAGGACGGCAGATTAAACAGTTAATTATTCATTGATATAATAAAAAAATGCCATTGCTTCCTGTGGATTATTATTTTAAGTCTCTGTTTATTATCAAATGAAACGGAATTTACACCTTTTTTAGTATACCAACGCACACTCTAAGATACAGTTTATTAAAAAAATCACATTTTGAAGAATAAAGGAAGTTTCAACGGAAAACAAAGGAAGCAGAAAGTGATTAAAGAAAGTTACGGAACGTTTTGAAGGGCTATTTTTTTAAAAGTATTTTATAATATTTATATCTTTATAAGGATAAAAATATAAAAATAATGGTAAATTTTATGACATTATTTTTTTATATAATAACAGTTTATCAAATAAACGATTAATTAAATTATATTCTCAATTACACTTTTAATTATTGAATAATTTTAATTATATTTTCATGTGAACATTTTTAAAGATAATAAATAAAAATGTATTTATTTTTAAATTTTATTAAATTAAAGTTATTTCATACTTTAAATTGAATTAATAATAAATTATTAAAATACCAATTTAGTCTTTATAATTATGATTAATACTTATTTGAATCAACAAAAAACATGAAAAATTCCTAAAAATTAACAATAACTACTTCCACCTCATTATTTATTTTTTAAGGTGATTCACAGTTAATGTTATATTAGTTTTCTAGATTGGCAAATATTTTGAAACGAAATGAAACACCAAAGTAAGCGTATGATATGCGAAGAATAGAGTATTGATCATTTTAGTGCTTAATATTAAGGATGTGTTAATTTAATTGTTGACAATATTGATTGTTTTAGTCCTAACTTTGGCACTTGTTAATTAATTTAATCTGTAATATTATTGTGTATCGATTAATTTGGTTGATAATACGAAGAACTAAATTGTGTAATAGTTAATATAATTAAGGATTAAATTAATTGATATATATTAAAATTATACATCAAATTGATTAATGATATCAAATTCAAGGACAGTCAATCGATATTTGTCAAAATTAAGAAATAAATGTATTTTGTAATATTAAAAAAATCAATCAATAAATATTTATAATTTAAAATAACAGTTTAATTTATCAGTCAGTAATTAAAAAGAGTTTAATTATAATATATCATCGGCGTAAAAAAGTATACTACTAATTAATTAAAAGTTATCTTAAAAATACATTTTAAACTAACTATTGCAAAATTTAATTTTTTTTAATTGTCTGATAATATATAATTTATAGACAATATAAAAAAATATATATACTGGCAATTTAGTCCAACTAAATTATAATAAACATATCCTTCTTTCTTTACTTTTTTTTAAACCATCACTCTACAATACATCTTTCAATAAAACAACAAATTCATCCGGATAAAAATAATATTAGTTATTTTAATCAAATATTAAGTGAAAGAGAAATGTTAATAATAAATATTTTTATTGATTTAAAAAAAAAATACTCACTTCATAAATCGATGATTTTTTTATAAAAAAATTGGTTTGGACATTTTAAATTATTAGTAAGGTAAAACACGTCGTTGACTACGCCAAGTTGCATATTTTTGAAAGAACAGTTCAATTGTGTCTCTATTTTATGAAACTATTCTTCGCATGACTACCAATAACGCTTTAATTTGGAATTCTTAAATCGTAAATAAACTTTTATTATGAGTAAAAATATGTATACGCGTAAATGATATACTACTTAGTGTAATAATTAATTAAATTAAATTAAATAATAAAGTATAATAACATTTATTTGTTTCTAATTAAGCTTTTTGCATATATTTGTTTGGAGTAAGACGCGCGAGGATGTTTGACATGAGTGAGTTTGATATGCACGTGAGGACAAGGGTAAGGAGAAAGGAAAGTGAGAAATGAATATTGAATAATGAATAGGGTCCATCTTTCAAGGAGTGAGAGTGAGTGAGTATAATAATAATGGCAATACATAAAAATACAAATACAATACTCTTAGTGGGAGCGAGTAAGAGTAACCTTGCTCTTTATTCTTTCTTTTTCTTCTCGCAGGTCGTTGAATTTGACTTCGCAAACCCTAGCCTCAGAATTCACAAATCGCTTTCCGGTTTCCGTTATTCGGAGGCAAGTTTGAAGCCTGAAGCAGAACCTTGTTTTGTGTGAAAATGCTTCTGATTTGGTAGTGCGTTGGAGAGGTATTTCCTCATGGCTAGGCGTCATGGATGGGAGCTCCCCTTTCACACTTTCCAGGTACATTGTTACACACTCACACCAACGCTAATCATCTTTCAAATGCCGCAATTATTTTTGGTCTGTTTGAGATGGAGTTTTCTTTCAACTTTACTTCAATTTTCCGTCTTCTACCTTTTGACTTTTTTGTTTACCTTTTTTTCTTTGCCTCTTTCCCATTTCATCGATGTGCATTGTTTTGCTGTATGGTTTATTATGCTTTTCGCCGTTAATTTTCTGATAACCGCCCGACACTTTGCTTAATGTTCTAGTTAGTTGATGGTTTTATGCGGAATCTCACGCGCTTTGTTGTATATATTGTATCCATGCCTTTTCCTTCTCGCTTTCTGGCTCTGGGCGAGTGCGTTTTCCAACTCAAGTATCCATTTACGAAAGATCTTTTTTTTTTATCAATTACTTTAGCATCGTTTTTCTCTTCATTCCAGGTTATGAATTTAGTGTAATATTCTCATTTGCGGAAAGATAAGTCTCCGGGTCAAACATTAAAATTCAACCCTTTAGTATTTTCTTTAGTAGACGTGATAATTTTTTTTTTCTTTTCACAAAGCTGCAAACCGCCAAGTGTTGTTTTCGTTGCATGTTTTGGAATTGAAGATTTGTGAATTCTAATGAACATTTTTTTCACCTTGCTTATGATTTGTGAACAGGTTGTGGCTATAACAGTGTTTTTCTTGTTATCTATTGCATATTATGCCTTCTTTGCTCCTTTTCTTGGAAAGGACATCTATGAATATGTGGCTCTTGGTGTTTACTCTGTGCTGGTAAGTTACACTCTGATTCTTCTCTGTTCTCCCTCTACTCTCTTGTGTTTGGTGTGGATGATTCATTCTAAAAGATGTGAAACAAAATCTTCCTTCATTGACTTGTACTCAAATCTTGAACTGCAGGCTCTCTCTGTATTCCTTCTTTATGTTCGATGCACTGCCATTGATCCGGCCGATCAGAGAGTAATGCATGATTGTGACAATCTATCTAAGGATAGATCAAAACTTGATGAAGAGTTGGAAGGTCGGACTTTGGATGATACTGGCATCTGTTGATATGATTTTTCATACTTTTAAGTTTACTTACTCTTGGGATCAGATTCAAGTCATGATTCATCATAACTGTTGATAATTCCCATAAATTAGCGTATTCTCTGTTTTATCAGCAATGCTAGACCACCAAAATAAAAGAATTTCCCCGAATTTAATTATACCTACAGTAGTAACATTGTTGCCTCCTGTATGGCATGTACAGACAGATTGCCATATTGGGATATAATGGCAATTTAATGTTTTCCTATGCCTTTAATAGCAATTTCCAGTGCAATTTGGTAGTCTATCATGCCATTAGGGTTTTCATCTCCTATTGCAGAACCCAGCAAAATAGGACTAAAAGGTGAAGGAATGTCTGATCGGCATAATTCAAATTGGTGCTCCAAAGTTGGATGTTTCTTTTGTCATCTCCTTGCCAGGGAAGATTGCCGTAATAATGAAGATATTATTCTACAGCAGCAATCTGGAGAAGAAGATGCTTTGTTCTGCACTTTGTGCAATGCTGAGGTTGGCATTCTTTCTAAAAATCTTTTGTTTTCCAATTCTGCTCCAAATAAATCCATGATATATTTACTTCTTGTTAGTTATATTTTTCAGGTGCGGAAGTTCAGTAAGCATTGTCGAAGTTGTGACAAATGTGTTGATGGATTTGATCACCATTGTCGGGTAAGTTGTTTTAACGCTGCTCAAAGTCTGTTACTGGATAATTTAAATAGTCAATGTTATAGTGTTGTCTAAGGTCTAATGGTCCATTGTCATACTAAAAGAAGAGGTCAGATCAGCCTTTTAAATGCTCACTTTTACACTTACTAGCATCCTTTCCTTAACTAATACTTTCTTAAAAATTCTATTATCATTTGCTTTCTTTTCCTTTTTCAGTGGTTGAACAATTGTGTTGGAAGGAAGAATTACATCACATTTGTGTGTCTAATGGCAGTGAGCCTAGTTTGGGTAAGTTTCATAAAGATGCTCATCCAGTCATCCTGAATTTAGTTCTCAGTCCCCCCACCACCCCCCACCTTTTTTCTTCAGTTTTACATAGAAAGAACCTTCTATATTAGAATTTTGTATTTTTTTCTTACTTAATGTTTATGCATGTCACAGCTTATAGTTGAATGTGGAGTTGGGATTGCAGTGCTTGTCAGATGCTTTGTTGACAAGAAGGGTACAGAGAATCAGATAGCTGAAAAGCTTGGAGCTGGATTCTCTCGGGCCCCATTTGCTACTATAGTGGTACATTCAGTCTCTTTTTCTTCTATAGTTTTATTCTCCATTCTCATAGAGGATAAACTAAAATAAAACTTTATCTAACTATTGTTACTTTTGTACATGCTATGTTATGAATTCTGTTTGCGGGAAGACTGCATCTTGTACATTCAGTCTCTTTTCTTTCAGATTTTATTCTCCATTCTTACAGAGGATAAACTGAAATAAAACTTTATCTAACTATTGTTACTTTTGTACATGCTATGTCTATGAATCCTGTTTGCAGTAACACTGCATCTTGTATCTTTCAACAGACTTTTTTATATGCATCTTCTACTGATTCACATGTCATGTTAAAATGCTTTCTGTCTTCTCTATTATGTACAATAATTTCTTTTTTTGGTGAGGCATCCTGTTTTGGATATTTATTGGTTGTGTTCGCTGAAAATTATCCAACATAATTTTCAATTAATCATTATTATACAATATTTGAACGAAGTTAGCTAGTTGAGTGGTTAATTGTTCCTAAATTGATTATATTTTTATGAAGGATTCCTTTCTTGTAATTTTCACTTCAATAAAGTGTGAATTGTGGAAAGATTGAAGTTTTTCTTTTGTTCTGTTTTAACATAATTTTCAATCCTTTAACAGGCCATATGCACAGCAGTTTCATTCCTTGCAACTATACCTTTGGGAGAATTATTCTTTTTCCATATGATCCTGATACGAAAGGTAGATTCATGAACCTCTCCTCCTGCTGACATGTTTGTTCTAAGCTGTCATATTCTTTTACAGGGTATCACAACTTATGAGTATGTGGTTGCCATGAGAACTTTAAGTGAACCACCTGGGCCTTCTGTTGATGGGGGTGAACAGCAGAGTCTACCATCATCTCCTTCTAGTTCAGCTGTCACTGCAATAAGTGGAAGGAGCTCTGTTGGAATTAGTTTGCAGTACAAAGGTGCTTGGTGTACACCTCCAAGAATCTTTATGGATCACCAGGTACTGCCATGCTGTATAATATATTAATATTGTCCGAATCCTTTGATTAGGAACTTCATTGAAAGATGTATCACCTATCTGTGAACATAACATATAGATAATTACAAAGATATAAAAGGAGGGTTCACGGGGCAAAATAATTGCAAAACACAGAATGCCATAACTCTTCATTATAGGAAGCTGTCGTTCTTTATGACAGTATGTGCTTTTATTTTTGGTTATGTATGAGGTTAAAGAGAGATTATGTATGATTTTCCATGGATTGTAAAAATGAACTGCTTGAGTGTAATGGTTATGATGTGTAGTGCACTTTTTAAATGCATGCCCAATAAGAATTGTGACAAGAGCTACTATGCTCGTTCATCATTTCTGCAATAAAATTAAGTTGTTGTTGTATGTTGATTAACTGTATAAGCAGGATGAAATTATACCACATTTAGAGCCAGGACGCCTACCGTCCACTGTTGATCCAGATGCAATACAGCCACCTGACAAAGGGAAAAAGTTGAACCAGCGCCCTGTGCGAATAAGTGCATGGAAACTTGCAAAGTTGGATTCTAATGAGGCAGCAAAAGCAGCTGCTAAAGCTAGAGCATCATCATCTGTGCTTCGTCCAATTAGTTCTCGATCTCATGCATACGATGGGGATCATTTATCGAGTAGCAACGTGAGTGGAAGAAGCAGCCCAGTTAGCAGTAGAGGATTTCATAACAAATATGACACAGCAGGGACATCAAGGTTATCTCCTTCCAAGAGCTCATACCCTCCTAGTCAAGCAAGCAGGGAAGATATAGATGCATGTCAACACAGTATGAGTAACTTTAGCAGTCCGCAAGTCTCCAACTTAACTCCTTCTCCAATGCAGAAGCCAAATTTGAACAGAGACCATTTCAACCCAATGTATCAACAACCATCGGGAAATCAGTCTCCTTTGTCAGCTAAAGAAAGCGAAGGGAATATAAATCCAGCTCATGAAAATGAGGCACGTGTACCAATGAGAAGTAACACCTTAGCCGTTTCAGATAACAGAAGATCGTCAGTGTTTTGGGATCAAGCAGCTGGTCGCTTTGTTTCGTCCTCATCTAGAGGTCCTGGCAGTTCTCAGATTTCTGGAACGGAGTTATTGTACACTGGTCGTTCGATATTTTTTGGCAGTCCCGTTGTGAATGAACAGCCAACTACGGGAACAAGAAATAGCAGTTCAATACCTGCTATTCCAGATAGAGATTCTACATTAAGGGATTTTCAGCAAGTTAGATCACATAGAGGTGGCCAACTTCCCGTATTTGTTCCCGGTTATTCCCAGCAAAACAAGTTCTCTTAGATTGCCTCCAATCCTAGACCATTAATTTGTCACGGCAACTATTCCTTCACTCTTTTCATTTTTTTAAAAATATCCTGAACATATTATCTTGCGCTTTTAATGTCTGTCTTGTTTCCCTCGTATGAATGCATTATCCATTCCATCTGTACAGGTTAATGGATGACAACCTTTTTCTGTACAAATTATTGACCACTATCATTGCATTTGAAGTTTGAATATTAACGTTAATATGTAGTAATGCCCCGCGAGGTACATAAAGTCTGCGAACCATATTCCATTTCATGTCGGGTATATTAGTAAGAAACTAAGGTTGAATATAAAGAAAGATACAAAACGTAATATTTTTAAGTTTACAGAAGAAAATATATTTTTAATATTTTAAATTTGATTCTATAATTTTGTTGTCGATTGTTCCCGTTGTAACATTATGTGTTTGGCATGTTGTTAAATAGGGGAATTAAATTGAAAATGACTACTGTAAATATATCTATAATATAATATTCTCAATGTCTGTGTGGAGCATAAACGTTACCGTGTTTTTATTGTGGAAATATTTGAAGAAGTAAAAAGTTATTAAGACACTTAACACCAGGTCGTTGTAGTATAGTGGTAAGTATTTCCGCCTGTCACGCGGACGACCCGGGTTCGATCCCCGGCAACGGCGTTTAATTTTGTAATTTAGAAGCTTTTTTGCATGATCACTGCATGCGGAGCAGATTGTGCATAATGTTATTGCTACTTGTTAACAATTCAATTATATATTATTAAAAAAAACTAGAGGCGGGGAATAAGAAAGACAAGGAAAAAGAAACGGGAGGGACCGAAATTAGTTGATAGTTAGACAAATGGGTGTAATCCACAGTCTAAGCGTCAGTTGTTCCTCTCCGTTCATTTTCGGTCGTTAGAGAATATGCGACTTAGGAAGACAGTTCCATTCACGTACGCTTGCATTGCATGACATGAACACGAATCTACGAGGATGCCATCCAAGAATTTGACTTCTCCATGTGTCTTCAATTTCAATTTCCACACAAAATTCACACTCTAAACAAAACAAACTCTCTCTTCATCATACTCATCCCCGTCACGATTTTTTTGTTACCACCAATTGAATATATATGGGGGAAGGAGAAGGCGGTAAAGAGCTAGATCTGACGCCAACATGGGCTGTCGCTGCTGTTTGTGCAATTATCGTTCTCATTTCTATATTTTTGGAGGAACTTATACACAAATTTGCTAGGGTACAATACATATTATAATAATCATAATAAATTACATTTTTTTTCATTAATGAATTCATGATGTGCATGATTTACGTGGTGAATGTGAATGTTATTTGTTTCAGATGTTCGAAACAAAAAAGAAGCTTGCCTTGCTAGCAGCTCTTGAAAAGATTAAATCCGGTCAGGAACCGCAGTATTTGTTCCTTTAGCGTTATTCTTGCTCCCATTAAATAATAATTAATAATGAATCATGTAAACTTTTTTGCAGAGCTAATGGTTTTGGGATTTATTTCTTTACTCTTAACATTTGGGCAAAACTACATTTCTAAAGTGTGTATTCCCATAAAGTATGCAAACACAATGCTACCGTGTCTTCCCCATGATCAGCGTGCAGGAGCTAGTCATCCACTTGAACCTGATGAATTTATTCCTCAGCTTGAGGAAGGTGGTGAGGCTGAAGATCACCATCGCCGCAGGCTTTTAGCATATCAACGTAGGTTTCTTTCTGGTGGCGGTGGAGGCGAGGCTTGTAAAACGGTATTCCTCTCTTCCCACTCCTCAATCATTCTTCTTCCTTTTAAATTTAAGCATTTTAATTCTTGAGTTACACATTGTTGTGTAGGGATACGCGCCTCTCATATCAGTGAACGGGTTGCATCAGTTACACATTTTCATATTCTTCTTGGCTGTCTTCCATGTCTTTTACAGTGCCATAACAATGACCCTTGGAAGGGCAAAGGTTGGTATATATTGCCATTGCTATATATTTTATATATTGATTGATTGATTCAGGCATATACATCTTTATTCATTCAACCACTCTTCACATTAGCTGTTTCTGCTTTTATTTGTTGTAAATCGATTTATAAATAAATCAGTTTTTCATTCTAGAAATTAGAACATATCTTCCTTCTGTTATCACAGATTCGTGGATGGAAGGTATGGGAACAGGACCATATCATCGATCAAGATGCCTTGAATGGTACATTGCAATGACTCATTGTTTTTTTACAGCTTCAAGTTTTTTATTGTACTCTCCCCGCTAGGATTATTCAGTATCATGAGTTCTCATAATTTTATCGTCTTAAATTCCCTTAACTGGGTGTGTAACAACTGTTCAGATCCTAGAAGATTCAGACTTACTCATGAGACATCATTTGTGCGCGATCACAACAGTTTCTGGACCAAAACACCAGTTTCCTTCTATTTTGTAAGCAATTATCGCTGACAACACTCTTTCCAATATTAGATTATAAAGCTGTTAGCTAGGGTATAGCAACTAAAGCTCAAACCTATGATTTCGGTGTAGAAACTAGAAACTTGTTTCTCCCTACCTAAATTATTCATTCTTTTACGAGTAACACGTTCAAACCTTTCTCGTGTATTATGAAAAACACCTTATCTTTTCATGTTTTTGCTTCAATTCACGTTCAATAACATGTTCTTGATATTTTTTTTTTGGGTCTGAATTCTTGATCAATTTTCAGGTATGCTTCTTTCGACAATTTTTCAGATCTGTTCGTAGGGCTGACTACTTGACCATGCGACATGGATTTGTGACTGTAAGGGCTTACCCAATGCAGTATCAGTTGTAAGCTGGCACTGATTTTCTTTTTCATAAACTAATGTCCCACTTCATTTTTGCAGGTTCATTTAGCACCAGGAAGTAAGTTTGATTTTCAAAAATATATCATGAGGTCATTAGAAGATGACTTTAAGGTAGTTGTAGGAATCAGGTAATTTTGACAGATCTGCAAAAAGACTTCGGTTATATTAGCAATGATATTTTATTACTGAAACCTTTAATCTTTAATTTCTTCTAATTGGTGTATTTGTGCTTTTGACAGTCCAATACTTTGGGGATCAGTGGTGTTATTCTTGCTTGTAAATGTCCATGGTTTGTCTTTGACCTTATTATCGATTGGCTTCCTTATTTTGCTCTCAAATTCTTATAGACGAAATTGCTAACTTCTTTTCAGGATGGCATGCTTCGTTTTGGGTGTCTTTTCTTCCACTAGTAGTAAGGATATATCTTAACAGCCGACTGTGTGCGTGTGTATTTCAGTTTAGAGAAAGAAACAAAAGACTAATAATTAATTTACCTAAAGGTGATTCTAGCTGTTGGAACAAAGCTGCAAGCTATTATAACTCGAATGGCACTTGACATAAAAGAAAGGCATGCTGTAGTGCAGGGAATCCCTCTTGTGCAAGTCTCTGACAAGTACTTTTGGTTTGAATGGCCTCAATTAGTTCTTTATCTCATCCATTATGTCCTCTTCCAGGTATTCAGTCCTTTTCCATTTTTAACAGATTAAAGTCATTAGCAAGAGGACAATTAGCTCTTCATCTTACAAGATTTTAGTAGCTTATTAAATATGCATATTTTTAGATCCTGACTATTTGAAGAGTTTCTCACAATTTGATGCTTTGTTTTACATGTCCAGAATGCATTTGAGTTGACATATTTCTGGTGGACATGGGTAATTAACTGTTCCTAATTTTTTTGTCTTGTTCTCACCGTTGTGTATTTGATTTTAGTACCTTAAAACTCTTCCTTCTGGTGCAGTATGAATTTGGTTGGGCATCTTGCTTTTATGAGGATGATAAACTAATGATTGTCAGAGTTGCTCTTGGGTAAGTCGTGTCCTGTGGCAGTAGATTGATGGAAAGATTAGTTACATTGAATGTAACAGTTAGACAAGTTAAAAAAATTATTTAAATATTAATCCCGAAAATTTATTCAACATCATTGATTAAAATAAAAGGAACAAATATTTATGCAGTATAATGAATTGTCAACGTTAAACTGAACGACAAGATCATTGCAGTGTAAGTGCTTATAACATGGGAGCCAATCAGATACTAAATTTTAGCTTCAACTTTGCAGGGTAGGTGCTCAATTTGTTTGCAGCTATGTCACACTTCCACTCTATGCGCTTGTTACTCAGGTGCATTCATTTGACATTACTAGCTTCTTCATACTCATTTTTTCGCCATGTTTTACAGACAGGACAAAAAATAATATTAATCGAACTAATTTTATAAGTACACATGATGTGCATGAAAGAAGAATGATAACATCGTACTCTTTTAAACACACCCTTCAATATATAGTTTTTAAAAAATCAAAACACTTATAAGTTAATTATTTTTTAAAAATAGATGATAACATTTATGAATGCATGAAAACCTGACAAAGAAGAATTCTTGTTAATCTCAGATGGGATCTACCATGAAGAAGTCAATATTTGATGATCAAACATCGAAGGCCCTGAAACAGTGGCACAAGAATGCTCTGAAGAAGAAAGCATCAAAGGGACGTCCCGAAACTCGAACTCTGGGTGGTAGCCCTGGGGACTCACCAGAAACCTCGCCACGCCCAACAGCAGAGACGTCATCAGAAATGCCCAATGGAACCGCCACCATAGTCACCAGCGTCGATAACCAACAATATGATAACCGCGACCTTCTAACTGGACCGTGATATACACACTTCACACGCGTCGGAACACACTTCTCCACAACAGCTGCACCTTGCAACACTTTTTATCTGCTCTTGTCTCAACGTAGAAGCAAGTAGCAGGCCATAATCTTTTTTGCATTCATGTAATGTAACACTCAACTGAGGCTGCTGTAAAACACAACCCCTCCATGCACCATGGGTTCAAGAACATACCAACTAGAATTAAATTAGCAAACTAGCCTATGGATTCATAATTGTAGCACAGTTTAGATTAACTAGTTATGCTTGTGAGTTAATTCATGAATATCATTATCAATGGCACTATACGTCACATACATGCACTCCTATGTTATCATATAGTAGTATCAACTATAAAAATATAAACACGAATTCTTGGGTATAACTCCAACTGCACCAAAGTTGTTTTTTTTAAATAATAATAATAATATAATAATAAAATGAATGGTTGCTAAACTGACCACCAAACCACTAGATTATTTTTTCTTAATGTGTGATCTTCAATTTAAGTGTCAATGAATAATTAATATAGTTTTGTTAAACACTTGAAGGAGGTGTTAAATATTTGGAGTATGAGAGAAAAAAAAAGTTAGAAGTAAATGAGAAAAGGGTAGAAGGGTAATTTCAATGAAGAGCAACCGAAGAACGGATAGGCTAAAATAAAAGCAGAGGTGATGAGGGGTGTGGCGAGAATTGGCAATGAGTTCCCTTTGCACTTGCGCTTCCAATTCAATAACTTGGTTCGTAGAGAAATGGAGCGATGATTATGGCGTGCTTTGGAATTCGAATTGGAAGGGAAGCAGCAGAAAGAGAGAAATGGTGATGGCAGTTTCGGTTTCTCAATCGAGAAGGTCAACGGCGCTTCTGATATCATCGTTGCCATTGAGCTTTGTTTCGCCAGCGGAGGGTAGGGATAGACGCAACAAGAAGAACATTCCCATTGATCAATACGTTGCTACTCGTTAGTTACTCACTCGTTCTTTTTTCTTTTTATAAGTAAAATAATCGCTCAATTAAACTAATTCAGAAATTGGCTCAGAGGACGGATTGAAATACTATGATTTGGTTGAGGGAAAAGGTGCAGTAGCTGAAAAAGGATCAACAGTTCAGGTTTGTTAGTTTTTTGCAAACGGTAATTTTGATTTATGATTTAGTTTGAATTTGTGGTTCTCACTCACAGGTACACTTTGATTGCTTATATCGTGGCATCACAGCTGTATCGAGTCGAGAATCTAAACTCCTAGCTGGAAATCGCATCATTGCACAGGTCAGGTTCCAATCTTTACACTTTTCTTAATCATTGTTTTACTTATGCCCAATGCTGATGCATCTATGTTATGGTTTAATTAAAAGCCGTATGAATTCACGGTGGGAGCTCCACCAGGAAAGGAAAGGAAGCGTGAATTTGTTGACAACCCGAATGGTCTATTCTCTGCTCAAGCAGCACCAAAACCTCCACGTGCCATGTACACAGTAGTTGAAGGAATGCGAGTTGGGGGAAAGGTTCTTCCTTTTTGTTTTTTCTTCTACTGCCTTCTCTAATACAAGAATATACCCTTTTTTAGTTTACTCATGTTCTTATTATTTTTTCTTCAATGCTTGCAGCGAACCGTGATTGTTCCTCCTGAAATTGGGTATGGAGAGAAGGGAATGAATGAGATTCCGGTAAATAACTCTTACCTGTTTTCTTTATTATTCTATTGTTCATGTTTAACTACTCCATCTCATTGGTATATGTGTGTGTTTATTTACATTTTGATTAAAATGATAAGCCTAGAACATGTGCTTGTTAAAATTTGCTTACATGTCGCAGCCTGGAGCTACATTTGAACTAAATATTGAGCTTCTGCAAGTGCTAGCTTCCTGAAGAGTGAGCCTTAGTCGATTCTTTTCAACAACTTTATGATTAATTTAACTTCAGAATTTGTACCCTGTCCATGCTACGGCTATTCTTTTCCCATTAACCTTTTATGTTCATTTTCTTTTAATCTTTTTCGAGTAGGCCGAGAAACTCTGTATTTAAAATGATAAATAAATAAATGGAATTGTAACGTACTGTTCTTCCTTTCTATTTTGGTCAAGGCTGGTTCTTCTTTCTGTGTGGCTGCAATTTTAAAAGTGATCTTATATGTTGGATTCACTGTTTTGTATTATTTTAATATAATTTTTACTATTTTTTTGGAATTGAAAACATCTGTTAAAGGCTATTTCCATTGGTAATTCGCCTATGTTCTTATTTTGAAAATCATAATGTGATTATCATTAAACTAACGGTGTATTTGAATTCCCATTCATAAGATAAGTTATGCGTTAATAACGTGAGTAGAGGTGCGTACATGTCTTTAAAATTTGGGGATATAAAATTACGGCCTATTTTTAATTAGATAAAAATGAAATGAAATTGCTTCAAAAGATTCTTTTCTTGTATTTTTATGTTTGTTTTAACTGATAATTATAAATTAATATGAAGTCTCCAATAAAAAGATAGATAAAATAAATAAATACCGCAAGCAAAAGTTAAACTTTAAATCAAATTGCATGGTAAATACCAAATATTTCTACAAAATGCAATGTCCACTAACATCAATTAGTTATTGTTCATTTTTATTTTTTATTAGTTATTATTACATGAATGATATATGCAGGTGATTTTTTTATTTTAGATATAAGTTTTGGATATTCATACCGTTTAATGGTTTTTTTTATATAAAATACAAATTTAACAAATTTAATTATTAAATTATGTGATTCTATCTTAAAATTATATCATTAAAATTTATAAAACTAAATGTTAATGAATAGGTAATATTTTAATTAATATTTATATAAATTTTAAAAGTATAATATTTTTTTACTAAAATTTTAGTATTATTTGTTGTTTATTACGTTAGTTTTCTTATTTATTTTTACTTTTACGGTAAATGCAAGCCTTCGTGAGGTGCATACCGAGAACTATACCCCGAGAAATATTATTAACATATTTTGTATTATTAAATGAAGTTTATATATCAGCGCTGGAATTTATTAAATAAAAATAAAACCTACTTGATTTAATTATATTAAAAAAAAGAGAGATGAGAAGAAAAATTAAAAACAAGATAATATAAAATTAAATTTAAATTAATTATATTAAAAATAATGAAAAACATATTTAAAACTAATTTTTTTAATCATATAATGACCATACATTTTAAATTGATGAACTTCTTCATTTAATTTCAATAACTTTTAGATATTTAATTTAATCACACACATATTAATAAAAAAACTAAAATTTCGATTACTTGTTTTATTCCTATTTGTTTAATTATTTGTAATGTTTAAGTTTTCAAAGAAAAATCCTTCGTGTAATCGCTAATTTTAGATACATGAAGAATAATTTCCACATTTATTTGTTTCGCTTTCATATTTTCTAGCATTATTTTATTATTGTAAGAGTGGAAAGAGGTAAACGAGACGCTTACATTGGAACAGGAAACAGCAGTAGCACTGAATAGTGTGGTTTTGAGTGCAGTGAATAAATTGAAGCAGCAGAAGAACAAGAGAAAATGATGAGAAGAGGCGTGATGAGGTTGAATCCGTTTCTGATTCCATTTCTTTTTGCATTTTCGATTCTTTCATCGCCCGTTCTCTCTGCTTCGGATCTGATCCTCGCCAAGGTTGACCGTCGTGTAAGTCTTCTCACACGTTTCATTTTAGGGTTTCGATCGCCCATACTCTTTTCTTTGCATCATCATACCCTCACTTCAGTTTCAAATCCAGAATTAACTGCGACCAATCTCATTTTCTCCGATCTACAACATTATCTATATATTTCTCGCTTCTATTCTATTCAATCTCCATATATCTCTTTCATGCCAATTATAATCAAATGCAAGGTGTACACTTATATGATATGACTTCACTTGCTTGCTCCTAAATTTTCCGTGCAGTATTCCGTGACTTCATGAGTTAGAGGCACTTATTTCGTTCTGACAATCTCTTCCCTGTGGTTTGCAGATTGATCTGACATCACAAATTGTGCGCGTCACTACTGCACTGAAGGTGCTCATAATATCGTTCATTTTCCTATCCTTCATATACTTTGTGTGATTTTTTTATTTTTTCTTCAATTTCATGTGAGAGGTTTGATGCTACCTGCTTCCTGAACCTTGTAACTTACTTTTATTAATGTATCTCATTTCTACTAAACTGTAAAATTCAGAGACGCTGGTAAGGTAGTTGGCAAATGGCAACCTAAGCTTCTGGAATAAATACGGCATAAACTTTAGATTAGAAACTTGGATTGAATATTAAACGCATTTTGAATGTGGAACTTTTCTTTCTTCTGAATATTTGTGCTTTAAATTTGAAAGAAAAACTGTTGTGAAAGGAAGCCACTTACAGAAGCTATATACTGTCTCCCTTTGTATTCTGATGTATTCCTATGTCTTATTTCCCATCCAATTTTTGCAGGTGGAGAATACGGGATCTGATGTTGTGTCAGAGATCTTGCTGTCCTTTCCTGAAAACCAAGCAATTCACTTGGCATACTTGACAGCAACACTTAACGAAGGGAAGGGAAAAGTAAAACCATCTGCCGGTGTTGGTTTACCTGTCAAAGTCGTCCATCCTGAAGATGTGCCTCCCTTCTTGACAATTTATTCCGTATCTCTGCCTAAGGGGCTTGGGAAGGGAGATAGTTTGACATTGGATGTCTTGGCTGTTTTCACCCACATTTTGGAACCATTTCCGGAGAAAATCACTCAGGCTGATATCCAGCTTCTACTGTGTCAAGAGAGTGCACACTATCTTTCTCTGTATCCAGTCAAGGTCCAATCACTCACTGTTAAACTGCCTGATGCAAGAATCGAGTCTTATACAAAGTTAGAAAATGCAAAACTTCAGGGATCTGAATTAAAGTATGGTCCATATGAGAATCTTCCTCCATTCTCATACTTGCCAATAGTTATTCACTTTGAGAATAACCAACCCTTTGCTGTTGCTAAAGAGTTGGTGCGAGAGATTGAAATTTCCCATTGGGGCAATGTTCAGGTCACAGAACATTACAACATTGTTCATGGCGGTGCTCAGAGCAAAGGAGAATTTTCTAGGTCACCTTATTTCTGTGATTCTGCATTATTTGATTGTTTTGTTGGCTTGACATGTGATAATAGTTCATTTTCTGCTACAGGCTTGACTATCAAAGCAGGCCATATTTAAGAGGTGCATCAGCCTTTAGGCGTCTTGTTGCCAGGCTGCCACCAAGAGCTCATTCTGTGTACTACAGGGATGAAATTGGCAACATTTCCACTTCTAGTTTATGGGGTGACTCAAAAAAGGTGGTTGTTGTCATATTGGATAAATTTTACTCTGAATTCTGAAATGCTTTTGCTAATATTTGCCAAAAATAATTATTCTTTAAAAATTGCAGACAGAACTGGAGATTGAACCTCGGTTCCCAATTTTTGGTGGCTGGAAAACTGCCTTTACCATCGGATATGGCTTGCCACTTCGGGACTTCTTGTTTGGATCAGATGGAAAGCGCTTCCTTAATATCACTTTTGGTACCCCTTTTAATGAGTTGGTGATCGACAGTCTCTATGTAAAGGTGACTGAGTTTATTTTATCTTTGATAATATATATTACCTTTTTTATTTTTAATTTTAGTGGTTGGATACTTGGAATATGATCTTACAGTGGAAAATTCTTCAGTGCAACTTGTGCAACATCACATTTAACTTTTAACTTTTCTGAGAAGGAAGAAATGTATCAAGGGAAAATGGATTTCTTATCTAAATATGCTGTTTTCAGTTGTTTATCATTAAATTTCTAATTACTAGAATATAATTGTAAATTTTACTTTATTGGCACCTGAGTTGCTAACAAGTAGCCTCTTATTGACAGGAATGGTTAATTGTTCCTAAATTGGAAATATTTTAAGCCTGACGATTTTTTTTGCAATTTTCTTTATTCTTTTATTTTAAGTTGCTGTCTATGTAATGGGTATTAGTTTGAATTACAATCACATCTGCCTGATGCTTGCAAATTTCAGGTTGTTTTGCCTGAGGGTTCTAAAGACATTTCAGTATCTGCTCCATTTCCTGTGAAACAATGGCAGGAGGTAATATGTTATATTGATATATTCAGCTAAATGATTGCTTTTTCATTCCCTTGTTTAGGTTTTATAGTCCTTCTGTGTAATTGTTTCAGACAAAGCTTTCCCACTTGGATGTTGTTGGTAGACCTGTCGTTGTGCTGGAGAAGAACAATGTTGTGCCTGAGCATAATCAACATTTTCAGGTATTACTGTTTCATGATTTCATCCCTTCATGAAGCTAAAACTGCTAAATTTAAGAGTACAGAATGCATTGTCAACTTGATATGATCCACAAAGGTCATGCTTTTATGGGTGGTACCTGGACTATTCAGATTCTGAAAAACTTGACAAAAAGTTCCAATTTTCTTAAATTTTATCACTAGAAAAGAAAACTTAGTATCCCTAAATTTCATGGATTGTTTACCTTAATGAATTGGGTGCTCACTGCCTATATATTTATAACTGGAGGTTTTTTGTTCACTTTTAAATGCCATGCTGCCATTTTTGAAAAATACCCCATCGGAAAATGAAACACAAGGGTTAGAGAGATTTCTAGATACAAGAACTGGGGAAAAGAGAAATTATGGTTTGAACTATATCTTTTCCATCTGAATTTGGTTAGGTAGACTACTTACTTATTACCATTGTTTGTATTGCAGGTCTACTACAAGTTTAACGGTCTTTCTATGCTCAGGGAGCCTTTGATGTTGATTTCTGGGTTTTTCTTTCTGTTTCTTGCTTGCATTGTCTACACGCATGCAGATTTGTCGATCTCCAAATCATCTGCATCTTATTTGGCAAAGCTCCAGTGGGAAGAGGTAATCAACACATTGTATCATATGCAAAATCCAATGTTTGCAATTGGATATATTACTTATATTGTGCACTTGTGTCCATTCAGGTGCAAGCCACTATTCAGCAAATTCATAGTATCATTAGCCGTTGTTTAACGACACATGACAAGCTAGAAGCATCATTGCGTGATCTTTCTAGGACAGGAGACATTCAAGCCTGTAAAGCAACACGAAAATCAGCTGATGGCCTATTGAAAGAGCTCTCTAAAGAGTTGAAGCTACCATTGGCATTCTTGCAGTCTTCTCCACAAGCTGCTCAAATATTACCGAAGGTTATGTTAGAAATGCTTTCTTCTATGCATTATTTCCTTCTCAATTAGGGTTATATAATTTGTATTTTATTTTCAGGTGGACGAACTTGTTGCTAAGGAGAGAGAGTTGCAGGAGAGACTTGTAGCGAAACACTCTACAGTTGTAGACTGCTATGAGAAGAAGTTAGGAGGAAGGGAAATTGAGAATCGGATTGCTTCACATCAGCAGAAAATTACTGCTTTGAGACAGGAGATTGATGATCTTATGGACTTGATTGATGAGATGTGATAAGTGACTATGCTGCTCGAGACGATAATGTGCTCCCATTTTGACCTTGTTTTACTTGATTTAGGTCAGAAATTTGTTGCGGTTTGATGAGAGATTAGTGATACTTCTGGTCAGAATTTTGTTGCGGTATACTGTCTACTAGTAATTTATAAGCATAAATGTGCTAGACTGAGGATCACAATCATAATGGTAATTTTATATCCATGCTTATCTATATTAAAACATGGATTGGATACTCTCCTAGATTTTCGTTAATACCCTTAAACCGTTTGCTTCAAGTTATGACTCGTATCTTGCGTTTCTGAAATTTACCCAATCACTTGAATAAACAAATGCTTTACACCATGTTTGGAAAATGTTTTTTAAGAGATAATTATTTTATATTTATCAATAAGCTCTTAGTTGATGAGATTTAGAACTTTCCTTAACATCAAACTAAATATTCCACATAAATTAGAATTGGTATAGGCGGGTCTGTTTAGTGTTTTATTTTATTTTATTTAAAATAAACACAAGTCTATCACCAAAGCTGTGGCTTAGATGAAATTATGGCCGACTAATCTAAGAGATTAATTTTATAGCATTTAGTAGATATACGAATAAATCTATTAATGACGTAATTGTAAAAAGCGTTAGAATGTGGACAAATGTATTTTAATTGTGAATTATAGTTTGGAATATGTGTTGTGTTCTCTTAACCTCACTGTTATTGAATAAGTGGTAAGCCTTATAACCTTTATTTGTATTTTGAAAAGTGAGAAGTATAAAATAATAACATCAATAGTTACTGTTAATTCAAATTAAAACACTTGTTGAATTAATATTATACATTACGAAGGCCTTGATCGTAATATGCTCGGTGTTTAATATCTGACGAACATTTTTACCACAGCATTACATAATGAAACGAAACCCATCATTGTTGGGCTTATATTTGAGATGAAATTGGACGGCAACGGGCCCGTGCATGCAGAAGAAGAAAAAAGGGGGTACGGCATAACTGTTAGGGTTTTATCTAATAATTAAAATTGAAGTAAGGATAATAGAGAAGTAGCTTCCTTTTATCCGGAAATGGAGACATCTCTGAGATATGGATATGGAAAAGATTCCAGAGCTTTACGAATCCACGCGAAGGAAAAAATCCGAATTGACTCCAACACTTTCTTCCAGGTAATCGGCGAGTCACATTTTTCGGATATAGATATTTCATTGCAGATACTGCTGAGGTTGCATTTTTCTTCTCCATCTGTCAAAATTTATACCGGTGGTTCTTGTCCCAGGTGCACGGAGAGCTTGATACACAACTAGGACAACCAAGTTCTTTGAGTGCCCTAATCAGACATTTCTATCCGGATGTAATTGAGTCTTGATTTCGTGTTCATTTACCCGTTTCCCACTTTCTTAATTTTAAATGACATGATATTACTTTGACACTATTGTAGTTATCAGCAACTCTTGGAGTAGGAGTGCGCTATGATAAACGTGACCGGTTGCGCTATACTGTAAGCGCAAAGAAAACATTTCCTGTGACAGTTGATGGCTTGCTCAATTTTAAAATTAAGGGTGGGTGTGATGTTGACAAAGAGTTTAAAGAGGTAAATGCTCCCATTTGCCTTCTGTTTTGTTCTTTTGAGTCCTTTAATGCTTAATTCCTTTTATTTTGCAGAGGAAGTCCAGAGGAGCTGCCGAGTTTTCATGGAGCATATTCAATTTTCAGAAGGACCAGGATGTTAGACTTAGACTCGGATACGAAATTTTTGAACAGGTTTTAGTTGTTTCCCCTCATAATTTCTGTTTGCAAATATTATTGCATGCTTGGTGTCATATGGCACCACACATCTACACGTTATCCATTTGTTATCTAGATTATATAGATCCCAATTTTTTGGCTTTTTATTCTATTGTGTTCCTTTTCCTAATATGATGGTGTCAAGACTGCTTTGGTGATTAGCACTTATCCACCATCCTTGTCAATTGAAAGTGTGTACACCTTTTCCCTAGTACTTTGGATGAGAAGATATTGAGAGGATTGAAAATATGGGGAAACAAAACTAAAGGAAATATGGATGAAAAGAATATTGTCTTATGGCCTCTTGTAATGCAAGAAAGTGCCTGGCAGATCACTGTATGCTGTAACCATCACCTTGGTGCACTATTGATAAATGACAACTATGTAGTCATTGTTAGTTTTGGGTTTCTTGCCTCTGCATAAGACTCAGGTGAGTTAGATTTAGAGCTAGATTGAACTGTCTTGAGTAAAAATGAGTTATGCTTCAACTATCAACTAAATAGATTTTGGCCTGCTATATAAATGTTGTATCCATTCTACCGGAAAAAATATGTTCATCCTACGGGTGTCTTTAAGTCAATGTCATGTCCAATTTACATTTGACAACATAAAACATTGGAATTAATGAGTGCAAGTGCTTTGGGAGGGGAAATTGTTGGTTTTGATCTAGATCGAATTGTGAGTCACACTCGGATTGGTACAGTTGAGTTAAAAATATATCACTGAATTGTAAGCCTACTATTTAACTCCTATTATTATTATATTCTGTTGCTGATGTTTCCTCATCTAGTTCTATGTTCCTTCCCCCAATTTCACCATGCTATAATATTGATTCATTTTGTCTTTTTCTAATGCTGCATTCTATCTTAAAACTTTTGTTTCAGGTTCCTTATCTGCAGATTAGAGAGAATAATTGGACATTTAATACAGATTACAAAGGTAGATGGAACGTGAGATTTGACTTGTGAGAAATGCAAAGAGCTTTTTCTGTGGACGTGTTCTGTTTGTCACCCCAACCTTAAGCCCCACCCTTAAAAAAGGGACCATGCATAATTTTTCATATTTAGTCATGCGAATTACTTTGCATGTGGAACTAAATTGATCGATTGAAAATGAAGTTTGCACATGATTTAATATTTATCTTACAATTTGTATTAAAATTAAATTCTTCACTGGGAATGGACGATGTCATTTGAATTGGATTAATCCATGTGTGTGAATGAAACGGTGTCAAGCGGATGCAAAAATTAAGACGCCAATACGATGTAATCCTAATACGTAACTAGTTATAGCGGTATTCGTGGGTGACACAAGATTTGTGTGCGCTTAAATTCAAAGTCATATATGCATCTTTGACGTGAGATTGCTGTTAAAGAAATGTAATGCGGTCAATATATTTTATCTACAGCATCTTTTACCCTTCTTTTTTTATTAATCTAAAATGGGATTCTAGATTTTTAAGAGAAAAAATGGTGAGAATGCGGTCTAGAATAAACTTTAAAATGCATTACCGATAGATTGAACTTTCTTCTGGTTATCTTGTGTTTAAAAATAGCACAATAGTTATCTAATTCGTGTTGGTTTTGATTACTTTCGGTTTATGTGATCAAAATTCAAATTTTGGTACAATTATTATGGATGGGCCCTCTTTTTTAAAAAAAGAAAAACGAAATTGAGTTATGATAGCGGATAAAGAAATTAATGAGTGATCTAGTAGTCTAAACAAGTCAAAGCCCTCCAATTTGATGAACTGAATCTAAACAAAGAATATCCTAATTAAGTCGTCAACTGCCAAGGAAAAAAAAACAATATTAGGAGGAATAGTAAATGTTAAATAATATTTAGGATATAAATTAAAAAGAGAGAAGGGAGGCGCAAATGCAAATTGCAATGAAGTGCAGTGGTAGTTACTTATAGTGCTAGTCCAACGCAAGCGGAAACTTTCATCAATAGTAACAACGCTCACTCATTTCATTTCAATTGATCTCTCCCCAAACACAAAACAAACTAAAACGGCAATCACATGACTCGTCCCTTCAGATATTTAGGCGAGACCGACTCGTCCCATGACTCCCCCATCGGCGATTCCGATTTCATCGTCATCGTCGCCGCCCTCGTCTGCGCTCTCATCTGCGTCGTAGGCCTCATCGCCGTCGCCCGCTGCGGCTGTCTCCATCGCCTACGACTCTCCTCCACCTCTGCTCCTCCTCCTCCTCCCGCCGCCGCCAACAAAGGCGTCAAGAAGAAGGTTCTCCGCTCCCTTCCCAAGCTCACCGCCACCGCCGAATCCGCGGTCAAGTTCTCGGACTGCGCGATCTGCTTGACGGAGTTTTCGGCCGGAGATGAAATCCGAGTGCTGCCCCAGTGCGGGCATGGATTCCACGTGTATTGCATCGACGCCTGGCTGAAATCGCATTCGTCGTGTCCGTCGTGCCGTCAGATTCTGGTGGTTTCTCGGTGCGACAAGTGCGGCGGAATCCCTGTCCATGGTCCTGGCAGCTCGAGCACCGCGCCGCCACTGGATTCCGAGGGCAGATTCAAGGGAAGGGAGGACGATAGCAATAGGTTCTTGCCTTAGCTAGCTATCTTTCGCTTTATATTAACCCCAAATTCATGAATCCTTTTCTTTTTCTAAACCTGTCCATATAAATATAAATATAAATATAAATATAAATAATAATATGTGAATATCAGCTAGTGTGTTTTTTTTAATTAGGAATTAATTAATCAGTGCTAGCTGCATATGTTTAGGTTTGTAATTACCATTTAGCAGTTTCTCAGGTCTCAAGTTAGTTGTGTCATTTCTGATTCTCTGCAAGTAACAACATCCGCATCCATTTGGTTGTTAATTCATATTACAACCTTTTTTTTTTTTAATTTTTCGCTGGCTAGATTGATGTTTTAACTCGTGTGGCAGCATGAGTGTTGATTATGTTGTTATGTGTATGGCATGATCTTAATTATGATCTGTTAATATTAGTATATTGTTTCTTACATTAATAGCCTCAGGGTCCGTGTTCAACTCTATCGTGTGTGCTTCTTGTTTCTAAATTTCCGAGTTATGTGAAAATGTTTTTGGACTTAATTTTTATGAACAGAACACGCGAGTCTTGATTAATGGTGGACATAAATAAGGTTGTGTGTACGGTGGAGAGGGGGAGGAAACAATAAAGAAATGATTCTGTAATGAAAGGAAACTAATACTGGTTAGAAGATTGTGTTGTGTGGCAGTAGAATTGGGAATCTTGTGAATATATGAGGTGGGGCTGTCTTATAAGATCTTACGTGGGAAAGGGGTGGATGTGGTTGGACCACAAAAGTTGGAACGACAGCAAATTGGGTTAGGAATGGGTGTGGGACCCTAATCCATGAAAATTGATAAGTTCAATTGTATCTGACTTATACAGCAGTAGTATTTCTGCCTCTGTCACTTTGACTAACTTATGTCAGTACCCCTTATGCCTTATGCCGAATTGCTACCAAAGGCTGAAAGGAATGTCTCTAGCTTCTCAGATTGCTGATTTTGACACGCCAATTATGTCAATCGTATTAATTAGTAAACCATTATTTATGAATGAATGAATGAATTCCATTCTAAAATTATAGTTCAATTCTAATTTGGTCCACCTCAAGATTGCAGTGGCCTAGCTCAGCCCACAAGCCCTGATTTATTTTAGTTTTATAATTTTTTGACTATTTATTTAGACTAAACTCTTTACATTAAACTAAGTCTTCATGTTAAAAATAACACATTAAAGTCCTAGCTCAGGGTTAAAGACATTTGTGACCAATTTCAACAAGTTTTAAATAGACTGAATACTAACTATGGTAATATTAGATATGATAACAAATTAATAAATTTCAACGTTATGTATGTTAAATTTTTTTAATGTGTGTGTAAAGATGTACAATAAAGAATTATATATAGTAAGATTTTATTAAACATTATATGATATCGTATTTAATGTATTTTAATATATTAAATATTATAGATTTTAATAAAAACTTAGAGATACGTTATAAAAAATTGTTTATTAGTTATTAAATTTTCAATGTAATCTTAAAATTATTTTAACAAATAAATTGAAAAACAAAAAAGTAAGTCCATAAAATAACTTGTCAGAACCGGAGCCTATATTGAACCGGGTTCGTAAATGTAACTCTAACGGAATTGTTTTGTCACATTTTCCATATACTACGGTTCCTAAAGCTGGTTGCACGGACAGAGTAACTGAGGTTACGCATCAGTTCCTAAAATAAGTCCCCGGTGCTTATATTTTAAAAAATATACAAATAGTATAATCAGTATGACAATTATGCCAATATTTATAAGAGAGAAGGAAGAAAATGAAAATAAATATATTGCTGCAGGGTAGTTTATGGGACTTTTTAAAATTAAAATATTGGTGAAAAGAATTGTTAAAGTGATAGAATATATAAAAAATAATATACTGTAGGAGGACCCATTTAAGCAACTTTTTATTGTTGAAGATACTGTAATTGTATTTAGCTCAAAATTTTATTGACCCGTAAGAAAGTCAGTCAAAACGAGTTCAGTTGAATTGTTTATTCTTATGTAGAGATGAAAACAGGCTAGGTTAGACTAAGCTTTAGTCTAAACAGGTCTAGCCTATAACATAATTATTAGGCCTGAGTCTGACCTGTTACATGTTAAAGGCTTTATTTTAAGTCTGTCCTAACATGAAGCCTGTTATTATAAAAAAAATTAATATTAATAAAAATATAAATATTTTATTATCAAATTAGTTTATATATTTTTTTAATTTCTATCTATGTTATTAATAATTGTTAAATAATTATAATAATATTTATATAATTTTATAAATAATTTTTAAAATATTATTTAAGTATTAATTATAAATATTTTATATTAATAAAATTTATATTTATATTTTTCTTGATTTTTTTAAAAATTATATAAATAGTAAATATTTTAATTTTATTTTAAAAAAAAAATTGTTTGTTTAAAGACATCTTATATTCAACAAATAAAGTTATAGTAAACACATAAAATTGATAAAAAAAATAACATTCACACAATTTGTTGAATCAATTAAAAGAAAATTATTATATTTTAAAAAATAAATAAATTTAAACTTAATGCAATATATATATATATATAATGACAATAATAATAACTATTAAATTACAAAATATTTAATTTTATTTGTTTCATTAATTTGTTATTTTAAATTAACAAATAAACATAAAATTAACTACATTATAACATTAATGTAATATAGAAAATATTACTGATATAATAAATTAAAACATATACTTATATATTACATATAAATTGATAAATTAACTAATAATTTAATAAAAACACGTGCAAGTTACAAAAATATATATTATTATATAATTTATTTATAATTATATTGTTTATATTATTTGTTACATGGTCTGATTATATATATATATATATATATATATATATATTATAATAAGTTTTTTATTTTATTTTGTTATTATTTTTTTATAAATTTTTACTTTCAAATAAAATATAATTCAGATTTAAGCAATTTCTATTTATTATAAATAAAAAAAATTATAACGTAATATATTAATATAATAATTAAATAATTAAATTAATAATAATAAAATTAAGAGTACAAAAAATATGTTAATATAATTTTATTATTTTATTTTTAAATTTTATTTCATTTAGTTTTGATTATGTCTTATTCATGTTCAAAGACTTAACTATTCTTTAAATTGTTTAAATATAATAAATATAATAATTTATTATTAAATAAATTTATTATTTAAAAATTGTAATCATGTATACATATTTTTAATTTTTAATAGAATATAATTTATGTTTATTATAATTATAAATAAATAAAATTATAACATAATGTATAATTTAATAATAACAGAATTAAGAATATAAAAAATATATCATTAAATAACTTTATTATTTAAATGTATTTTGACAACTCTATTTTTAAATTATAATATATATATATATATATATTTATTTATTTATTTATACAGACTGCCTATCAAGCTCAACATGCTTTATAAACAGTTCAGACCTGACTTATTTATTTAAACAAACTTTAAAAGAGTCTAAATTTAGTTTATTTATTAAAAATATCAGGTCAGATTAAATCTAAACTAGGCTAGGGCAGAGGCTTTTATTAAGCAGTCTGCCTTGTTTCCATACCTAATTGCATGGACGTCACCAAGTTTCGTGCGAGGTCATGCTTCTTTTTATTTGGAACTAATGTTCTTTGTAATAGTAAATTCAATTCATTATATCAATTTTCAACATCTGTCAAAAGTAAATATTAAATAATAATGTATATGACTTCGAAATTGTCCTTATTATAAACAGCATAGTCAGGTACATCCAATGTTGATGGTTTTCAGAAACAATAATTTTCTTTAATAGGAAATGGAATGGTAGTAGGTGGATAACCTTTTGTATTCGTCGTGTACATTAGCACATAATTCAACCTCAACCTCAACCTCGTTGATTATATATTAATCGTAATTCACAAGTGTGGGATTCTTGTGGTGGGTTTGCACATAAAGCATTTTCCACAACGGTGGAGTCAACAAGAGATCATTCAAAGACGAACAGAGGTCACAATTTCCCGAGTATATAGAGAGACCTCTCTAGTAAACGAAAAGCCAACAACAAGAGCGACTGATAATTGAGGCAAAAGTCAAACCCAAACAAGAAAATTCTTAAGTGGCATTTTAGTGCTACCTTTGCGCTATCAAACCAAATATACTTTTTGGTTGACTTTTTGTTTTATTGCATCAAGGTTAGCCACACAATGATGGATCATGTCAAGGTTAGGGATTCGGTTACACTTCCACCAACCAAATCAATGTATAATAGTTTGTCCAGGATGAATTTAATCTGGTCCTCACTCAGGCACGTTTAAAATTTGAAATTTGATGAATTGTACACCCAAATATGGGGTGTACGAAGTAAATGAAAGATATTTTAAAAAATGTTAATAATACTATATGTTATACTAACAAATAATTTTACTAGTATATATATATACCATCAATACATAATATAAAGCAAGTCATATTTCACAAAACAGGTTATTATCATGTTAGGCAAACTTACAAAAAAACAAGTCAGCATGACTAAGTGTGTGCGTGTGTATTATGGTATTACAGCTCAAACTTTTAACGAGGAAAAATATGTCTTGGTTCATGAAAGAAAGTTTCCAAGTTTAAAAATTATTTATCATGATTTATATATACTTCACTTAAGGAAATAAATAAGATTTTTAAAATTATGATTTATTAAATGTGACACTCCATTTTATTCTACCGGATTATTTTCATGAAGTTTAACTTCGTCTCAACTTGTATTGCATTTGCAAATTGAAAAATAGGGATTTCAAGCTTTTTCAAATAAAAGACACTGTAGTCGTCAACGAGATCTTCTCCCAAATTCGCATTGCAAAAATATGGAATATAAATTAAGATTAAGATTGGTATTAAAAAAACGTAGTGCCGTATATATGCCAACGTGGAGGAGTATTTTAATTCTTAAAGGAATCAAACTTGTCGATATCAAAACCCAATTATGGTAACGCGAAGTTGATATGCCACTTACAATCAATAATTAGAGAATTAGGACGAAAAAGGGAGCTTAATATTCTAAGACGCCAGATATCATTCAATAATTGCTTGACTTTGGCTAAAAGTGATTCCGTCGAGAGGGCTCTACTTTCCAGTACCTAACTAAAGATGATGTTCCAATTCCTTTGTTGACAACCATACATTTTTTTACTTTTCATTTTATTATTATAATTATTATTTTAATCCAACTCATTCACGTGTTTGCTTTTGCCCAACCTAGTGTTAAACATGCGATAAATAAAATGAATAGTATTAATGAAGGTGGACTGGTTAAGACTCTACTTGTTTACCAATTAAAGCCAAGTTTTTACGTGTTCCAATGCACTAATCTCGTTGTAAATGAATAAACTCTCAGGTTATTGAGTTAGTTTACGAAATCAAGAATTCAACTTATTTAATATGCGAATTATATAAGTTAACTCTAAATTTAGAATTAAACGACTCACTTTTTTTTAATTCTGAACTTAAAATTTAGTGGGTCAGTCCGTCTATATACCCAATTCCAAATACTAGTAGGACATGACTTTAAGAGTTTAATTTTAATAATTTTATATTAAATTTAGTTCTTTTAGTTATTATCCAAATAACTTCAGGTGAAATTTAATTATACCCTTGTATGAAAAATTTAATCACCCCAATTCTTTGGATAAACATTTAAAATTATTTATATAATAAATTTATATTAAATTTTACAAATATTTGGATGAACAATAATAATTTGAACGTTTTAATATAGACATCAATTAATTGAGTTTTAAAATAAAAAAATTAAAGTAATCAGTAATTATTAAACTTTAAAAGCAAAATGAAATAATAATACTAATTTTAGTAATGAAATCAGTTGTTTTGTCCCCTCCTAAACTAAAAGAAACGATTATACTAATTTTAGTAATGAAATTAATTGTTATGTTCCGTAAATAAATGAACGGAGAAATAGACGACATGTCGTCTGGTGCCAGCTTCATAATTAAAAATCTGGAATGCAAAAGCATATGAACCCTAACCTTTTTACCTTGAACTCGGATTGAAGGAGAGAGTGAAAGAATGGAAGCGGAAAGCTTGAATTGAGTTATTCTCACCAAATCGCATGGCGTCAGTTTGGACAGTGCAGTTTCGATCGCTTTCTGTTCGTGTAAGCTTCTAATTCTACTTTACTCACTCTCTACATACATAATCATCATTAACGAATAAAAGGGAAAAAAATGTAGGGTTGGCCCTCAATTAGTTGTAGCAGTGGCAGCAGCACTAGAATTCGCATTCGTATCACAAATGAGATCTCCAATTGGCGCTATCGCACCCAACAACTCAAACAACATTCCATCAATTCCATCACCAATTTTCATCATCAACTCGCTACTTCCATTCCCACGCCCCCCTTCCTGGTAGGTTTTTTTTTTCTCTCTGATTATTATCAGGGGCTTACTAATTAGGGCATTGGTTAAGGAACAGAGACTGAAAATTTGTTTCTTGAAGAATAAATTCGACTGCATTGAAAATTATGGGAAGGTTTATTGATTATACTATTTTGAGAAAAAAAATCACTTTTAATTCTTTGGCTAGTGGCCTAAGGGCAGTGGTTTGCACTTGCCTGATTATTATTATTAGTAGTAGCAGCAGCAGCAGCAATACTAGTAACTATGCTCCTTTTATAGCTGAATCGAAATGGGGGAAGCAATTTTCCGATTTGGGTGTGCGTTGCGGTTGTGGTATTGGCTGTGGTGATGAGGCTGAGGGTCCTGTCCAGAAAAAAGGACCGCCCTGGTTCTGTTGCTGATCTTGTTAGACGTGGCCAACTGAGATCTGATAGAAGAGGCATGTATGATTTTTATCCTTACCCTTATTCCCTTTCACTCATTCATTATCATGTATTTAGCTAATATGAATATAAAATATTGATGCATTACTAGTGTAATAAGGTTTGCCTAGTGAGATTGCGTTTCCTGCCTAACAAGTAACAGTGATGGTCCCCCCCATTTGTCTATCTACATTTTTGTGTGCATGTTTTCAGATCAAGGCCTCTCAAGTATGAAGACCCATTCAATAATCCCTTTGTCAAGGTTGGCAAAAGCAATTCTACTGTTGAGATGTGTGGTAAGGTTTACCGTTTAGCCCCTGTTACTCTTACCCAAGAGCAACAAGCCACTCACCAAAAGAGGAGGTCACGTGCATATCAGTGGAAGCGACCCACCATATTCCTTAGAGAAGGAGACTTGGTTCCTCCCGATGTTGATCCTGATACGGTCAGGTGGATTCCTGCAAACCATCCCTTTGCAACAACTGCTACTGACCTTGACGAGGACTTGGCACAAAACAATGTGTATCAAAAGAATGGAGTTCCTTTCCGTATTCAAGCTGAGCATGAGGCCCTGCAAAGAAAGCTTGAAACCCTACAAAATGTAAGCCTTAGCAAAATAAGTAAATTCAACAGTCTTATGTTTTTTATATGGCTTTAGAATATGTTGGGTAAATGTTATGTTTTTATCCTAATTCCTAATAGCTTTACCATTTTAGCCAACAGTCAAAAAGACCTTAGTTTAGAAATTTTCCTGTAATTCAACCAACATAGCCTATTCAGAAAAAGATACTGTCTGATTTTTGTATGTTTAATACAAGGAAATGACATTTGGGTTCAAGTGTAGCTTTACTGATGTGCTGCAAATAGTCAAACCAGGCTTTGTCTCTTTCCCTGAATGAATTAATGTTTCTAAATTTTGGTGTTTTGGTTATGTGACTCAAATCCTTGATATCAATAAATTGGGACCATTTTTACGGAGAGGGATAAATAACAATCATTAGATCTTACTATGAACGGCCAAAATTAAAACACCAATTGTCTTCTTTTAGTGTTTATGCGACTTTAACTAGCTTTTAGTCTTCTCACCAAATACACCACATATGTGTGTGTTGACGTGCTTTTGCTTAATTTGGTGCACCACTGAAACCTTTTTTATTCTTTATTCTACAGGAGCAGAAACTAAATAAACTAGTGATAGATCCTACCAATGCTAAAGAATTTGAACGGCCATTTGACTCCCACGCCAAATTAAATGACCAAGCAGAGAAGAGCTCTGTAAACAATCAGGTAAGTGATTCTCATTCCTATATATATATATATAATATGCTGAAGTGCTTTTGCCTAATTTGGCGCACCACTGAAACCTCTTGTATTATTCTACAGGAGCCGAAGCTCAATAAACTAGTAATAGATCCTACCAATGCTAAAGAACTTGAAAGATCACTCAACTCCCACGCCAGATTAAACGATAATGCAAAGAGCTCCGCAAACAGTCAGGCGAGTGATTCTCACTCCTCTAAATTAAATAGTGGCCCAAATCTCTTTGAAAGTGCTTCATCATCCGAAGAAGACCCAAATCTTTAGGTTGTTTTCACTTTGCACACAGCTTTTACCCGTATTGATCCAGGTTAAAATTGCTGAGTCGGGCTATAAATCTCTAAGAACAATAAAAATATAGATTTGAATTTGCCCAAAATTTTTGTACTATTCATTGACTAGCCTTAGAACTGTCACTGTATAGGTGAGAACTGTAAATATAATTTCATTGCTGCATATTTTCAAGTTATGCTGTTACTCAGATTTCACCGTTAATGCTGAGTCCTTATGCGGCGCGTTTTGCACTTCTTGCTCTAAACCCAACTTACTAACAATGCAATCTGATTGTACGTAAAGATCATTTAGAATTTCTGCTTCTGCATCCTAATAATTGCATAACGGTTCAGTCAGGAGGACGACGTAGAACTAGAACACTGTTTTTACAGTGTTTGTGTATGTTGACGAGCAAGTCTTTATATCTAAAAGAAGTCGTATATATAAAGTGGCATAAGCTTAACTTTGGATATTAGAATTTGCTAGAAAGACGGGGCTGGTAATTTCGTCTGAAGTGGCTATTTTTGGATACGCGATGGCGAATGAAATGGAATGGAACGCATTTATCAATCCGTTGTTTGAATATTTTTTCGATGGAACGGAGAAAAAACTCCATTCCACATCCTTCAAATTTGAGGAAAGAAAGTAAGAAACATTCAATGAAATGAGATGTAAGAATGTGTGGATAAATAATTTAATTAAAATTTTAATAAATATGATTGTTATTACGTTAAACTGTACATGGTAAGTTTGATCTGAACTTTAACAAGTTGAAAAAACTCACTCTGATAAGTTTTACTTAAAAACTTGTAATAATAAGTTTATTCAAACACCCTTTAAATGCATCTCTTTATATTCTAAAATATTTTAAACAATATAAATAATAAAATTACAATAATTTCATTTCGTCACATTTCTTTACTTTTCACGGTTCATTCATCGCCTTAAAGGATATGGTTGCCACCTTCCTATTACCTTGTAAAAGTTCAAACTGATGAAGTGGGTAACACTTGGAATAATAAATTGAGCATGAGAATTCCCCAAAAGTTGGGAAACTATGATAAATTGCTCTTTTGTTGACACCGAATCAGCCAAAGTGGAAATAGACAAAATTTATCGTAAAATCAATTTTCTCAAAATAAAAAATCAAACCTGTGACCACGATAGACATTTAAAGAAAAGCAAGAAATAGCCAAAATAAAAAAGAGAAGAAAAGAAAAAAAATAGGGAATCGAGGTTGTCGTTAGAAGGAAGCTGACCCCTCTTAACTGCCAAAATAGACGAAAGAAAAAAGGAATGCCGCAAGTATTATTGGCCACTGGACACTGGCCACTGGGACAGGACAGGAATGCGCATTAATATCAAAGGTGACTTGATAGTGACACAAAATCTCCCTACCACTTTACGTCGTAAATTTTGGTGTATCATGCTAAATTATAGTTTTTAATTAATCGTCGGTCAAGGGAAGAGTAATAGGTACTTGAACAAAAACTTGTCTACTCTTAGTCACGATTTATAAATAACAAGGCAAACTTGTATCATCGGCTTTATCATACACCTTAAGTTGATAATCGTAAAGGCTCTTTCCACTCTAAAATGCAAAATTTTATATTTATGAAAGAATAGTACATCAACATGTTTGAACACATCCTTCTCCAAATAAACTTATGACAAGTAAAATCTATGAAGACGGGAGATGGTGGCTTTAGCAACTAAAATTACAGAGTATAAAAGGAAGTCTATCACTCATTCTTGGCAGAAGCAGCTTGCCTTGAACCAACAGAAAAGAATTCAGTGATAACTTCAAGGGGCATACCTTTTGTTTCAGGAACCTTCAAGAACACAAATATCCAGGAGATGATACAAACGATGGCATATATGCCGAAGACACCACCGAGTCCTAAAGAGCTGAGCAGCACAGGCAGGGAGTATGTGACAATGATGTCTCCAATCCAGAAAGCTAACGCACAGATAGCAATGCAGAGGCCACGCACTCTAGTGGGAAAAATCTCTGAGCAAAGGATGTTTGGAACTGGTCCATAAGCCATGACGAAGCAGCAGAAATAAACCACAACGCATATAGTTGAGACTGCTGCATGGGCAATATTGCCAAAATTTACAAGGCTTCCGATGACCAAAATAACGAGTGACACTATCAGCACGGGAATTGTAGTAAGTAATAACTGCCTGCAAATGATGGAGAGTTATTATTAACATCAAATCATGACGAAAAGAAGAAAATACTAAAACATGTAGCTTTTCAGAAAAGGTTAAAAAAATTAGTTTGATTAGAACGGGGCCTGTTCAGCTTTTGCCACCGGAAAGCACCTGTGTTCTTACTTATTGACTAACTTGCAAGTAACCAAATGTAAAATTTCTGTGAGCTCCAGATCGTGTTAAATAATCAGAACACATTAAATTCTACAGGAAGCCTCTCCTTGGGAGTTAGGCTTCAGTTTTACTTATTTAATATTTTCTTTGATCTTTTTTCATTAAATAAAATAAAATAAAATATTTTCTTGACTTTTAATGTCTGATCCTTTACAAAATTTTAGAAGCATTTATCATTTTTACATATTTACTCTTTATTATTAAACATTTTTAACAATTAATAATTTAATATATTAATAAAGTTTGACTCTTGTAATATAAACTTAGAATGTTGAAATTATTTTTTCAAAAATTAATATATTAATTACTTTCAATAACTTTTTAAATTTATGCGCTTTAATTAAAAAGTTTGTAGTACAGTGAAACCCACTGGGATATACCTCTGGCCAAAACACACCGTCAAATTCTGTTTCTACCCCCATCCACAAAACCGACGCCATTACATTGGCAAGCTACCAATCAAGTTGGGTATTTATAATCACTTTTACAAAAAGTTTGCCAACGAAGAGATCCGCAAGTACAGGGGCAACCAAAAATGTAAACAGGGATACACAGAAAACTGCAGACGGGGGAAAAAAATAAAAACAGAGAAAACGTACCTTCTGCCTGAGACATCCATAAGCCTCATGGCTAAGCCTATACAGGGAAGCATCAAGAAGGTTGTAAAAGCACTGATAAGGAATGATGCAGATGTTGAGCCAATGCCTATATCTGCAAGAAGAACTTCAACACCGGCCTCTTCAAGGATTTGAGGCGTGTAATATAGAACTCCATTTATCCCTGAAAACTGCACATACGTGCAGAATTAGTGTCAGGAATTGATTAGAAGGTACAGACCAATAAATTGATGCAGTAAACTTGTAAACCAAACTAGAAATTCCATAACAAAGACTTATGTAGCTTTGAATACTTAAAGAAAAGATCAACGAAAGGTCCTAAATCACTCATCCTAGTCTCTAGTTAGGTTAAGCATGCTGATCTCATGATTTCAGTTAATATGAAATTCATTGTTAAAGCTCTCTTTCGATGTTCATTGAAAATTACATGGGAATGGCAAACAGCACCACAACATCGGTAATTTAACAATTCACAATAATAAACCCTATGGAACAACATCAGCAAACTTCAAAGCAGAAGCCTTGTGTGAGGATTGGAACTCATTAGTCAATGGAGAAGAAAAAAATTAATAGTAACCACACATTACCTGCTGAAGTATTTGTATTCCAATTCCAACAAACAAAGCATGCTTAACCCCAGGTTCAAGAAGAGCTTTCCAACTTGGCACCGTTGAAGCTGTCTCAGATGGGTGAACCATTGCAGGCCCAACTGGTCGTCCATCAATAAGCTCCTTGGAGTAAAGCGCAGGTTCACTGACCAAGGCAGCAGCCTGAACAAAGTCACCTTCACCAGGAATTGATACGACGGATCCACGCCGAGATCCAGTAACTCCCTCCTCATGCAAATAAATCCTCTTAAACCCTCCTTGCTTTTTTCCATCCTCACCTTTATCAGACCATTTCCATGCCAGCTGCCAGCCGCCACCAATGCCAGTACTACCAACTTGCTCAGCTGACCCTTGCATGAGACTACTGTGACGCCTCATGCTGCTCAGGATACTGCCATGAGAAGGAGGAGGAGGCATGTCTTTTTCAAGGCTTGTTGTTTGACGTGAGATTAAAGGACTCTGCAAATTATCATCCGAGTCCCCACCAGCAGCGTCTGACATGTAGTCCTCACCCTCTCTTTGAAGGCTCTCTTCATCCCACTGTTCATTTTTAACGTTAGGCTCAGCTGTGCTGAACATGCTTCCAAAATTTGGAAACAGGGTGCTTCGCATGCTTCCTGTCTCGGGGAGCTTCTCGTGAACGCTACCAAACAGGGTCACGAGAGGATCCATGAGGGGCATGCTTTGGTTGATGATGCTTCCATGGCGTGACGCTAGGCCCAGCGAACTCTGTCCAGTGACAGGTTTTGCCAACCAAGAGAGGCCTGCTTGGGATCCATATAATCGAATTTTGTCCTTCTCTGTTGTTTGTTCCCGACCATCTGCCACCTCGTCAGCAGGGCCTATTATATACTCTTCTATAGATGTATCACCTCCAATACCGAGACCTTCAACCAACAATGCCATCTCGCCTGTACGAATTTATAAATTCATAAGATGATGTATCATAGCGTTGACAAATTTCAATACTGGTTGAGAATCACACATTAATTTAAGCAATGGAGAGTTCAAATTGAAAATCATTATCTAGTGCATTATTACGAGTTCGGTACATATAACCGGAACTTTTTTTTATGTGGAAAATTTACCATTTCCTTAGAGGCAGCCATGTTTTGTTACTAGGGACGTTGTTCACGTCACTAAAAACATAGGGTATAGAATCCTAAAGGTGGAACACCCATCCAAGCCCTGTTCTGTTACTAATCCAAATTTTCAGGATAACAAAAATCATCAACTTTGAAATATATAGTCATAATAAGCAAGAAACAATTATGTCATCAAAAGCACAGGACACCTAACACAACAAATATGTAAACACGTGCTCGCTGTCTCTAGCAGATCCATTTATTTTTAACAATCATTGCTTGGCAAGTGGGCATTGGCAGCATAACAACGTGAGATAACTCATATTTCTCACATTGTTAATGATAAAAAAATACAGTTAGCCCATCTGCTCTGGAGGTCGGAACCCCATCCCATGTCGGTAAATCTGTATGAGCGAAAATTTAGGAAGAGCTGGAATTACAATGAGCAGCAAATCCAGGTGGGCAGGAAAAAGATATAAAACTGTGTTCCAGTGGTTTAGGTCCCCAGAAAGTCATTAGATGCTGTAGCAGTATAGTTTAATAAAAATATCAACCGAGTACATAAAAACCATATTATAACAACGCATTAAGCTCAGGATAAATCATAACTAGTGATTTCATGTAATTTCGCATTTGTCTGAAAGGGAAGAAACACAATTCCAACATGCTTTGGACATAACAACATTTACCTGATACATCTTCCCTTCCGCGCAATCTTTGGAGAACCTTTTTAGCCTCTAGCATCTTTCCCTTACTCACCAGCCAGCGAGGAGACTCGGGCAAGAAAAATACGGTTAATGCAAAATAGATGAGAGAGGGAATGGACAGAACCCCAAGCATGAGTCTCCAGCTAGGCGAGACACTCAATGACATACCAAAAATCATACAGTACGCTAAACACATGCCTCCAGAACCAGTGAACTGAGGAAGCGTATTCAACGATCCCCTAATTTCAGATGGTGCTGTCTCAGATATATAAACTGGAACAAGAGTAACAGCAAGCCCAATCCCAAATCCATCAAGTAACCTTGCTATGCATAACACATACACATTAGGAGACCATAACATGACCAAACCACCCAAGAAATAAAGCATGGACGATATTATCAACATGGGTCGCCGACCTAGCCAATCCGATATAGGACCAGAACATGTAGTGATTACCGTTGCTCCAATGAGGGACATGGCCACCACAAGTCCCTCCATACTTGTTTCCAATGCAAGGTCCTTCTTAATGTAAAGAATAGCTCCTACAAACACACAGCAATAAGAATACGACTAATCTGAAGAAATCAATCATAATTCGTAGTAGACCTCAAAAATAGACTGAAAATTAAACTGTGAACAAATTGCTTGCTAAATTGAACAAAGAGAACTGCTAGATCAGATTCTTCACTGTATAAAATAATAATTAATTAATCTTATGAAGTGAGGTTGATGATGTATATTTGACTTATTTTCGTCCAGGATCATAATCATATAGTAGTTAAACTCTCAGATAAAAAATAGAATGCGTTTTTCAGAAAAAGGATCCATTATTAGAAGGGAAAATAGCAATTTGAAGGAGAGAGAGTGAAAAGAGGTGAATACCGGCAATAGTAGCATTATCCCAACCCTGCAGAAAATTACCGATTGAAGCGGCAATAGCAACGAGAACGGCACCTTTCATTATTTTGTTTGTATTTGTAAAATGAAGCTGCGTTCGCAAGGGGACGGAACCTGTTAAATAAGAAAACACATGAATCAGGAATCAGGAATCAGGAATGAGGAATGAAGAGTTGGAAGCAAAAACGGGTTTCTAGCTATCCACCGTACTCCACTGGTGGTTGAGATTGAGAGGTTGAGGTTGATGGAGTATCTATAATTCAATTCAGTCGGCCAAACGCAGAAGAAATTAATACCCGAAAATTTAGATCTCTATTGGTTCTCACTCACTCACTCACTCACAAAAGAGTAAAAGAGAGAAAAAGGGCGCGTTTGGAATGGAACAACTCCTCTTCCCAGAAAGAGAGGGCAGAGAATCACGTCAGGAGCGTAATCTATTATTTCCTTTTGTTTTACTACTAATCAACGAGTCACTACTTTCTTGTTGTATTCTACCTGCTGTCTCTTTAATCTTAATATTTAAAAATGATGATGATGATAATAAAAGAAGTAACCAGAGTTTTATCTTTAAAAATAAAAAAAAGAACGGGTGAATCTAATGATAGAGGGAGGGTGAAGTGGATTGGGGCATTGGAAGATGGAATCTGGAGAGTGTGTGAGGACAAAAAGGGGTTCCAGCGAGGGCCAGGTCACCCAAATTATGAAAACAGGTGATACCATACTCTAAAGTGTGAAACACAACACAAAACACCCCTCATCCGTGAACTCATCACCCAATTCTCTCTTCAATCATTGTCTTACATTACGTATTAAGCTAATTATTGCAATTCCAAGTTCCCTCCATCTGTCAATATTATTTTACTTTCCAAACAACCCCTCTTACTTTCTAGAGACCTCAAAACCGCCAACCAACCAAACCATTTCTTACCTTTTTCTATTTTATGTATATTTTTTTTTCCTTCTAGTTCTGATATTCTGTGCCATTTGTAATCCGATGGACAAATTTAACCTTTCTATTTTCTTTTCCTTTTTAGTTTTTCCAAGACATATTCTCCTCACCCCTTATCTTTTTTTCATTTGCTTTTTTGTCCAAGTTCTTCTTACGTTTCGGTTTCGTACCCCTTTTTTGTTATCGTAACTTGTTCTTTTTTCTAAGAATCAGAATTTGGCTAATTTGGACACTAGCAATTAATTTTCCTCTCCCATTGCCTGTTTTAGTGAAACGGTTGTTTTTCCTTATAAATTAATATCTATCTATACAATTTTATAACAGTGTTATTTCGTTACAAAGATATATTATTTTATTAAAAATTATATTTTTTTCGTCCTTCCTTTTAAAAGAGAATCTTAGTTATTTTTCTTCGATTTAATGCAGATCTCAATAATCACACAAATCATTGTGAATTTTTTATTTCAATGTTTCTGTTGATATCAGGAATAAACTTTCTTTTTGTCATTCTTAAGATAATATACATTGAAAAACATCCTTTTTTCTTATTTTACGAGCATCTAAGATTTTTTGTTTATTAATTAAAAATGTGAACCTGTATTTGATTGATAACGTAAAGATAATCACACATTGTGGGTGTATACAGTGTGCGTGTGCTTACATATATTTTTGTTATAAATAATATAATTATATCTAGTAAATCAGCTTTAATTAGCTGAATCACTAAATTAATTAATTATTAATGTATTTCCTAATTATATTCATTCTATATATTATAAATATCAAATGTGTGATCTGCCCTAAATACATAACACATTATTCTATTGCACGGTATCATTATTCTTTTAGACACAAAATATTTAATAAAAAATTAACAATAATAACTTTACCATAAAAAAGTGTAATATTTAAATCTTTAATACATTTGAGCCTGTGAGAGTCAATGGAATTACTTTAATGGTATAAGACTTTATTATGTTTATACGTATATAATTGATTTATTTATAAGACTTAATTAATTATTTAGCTTTTACAAATATTGTATAATTTTAGTTGACTTTTTATAAACTTTTCTTTTGTTAATATATAGTTCTTATTTTTTTATAAATTATTGTTTTTAATTATTTTATTTAACATGATCTATTAAAATAATATTATGTATTAATTTTTGTTATATTACATTAATTAAAATATTAAAATTATAATTAATGAGAGAATACATCTTAACAAAATATTTTATAGTATTTAAACTATATAACTTTTATAAACTCAATTACTCAATTATCCCTATTTATAAAATTCTATCCGAACTAACAATTCACACAAAATGTGAGAGCATTAGGTATTCTTAGATCTTTTGGACCTAAACATAGTCTCTAACTTTGAAAAAAGAAAAAGAAAAGAGGTTGTAATATGTTCTATTTAAAAAGAAATTATTGTGTATTGTTGAGCATGTATTGTAAAATTTGATTTTTTTTTACGTATTTTTCAAACATTTAAAAAATATATTGCAGTTATGATTTATATATTTTTATTCTTTTAGTATTAAATATAAAAATTACATACTACTTTTATTTTAAAAATATTTAATATTTTTATTTAATAATTAGTAAAAATTATAAAAATAAAAGGTTAAAGACTTATAATTTTTTTTTAAAGTGGTAGAATTACACGGTGCTCTAGTTATAACACCAAATTCTATTTATTTTTGTTATTTTTGAACAATTTAAATATTTATATATTTCTACAATACAATCTTTTACTTTAAAAAAATTATATTATCTATCATTTTTTCCTCTTATCTCGCGTACATTAAGAACTTGTACTCTATGGATGTATATCAGTCATTTTTCTTGCTTGTTTTGCTAAAAAAAAAAAAGGTATACTTTGAGAGATTAAGATTGAGAGAGTTAAATGCGTTTAATTAATTTTTAAAATAATATATAAAAAAGCCAAATTTTTTAACAATAACGTAAGTCTAAGAATTCTTACACTCATATAAAAATAAATATATATATTATTAACTTTATAAATAACTTATAATTTATTAAAAAAATTAAATTAGTAAGACCCACTATTTTACTCTTTTATATAATCAAATTGTTTTTTATTATATTTTCATAAAAAAATAATTAATACAATAAACAACATTCAGTAAGTATATATATATATATATATTATGAAAAAAAAAATTAATCATTCAATTAAATCCCTCAAATTATTTTGATTTAGTTACAATTACAAACAACAATGTTATATATTTGTTTACAAGACCATGTTGTTTGACATGCAGCAACAGCATTACATACGTGGGGCAATTTTACATAATTTAAAATTTACACACACACACACATATAATTACTAAAAAACATACTTTAAAAAATACAATATTTAATATATGAGGATGATAATAGACAACACACTCTGCAGATGTTTTTAATTCTTATGTTGCTATGTCCATATTATTTGTTACTTCGAGAAGTTTATTTTATTTTAAAAAATAAAGAATAGTGTTTATTCTTTTTATAAATATGTTTATTTGTCAGTATAATTTTCTAATTAAAAAATTATCATAATAATTCATGTAGTTAGCAGTATTTTAATTTTTAAAAATAATGTGGCATGAATATAAAGCATGTAAGAAAAGCATAATCTGATAAATTAGTTGATTAAGAGTGTTTATATATCTATTAAAATTATATTTCAATGCTACGATAAAAACTTCTTTGATGAAATTTGCTTTATAATATGCATTTTGACCTCACAATAAAATCTCCTATTTTAATAAATATTTTTTAGAAATAGTATACTTTAGTGAAAGAAAATGTCGCCAAAACCCTTTTTATTAAAACATTCCAGGAATTCACATGTCAACTTGTATATTGTTTAGTTGAGGAAGAGTAACGAGGAGAAATTTGCATAATTGTTGGTATATGTGTTTAATTTAATATTTTAAAAAAAGAATAAAAAAGGAAGGAGTTAAAATATCTTCACTCTATTTTATTTTTCTCTGAAAAACAAAAGATGTAGAAGATTTTTAGGGATTTTAATTTTACAATAATCAAGTAAAAATGTTTTTAATTTAATAAATTTATTTATTTAAAGTATGTTTGTTTTCTATCTTGAAAAGAGTTTAGTTTTTAAAAATAAAATATAGTACAATCCTTATGAATCAAACAAAGTATTATTTCTCTCTATTAAATTTGTTGTCCTTCCTTCTTATCTTTTGAACTGAAAATTACTTTTAGGAATTTGAATTCTTACAGTTATGAGTCTTTCCAAAAGATGAGTGGCAGAATAGGATATACCACCTGGGGTTGGGAACAGCCATGGTAGGTCCTTTCACCATGTGCCATGCATGTGGTGCTCGTGCACAATCCACATGCATTGATAAGATCTTTTTACTTTTTCACCTTGCTAATTAGTCAAGAGGCTGAATATCAGCTATGGATCAGCTTTTAAATCAAATTAGCCTCGAGATTTTAATCTTGTAAGGATACATATCACATAGATTGTTACTTAGATATAGGGTAGGCTACATTTATTTAACGTAATCTTACGTTTTTTTCTTCTTGAAGAAAAACCAAACCATATAAGCATTCAAAAGGGGAAAAAATTTATACATAATATAAACTTAAATTATATTAATTTTGAATAAATGTTTCAATCATTTCACATGCGACGTTGACTGTAAAGTAATTTTGACACAATTTATAAGCATTTATTAAGTTTATAATTACAAAAATTAGCTAAACATTTATACATCTTCACAATTTAATAAATAATTAATATAAAATTATCAACTCGTTATAATTTAATTAATTTATTAAATTCAGTTGTTGAATATTAATAATTTAGATTTTAAAAGTTATTTACAACTATATATAACGTATTTCGTATAATGCTAGTTCTCAACGGTCATTAAAGCATCGTTGTCCAAATAAAAATGCCACATGGACATGACATGTGTGTTCCGTCTATATATTTTATTTTATTATATGTTTTAAATTTATGAGAGTTGAGTGTGTTGATGAAAATTGTTTTAATTTACGAGATTAGAAATGTGTAAGATTTGAAAGTATTTAAATATTACATTGTTATTTAATTATTAAAATTAATTTAATAAATACTTTAGTTTTGTTATATTTTAAAAGTGAAGTCACAAGCAAGGACATATGTATAAGATTAGAGATAAAAACAAGTTGTTGAATTGTAACATGATAGTTAAAAAATCCAATTTTCGATTTTGAAGACTATATCAATAAAGTTAATCCAGCATTAAACCGATAGTATATGACTTTTTGGCGCAACTAATTACTGTTTTCTAAATGTCAACAAAGTTTTTAGACACAGAATCTCTTCTTGAAAATTTAGATACGTCAATGTCGACACTCTTGGACTTGGAAAAGAAATAGAAAATATTTTAAAACTTTATAATAATCTAACCATTGATTATTCCCTAATAGAAAGTTTAATTTCTTCATTAATTATTTCGTAATGTCAAAGTGGTGGACTACATAGGTTACGGGGAATGATCGGATGAAGGAGAAGGTAGTTGACGCGGAATTGAACGAGTCAAGTGGCATGGTTTATGGTGTAACATGCATGTCTGAAATTGCGGTGGAAAGTAGCTTTTGGATGTGATTATTTTGATGCATGCATAAGTATCCTTGAGAGAAAAGAAACTCTAATTCCAAATCGTCTCGTATTGGGCACATAAAAAGTGTTAGTTAATTAACTGATAATGGCAAACCAAGAGAAGCAAATGGGTCTCAAAGCAGGTGAAGAGAAAGGAAAGCTAGAACGGTTGCCTCTAGAGAGCAGTCCATACGTGAAATACAAACTCAGTGATGTAGAAGAATATAAGCAAAATGCTTATGGCACCCAAAGCCACCTTCAACCAAATCCAAACCAAGGACCTCAAACCACACATTCTCCCACTTCCTCTGCTGCCCAATTGCAATTAAGCACCAACTAGTTCACATTAATTCATTTCCTTCTTAAATCATCTTATGCTTCTCTCTTGTTATTTACTAATTAAGATATCTACACATTCTGTTTATTTACTAGCTAGTTGTTTTTTTTAACATTTCTAAGATGGAGTATTGGTGACGTTCAATGTGTAATTTGGTTGGAAGTAAATTAATTAATCAACGATTTTTATATTTCTTCTCAAAGTAAAAGGAGATTAGATTAATGCTATTGAAACGGTGACTAATTAATTTGTCTTACAAATTGCTCAATGTTCTTGAGATCCATATGTATAATATAGAAATTTCTCAATATATGGTATATAAGAATTTGTGCCCATTTATATATTAATTTCTCAATACTAAATTTTTAAAATGATAAAATTTGTTAGAGATGTGTAGAATACAGAGACAAAAAGGAGAGAGGAAGTTAAAAAAGTAATATTAAAGGCATTGGGGTGACAGTGTTTTTCAAACAAGTGATTGTTACGAATTACAATACCTTCCTATTATACTCTTTGCTACACTTAATTGTTAAGAAAATAAAAAAAATATTGATCACATTTTATCATTGAAAAAGTTAAATGAAAATAATGTAATAGATATAAAGTTTATTATATACACAAACGTCCTGGTCCCGAGTCCCCACAGGCAAATTCAAATAAATGAATGCCTTATCCGTTCTATTATTTGCGATTTAGAAATTAGAACGGGACGTTACAACGAAAGAAAAGGGGAAAAAGGAAAAATATAAAGAACGCTGAATTGAAGACAACTCAAGACGGTGATGCTGGAATGCCAGATACTTGTGCAGTGGTTTTTCGGCTGCTCTTCATGCTTCGGATGAAATATAAAATAAGTATAAATAAATAATTAGGAAAAGAAATAAATGAAAGATGATATAAAAAATGTGTTTGTTTAAATATACATATAAAAAAGAAAAAACAGTAAAAAATGTTATTTTACTCATTTACATAAATGAAAAATAGAATGATAAAAATATTTTTATAATAATAATAAATTATTTTATAAAAAATTTAACATACTATTTTTTCTAATTTTTAATTTTTTATATTATTTTAAAATCAATATTTAATAAAATATAAAAAAATCTCAAGTTCTTCTCCATCTATAATATTTTCATTTTGTATGAAAAAAGTTCATAATAAACCATGCAAAAAATATTATTTTTTACTAATTTAAAATAAAACATTAAAATACATAATTTTATTTTCTTACACCTTTTTCATTCCTACTTAATCTTTTTTTTTTATCAAAGCATTAAATTTATAAAGTCTCACATTAATATATATATATATATATATATATATATATATATATATATATGTAAGAGGGTCTAATTTTATATTGATTAATAAACAATAAATCAAATAATATATAATTAAAAGGAACACAAATATAAATTGCTTAAGGATTTTTTTATTTTTTTTTGGGAAGAGGAGTTTGAAAAGGAAGGATAAAATTTATGTTTTAAATAAATATATTTAAAATTAATATTTTAAAATAAAAAGATACAAATTGATATATTATCATAAATTTAATATATTAATAATATATTTATTATCATAAATGATATATAATTTTTTATTTAAAATTAAAAAATATTTCTCCTCTCTTTTCTCTTTCAAGTATTTCCTCCAACTGAAGTTGTTACAAATTACACAATCTTAATTTTATTCATTCTCTTCTCCAAAATTGAATTGGCCGTTTCAAATCCTAATATTCGCCTATTGAATATAGTTGGCGGAACGGTCATGAAACAAGATTCCTTCTAACTGCTTGGTGTAGCTCGAGGTTTCATTAGTTTAGCCAAGTTGCATTGGAAAGGTTAAAATTCTGCATTTGATATTTTTGGAAATTATGTTATTTCTCACATTAATGTTTTTTACGTTTTTATAACTAAGAAACAAATAAGAAAAAAAAAAGGATGGGATGAAATAAATTATATACTAATAAAAAAATGAATAACATAAAATAGTATAACGCCATGAATTTTATAGCAATAACCATTAGGAACACATGTAGCTCTCAAGTATTTTGGATTTAGCACATATTTTTCTATAGTACATTTAGATTTATAGTTTGTTAAATATTTATTTAATATTTTAAAAATAACGACTTATACCATAAATTTAAGGATCATAAAATTTATTAATATAAACTTATAAATTTTATTTAAACAACAAATTATTTGTCCAACCAGAAGCAAACGGCACTCACTATGTTGGGTCCTTTGTTGTACGTTACAGATAATGATTTCACAGATAACATGCATTTGCAATAGCTTATCTTTTTTTGTTAAGTTTTGTAGTTAAACTTACGGATATGAATAGCATAAACACTCAAGTCATTTAGCCAAATGCTCCAACGATTATCAGATGTGCAATAATCTGGTAGCGATCCGTCTTGTCCGTGTCTTGTAGTCACAGAACGTTACAAATCTAGTACCATATCCATAGCTTGTCACAGAAATACACATATTGCAAGTTATTTAATTATGTTATGCAACACAGTACATACTACGGGTCTGTATATGAAACAGTAAATATATATTATGTACACATATTTTAAGCATGCTGGGCCTGCGGCCAAGAATCTATTCCAATAGGAGCATCTAGCACCTGCTGCAACCCTACTCTATTAAAGGTTGTTGAAGTAGACATGTCCCTAAATTCAGCATTTGCAGCTCCTGAGAACCCCATTGGGCCAGCATCTACCTCAAGAGGAATAATGGAGCAGTGGAAATTACTTGCATTTGGGTTCAACTTGTCCATCCAGCGCAAGTGATTAGCTTCATCTAGTAGTTGGTATTGATAAAATGTACCCTCCGTTTTGCTTAGCTTTAAATGGGTTTGATCCTTGACTTTGAGGGTGCAATTTTGTGGTGAGAGCTGGGACTTGAAGAGTAGGTCTGAAAATGATGGATGGTTTGATCTTGTGTTGGTGATTTCTCCTGATGCAATTGGGAAAGAAGGTTGAGATGTATGCAATGAGAAAGGGTGAGGGTGAGAGAGATCATTTTGGTCTTGGGTGTGGTGCATCAGAATGGGGCTTTGGAAGTCACGCTGAGATGAACCTTGGGATTGACAATCTAGTTCCAATGTAAATGAAGTTGGGCTTGCAAGTAATGGAGGGAGACAACTTTTTCCTGGGGATGAAGAGGCATCTAAATTATGTCCTTGGACTTGGAGCAGTGAAGTTCTCTTTTCCCCAGATTTTTGAAATATCCTGCATATCACCCACTCCTCCTGTGAAAAAACCATTTCCTTCTTGAACTTAGATACCTTATAATAATACGTAACGTAAGCTAGTTTTACACAAGAGATCAAGTAATAAACCCCAACACAGCATATGCCCGTATGCATGTAAATTTTAACTGTAATTACATGATTAATTGTAGCAGCATTAATTATTTATATAAAAATGTATTGAATTAAAAGAAAGATGGGAAAGGAAAATGGGGATTCACAAACAATATCACATGTGGGCAGTAAAAAAATCAATTCAATCACATCCAAAAGGTTAATAAATTATGAATAAAGTGAAAAAGGAAAAGACATGGCATTTTCCTGTTGCATGTACAGAGGTCAACCCAGAAGTAGACAAAATAAAAGAGTAGGATGGGGTGGGAGCAGAGATAACTTGATTGGCACGGTGCACGTGGCATATATTCTGGTGGGAAATTGTGGGTTCCGTACGTACCTTAGAAGTGTGAGGGTGAGAGAGGGAAAAGTGACCGTCCAAACGGTACTCGTGCATCACCCATTTGGTCTTCTCCCCGCGAGGGGCCCTACCTTTGTAGAAAACAAGTGTCTTCTTCATCCCAAGTAACCCTCCACTTGATGCACTGTACACTTCCTTGTCCTTCCCAGTGGCCTTCCAGTACCCAGCACCCGTTGCTCTGTTTGTTCTTAGTCCTGTTGGGTATTTTCTGTCCCTTAGGCTGAACAAATACCACTCTCTCTCCCCCGTCTTTGCCACATCTTCATCCACACACAGCATAATTTTTAACATCAATTAATACGTGTACAGATATAATTAACACTTATGATGAAACATGTATAATTAAGTTATAAGATTGCAAGCTATATATATGTCTGCTTATATGATGTTTTTCATTATGGAAGCATGCATAGGATGGTCCCCTCCATTATTAAAATCCACTTCTCTTTTAATTCTCCCTCATTTTGCTCTAATAAATGATCCAAGTTAGTTAATATATCCACAGACATATCATTCTTCTCACTGGCTTAAGCAGGGAAATCAATGATTTTATATTTCTGTCAAGGACATGCATTGGTGGAATTGTTTTCAGCACATTTAAAAGGGTTTAATTTTCGGGACAAAATTACAATGAATGGTGGCGATTATACGGGAAGGGGGACGGAGAAGTAAAAAATTTGTTCAGACTCACACGGAACAAAATTACCATATACCAGAAAAATTTTTAGAAAGGAAAACAAAAAGGAAATATGGTTAAGAAGAACACTCTAAGCGGAGAAGCTGATAGCAGTCGAAATTTGAAGTAACAAGCTAGTAGATGAGCCACAATGTTTGTCTAGTTTCACTAACATAAATAAAAGGCCAAGGCCACTATGGGTTACAGCTAACACTACTTAGCACTTATCTTTCAAAGACCTCACAAATTTTCTACCACCACCATTTACTAACTTTCTTCTTGTTTTTTTCTTTTCGAATTTGTGGAATCAACATGCATGCACACACCCCTCTTGTGAGGTTTTAAGCCGGAGAAAATTTATATATATATGATATATACCTGGAAGTTCCCATGGCTCACATCTATTGAGGTCAACCTCGGCAAACTTGACACTACTGAGACTCCCATTAAAGACCTTTGAAGCAAGGTAAAAGGTTATGAGTTCTTCATCAGTGGGATGAAACCTGAAACCCGGTGGAAGACCTTGCTCGTTTCTCTTTTCATGATCATTAAGTTCACACAGTACCTCTTCCATCGGTAACATGATTCACCAACTCAACACTCCCCTCAAATCTTTTATATTTAGAAAAGTGAAAGACTCAAAACAAGTGAGATATAGGATCCAAGGATAGGGGTTGAAGTGAGATATATAATGTTAAAGGTGGAGGTGAAGTTTCAGGGAGTTCTGAAAACGAGGAGAGCATTCGAACACCACAGGTGAACAGGTATACGAATAAACCTGAACGTGGGCCTACAGTACACAACTAACCCCATCAACTATAATTCTCAGAAGAGTAAATTAGTTCAAACTGGAGAGGATTGTCTTTCGGAACTTGGGAAAATTAGTATATATATTGGAAAATAGATATTAATGAGTACTTATACTTAATTAAGATAAAAATTGTTTAATGAGTGCTGTTGTCAACCAAAACTTTTAGGAGACTCGTCTAGATTATCCTATTTCAATACTTCTATGTCATAGTTATTTTATATAGTAGCCAAATTGTAATACAACGGTAAATTAATTAATGGTTGATGGTTAACATAATAACATTTATTTACTTCCTGCAATATAATTCTTCTTTGTTAAAATAATACTTTTTATTAAAGATATAAAATTATCATTAATATTATATTTTTAATAAAAACTTACTATTAACAATTATGTACTCGAGTTAACAAAGGCATATTAAAAAGAAAAAAGGATTGGATAGTTTCGAAGGTGATTGTTTGCGAGTAGAAGTATAGATTGCATTAAATGCAAGGCCACTTGCAGCGTTTAATTTCTTTGGTTTATGCGAGACTGTTACTGATATCCAATGGGATTTATTGAATTGCAGTGTCAGGTTTCAATTCAGAGAGAATCAGAGAAGGGATAGGACGAAACCATATGGCCCTTCAACGATCATCCATCCCATCACATCACCCAATTCTCTTCTTATCTTCTTACTATCTTTTTGATAACGCTATTTCTATTTAAAATTTTCTAACACGTTTTTATATATTTTTTTTTTATTTCACTTCGCTATTTTAATTATTTTATTTTATATTTGTCTTTTTTACTGTTTCTTTATTATAAAAAATGTTGTGAAACCAGCATTATTGTTATCTCTTCCTCGTGTCACTAATCCTATGGCCACAATGATTTTATGCTGATGGGTCTAATTTTGCATGAAAAATTAGAGATGCAATGCAAAAGTAATATTGGCATCGTTCTTAAACAAAGGGACAAACATACGACAGAGGATGAAAACTACATGGCTATAATATTTCAAAAATCAATTAAAAGTGAAAAAGTGGAAGACTGAATTAATTGTTCTAAGATTGACGAGAGTAATGGCAAGTCACTTTAATTTATTATCTTACTGAAGCTGAAATAATTGCTCACACGCATACACTGTTGAATCTGCATAGTAGTATAGTAAATGATTTGTGGTTGGAACCGAATAGGAAATAGCTACTTGCTGAGGGGTTTGCACGATATAGCTACTTAGGTAGCTAGCATGCAAACCATAACAGTAGAATGCAGCAGCGTGAGGGAAGCTGAGCAAAGCTTGTACTAAATTGTTATCAATTAAAATGGACGGTGCACGTGTATAATAATATTAATATAAGGATCAGAACACAGCAATGAGCAGCGTTTTGAATGGTGCAGGAGCAGGTGCAGGTGCAGGTGCAGGTGCAGGCAGGGACCTTAGATCTTAGTGACTTGGCCAAGTAAAAGATAACAGCAGAACAAGAATCCAAGAATCCAATACGCCATAGGCTACAGTATAAGTAGGTTACATAAGCCTATGCCCTTAGCCCTTGGGCACTGAATTTTCATAATATCTTTTTGGCTTTTCTCTCTCTTTCTTCTATTATCTATTTATCTTTGTGACTAGCAATCTGCAGATATCCTGTTGTATACCTCATAACGGAATATCTTCTTGCTCACTGGGGACTGATTTCTCATCACCTGCCATGCATTAATGAATAGCCTGCTCATTTTGTAGCCTTCCAAATTTTCTCGTTTCCTCAATCATAATTTTTTTATTGGCATATTACACCTCTTTTTATTTATTAAAAAAATAATTTAATAAATTTTTTAATTATAAAAATCTTTAATCTACTAAGCCTATATATATATATATATATATATATATATATATATTGTACGTAAAAATGTTTATATAAATTAAAAATATTACTAAAAAAATAATTCATGTTATCTTAACTTCTGGGTGAGCAAATAAAAAATATATTATTTTTTTAGATATATAAATATTAACAATAATAATATTAATTTTATTTCCCTTATTGATTTCACACTTTCTCAACTCAAAATTTATTCTAATTTATGATTTCAATGAGTGTTTATCCAATAAATTCTTAATATGTATGAAAGTTTATTTCAAATTTTATTCAAATAAACTAAAAATAATTTAAATTTGTCAAAATTATCATGATAACGTCAAATAAGCTTTGAAGAAACTTTTATAACACCCCTTACTCTAGTGTATTTCATTGTTATTAAACTTTTTTCTATTGGTTACGAATTCATTAAACTCTTTTGTGGCTCATCTTTTCTTAATTTAGTTAAAGTTTTAAATCTACTTACCACAACTTTACAAAGAGATATTATAACATTTTTTTTACTTTAATCCAAAATTTTGTAGATTTATTCATTTTAAATGTATTAGTACAAATATTATTTTAAAAAAATCAAAACAGGTATTTCAATATTTTTCTATTTTCAATCACAAATTACTTATACTTTCTTACATTAGTTTTTTTCCCCTCCTTATGTTAGTCTTCCAAATATGCATAAACATAACTAACTCAAATTTTATATAGTATTAAGACAGAATAATTTTGATGTTTAAGAACATTTGAACACTGAATTATAAACTTTTAAAAAATTGCATCTCTTGAAGATGTATATACCCTAGGAGGAAAAAGAGGAATAAGAATAGAAAGAAAGTGATAGACTTTGATAAATAATAATAATAATAAAAAAACACAAAGTAAACATAAAAACTAGAATGTGTGAAAATAAATATTACATACCAAGAGTCACTAACCGTTAGGACTTGTAACGAGTTAGTTATATAAACTACATGTGCGTACCGTACTTGTACTCTCTGCTTTTATCATAACTTGGGCCACGTTTTACGGCCCATTGATAGAAAGCATAACAAGTAGCAATAGCAAAAAAACTGGCTGACAAAAAAATCTCAAAAAAGAAGTTGATAGTTAATATTGCCCCAAAAAAAGAGCTCAAGAAGAACACGGTTAAATTTTACGATTAATGTAAAACTTTATCTGTATAACATGAATGATAAATGTTTTCAAATTTATCATGAAAAAATTAAATATAGTAGTTGTTTCGGCAATATTGTTTTTCCCTAAGAAAATTTTCACCCGTGTGATACTTCTGACACGGTGTTTTTTTTCCTCTAGAAAGAGATGAACGTCTTTCCACTGCACCGAAATATGAATATTGTACCGTACACTATCTTGTGCCACATAATTAAGGCATGTGATATTATGCTTTGATGTAAAGCCACCTGAAAGAACATACTTAAAGACTACTCACTGTGCCACTGTATAACAATCCCAACAACAACCTTTACTTGAAAGTAACATCTAAAACACAACCTATATATACTGCTCTCTTTGCCCATTCTTCCTCGTCCCTTACCCAATTTTCTTCTCTTTTTATCACAATTCAATAACATTAGCCATGGCTTTATCCTCCTTCAAAACACTTGTTCTAGCTTGCTCTTTCTGCCTATGTTTGTCTTTGGCTTTTGGACGAGATTTCTCCATTGTGGGCTATTCATCAGAGGACTTGAAGTCCATGGATAAGCTCATTGAACTCTTCGAATCATGGATGTCAAAACATGGCAAGATTTACGAGACCATTGAGGAAAAGCTGCTTAGATTCGAGATTTTCAAGGATAACCTTAAGCACATAGATGAAAGAAACAAGGTGGTCAACAACTATTGGCTTGGGTTGAATGAGTTTGCAGATTTGACCCACCAAGAGTTTAAGAAGAAGTACCTTGGGCTCAAGGTTGACTACTCTAGAAGGAGAGAGTCCCCAGAGGAATTCACTTATAAAGATGTGGAATTGCCAAAGTCAGTGGACTGGAGAAAGAAAGGTGCTGTTACCCAAATCAAGAATCAAGGTTCATGTGGTAAGTATATTATATATGCGCATTTAAGTGCCAAATGTTAATTAGTGCATGTTTCAATTTGCATTTAAATATCATAAAATTATGACCATTTCAGTGTAACATGATTTTACAAATAAAATTCATCTAGCTGCTCTCAACTAAAATTGATTTTGTTTGTAAACTGAAGTTTGTTCAAGGTGATAAATTGAAATTTTTATGTTGAATTGAAAATGTTATACTGACATCAGTACATCACCATTGACATTGGTAAAACTCTTTAAACTTAATGTGTCAAGTGATGAAACAGCATATTGACATGGTGAGCATGTTGCAGGGAGCTGCTGGGCATTTTCCACTGTTGCAGCGGTTGAGGGAATAAACCAGATTGTGACGGGGAATCTAACATCTTTGTCTGAGCAGGAGTTGATTGATTGTGACACAACTTACAACAATGGCTGTAATGGGGGTCTCATGGATTATGCATTCTCCTTTATAGCAGAAAACGGTGGACTCCATAAAGAGGAAGATTATCCTTACATTATGGAGGAAGGTACTTGCGAGATGAAAAAGGTAAGCTAAAATAATTGGGTCTAACATCACTACATATATAGTATCGTACTAAAAACCGTAACTTTCCCTTGTTCCACCACCAGGAAGAAACCGAAGTTGTCACCATTAGTGGGTATCATGACGTGCCACAAAACAATGAACAGAGCCTATTGAAGGCACTTGCAAACCAACCCCTCAGTGTGGCCATAGAAGCTTCAGGAAGAGATTTCCAATTTTATAGTGGGGTATGTTTAATTATATAAACCAGTTGTTATTATAGCACTTTATGTTTTGATTCTTATACAGGAGAAAGTAGTTTTAATACGATGAATAATTACCATATATGTAGGGTGTTTTCGACGGGCATTGTGGGAGTGACCTAGATCACGGTGTGGCAGCTGTTGGATATGGTACTACAAAAGGCTTGGATTACCTCATTGTGAAAAATTCATGGGGATCAAAGTGGGGAGAAAAAGGATATATAAGGATGAAGAGAAACATCGGAAAGCCCGAGGGAATCTGTGGACTCTACAAGATGGCTTCTTATCCCACTAAGAAGAAATGAGATTCTCTGCACCGCTATTCGCTGACTACTGTTGTTACTGAATTTCTTTCCTTCTTTTAATTCTCCAGTGTCTACCAATTCCAGCTTTACCTTTGAAACAATGTAACGTCTTCCGTATAATAATAATAATTTGATTCACTTTTCATTATTCCCATGAGCCACTTTCCCTTTTCCATCTCTTTAATCCAGATTTGTCATTACTCCGTTGTAGGAAATAATCTTAAAAAGGTAAATTTAATGCAATATCAGGACATAACAAAAAGTTATATACTAAATTTCTTACAATCCACATAAATAGAAATAATATGTACGAGACTAAATTTAATAATTTCACACAGGAAAATGTATGACACGATCATAATTTAACAGAATAAGTAGAATGAATAATTCCTGCCGCTTTATCTTTGGTTAACAAACCTCCACCTCCATATAATATTTTTTTAACGATCGTAGTATAAAATATAAGATTAAAGTCTAAATAGATTAGTAATTACGACCCCAAGAACTGGGTAACAAGGAGAAAGTTTCGGCACGAGACCGACAGTAAACAACAAATTACAATTTACGGATGACAAAGTCTCCGCCATCTCATGATCCTACATGCTCCTACATCACAACCCGATCCTGTCTGAACCTCTTGCATCACCCAAGCGAACAAGGACTAAGGACAAATCTTTCGCAATATCAAACGAAATTAAGCTAAGAGACCACACAATGTATCCCTTAAAATGTTATTTCTAGAACTAATATAACACAGAGCTAATGTTACATGTGAGTCTCCCAATACTTGGAGCATGAAAGAGACACACAAGTGATAACATAATAAGTGCCAAACCTACAACAAAATGTAGCAACAGGATTAGAGCTTTACTTCCAAGGCATGCCTGAAAAGCCTTGTGCTGGGTTATTGTTATTGCAAGCTCCTGTGCTTTGGTTTAGCGGGCTTCCAGGCCCACCCGATGACTCACTAACAGTGCCACGTGATGGCGAGCTGCTTTGGCCTGCTGTGGAAGCCTTTGGGGGAGCAGATACATTTCCCATCCGCTTTGCAGACTTGGATGCCTTGCGACCATCTGAGACGAAGCTTGCCAAAACTACCTGAAGATTTACATATATTTAGAGTCTTTCCAAGAATTGGCCTTAGGGTGCCAGCATACCAACTTCCTCAAGTAAAATGATTCAGGAAGAAACTATGGTAGAACAATGAAAAAGATCTAAATGTTATTGTAGGGTTGTGGATACTTTTATTCTTTCAAATGTTTGGAAAAAAAAAACAGATGCAAATTAAAGAAAGAAAATGCACCTGAACAGGGGATGCAGCTATCAGAAGACCTGCAACTCCACCACCCAATACACGGCCATCTGGCCCTGACAAGGACACACTCAGTCCACCTACGCGGCTGCACTGCCCACCATTTTCAGCAATAAACAATGAACCACCAAGTGACAGGATCTCAAATCGCCCCTGAAAAATATAATTTCACAAATGAGGCCAGTTCCACTTGCCAACCACCAGGACATGCAACTTAACAAGACATTATCATAAACTTTTCCAACCAATGGTAAGGAAATACCCACATTAATGAGTCTTCCTTGTAAATATAGAAAAATGCTGGCAAACAATAGCCAGATAAACAATCTAGTTTGGACAAACTTTTAAATTCAACTATCTATCGCAAAACTACAAAATAAATATCAATGTAAATATTTTTTCACTGGGGCAAGTACACAAATATAATTAATAAAAATCAATATGTTTTAATAAAATTTTTGATAAATCAACATTATAATGCATATTAAAAATTGTTAAACATACTCCCCGGCTGATATACATAATTTTGGCTTCAAGATGAGGTTATGGAAAGGGGATGAAAAAAAAAGTTGTTAGGATATTTATGAACCTCGTAAGTCACAGTTCCACCAGTTGTGGAGGGTTGCCGAAGTGTAACATTGGATATGGCTCCATTTGCTGTTAAGATGCAAACATGCCTTGAATCATTCTCAGAAAGTGCCATAATTCTGGATGACAAGTCCTGAATATCAAAATATACATTAAAATATCAATCTTAGGTCCAGGAGAACCAATAAAAATGTTGGGGAGATTACTAGAAATTGACCCACCCCCTATTTCCCCAAAAGGAAAACAGAATAAGGTGCTTACATTATAACGAAGAGTCATACCATGAAAGACAGAAGTGATAAATTAATGTAAAGTCAGAGGAATCTATGCACAAGGGAATGCATTAAACTAAAGAATTTAAACAATATAACTGTTAAGCAAAACAGAAAGTCATACTTAATACTAGAGCTGCTATTCAAATTTTAATGAAGATTTCCTCCATCAATTAACTGCCCATGGTCTTTCCAATGTTTCAAAATTACATGTCGATAATCAATAATCATTTATTAAGTATTTAGTCAATTTTCAATTAAGGAAATTCAGCTGCATAGTTTAGAGGAGCAAATGACTACTGAAAAGCTACTAAATTCATAAAGTTATGATGCTTTCTTAACCCAACTGCAAAACTCATTATCATTTTCAACTGGTTTATACACCAGTGAAAATTTGAAATAAGAATGAAAGGTATACAAGAGGGATAGAGGAATCAAAGGGATGAAACAATCAGAAAAAAAAATAAAAAAAAAAAAATTGTAAGATCCAAGGTGAAAATATATTTCATCAAAGGGTTAGATTATTCTCATTCACCCCAAGGAAATATAGTTAACAATCAAACGTCATAATGTTGACAAAAACAAGCAAGTTAACAAAATAAATTAAACATAAAATCATTTTCAGAAACAAATAATCATCGAAGTAAACCAATTACCATTTAACAAAAGCATACATGTTTTAATAAGAGGCACGGATCAGGAGTTATTGAACAACAAGAAATGTTAATATAAGGAAAAAAAATTATCTACAAAATAGAAGAGAATGCAGCAGTCACTCCCAACAAAATTAATTCAGTCGATACATTTCAGAAATTCTGTAAGATTTTAAGCAGATACCTCTCCAGCTTTCACAGTAATGACATGTGGTGTAAATGTAGCTCCTGACCCTGCAGAAAGATTTCAAGAGAGGATATCACCACTTATGAAATTTGATTGTTAACTTCTGGAGCAAAGCAAATGCAAATTTGCAATTAATATGACATGCAAATGAAAAAGTAGCGAAAATTTATGGATATCTAAGAGAAAAATAGATGCAAGTAAGTAGTAAATTGCATATTAAGGGAAAGCAAAAAGGGAAAAAAAAAAACACAATAAAAGGGACACCTCATGACCTGCGGGCAAAAGAGTAATTTTGAAAATCATAGAATAGATAACCATACGAAATAGGTCCCAAATTATAGTTTTAGCATATAAATAAACATAATAACAAGTATTTTACAATTTAAAATCCATAGTGACCCACAGAGAAGTATATAAGCTTAAGCTCTATATTAAAATGAACAAAACCTATCGTGTATATATATTATATGACTCTTACCAGAGACACAGACTGCATGTCAGGGAAGCAAAAATGTAAAAAAATAAGACATGACCTTAAAAACTAAAAGATTCACCAGAACAAGTCAAAATAAAGTATACGCTTTGGCCGTAGGAACTCCTCAATTTTAATATTTATTATACATTTTTAAAAAATAATATAAAGTTAAGAGCTTTGAAGCTTACTCTAGAAACCTAGTTAAAGTTGAAGAAGAGAAGGGGAAATAGCAGTTACCGTAAGAAGACTTTGAGGGATTCTTATTGAGAGAGCCACGAGGTCTGCCTCTACGCTTCAAGGAACCAGGTGAGGCAGAATCAGAAGCAGAAGCAGGTGGAAACTGCCCACCAGAGTGGCTAACGGGCACGGCGGCCGAAGAAGCAGGAGGAGGGGTAGTCGTCAAGGACAACGACATGGTACCATCAGGCCCATATTTCCTGGGCCTACCCCTCTTTCTCTTCAGTGTTTCTGAAGAACCACCCATCATGGCCGGGACCTGGACCTGGCCCTGGCCCTGGCCCAGGCCTAGTCCCTGGGGCACTGCTGCAGCAGAGGATTCTCCACCGTTCATGTTAACAGTACTGGCAGCGTAAACAGCGGTGCCATCAGCAGCATAGTCCAATCGCATGTTTTGATGAAGTTGAGGTTGATGCTGATGCTGATGCTGATGCTGATGTTGGAGACTGTGCATCCCAAGCGAGAATTGCTCCCTGCTTCCCATTTCGGTTCCAGACATGTTTAGGTTTTGGTCTCACTCTCGAACTGAATCTCTCTGTGGATTCAACAACAACAAGTGCAATCTTATCATTTGCTTCTAACTTAATATAAACCCTAACCTAATCCTATTATAGTATAACTACAACTGGTTGCACTCTCCCTCTTCACCTCCCCTCAATACAAACATCATCTTTCCTTTTTCTACTTCTACACGTACATCTACAATTCAAATTCAAATTTCAAAATCTATGGGTCGTTCCATAAATGAAACCCTCGCATTTTTATTTTTTTTCATTTTCAAATTTTTGCATTCCCACCAGATTGAAATTTTTTTACCTCACTTTTGAATTCTCAAAATTTGTTTTTCCACCCTCCAAAATCTAAACGACAAAGAAAATGGGGAAAATACAGAAGAAAATTCAAACCCTAATTTTGCATCGGCGAAGCAGTAAAAACTTCTCCAATCGGCCACGCCGATGAAATTACAGAATTTACTAGCGGGGATCATGAATATAATTTTTAATTACAAAAATATTATAGTTTTTTGTTTAGTTTCATTAAATGGATTTTATTTTTTTTTAATTTGCAGTGAGCATCAAGAATTAAAACGGAAAACCTGAAAAAAATTGATGACTAATAAAATCATAAAATGAGCATAAATAAACTTGTTTAACTTACCAATGACTTGACGGGGAAAAAATATTGGCGAGAGTAAGAATTACGAGAGGAGAAAATTGTAGGATTTTGGAAAGAAAAAACGAAGACGTTCCTCAGGTACAATAGATTTGAATTGTTTTTTAATTTTATTGTTTTTTATTTATTCTTAAATAGGTTGGAAATGAGTTTTTCCTTATGTGCCCCTCTGAAGTGGCATTTATTAATTATTAATATTTCAAAAAGGAAGTAAAAAGTTAACCAATTGGATTTGGTGTGGTTTTGGTACGAAAAAGAAAATGTCATAAAGAGAATGAGATTCAGTCTTGATAAGCTTATCCGGTTGTTACACGCCGCCGTTTCTGGATAAATACTCTCTTTATTTTTGCAAACTCTCCATTTCTTTCTTCCTCTCTGTTTTTCTTTTTCTATTGGTGTATAACTAAAAATTTATTAAGTTATTTTGATATCTGAGTAAGTATGGATTAAATTTACATAAAATCAAATAAATTTATTTTAAATTTAATTATATAAATTATATTTTAAATTAATTTTGAATTCGATTTAAAATCAATTTTAAATTTAATAAAATATTTTATAAATATTTTTTATAATGTTATTAAATTATTATATTAAAAATAAAATTTCATAATAATTAATGTAAAATTATATCTGTGTATTTTAAGAAAGTAATAATATAATTTTTTTACATTTATATTAATTAAAATTAAATTCATATTTTTTTTACTTTACATCATTTATTTATCGCATAAAAATTAAATATATAAATTGAATTCAAATTTTTTTCTTTGAAAATTAATTTTAAATTTTAGATTCGATTCAAAATATAGTTTTAATTGAAATCAGTTTGAAATCCAATAATTTATGTTAATTTATTTTAAATTTAATTTTCAAGGTAAAATTAATTTTTAATATATTTTTAAATTTATTTTTTTAATGTAAAACTACTTTTTTGTACTGCACTTTTGAATTAAATTAATTTATTTTAAAAAGGTTTTAATAATTTTTATTAATTATATCATAAAATATATTTTTTTAATACTTATTTTTATTGAATAGAGTTAATGATTAAAGTTTAGATTAAAATTATAAAAAATATTAATATTAAATAATAATAATAATAATAATCTTATAATATTTTTTAAAATTAAAGACATAAATTTAAATATAAAAATAATAATAATAAATTCAAAATATTTGTTATATTTTTATATCTTTAATATGATAATTATATTGTAAAAATATTATTTTCAATATTTACTTTTAATTATAAGAATTAGGATTAAGAAAAAATATTAGTTATAAAATATAGTAATGAACAAATTTTGTGAAATATTAGTTATAAATTTTTATAAAATATAAAAAAATATCAGTTGTAAAATATACATAAAAGTCTAAAATATGAATTGATTTAAAATATCAGTTGCAAAATATACACACAATATCTCCATGCACAATATGAATTTAAATAAATAAATAAAATCCAATTTAGAATGTGAATTGAAAATAATAAACTGGTTAAAAAATATGATGATTTAAAAAATTAGTTTAATATAAATTTAAAATTTTAAAATCAATTTAATATTGATTATAGATTGAACTTGCATAATTAAATTTGTTGCCCAGTCTTATTATCTATATATTGTAACATATTATTCTTTAATAAATTTTCAATTAATTAGTTGATAGATAATTTGGTTTACTTTTGAATATTTATTTCAAAATAAAAACAACCAACAAAACTAATAATAGTTTGACAAGGATAATGATAAAGAAAATAAACACTAACATGTATGAAAATTATTACAATTAAATCATATTGTATATGGTACACACACTTAAAATATTTAATAATATAAAAGTGTCATTCAATTACTTTTAAAGTGAGTTTTTCTATTTAATGATTAGTATTGTGGTTGAATAATTGTACAATTTTATTTTAATCTACTCTTTAATTATTTTTCAATAAATTTATTTTTAATTATATTTAATAATTTTAATATTTATTAAAAAACCAAAATAGTTGATAAATATTTTATTATTTTTTTCCAATTATAATGATGAAAAATTTGACATAAATGTTTAATAACAATTCATTTATTTCCTTTAATAATAATAACATGTTTCAGACTTTTATGTTTATTAATAAAAAAATTATAAAACTTTTAAAAGTTATTTTTTTAATCTTGTGCAATTTTGTGCATTAGGTCTCCATTACAAAGTGAAATTCAAGTTGTTTCAATCTTATAATCAACATAAATTAGAAGAAAAAATTTGTGTAAATTTTCATCTTTTAATTCATAATTCACTTGAATTGTTATAGTTTCCATTATGAACCCTTGGCCCACTTCCTAAAGTGGACTACTAGACCCATAGTTCAAATAGTAAATTATAGACCTAAATTGTTATATTTTTCATATAAAAATAAATTATATTCTCTCTCTATTTCCTTCTCTTCTTTAGTGGTTTAGTTGTAAGTTATAAAAATATCAAATATAGAAAAATAGTTTAAATTTTATCACAGAAACACATTCCCATCGTCCACCCCGTTCTTAGAAAAAAATATTATTTACCTACTAGAATAAAAAAAAAAAACTTTAACATGTTTATAGTTTTTTTCTTCACTGCACTCTTACATTTACACCAATTTTTTTTATGAAGCTTTTTAAGTTTACTTTTTTAAAACATATTATACAATACAATGTTAATGCTTATGTACTGCACATATTTTTAAATATTTTTCATCACTAATATTACAACACTATAATTACAGATAAATTTTATTATGTGTAAATTAACACATGCTGCATATTTTAAATGTGCATTTGAAACCAATGCAAATTTGTCAAATGAAAATTATAAGAGCTAAATAATAAGTTTTAGACATTTTTCATCAAATGATTTGAGACAAAAAAACAAAAGAAAAGAAAAGAGATAAAAGTGGAATCACTTTATTTTTTCTCCAAATTCATGAAGATATGATTGAGAAAATTTAGCAAATGCATCCATTTTAAATACTTTTTCTTTTAATCTTTTATGCCATGTAAAGATCAAGGTTTTATGCTATATAACATAAATTACTGCAGACATTTTAGATATTTTTATATATACATTTTTTCCTTCTCATTTTTACATGACAAATAAAAAACAAATTTTAGAAAGGAGAAGAAATAAACCAAAAATTGTAGATGGGCTACAGCATGGGAGGACTAAAATTACTATTATTTCTTTTTGTTTTAATTTGAAAATTGCAATAATAATAAAAATTAGAAATGGAGGCAGAGAAGGTAATCTGAAAGGAATGGCGTCCATTTCGTGGCTGTGTTGTGTTCGTATGCAACCCACACTTTGTAACTTTACGGCCTCTGCTACTGAGAAAGGTCCTCCACTACCCATTAACTAAGTTGAGCTCAATTTTCATCTACTTCAACATCCTTCATCCATTTGTCTAAGGTTTTTGTCCAGGTCTATCGCCTCCCATAACCTTGAAGTTGGACCATCATAGAAAAACATCATGTTTACTGTAAGAATACAACCATAACTTTTTGCTTCTCAATTTCCATCATTTCTCATGTGTTATGCATAAACAACGTGCTAATTATATACGTGTTCTATCAGTTCTTCCATTGAAGATCGATGTGCGGTTAATAGAAGACAACTAATTCTTCACGCTGCTGTAGCTGTTATTGCAGCTCCAGCAACTGCTCCAAATGCATTGGCTCTCAATGGTGATTCCTACTTATTTATTTATTTAAAAATAAAGGATCTTCCCTTGTATTCTTACTAATTATGTGTCTTGGTCTTAGATGCTTCCGAGGATGTTCGTATCTACACTGACCATGACAACAAGTTCAAGATAGAGATTCCCCAAGGTGAATTGAATTCCAAGTTTTGAAGTAAAACCATACACTCAATTCAGTTTAGTTGCTTAAATTATATATAGTTGTGTTTTTATGGCTGGATCAGAGTGGCAAGTAGGAACAGGAGAGCCTAGTGGGTTTAAATCAATAACTGCTTTCTACCCAAATGAGGCATCCAATTCCAGTGGTATTCTCACAGTCTACTACTTGTCAATTTGTATTTCTGATCACTTGTTTATCTACACTATATAAAATCAATTGCTAACAATTTGGTGCTTCAGTGAGCGTTGTGATTACAGGGCTGGGACCAGATTTCACTAAGATGGAATCCTTTGGCAAAGTCGATGAGTTTGCTCAGACTTTGGTGTGATTTCATTATTAGATTTGGAACTTTCCTTCCGCTGTGGTCCAACTAATGCTAAAATTTTCCCTTACTTCCTTAAAATGAATTCACAGGTTAGTGGACTGGACAGAAGCTGGCAAAGACCCCCGGGTGTGGCCGCTAAACTAGTAGATTGTAAAACATCTAATGGTGCATACCTCTGCTTTTAAATCTCCTTCATTATGGTAAAAGACTATAGGTTATAAGATTGTAAGGGGAAGAAAAGAAGTAAGGATGCTATAAAATTGCTTCAGGTATACTAAAAATGGGTAGAAACCACTCTTATTTAGAAAAGCAAAACATCTAAATAAGTGAATGTAACATCACCCGTGCATAAAGCAGGAAATATAAATGAAATGTTCATGAATGATCTAAACTTTGAAGTATCAATGGAGATATATTTTAGATACATACCTATACTTACTCCTAAAATATGCCTAGTGCTTATTTATTTTCAAACAATGGTTCAGGGATTTATTACATCCAGTACTGGCTGCAAAATCCTGGTGACAGTCGCAAATATTTATATTCAGCAATTGGGATGGCATCAAATGGTTGGTATAACAGACTGTATACTGTGACAGGACAGGTTTGTTTGGTCTTATTTGCTAGTAATACTGCGGTATCTATGCATGTATGTGTGAGAGTCTAATTCTATTTATTCCATGCAGTTTGTGGAAGAGGAAACAGACAAGTATGCTTCAAAAATTCAGAAGGTGAACTTTTTTCGTTTACCTTTTCCGTTATTTGACAGAACAAAGGTTATGATGATCCAAGATATCAAGTTTATGCGATAATACAGCATGGTTCGTTGAAGTGGTTTCTAAGTTATGTACTGAAATTCAGCTTCCACTTGGTTTCTGCAGGCAGTTGCATCATTTAGGTTCATATGAAGAAAATGGTCATGAGAAGGGAGAAATTTTCTCACACATCATCTTTTCTATTTGATTACGGATTTGAGTCTGCCTAGATCTTTTCTTTCCTGGGCACAATCGATATTCTCTTGACATTGTTTTCTTAAGCTAGAAATGGCAGACTAGATCTGACTGGTAAGATAAATACCGCGGGTCCATCACTTTTCCTTTAGAAATGTCGAATCAAAGTAATATACTTAATGGCCCTAATTAGCAATTTAAAATAATTGATCAAATATTTTACGGTGAATGAAATTGCCTCCGATCAAACCCTGCATTAACTGAAGGAGTGTGGTGGTAGCATTGTGCTAATGCTTCGGCACACTTTTATTATACGAGTTCAAAGCATACAAAGGGGAAGTTATTTTATCGGCCCTTCTGAAGAAAATGGAATACCTCATTCCTCCATCTCTCGTACGTGTAGCCTTGAACATGCTTTTCAATAGCAACAGTGCGTTTGGGTTCCTATCTTGCAGGTGTCTGATTTACAATTTTTTAAAGTGAGAGGCTACTAAGTTAGAAAAAAGACTTGCATTATTTATTGAAATTCACATGAATTTACCAAATAATAAGGTCTTTGTTAGAAAGCGGATAATACCTTATAAATAAAATGCTCTTTAAAAGTGGTTTATATTTATTTTACACTTCAAAAATAATATTAGATTCCAACCCTGAAGTTAATATCTTAAGAAAAACCTTAATCCAATCAAAACTTTTGCCTTTATAAATTGGACAAAAAAAGTATAAAGGAAATGAGTAAAGAAAAGTAAAAAAGAAAACTATGGGTATGTTTGATTGTAATTTTTAAAAGAGCTTTTTCTTTTTAAAAATTAAAAATACATTTAACAAACACAAAATCGTGGAGTAAAAAAAATATGTATGGACTCACGAAAAAATCCTCATCCTAAGTGGAAAGAAAATAATAAAGAAAAAAATTAAAATAAAAAATTTAGAGCATGTTCATTTCTCTTTTCTAAAAAACAGAAAAAAGAAAACAAACATGCTCTTATTAATCCACTTATCTGTCCACTTACATATTAAAAATATATAAATGTTATTTCACATCATTACATTTTCCTTCCTTTAACTTTTCTTCTCAACCGAAAATGAGAACAAAATTAATCATTTTATTTCTTTTATTTTTACTATACTTCCTCACTTCTCAATTTCCTACATCCTCTCTCCACGTCCAAAAAAAAGTATTAGTATAGAAATGCATGTGCAATTGAATAAATTAAAAAAGACACTCTACATCAAGATACAGTCATATGGATATTGAACAAACAATCCAGTGACTCGCAGCCAAAGCAAGTGAAGTACAGGATATATGAATACTTTCCGTAAGCCTGAGATAAATAGCTTCTTAAGAGTTAAGACTTGTCAGTCATCAGTTCGTCTTTACACTATTGCCTTCAGGGCATTCTCCAGTTTTTGTTGCAGATGATTTGTTAAATAAAAGAGTGAGCTGGTCAAGGAAAAACATATTCTTCATTTGCTCCAGCTGCTGATATTCTTTTTCGGTCAGCAGGTCTAAATCTTCAAAATGAAGAAGCTTGTCTTGGATTTTTTTTATCTACAAAACAGAATATCCAATATTTAGCAAAGATTTTTTTAACTATGTAGATACAGACGCCATCAAATTAAACATTGGCATATGACAGACCTGAACTTCTATAATCTCAGAAATTGCTTTTTCCACATCTAACTCTTCCTTCTCAAGCTGTATATTTGCATGGAATCGAGATCCTTGAAATGAATCTGAAGTATTGCCACCGTTAGATGCAACGCCAACATCTGCATAAAACATAAAGCCACCATTCTAGTAAGGAAATTGAGTTTAAAAATTAATTTCTCCATTTTCCGTCGAAGGAATCACATAGAGCATATAACAATTACATTTAAAAAAAGAAAGCAGAAGAAGGAGCTAACTGTTAAATATATGAAATTCCTATTAGTGTATTATATTCTTCTGTAGTTATTCCAAAAGCCAATCACCGAAAAATGGAAACGACAAATTTTGTGCACCAATGGAGATGTTTAATAAATATCACTTGCAAAATTACATTCAGAAATCATTCCTATCATATACAATCATGTACAGGATGAAGCTTGGTCCATCCATTCCCCGATAAATCCCATTAAGACTAATGGCAGCTTAATTCATTCAGAAAAAGCATATAATCTTAGACTGAGTTAATTATCATTCTCACCTTGCAGCAATGTATTCCTTGGAAATGACCGATAATTTATTCTAGTTGCTTTGTAAACCTCAGACAGAGTTGTCAATGCAGCTTGAGCAGCAGATTGTGCGACATCCGATCCTGCCAAAGCAGACAGGAAAGCAGCCTGCAAAAATTTGAATAAGAAATGTTAACATATATATTTGAGAACAGAATTTTAACAAGATTATTCTTTATTTAGCAGTTCAGCTGTCATGAACCATGTTAAAAATTTAACAATGACCTCTGTGTACCACTTTTCCAAGCTAGAATTCCACAGCAACATGAACAAACTATTGGCCACTAAATCTCAACCCTCCAAACAGTCTCTATCCTAGTCCTAGGACAAAATTCAATAGGCCAAGCCAGAGTATGGTAATTGGTAACCAACTAACAAATACGAAATAGCCATTTGAGTGAAATTTGGAATGCAATTCACGATTCTTTAAGGAAGAACTTAAAGAAAGAAAGGAAGAACCTGAGCCATAATAGGATTGCTTGCATCCGCAAGCGGAGTGAGGCGCATTCTCTTACTAGCTTCAGCAGAACCAACAGCATCCAATTCAGATTCAGCATCAGCATGCTGCTTTAGCTGATTACAGCCCTCGTCACCGGCATTGACTCCGGAGTGCTGATAATGCAGAAATTGGTCCCCAAAAGGAAGCTTCAAAAAATGAGCAACACACTCCTTCTCAGTCCTGCCAGGAACATGCTGAGAAACCCTCTTCCAGTCATCACCAAAATGCGTAATGGCTTCAACAAGATTCATGGTTTCCTTTTCTGTCCAATCTGTCTTCGTCTCCTCACTAATCTCCACTCGCCTAAAGTCCGAAGAACTCACACCAACTCTGTAATTGCCGCGAACATAACACCTCGCACACAGAGTCAAATCATACTACACGCAAATTCAAATCACAAAGACTTCAATTTTCGCTCAAATAATAATAATAATAATAACAATAGAAGATTCATTCAAAGGTTGTAGAAGAGTAACCTTGTCACAGGCAAAGCATGCAATGGTGCAGACGGCTTTGCAGCCACTGCAGATTCTCTTGGAGGTTTCTTTGATAGGAGCAGAAGATTCGGAGGAGTTGGATGCAGAATCGGGTTTGGTCTCTTTGTCGTCCCACTTCAAGGGTTTGGTCAACGAAGAAGACGGGTGGTAATTGATCAAACCCCAGGCTTCCAGGAAATCGAAGACTCTGCGGATGGAACCGACGTCTCCGACGAGCGTTTTGCGGACATCGGTGAAAGTGATTTTTCTAGTGGGATTGTACCTGAAGTACTTCACGATTGAATTCCGGTAGTACTTGTAAACCCTAGGGTTCTTCGAGGAGGAATCGAAGAATTCGGGGAGGTGACGCACCTCGCATTGGTGAATAGAATCCCACGAGAACCATCTCGAGTAGCCGGGGACAACGATTACGTTAGCGTCAGCCAAGGCTTTGGAATCGGACGGCGGGGCCTCAGGCTTAGGCGCCGTCGGGGGCGGAGGGGGTGGCGGTAGCGGTTGTTTGGGGGGAGGAGGAGGCGTTTCAGTGGAGGAAGGGGGAGGTTCAGCTCCTGTGGTGGCCATCAATTTAATTTAGCGTTATACCATTGTGAATTAATATATTATATATCCATTCACAAATTGAAAATGCGACGGATCTTCTGAAGAGTCAATAAATCAACTGAAATATTATATCGCTGTGTTTTATAATTATGAAATCAATTTGTATTTTTATATATATGTGTAAAACATACATTCTAATACGATTTTACAATTATAATTAATTTTGAAGATTATCGTAATTCTAATTCTAATAAACTTTAAAATAAAATAATTTATACTTTGAAATCCAGAAGCATTTTAGGGCGGGCTAGGGTATTTCTTGTCCAACCGTAGTCTAAGAATAATATTTTTTTATTACATAGTCCCGACAAATTACTAAATTTGTTAAACGATTCTATTTGTTTCTTCTTGTGAGTATAATTTTGTCCCTTTGTCTTCTTTCCTTGGCGGTTTATCTTCATCCACTGCAGGAACTCAAATGATGGAGATAGAAATGACCGTTTAACATCAACTTTGGCGAAATCATATTAAATTACTTTAATTCATTCGGTCACAAAATATGCCATAAATGACACATGTAAAATCATCAAATAGTAAATTTCTATTAAAACTGTAATATTCAATGTTATTGTTGAATAAAGTTTTATAACATTTTTTATATTTTTAATGTTTGGAATTTCTTGAACTGTGTGTATACTTCACACACTATCCAAACCACTTGAGCCCGATATGAGTGAGATTTGTGTTTCACAAACTCGTTCGGATGACAATGGAGATGAAATTCAGCGGTGGGCTTGACGACTTGAGCAGCGATACCATAAGTCCGTAGGTGGAACTGGAAAGGGGTTGAATGTGAAAAAGATTAAGGAGTAAAACTATATTTTGAATAATCTAAAACTAAATCTCCTCAATGCTTGGAGCTATTGCTGGATTTTGTAGTAGAAATTGTGTTCCGGGCTTCCATGCAGGCATACAAAGGACACGGTGGTTGTAAATCCCTGCCCTCGCAAGATTTTTCAGGTGTATCGTTTATTCCCAGTGTGGGTTCTTACTTGTTCGCAGGGGACATGATCCTTCCTCTAAAAGAAAGAAAGGAAAATAGTTTACTTTAAAGAGACTGTTTATCGTCAAAAAAAATTTTACGAAAACTCAATTTTGTTGGCAAATAAAGCCCAATCATTACTTAAACGTGTTCATATATTCTTTTTAATTAGAAATTATATATTAAACACATTTTATGCTACCAAAATGATTTATTTCGTCATTAACCTTTGCAATCAACATTTCCACAAATATTTAACAATTTGGATCACCCAGAGTTGAATGTATACAATATTTTTTGACAATAAGATTTAAATTAAAAACCTGAAAAAATAAGTGTTAGTTAAAGACAATTTCATAAGACGAGCCATAAAAGATGGCGATTAGGTAGCTCGTGCTTATTGGGAGAGTTGTATCAATCATATAGCATAGGGTTTACATAAATTATTATGATATAACAAGTGGTATTAGCCAGTCTCACCAACCGCTGCTTGGAATTTACAATCCAATAGGATCATCACACTGTTGCCAAATAAGTGACCACGATTTGTGATTGTAGCGACCGATACTAACACCGATTAAAAAGGCAGTTGACATGTTACGAAAAGTCAAGTACTTAAAATAAGTAATACCTACTACGGAGGGCACCACGACGAAAAGGTTGGAAATTAATTCAAGGAAATGTTGAACATGTGACTCCGTGCTGATGACGGTAATAAAACACTAAAGAACCACTGCAAACCTCCCTAATTTGAATATACTGATGGTTCTACCCTGCATAATCGGCAGGTTCTTAGAATCATAAAATTACACCCGTGTCTTCTAGTAGAACCTCTGACAACTACTATGCACAAAAATCACATTCAATGTGATGGCCCGTCCATCGTCACACAATTCACCAACATTGACAACTATCTACAAACTCAATGCTGGCCAAGACTACAAAGAATCATATTTTGATTCAGACATGATTTTCTTTTTACAGAAGTTTATTCCTACATGGCTGCCAGAAACCTATTCCAGCACCCATTGATCCAATACTACCGCACTCTTCATGAGTACAGGTAGTATTAGGTATAAATACACTAGTGTAAACGTCCAAATGGAAAAGCAGCCCGCACAATCCAGTTTCCTTCGCCATCTGGAGCGACTCAGACACAACTTGGTGAGCATGACTATATATGACCTGCAAATTATATAACTTGTTCAGAGCCGAACTCTTACTAAAGAATATTATAGTTTTCAGAGGTAATGTTTTTAAATTCAGAACAAGACAGAACAATTCATTTAGAAATACAGATTTCCAACACTAAACAAAAGTAAAATCTTTATGCCATGGATAAATGGGATTAGAAGGATACCAAAATAAAATATAGCAGATCTAACGTCACACTTTGTAACAAAAGCTTATATACTATTGCAAGCCTCTACATGATTTAAGAGACAGAAAATGTGTGTATTATACATCTTTAAACTTGGGCGGTTAATACCCTGCTGAAATTAATTAACAGAATGTAAAATCAACTTAAAGATATATTGGGACCGCAATATTTATCTTCTTTTGTGAAAATTATATCCGGAACTACTTTTGCCATTAACTACAGCAGGAAATTAGCCAGGATGAATTGGGTTTTGGTTGTGCATTTTTAACTCAGCTCATGACTCACTCATAATTGATGTGAGGCAAATATTCAAGCTGAAGCCGAGTAAGAGTTTAGGCTAGTGAGCTATTTGAGCTGGTTTTAATGGCATACAAGTTACAACTTAAAATTAGGCAAATAGTTTTGAGAAAGTTTCAAATTGCCTAATGATTTGCTTTTTGAAAAAGAAAAAAAGAATGATAGATGTATTTTTTACAAGTCTACTAAGCTAAAAACAATTAAATTCTGAGGGCAATATAAAACAAGGCAACAATACCTCTAGAATGCAAAATAAATAACTTGCAAGGCTAGATTGGAAGCCCGCCACTCAAGTAGCAGTTCCACTGCTCTTAGTCCTGCTGCAAACTAAGGATACCTGCAACAGAGTACTTTCAAACCACAAGTTCATGCCAAAAATATAGACATGGACTGCAAGATGTTTGATGAATAGCCCACCTTATTCGTCCCCTCACCCAGCTGTTTGGTCAGGACCGCTGCCTTGCATAAACTGAGGAGAAGGAGCAGGAACAATAAATTGCGGTTGGCCAGGAACTGGTGCAGCAATTCCTGAAAATGTCAACGCACTTGCAAATTACATCCTTTTACATAGAACCTAAAGAAGTTTTCCTCTCAACAACAATCAAGAGATGTACCATGGATGTTTCAATGCCTCATTCTACAGGCACGCATCTTAAAACACTTCTCTAAATTTAAAATATCAATTATTTTTTAGTTGATGTTAATTCCTACTTATATGAGCATTTTGTTTCTCAAAACAATACCCACTAAAGATGGTTGTTGATAAGCAAAATTGTAAATCTGATATGAATTGGAGCACCCTTTCAATCACAAGAAAGTTGAGGCAACATGAACTAAATTGACATGTGATAAGTACAAGCAGGTTCACAAGGCAACAAAAGGGCAAATCCTGAATAACAAATAGAAATTCTTCAGGGCAGACAACCGTACCACTAGGATATGGTGCTTGAATGGCAGGCATAGGTGAAGTTGTTATGGCATTAACATTGGATCCACCGTAGGGCACAATCTGATGACCTGGTACTGTATAACCCTGCATTGCTGTATAACCATGACCACTGGGAATAGCCTGACCCAATTGTCCATAAGGATAAACATTTGTATTCATAGCCCCAGGCACTCCATATATCTGCAGGTACTGTTGTCCCATATATGGGTTGTACAGACTCTATTAGACAAGATGGAAGAAGTTGAAAAAGTCAGCAGTGTACAAACAAACCTAACATTCTTCCTAGGACAACTGAAAAAAACTAAATTGACCTGTGGGTAGATGTACTCAGGTCCATATGTCGTATACCTGCAAAGATAAAACAACCACATATAATGTTGAAAAGATCACCTCTATAGCATGATTCTGGTGTAATACATCCTGATGCACAATTCAAATGTAGTTAGGAACACCTCACACGCATCGAGATAAATATAGCAAACAATTATTAGTTTACTACATCTAACTGATAGGTTTCCCACAAACAGCAAACAGTCAATGACCAAATTTCTCAGGATTCTACACTCCCAATTATCCACTACCACAAGGATGCTGCATGTTTTGATTTTAAGAGTAGATTGGCACGGAAAGATAGGGGAAATGGGGATGGGGGATCAGTTGGTGGTCCTTGCAAGGATGTACAAAAAATTGACCATGATGGCCATCACCATCATTCAACAGTCAACAAAAATGACATATTAGTTGATAATAAGTAAAGTAATAACCACACCGCAGAGATAAGTCTAGATATAACAAGTATAAATAACAGGCAGGCAAATATTTATCAGCAACGAAAACAAATCTTCAAATCAAAGGTTTACGATAATATGCAAGTTGCAACACCATCCCACTCACCCATAAGGAGGGTAAACCAATCCTTGCTGATAGCCATAGGAAAGTGGTTGCTGGTAGCCAAATCCTCCAACATAAGCTCCTCGGGCTGGTTGTACGCTTCCAACGTACGGGGAGGCAGGTCTTATCCGTCCTACAAAGGACAAAAGAAGCACGCACAAAATCAAAGCAATCCAAGTAGAAAGAGCAAGTGGAAATGCAAAGGTTACGGCAGACAATTTTGCATGTCAAGGAAAGAAAAACATTGCTTGGGGTTAACACAGTTGTTTAAGCAAAGCAAACACGTTGGTTAAAAGATCAATCAGAAATAGAAAGCACAGATGTCACTAGACCAGACACACAGTAAACACGTGTTAGAATTCTTTTTTTCTAAAAAAAAGTGGTCCATAAGAGTGGGAATATGACTTTAGGGCAATGATAGTACTAAACACCCAAGGGCACACACAAGCACTCTTTCTAGCACTGCCCATGACTTTATCTCAATAACAGAGGAATGCTAATGTGGGATTCCGATAACAATAAATAATAACAACAACAACAAACGACAATGAGGATGACGTCAATGATAAAAGCCAGTCAATGTAAATAACCGACATCACAATTAAATTTAAGAACGCACATTGAGGCGCAGATTTGCAAAACAACAAAAGAAGGTCTAAAAGGTATTGAAGTTAGTTGCACGGTTAAATTCGTAGAGAGAGAGAAAGAGGAATGTGATTACCATAAGGCAAAGGTGGGCGTGGTCGACCAAGTGAAGCCAAGTTACAATTTGCCCTTCTACCATCAATGACAGGGGTTGGATCAGCACATGCCCTCCTTGCAGCCTCGGGATCCCGGAAAGTCACCTATACCCTCCAATTCCATGCAGGTGAGATAGAAACCAAGTCATTCTATAGTAAATGTGATGCGTGAATGTTGGGATAAGAAAGACGCTATCCAAATCACACAAACCAACAAAGTTTTCGAATAACAACAATGAAAGAATAAATAAGATACTCACAAAACCATAGCCTTTGGATCGCCCCGTGTTCTTATCAGTGATTACGACGGCCTCGAGAATCTCGCCGAACTGCTCGAAGTAACGGCGCATGGTTTCACTCTGTGTCTCCCAAGCCAATCCTCCGACGAACACCTTCGTGTATGTGGTGTCGCCGAAGGGAGAATTCAATAGCTGAAACCCTGAACTCGAACTCGATCCCGAGCTAGGACCCTGGATCGCTTGGTATGCCATTCACAACGATCGCTATTCTCCTCCACACGCACCCACAGGAGAAACAAAAACAACTAGGGAAATCACCGAATGAATACCGAAACAGTATTGAATTCAGATTGGTAGGGATGATGAGATTGAGATTCCTAAGCAGAGGGGTTCACAAGTATAGTCATCATAAACCAAAGTTTCTACTGTGTGCGCGTGTGGTATTGAAATAGGAAGAAGAGAGAAAGAAGGTGAAGATTTTGAAGAAATATACTGGGAATCAGACGAGTATAGAGAGATTCGAGGAACAGAGAATATAAGGAAAAGAGATAGAGAGAGAGAGAGATCGAAAGCACAGTGATCAGGGTAACCTAACGAATTAAAAGTGGAAGGGAAAAGGGTTTTAATTAATATTTTAAAAAAAAAGAAGGAAACAATCAAAAACCCTAGAATTGAGGTGGGGAAGGACGGAAAGAAAATTGGAAAAGGTCGGTGGTGGGATAGGGTGGTACATGGGAGAAGGGAAGAGTGTGGGGTTGAAAAGGGGATGGTCAGAGTAAAAAGAATCTGCTATACTCGCTAGTATACAACAGTGGGATAGATAAGTGTATCGAGAGAGAGAGAGAGAGAGAGAGAAGAGAAAGAAAAGGGTTTTGGGCAATCAATTATGGTTGTTGTTGATGTTGATGATGATGTGTGGTGACAGGGTGGAGAGATGGAGAAATAGAAGGAGGAGAGCAAGAGTCATTCATTCTAATTGATTCTCTCTGAATGAATATGAAAACGAAGAGCAACAATTTTGATAAAAGAAAATTAAAAGTAGAGCCGGCCTTCGGTTTTCGACACTTCTCGTTTCTCAACCCAACCGGACAGCCTGAGATGGTGGTAACCCGGGCCCCACACTCCCCCCTCCTTTTATTGTTTTCAATCTTACTGTTTTTGCATTTTCATTTTACACCAATGTTTTTATCCTAATTATGTTTGATTTTTAGATAAATAAGACCTTTTTTTATACAATTATCTTTCAAGTTTAATATTTTTGGGATGGTGTCGTATTAGAATTCGTTTTGGATTTATCTGTCTAAAAGCCCACGCGGTTGTGACACGCATTGATGCATATGCTGCATCTCCGGAACAACTCCGCTTTCTCAGACTTCCCATGCCAAGCCCGTTTTATCATATAAAAAAATGCACTATTTCTAGACCAAAATATTGCGTTCATTATGATTTCTTAATGTTGCCCACGAATTCTTTGGAACATAAACAATATTCTTATACTCTCCACTCTTTTATTCTTTTGAAGGAGTGTATCAACTTAGCAGGAGTTGAGTTTATTTTAATAGTCTTCCAAAAAGTAGCAAACCTGAATTATTTTTTATTGGAAGATATGCACATATACTGTATTATGAGTTGCTAACTGTGGCTAGTAAAAACAACACATTAACAAACTCTACCTTTAAAGATACAGTAAATAGAAGGTTGTGCTAATTTAAGAACATGCTTATTTTTAGAAAAATAAGAGAAATTATATTTATAAACTATTTTTACTCCCTTTTTGCCCTTGTTGGAGACGTCCAGCATTCAATAACACTGCAAGAATTGAGAACATGTCCTAAAAGGGAAGGCAACGGAGTCACGGGCTCATTTATAAAACATTAATTAACTTTCATTGATGCTTGGCCATTTTTTTTCCTTACTTTTTTTTTCAGAAGTGTTTAACTTGTTTATATATATATACTAAGAATAATTTCATGATTGGTGTGTTAAACAATTTACATTCTTTTATACAACAAAGTTTTTAGATAAGCTTTTTTTATTTCAATAACGTATTTAACATATTTTAATATGTATCCTTCGATTTATATTGAATTAAATTAAGTAATATATGTATAATAAAATTGTATTAAAAATAAAAATTAATATAATTATATTATATATTGTGTTTTTAGTAAAATGTTTAATTATTTTTTGTTATGAATGTATTTACATATGCATTAAAAAAACGATTTACGATTTTTTTTGCCCAAATTTTAGAAAATTTGAAATGAATCAGACTCCTCGGGGCGGACTATTATGGATGGTTTATCCAATGTTCGCATTTATCGCTTCCGAGGATGGCCTGCTGTTTCAACGTTGCTTTCATTTGAATCTTTGATATGATCTAGACAGAGTTATGCACTTATGTTAGCAGTTATTTTCATGTCACTCTTAAGATTTTGCACAATACTTACCATCTCGGTGGCCTTGTTTTACTTTTATCAAATAATGGTAAATTTATCTATCCTATTACACGAGAGTTGCTATTTTTAAGAGTTTTTATAAATATTTTTAAATATTCAAACATATTAAAATGTTTTTTTTAAATGGATACTTAATTTAGTTTAAAAAATCTGATTTCATATTTTTTAATTTGATCGCTCTTTTTTTTTCAATGGAGAATTTTATTTATTTTCTAATATTTTAAACCGTAGTCGTAAGAGTGAAAAAAGGTCGAGTTAGATTTTGTAAGGTCTGTTCCTAATTGATTCTTAAATCCAATATTAAATTTTGACCCGTTTATTTGACACTAACTATTATTAAGGTAAATCCAATAATATTAAACTAGATCCGTCTATTTTATATAAATTATTTTTAAGGTATAATTTGACATTTTTATATGTTTAACTTGATCTGTAAGTTTACGTTGTAATGAAGACTTTTAAATAGGTAAAAATGTTACATTTCAATAAGTTAATAAATCTAAACTTACATACAAATTAACATATTTTAATTAAACTTGTAAAGTATTTTATGTCTTATCTCATAAAAGTGGTTCGAGTCAAATAACTCATTGTTGAGTCAAATCCAGTGTAGCCTATTTTGATAGTTCTACCTGTAGTGCTTCAAATTTTACACATAAAAAAAAGACTTTAGGCATTTATTAATAAAAAAAATTCAAAAACATATTTTAGAGTATATCAAAAACCACAAGATGGTTCATTATTATATTTTGACTATTTTTTAAATATGTTTAAGATATTAATTATCATTTGTTAAGATTAATTGCACTATTGACCTTGTATTTTAAATTGCGAATGGTTTTAGATTTTAAAAAATATATAATTAATTAGGTTATTCCTAATTTAAATTTTATGCAAATTCAGTCTTTAGTTGATTTTTTCATATTAAAAATCCCTAAAAGTTATATTTTATATATTTAAAAAATATGTGAATTTTAAAATGAAAGAGAATATAAAATAATTTTAAACTTTACATAAACGCGAAAAAAGTTGTTTGTGGTGGCATTATCGAAACTCTTAAAAAATATTTATCACAAACTTTACACAAAATCTCAATCACTTTTAACCATTTAAGTTAAACTTTAGAGTCTTTTAATTAAATTTTAAACGGTAAAGGATTTACAATTCACTAATATTTCAATAAAAACAATGTTTTAATAAGAATAAATTATAGTACTTTTTTTAATGTTTAAAAAAGTTTTAACATGTTTTTTATATTTAAGAATATTAAAAAAATAACAATCTTTAAGGATTTGTTTAAGAAATTAAGGTTTTAGAGATAAAGGATTATATTTTAAATAAATATATTTAAAATTAATATTAATTTTTATAATAAATTATATAAATTAATATTAACATAAATTTAATATATTAATTATATATTTATCATCATAAATTATATATAACATTTTAATTTAAAAATTTTTAAATGTCATCCTCTTCAAAATTTCCTCTAAACTCTAAACGTATAGTTTATTACAAGAGATTTTCTTTTCTTTTTTCCAAACATGTTTCCTTTTACATGTGAAAATATTGTAATATAATTTATTCAAAATGTATTTATTAGTTATATTTTTTCCGGCTTTTAGTCTTGTTTATTAGTAAAAAAATATTTTATAAATTTAGGTAGAATTTATTATTTTAATTTGTTAAATTTAAGTGAAAAATATAATAGATTAAATTTTTTAAACAGAAGATAAAAAATTAATTTACAAAAAAGTATGTTGAAAAACTGACTGTGAAATAAATATTTTTTAATAATCAATAAAAAATTTAAAATTAAAACTACATGTATATTAGAGGACAATAACTACAAATAAGTAAACAAAAAAAAAAAAATCGTCAGTGAGTTATTTTCTTTAACAAAGGTATTCTATATTTTACGGGCAGTCCTATTTTTTTTGGGTCAAAGGGGCAGTCCATCGTCCCATATCTGAATAATGGTTATTGGGCCGAAAGGTGGGTTGTGGCCACAACAATTTTCTGCCATCTACGCATCAAAGGAGTCACGCTCACGCGCGTTTTCAATCCGCAACTCTTGAGAAATCTGAGGGGTTAGAATGGCGAGTAGCTGGAGAAGAACGGTGGGTAACGTAAGGTCCTTCATAGGCAATTCTATGGGAGGCCTTAGAGGCGGTAGCAACCTTGCTTCTTGGGTTGTCGCCGGAACCCTAGCCTACTTCCTCTGGATCAAACCCTCCCAAGACCTCAAGCGTCAACAGCAGGAACAGGCTTCTCTCGCCGCCTCCGATCCGTATCGCTACGTTGAGACTCGAAAACCCATTCCCGATCCTCAAGTTCGCTCTCTTCCTCTCTGTCCGTTCTACTTCTATATTCTCCGCTGCACTTATAATTTATTTCCAATTTTAATTTCAGGTAACCGGTTTGGTATATGGAAACAAAAACAAGGACAAAGAAAGTAAACCAGAGGATTAACATGCATGTTAGTTGCCTTAGTTGTATTCACGTTTGCTCCCTTCGTATGTTATTATTTTTTTAGCTTCGAAGATCATCGTCCGTAATAATCCGTTCTTCAGGAGGCATGTTATTGTATTTAATAAGTCCTTCTGTTATTATTCATAGAGCAATGTTAAGGTTGGGTTCATGATCACTGTTTGGATACCTGTTACATCACAGTTTGTAAAAATTTTAGAAGAGTTGCATTAGAAGTTCTGTTGCATTAGAAGTTCACGAGGGCTTTAGCTAAGAGAGTTTATGTGCGTGTACTTTTCAAAATTCTTGAAACCGGCATCTAATTATAATTATTCCCCTGGCTCTCTTTCTCTGAGTTGATCTATGTCTGAGTTTTGACAAGGTTTACATTGGCTGCCAAAATCCTAATCTAGTTCTCTGAAATCTGAATTATGATAAGAGTTTAATTATTGAAACTTGGCAGTCATTTCAACTGTGAATTAAAAAATTAAAAACATTTTATCCCCCTCTGTGGAACTTTATTGGAGGAGCAACCATGGAACAGTTCCTCTATGTTGCCTTATGGATATGATTAACGGAGTTAAATACCACAAAACTACTTTAGTGAAAGGAGAACGAGCTTCTGTAAATGTGAAACGCGGCAATCTGTGCAGGGTATCGTGGACACTGTAAATTTTGCCATCCATGTGATATGAAGTTTACTTAGTACTAGTAGGGTTTACCAAGTTTAATTTTTTGTCTCCTTTAGTCTCATTTTGTTGCTCTAGTTTATAGTCTCGAATATGTATTTACTGTTTATACTCTGGTTTCCACTGGGTTGCGCTTGTACTTCTTCCGTGGCTGACTGAATTGAATTAAGGTGCTGAAATACATTTGTCATTCTACTTACTTTTTCTGGATGCAGTAGAAAGAGTTTCACTTGTGCTGTTGACATTGGTGCAGTCAAATTCCACTGAGTATAGATTTTTGTAATGTAGGAATCATTGACAACCAAAGTACACGAGGATGCTGGGGTTACTTTTTTTAGAGAACTTGAATTTGAATTTGGGAACTTATAATGTGACAATGGGAGTGTTGGATTTTTATTTTATTTTGGGCCTTTGAAAAATAATGCATTAACCATGTTGAACCAGCTGGCATGGCACAAAACCCTCCTGCCCTGATTCTTTCCCGTAAGCCTCATTTTTCTTTTTCTTTTATTCATAAAATATGTTCTCCCCGTTTGGCATGGCAGCCAGATGGAAGAGAAGCAGGAAGTTTGGCATCGCAGCCAGATAAGCAGGAAATCATCCATTTAGTCGTAAATAGTCATGTTCATCTTGAGTTATTGTTAACAGTATCACTGTTCTTTTCTCCGAACTTTGCTTGAGCTATCATTTTCTCTTGCCTGCATCTTTTATTTTGGAAAAATAAATAAAAATTGAATTTGGTTTTAGTGAAAGTTCGACTTCCATTTCAATAATTTGCACAAAAGTTAGTATTAAAAGTTGACACAAATTACTGAGTAAAATTCTAATTTTCATTGAAGAATAATATGAGTACCTAAAATCTGAAAACATGTTTTTGTCCTTTTAGAAAAGATTGAGATTCATTTATTTTTCTTTCATGTTCATTATTTAATATTGACTAATGCTGGACAAAATTATGACAGTAAGCACTCTTTAAACAATCATGAAAATGTCTTTTGGCTTGTTGGATTATCTGATTTTTCTTCCTTGTTTTCCTTTGCTCTAGTCTGCTAAACAGTTATGCTAGGATTGTTCAGTTTTGCTGCCGTTCCGTTTCGGGAGGACTATGTGTAGTGGCTTTTTCAATATATTTTTCTTATTCTTATCTTATTTTTCCTCTGTATCAAGGTATTTTTTTTTTTGGGTAATGATATGAGGTGCTTGACCCTTGTGCAAGAATACTTGGAAGCCTTAAACATGCTTGTGTCCTGTATTTTATGCTTGGGAAGCACTTTCTGATGCTGTAAAATTTACACTTTTCAGTGTTATAGGGTATACTCGCAAAGGAAACATGATACATGCTCTAAGGGACCCACTGCCAGGAAAATTTTTTTTTTTTTTCTTCTTTCAACAAACGTTTGAATGGATAATCTTTTTATCAGTGTTTCACTCTCTGGGTTATAAAAACTTTCTCATTACTACATGTTATTGTGCATATTTGAGTGATCATAGAGTAATTAAGCAACAACCATGATATACATCAGCATACCAGCTTGTAATTAGCATTTTATTACAAATTTTAATTCTTAAATGCTAGGATATGTTAAATATTTTTTCTTTATTATGAAACATTTTTTTATTGTTATTTAATATCTACTTTTATATTTTGAAAATTTTTAAAATTGTTAATTTTCTTGTGATAATTTTTTTTCTCCTTTAAAATCTCATATTTCAATTACTTGTAGACAAATAAATAATGGATACACTCCTTTAAACAAATACGCCTTTATTTAGTTAGGGTGCTTTGAAAATATAGATTAAATAAGTGTTTATTTAATAAACTGAAAAGGGATTTATTCTGATAAATTATGTTAAGAAGTTTATTGAAATGAACTAAAATAGGTATATGATATCTATAACTAATTTTTATAAGTTCTTCCAAATGCCAACCTTTAAACAATACATTATGTTTTTAATAAATCTTTTTAACTTGTTAATTACTTAATATAAAAATTAATAAATAAAATATTAAATTCATAATTTAATTCTTATACTTGACATATTTTTTAAATTGGTGCTACACAAAAAGAAAGTTACAATTTAGTTTTTAAATAAGTAAATATTTTTAAATTAGCCATTATCATTTAAAATTTGATGAGACATTGGATGGAAGAGACAAAATGTAAAATAAATGATTTGTATAAGAACTAAATTATACATTTTAATTATAAAATATTTGTGAATAAGTGTTTATTATAATGACCAAATTTGTATTCAACAAGAGATTAAATAAATAAATTTTAATTTAAAAAATGAAATACTGAATAAAAACATCACAAAATTTAAAAAATCTAATTTTTTTTAAAAGATAAAAGTATACAATAAGAACATGTTAATTTTTAAAAATTAAATAACTAAATATAATAAAATTTTATTGAAAGGAGAAACATTTACTACATATTTATTATAACCAAACGTGTAACTATAAATTAAAAAAATGACTTGTTTAGGAAAAAAAAAAAAGAGATATTAATACAAAACATAAATTTATAAGATTAGAGAAACCAATAATTATGTTGATTGGCTTGTTAAGTTTGGGGCATATTCCTCCTTTGTCCTTGTATTCTTCCCTTTGCCTTGATACTTCTGCTTCTTGTTTTTTCAAGCCTTAGTATTTATTGTTTGGATTGATTAGCCCCACCTCTAGTAAAAATAAAAATAAAAACTTATTTTTAACAAACATATAGATGATATAATTTCATATTTCAAAAGACAGTAAATATTTTTTTTTATAAATATTCTATAATAATTAGTGTATAGTAAAAATATTAACTCTGATATTTTATTCATTTATTTGAAAGTATGATAAAATATAAAATGTTAACTTTATCCTCTAAGACTAAAATTAAAAAATTAATTATAATAAAATTTCATTGAAAGAAAAAAAATATTTATTATATTTTTATAATTTGAATACAATGAATGAATTTTTTTAATAAAAAAATATTCTTAAACTCATTTAAAATAATTAAAATTAACAAAATCTTATAAAATAAAGTAGATTTGTATGAGAATTGAGATTATTAATATCTTATAAAATAAAGTAGATTTGTTTGTTAGTAAAAAAAATAAATACATTCTTAAGAGAAAGTTAAATTATAACATAAGTTTGTCAAATTTATAAATTAATTTTTATAGTTAAAAATTTTATATTTTAGTTTTTATATAAGTTTGTTTTATGCTTTACTTCAAGTGTGTAGGTAGAAACTAATTAAAAAATATTTATACATATAGACATTAAATTGTAACTGTTTTTTAGGGATTAAATTAACAAATATTAAATATAAAGATTAAATTTATAATTTAAATTAAATAAAAATATATTTAATATTACATCTTAATATAAGTGATAAAATTTTAAGTAATTGAAAAATAGTTATCTATAATTCTTCAAATATAATAGACAGTTGAATCTCTTACAAATTAATTTCTAATTGTGTATAAAAAATATTTAAAAATTACACTAATAACCTCTGCAAATAATACTTCAGTTAAAATACACAAAAATCTGTAAAATGAGATATATTTATCATCCGAATGAATGAAAAACTGATTTATATTTTTTATGAAAATTATTCAACTGTATAAAAATGTTATGATGAAATATAATAACAACTACAATCTAATGATTGAACTTAGTTTTAATCAAAATTTTAAATTTTATTTTTACTTTTAATTTAACACTTATTCAATTGAATTTATTTACCTTAATTAAAAATAAAAAACATTGCACAAAATTTGCACAAAGGTGGATAAAATTGTTAACTGAGTTAAGTTAAAAATTAAAAAAAAAAATATTTTGATGAGAAACAAACATAATTATTCATTTACAATTCTCATTATATTTCATTGTTCTTTTTTATATCATTAAGTATTTTTGTTAATAAAAAATGCTTAAAAGTACAAATTTTGTACATATGTAAAAGTTATGAAAACAGAATTACATAATTTCTATCAATTAATTATTGTTTTTAAATTTTAGTTCTTTAAAGTTTTACACTCATTTTGTCTCCAAACAAACTTTGGATTAGTGATGACGCTCCTGTTAGGATGATACTATGCCTAACCTTAGAATCAATGAGTGAGTGTTTTAGTGAAAATACCTAACTCAACTCGCCAGTGGACTACTATTTTATCTTTAGTTTTAATTTGGTCAGTGAGTTAACTAACTATCTGGGGTACTACTTAAAAAATCAATTATCCATAGGTAGAGACATTTTCAGTTTCTACATTAATTTATAATTTCTTCTCCAATAATGTTAACATTAAAAGAAACTGTATCATGAGGTTGCATATCTTTTGTAGCAGTTTTTTTAGAGTATAGTATTTTTTATTAGATACAATTTTGTTAGAGCTGAATAGTATTATTACTATAAACAAAAATAAAATAAAATTATAAGTATTTAATATAGTTGTAAGAATTTTTTATTATCATTAAAATATTTTTATTAGTCTATATTTTTAAAAATAAATTTAAGTATTAAAAATATATTTTTATTAAAAATTTTATTATTAATTGTATTTTTAACATAATATATTTTAAATATAATTTATTAAAATTACTAGGTTATATATATATATATATAGAAAAATTACTAGTTCTCATGAATTGCAAAATGCAAATATAAAATGTTCTATATTTTAAGGCGCGTGAGATCTAATCGTCGGTTTTGTTCTATATTTTATTCATATAAAGTATAAACAACAATAATCAATAGTAATATATATATATATATATATATATATATATATATATATATATATTCGTGGTATGTGCTACGTAAATGTATAAAAATTATTCTCTTACATGAAAACGTCCACCGATCAGGGATGCTTTAATTAGAAAGAAACTTTTATATATTATATTTATATTTTATTTTTTCTATTACGTTACAGTCACATTTTTTATAAAAGAATATTTATTTTTTCTTATAATAATTGTTATGATTTTATTAGAAAAGATTAAAAAAAGAGAAAAAGAACAATATAACAGAAAAAATAAAAATGAGTTATAAAAAATATTATAATTATAACATTACTTTATTATTGTAGAAACAAATAAAAAATGAAATATTTAATAAAATAATAACATCTTGTTAGTTTTAATTACACTATTTATTAACTATTGTAGAAGCAACATAAAAATTTTAATTTAACATATCTATTGTCTATTGCCATTTTAAACTCATTATTATTGAAATTTGTCAAAATATTTTCTTATTAGATAAGTTGAGAGACTAATATCTTGAAATATGATAAAGAGTACCGTAAAGAGTGATATTTTTCACAGCATTTTTGTTCATATACATAAATTAAGAAACCAAGCTCAAAACTATATTTTCAATGGATCTAGATCCCTTCTGCATAGACCAATTCATGTTAATGGTTATTGTCATGAATCCATCATACATAATTTTTAGCATGAAACACTCAACATGTATAAATTTTTGGGTATGGAGCAATACTCTAAACATGTGTTTGGTTTGAAATTAATTAAATCACTTTCTAATTAATTTTAATTTTTGAAAACTGAAACCCAATATATTAAGAATTATATATAAGTTATTATTTTAGAAAAAAATCCTTAAAAATTCCTATACTTAATGTAATTAATGCTTGGTTTGAATCAATATATTTTATATGTTTGAGGAATTGAATTGCAAAAGAACTTAAGTTGTAACGCGCTGTGGAATGAGAGTGAGGAAAGGAGGGCATTCCGTGGGTGGAATAGAACAACTTTTGTCTTTGGTAATGGTAATTTGTTTGGTTCTTTTCCATTCCACCATTTCTTCCTCAAAACCCTGAGTCCCTAGCAGTTTCATTCCTTATCTTCAGCTCAGTTTTGCGATGCTTTGACAACTCCATCAAAATAAATTGCCACACTCAGATTTTAATTTGCCAATTTGTCACATAAATTTCATTTAGAGGACCCTCTTAGCCTTAGATTTCATCAACTAGAAAGCAATAAATTATATAGAGCATTGGATATATTATATATATATTTTGAGCAATTCCGTTGTTGTCGGTGCTGGGTCTTATGTTCTTTTGCCTGCAACACCAAGACGGTTATTTTCCTCTTGGAGTCAAGCTATCTATCATCAAACTTCGCAGGTAATTAAATTAATTAAATCATGCTCTATATTCTACTCTAAATTAAGTTTGATCTGCAACATGCCTAAAGGCGTCAATAATATTAATCTTTTAATTTGAATACTTTTTATCAAACAGATTAGATTTCGATTGGACTTGGTGGCTTGGAGCAAGCAAAGTTGTGCCCTGGTGTGTATGTGTGGGACACCATATATAAAATCAAATTTTACTCACAAAACACATAATAGAATATAGTAGTACCTAGCTAAGCTAGGCACATACATAAGTATATATAAATTGGACTGAGTATTGATTATGATGAGTGTTGGGTTTGGATCTGAACTTGTCAACAGATCCATGAGTGACAAGTGATGAAGTGATGGCTTCTTACAACAACAACATTGAAGGAAACAAAGCTCAATTAGGTGGTTTTGTTCCACAACTGTTTATGACACCAAACCTACACCTTCAAACCCCTAACGCTCAGCACTCCGATGACGACGCAGGTGGACCCTCCTCCACGCGCCGCCCTCGTGGCCGTCCTCCGGGATCCAAGAACAAGCCCAAGCCACCCATCATCGTAACGCGTGACAGCCCCAACACGCTCCGCACACACGTGTTGGAGGTCTCGGCCGGAGCTGACGTGGCGGAGAGTCTGTCAACTTACGCGCGGCGCCGAGGGAGGGGCGTGTGCGTGCTCAGCGGCACCGGCACGGTGACCAACGTCGGGCTCCGTCAACCGGGAGGGTGCGTCGTGACGCTTCAGGGAAGATTCGAGATTATTTCCATAACGGGGACGGTGCTTCCGCCGCCGGCGCCTCCAGGCTCCGACGGGTTGTCGATTTATTTGTCGGGGGCGCAGGGACAGGTGGTCGGCGGCGGCGTGGTGGCCCCTTTGGTGGCTTCGGGTCCCGTGGTTTTAATAGCTGCTTCATTTGCCAACGCCATGTTTGAAAGGTTACCCTTGCCCTTCCATGATGATGATCATGAGCATGATAATGATCATGATGATGATCAACTCCATCATCATGCGGCAACATCGCAGTCTTCTGGCGTCACGGGAACTGGACAGGTGGCAGAAGGAAGGAACTACCCTTTCTCATCTTCGGTTCAGGGTGACCTATTTGGATGGGGTAGAACTGCATCTGCAACTGCCCAACCCAAACCTCATCCTTTTTAATTATTAATTATGTATGAACATTAGTGATGAGGGTTTAATATACATGCATTAATCTTATGTGTGGAGCAACACATGATTTTAAATTAAACATGTAAATTATGTAGGTGAGTAATTTGGCTTCTTTGCAATATCTGTATTACTCTAATTAATTTGCTTTTCAGTGTTAATATATGCCCTCGCTGATCAAGCTAGCCAGCTAGTTTATTAATAAACAAAAATAGCAAAGAAATCAGCATGTATATAAATATTGGAACTTTGGTAGTGGATCATATATTATAATGTTGAACGATGAACACCAAGACCCACAACACCGCTGGTTGTCTATTGAAGCAAATAATTAGTGGCTTCTTCATCATATATGGTACATAATAAAGTTTAATTGTATATTATACAATTATTTATCGTTGTTTTGATTCACTTTAGACACCTCAATTCTTGTAAGCACGAATTATAATATTGTTTAGGACCATGCCCTACGCTAGCGGCCGGATGTTATTAGCACCCTTGTTCAGTTGAGTTGTATCTTCAGATCAGAAACCACCGATGTGGATCTGTTAACCTCTTTTCTCATGTGCCTTATGTGCAAAAGTACCTTGGAGAGAACAAACACAGACAAAAGCCTGTTTCTTCTAGCGCAGAAAACGTAACCCTAGTTTCTGCTAACGCTATTCTCAACATTGGGAACCGATGCAGAACTTCAAACATTGCTTTTTTCCTACTCCCAACTAGTAAAAGTTTGCTGACCAAATCAAGCGTTACACTTACAACAATTAATTTGCTTCTGATTAGCTACTATAGACCAGAAGAAAGAAGTTCTTTTTATATATATATATATATGTTTTTTTTAATATTTTCTCCACTATATGCTCGTCTTTAATATCATTTGTCTGTGCTTGTTTTTCCAAGAGAAACGCAAATTGAGCAAGCCACAAGAACTGAATGAAGAAGCCAAGTAACTTTCAGAACCAGTGACATTGAAACTTGAAATTATAAAAATATTTTTTGAGCTCATAAACAAAAATAAAATGAGAATGCTAATATATGTCTTTTAAACACTAAAATTAAAAGTGAAAAGAATTATATAGAGAATTTTTGTTTGTATGTTACCATCAAACTCTCATACTTCTAGTATCATTCAACCTTAACTTTCAATAAAAAGATTGTCTATTGATTCCAAAATAAAAGTATTCTTGGAACTGGGAATGCATCCCTTTTTGTTTCTTTAAACTGGTAGGTTCATGTCCAGAAATAAGTGAGCTTTAGTATAATATATAATACATGTTTTTATTGATTTAAGGAAGTTAAATTTAAGTATTTAAAATAATACATTTTTGTTATATATATATATATATTAAAAATATAATAAATAATTTTAAAAAAATTCCTATTATTTTTTTTAAACAAAGGTTGGTACATATTTTCGCTCTCTCTCTCTATATATATAGACCCTATTGATGTCCTTTGTTCAGTGTCACAATATAATTTATAATTTATCTGGATAAGATTTTCTCGCTTTTTAACATGTGCTGAGTAGAGCATACATAAACAATAGACCCACACAGACAATTCATAATTACAAACTACTCCATAGCTGACCAGATCATGTGTTAATTTTGGCTTTGGTTTCCACTGATAGAATACAAAAAATGAAAAATAGGAAACTAAAAAGTGATCATGACATGCAAAGACACTACAAACTCAACAGTTTGGGAATGTTCATTATTGGCTGTGTTGATTTTAACCATTTCCGGGAAACACTCAAATTGTATATTTCTTGTGTTTGGTCATTATGGTGTCTCAATTTGTCAGGTTGGTCTTTGTCTTTGATACACATGTACACGTGAAAAACGTGAATATTGTTAATTAAGTTGTAATTATTTATTCTCTTTTTAGCATGAAAGTATTGACATTTTTATTTGAGTTTCTTTTTTAATAACCGACAAACAGGACTTCCCAAATTAATCTGGGGTTATGATCAATTTATATAATGATACAAATTTTAATAGTAAGTTTTTAGAAAGTTTGAACAATATATAAAATTCAACCCTTATGCAAATGCTGAACTGATCATTAGGATTAATTTGTGTTGTGCTACCAAATATAGTACTTTTCCAATGGTATTGCAATATTGCTACCTGATCTAGACTAGTTCATAACGCTTACCAGAAAATTTACTTGGGATATATATGCATGGAAGAGAAAAATGGAGAAGAAATAATTTTTAATTTAAAAAATTATATATTATTTATAATAATATACATATTTAATACATTAAATTTATATTAATTAATTTATTTTATTTTAAAAAATATTAATTTTAAATATATTATTTATTTAAGATAAAAATTTTGCAATCTCCTCTCTTTCTCTCCAAAATTTTCATTCTCAACAATCCCTTTAGTTCTAACCTATCATAATATGCAAAAATGATATTATTATAATGCTATTTATTATATCAATTTTGTTAATTTGTGCAATAGTGTACATAATAAAATGTTGTATATAATATATTTTTATTGAAAATCACATAATTAAATGTAATTCAATGCAGTAATAAATATTATATTATTGTATATGTTAAAAATTATTATTATATTCTGTAAATATATAATGATTTTATCATCTGTTAATTAGTTTAAAATTTATTAAAATTTAAATATAAACTTACATGATCGCATATCATGTCTTTTTGTTTGAACAGGTTGACAATAATATTTTCATGTTAAATAGAAATAAATGTTAATAATATATTTTTTAATTTTGTCATCCTAAACTTTTAAAGTTAAACTGAAGTAATTAAAAAAAATTATTAAAAAATATTAATTATATTTTTAATATAATAGTTTTTCTATAAATATTCTTTATTCTCTTAATTTGAACTCTAAGAACTGAAACTATCATTTTTATATATTTTATTACTAAGTAAACTTTATGGATAAATAAAAATAAGTTTGACAATTTTAAATTTAATAGAATATTTTTTTTTAGACCATATGTACCATTTTTTGGAAGCAATCATGTTTGAGATAAATAAGACTATTATAGCATATAAGTAGCAAAGTTTTTCTTCAAAGTATTTAACACATTTTTATTTATTGGAACTCAAACTTGAGATCACCAGTTAAGGTGGAATAATCTCCTGCTTAATGGTACATGTTAATCTATTTAAAATATATTGCTTTTATTTTTTTTATTCAATTATATATTTTTTTAGTTTATTTAGAGACTTAAAATTACAAATAAGTTTAAGAATATTATTTTATTTCAAAGTAAGTTTTTCAATTTATTTAAAAGACTTTATTATTACATGTGTTTTTAAATAGGTTTTCAACTTATATTAGATTTTTAAAAACATCAAGTCATATCTTAAAAAAAATTCTTATATTAAATAATAAGGTTAGAGTTGGATCTTAGATATTAGAACAGGTCTTATAAATTTTAGTATAAGCCAATTCATTTCAATTTTTAACTTTATATAAATCTCAAAAAATAATTTAAAAGTCCATAATTTTTCATAATAATAAATTATACTAAATAGAATGTTGTTATTATTATTATTATTATTATTATTATTATTGCAAGCAAATGTCTCTGGCATATAATACTATTATAGGTGTGTTTGAATAAATATTTATTTTAATGATAACGAATGTCTTAATTTAACAATAAAACTAATCAAAGTAAGCTAAAAATAATTTATTTTGTTAAATTATAGTGACAAGCTGATTTTTTCATAAATTATTTACAAAACTCTTCTTAGGTGTCTTTAAGAAGCTTTGTGTAAGTTGTAACATTTGGGAGTTAATAAGATGCTAACTAACTATTTTATATGATTTAATAGACTATGATTAGTTTGATTTTCTTTTCAAAACCTAGGAGCAAGAATTGGGACTTGGGAGAGGGATGACACTTTAATTATGCAGGTTGCAGGAATCCAATGCTGCTCCTTGTGAACAGATGTCCCCTGGCTCTTCCACTCAAGCTATCAAAGGGAACAAATTATGAGCTTGATTAGCAAAAGCCCAGCCTTGTTCCAATTGAGAAAGCTCAAATACTTAACTACCATCCCACTGATGGTTGACTTTCGTTCAGCCAATAGTATGCATATTGAAATAGACAGACTTTATGCAACTTACGGGATACAAAATGGCTTTGTATTCGAAGTCTGCAAATTACCTATGGAAAAAATACTAAAAAGCAAGAGTCACCAAAAGGAAAAGCACAAAAATGAAAATTTGGCATGTGCCAGCAAAGATCAAGGTTTTGTTTATTAATTGCAAAAGGAAAACATGAGTTTCACATTAGACCAAAAGAAAAGAAATGATATTGGAAGATTGACTATTCGAATGTGTGAAGACTTACACAAGTTCAAGTAAAAAGTCAAATGATCGGTATCCTGGAAAGGTGAAGAAAAACTATAAAAATAAAATTAAAATTATAAAAAGTCAATAACCTGTCTTTAAACCTTATTTATGACAAAATATTACAACGTAATTTAATTAATGTAACCAGTCTTAAGAGGAACCTGTTTGAATGGGAATGCAACATGAAAACATTTGGGGTTCCTAAAAAGGATGCTGGAAAAGGAACCGAAATCATAAATACGGTCGAAAGCTTGAAAAGAGTAACCATCTATTGGATTTATATTGGGATCGATGCAGAATATGAACATTTTTTCTGTACACATCCAGACGCAATAGAAAGAATTTATACATTGACATTTGAGTGTCCTCTTGTCAGACTGTCATTTTGCTCATTTAGCATTTTCGTAAAGATTCCTCTAACTACTTGGACTCAAACTAATTATGCGCCAGCAAAGAAGTGTTAAAAGGAAAAAAAGTTTTTTTTTAGACGGAAAATCTTGCATATTGTATTAGTGATTTTGGGTGCTTTTACCTTAAAAAAAATGTAAAGTTGGTAGTAATTTCATCTAATCCAACGGGGCTACACTATTTCCAAACATAAATAACCATGCCCTGATTGTTCAGAAAATTTTTACCCCTTAAGGGGTGATTTGAGAAACCAATCATTCAAGGGAGGAAAATTTCACAAAGCTCCCTGCTCAAAAGGTACGCGTACAAATAGTCGACCATGCAAACTAACAACAGCAGATGTCTGAAGCGGATCAATTCTTGCAGGTAAGTTCACAACCTGAAAAGACAGCAAATTTCAGTCAATCACTTTCAATGAAGATGCTGTGTACTAGCATGATAAATTCTGTTACAACTCTCAACACTACGATACCCTCCTAAAACTAGCAATATATCAATATCTCAGTTAAGAAAAGATAGTTACCTTTTTGAAGGGGGTTATTCCCCATGGATTGTCAACGTGTTCTGGCAGACCAGTTATAACAAGACGTCCAACTGGATCTGATTGGACTCTCACCTGGATTTATAGAAACAAACAGAAAAACTCATTTACAGCTAGTTTTTTCTAAAATGAGCAAATAAGGTTGTATCCACTCTTTAGATCATTTAATGGATTAAGATCACAATGCACTTCATAAAATTAAGTGTGAATACACCATTGCCCATTTCTGAAGTAAACTTGGAAGTCCAATTGTTAAATACAGGTATAGGAACTAATTTTTAACATGACAAATTATGTCAAATTATCCCAAACATACAATTTAAAAAATTCAAAGAATTACTAATTATTTTTATTTAACTCTTTGTTGGATAAAAAAGGACTTTACAATTAAACGTGCATGTGTTTTTCCCAACAGATATAAGTACCTTAATATCAAGCAAGTTTTCCTGCATAAAATTAACCAATGATAAAAGACTAGGAGCTAATGTGGTTACCTCCTCACGAAGGAGTCCAGGAACCAGTGCATACACCTCAAAACAATCCTTCTGGACACAGATATAACAAGCAGTTAAGTTTTTTTTTTTCAATTTTATTTACAGCTGGAGAGAAAATCTGCCATTATGATACATAGAAAGAACATTAACTAGGTAGAGAATAAAACCAACTTGACATACAGTTTCCCGCACATTGATCTTCACCCAGTCAGCTGGGGGTCCAATGTCCACCACTGCTGTGACCAGTCTACCAGATGAAAAGAATCAGTTAGAATTGGTTCATTAGAAACACAGAAACTTGAATGAAGCCTCACGGTGCATGCATCTGTATCCTTTTCAGATTGAAAAGTAGGGATCATAAATGGTTAAATTGACTAAAAGATCAGTTATGATGAATGGTATTCTCACTGACAAGATGAAAAAGCCAAAGGGTTTCCCAGGATATCCACATTCGGTTTGTCTGTGTTTTGGTTCAAAAAATATTTGGGGAGGAAAAATTCAAACATTAAAACCTTTATTTGTTTGGAAAGTGGAGTTTTAGAGGTAAGAGAAGAAGAACATTTCTATTTTAAATAAATATGTTAAGAAACTTGAGTTTAATTCACCTCTTTACGCTTAGGACTGAACATCTAGTATGTGAAGTTTGCGAGATTGAAAATCTCCTGGTGACCCACTAAAATTGGATAGACTCTGATACTATAGTAAGAAATTTGGGTCTAATTCATTCTCAACAACTAGTTCGTAGAAAGAGGATTATATAAGCCCTTATAAAGAGTATTCTAACTCTTTCTAACTAATGTGGAACATTTTAACAAAATATATTTTAGTTAGATAAATTTTCAAAATTAAAGATATAAAATGATAAATTAACATAAACATATGTATTAATCACTTATTTATTATCGTAAATTTTATATAACTATTAATTTAAAAATAAAAAAATTTCCTTTTCCTCTGAAATCCTCCTTCCAAACAACCAAAGAAGGATGCAAATATCTCCAAGGACTTCAATAAGATATGTATAGGATAGTATGATTGGGGCACATCAGATTGTCTTGGTTAATTCCTTGTTTTATTGTGTTGTAATCCAATGAAACTAATAGAAAACTTCAGGCAGTGTGTGGCCAATACTATGAAGCAAAAGACTGTATATGGAGAAGCCAACAGTGATACAAAAATCATGAATGTATGCACAGGATTTCAGGTCAATTAACAGAAAAGACCAGTATCTTAACTGTCTATCTCCTTCAATATTTGCAGTTTTCTCAGTATGCTCCAGACTGGATGGTGTTCTTTGTTTATTAATCACACCTAGTTCATCGAACCATGAAGAAATGAGGAAGCAATTAATTTAGAGATCAGTTGGTAATTTTCATAGTAAGCATACCAATACTTTTGAGGTTCTTTTCACGCTTTGGCGTGGAACTGAAGCTCTTGTCCTGTGTAAGAAATACAAAACGATCTAGTAGTAGAAACATTGCTACAAAATATACATATATATATAGATGTAGAGAGGAGGGGGAGGTAAATGCAAAGAATAAGAAACACAAATTTTAAAGGTCTCAAACAGACCTTAATAACTGGCTCAGCAACCTCACCATATCCAAGAAGGCGCTGAGCATGCCAACCTTGCATTGCACGTGCTGCAGCATCCCTTCGTGCCCTACCTGAGCCTGAAGCCTGGTAAACAGCAGTCTGCAAAAGAAACTCATTATTTGATATCCACAAAAAAATGGTAGAGGTTGAAATGTTCTTACTTGCTCACATAACATAGGAAAACAATAGATGATCTGGTATAATAAAAGTAATCTTCATATGAGTATGAAATCAAAGAAGTAGAGTGGGGAAAAAAAAGAAAGAACACTACACAAACCTCTTTTTCCACACTTGAAGATTGATGGAATGATCCAACAGGGAGTTGTAGCTCCCCAATCTCTCTCTTATGCTTTTCATACTCTAATAGTGCCTGTGCAAATTGAAAATTCAGGAAAAAGGAAACCAGCAGAGCATGCAAATGACTCAAAAAGGGCAACAAGGGTGACACTTGAAATAGTACAAGGCAGAAAAGCAAATAATAATGGCAAATCTTGGTCTCCAGTCCTGTGACAAAGATAGCACATGCCATGGAAAGGTGAAGTAGAGACAGCATGCAAACTTTTTTTTTCTTTTACATCTAAAGAGTAAGAACATGAAATTGACATCAATTCAAACTGAAACTGATGCTCGTTAGATATTACAACAAGTCTACTCTAATTTATCAATTATTACAATAAGAAAGATGAAGTCTAACTGATAATTATAGATAAGTGCACCCAATCAATTACCTTCTCATAAAAGATTCTAAATGTCCATGAGACTGTAGTGCAAGTCCTATGAGAAAAAATCAGGAATGTATTCAATATAATAATAAGCAAAGGGAAATTTTTTAAAAATGAATTGTTTAGAGAGTTTTACTTTTTAGAAACTAAATTATATATCTTAATAACAAGCAGTTATAAGCAACTCAGAGCACTATGAAGAGTTCACCAATGATGGTAAATAGTATAAACATGATACGGTGGGACTATGAAGGCTTAATAAGAACTACCAAACAATAATATGTATAGGCCTTACTTGGGGGGGTGGAAAGACTCTCCTACTTGCCGCCACAGCTTGGATCCAGTTACCTACAATACATATAATCAAGATCAGCTTTGTTACCTATTGGTAACGAATGACTGACAAGTGACCACCAACATTTTAGCACAACTGAAATAAAAGTTATGAATCTCAAATAAACTTAATATGTATTGCTATGTTCTATTCCAAAATTTATAAAATAAATAGTTGGTTAATCAAAATCAAGTTGCAGGACAAAAAAGAATGACTCTGGGCTGGAGCTCACAACCCTACTATAAGGAAAATAAAATAATAAATCCCACAGGGCCAAGTTGTTATCAGGTCTCAACAAGTGAGACCACAACTACTTAAGCTTAGTCTTGCCACATCTCAAATTTTAAACAGATTTTATTAGATAAATTACAGATCCAAAATGATTGGCTCTTTGTAAAGTTGATAAGATGACTGAGGACCAACGGTAAAAATGCTTAACATCCACAGCATCAGTTCTATTTGGGCTACAGATAATGTCTGTCCAATCATTTGATTTGAGTAGTGTTGAAAGTATCGACACAAGCACAGGCCATCAAACATTGGGAATGCATAACAAATGATAATATTGAAAGCATAACTACAGTATATCTGAGGTATCAACACAACCATCAAACATAGGGAAATCACGTGGATCCCTAATTCAGATGCTTGCTAACAAGTTTAAATCAAGAATCAACAAAATATCCATTTTATCTTACAAAAAGCAAGAACAGGATGGAACTGTTGAGCAATAGCAGTAACTACAGCCTTGACTTTGAAGATTGTAATGTATATATCAGACAGCAACATTAAAGTTTATAATGCAAGAACCACAGATATGAGCTGTAACTAATAAAGCATGACATGGATCCATACCACATCGTAGCCACCTAGTCTGATAACAGCTCTCCATAGCCTACATCCCAAGGGAAAATAAGGAACCCAAGATCAGAGCAGTCAAAAATTACATTCAAAACTAGCAACTAGACTTCAGAATGCTACTGAGAAAGGTATCAGACAGCAATGTGTTATAGAAGATACCACACATACTTTAAGCAATTAAGTGGCTCCCCATAAAATTTAGGAGGCTTAAATTCCAAGGACCTTTCTCGGTAGAAAATCTCCAGCTCTTTCATAAATGCTTCTCGTTCCAGAACCGTACCAGACTCATCATAATCGGTCATCTGTGGATGAAATGTAAGGAAACAATCACAATCTACAAAAGGACAACAAATAACATAATGCACTGATATCTCACCCCAAGTACCTCAGCATCGTTTAGCACGTTCTTCATTTCTCTGACATTTTTTTCTTTAGGCTTTGGAGTGATCAGTTCCTGACGCGATAGGGTTTTAACATCTTCAAATTCAAGCTGATTCTCACTAATTATTTTGGTTTCAGGCACAGAAATAGGAGCAGAATCGCCGTTTTTGTTCCCATTACCCTGATCAACCATTACTTGATCCTGCTGTAGCGGAGCAGGGGAATTGGGAGCTGGCACGTGCGCAGGGAAAGCCACGTGTTGACTTTGCGAAGTGGAATCAACAACCTCCATATCGGAATTAGCATGTGAATTTTCTTTCGGTTTCTCACCATCCTCCATTTCACCTTATTACTAGAAGAAAATTATCCTTCACTCCAGAGCCAAATAAACATCAGCATTAGCGTCCTTCAACATTTACAACGAGCAAAGAAAAACGACGATGGAGAAGAAGACGAAAATCCTAGCCCTAAGCCTAAGGCGAAATAGTATGCAATATAGGAGATTCATAGTGATAGCCAAACAAACAGGGCCTTGGAAGTAGAAGCAGTGTACCTTAATTGGCGAGGCTCGCTTGCTGCAAACGACAATGCGAATTGGAGGTGAAGAATTGCGAAGAGGGAAGAGGAGTGTGTGTTTGTATTCCAAGTACAAAATTGGAATAGGAATTAGAATGAATGGAGGAACAAACGGTGTACAATACTTACCTTCATCAAAATTGTAATATTACAGACCGCACCAGATGCGGTGGGAAGCAGACCCAAACGGCGGTTAAGTTAAAAATCCAACAACTCTTCTTCAGCTCCACCTCCACTACACTCATCCATTCTATGCCACTACTAGATCGTTTCTTACATGTCAAAAGACTGTCTTACCCCCTTTTGCATGTTTCCTTCCAACTCATCCCACACGTTTAGTTTGTGGATAATATATTTTAAATGTTAACCCTCTCCTGTTTAGATACAATTACTGTGATCAGCCATAACACTTGTTTGGATGGACCTCGCTCATTTAAAGTTTGGAGACTTTGGAAGGTAAGCATTTATATATCTATTGGTGTTTTTCATGTCTGTTTTACAGGCAAAATAAAAAGTTAATAAATAATCATTTCTTTTCATAAAAAAAATCATTTCTTATTGAAAGTTAAAATAGTTAATATTGATATTGTATTAAATTTAATAATTGCATAATTTTTAATAACAAATTATTATACGTCAATTTTTATTGTAAATTTTTAAATATATTTTGTTTTTTAATTAAAAATAATTGCATATAATAGTTTCTTATATTTAAATTAATTATATATATATATTATATAATTTTTATTTTAAAGAAATTAAAGTTTATTTAGAGTTACACTACTTTTACTTCATATTTTCACGTTTAAATTTTATTTTATTTTTGTTATTATGTTTCTTATTTTACCTTCTATTTCATTTACTTTTGTTCTTATCTCACTTCTTGTTATGAATTTTATCGTAAAGTCATAAAGTATAAATAACACCACTCTAATCTTTACTTTCACAGTTTCGTAGTGAAATGAAGTGAGATAGAGAAAAAAAAAAAAAAACACAACTCCTTCTATTTGTAAATTAAAAGAAATGAAAGTGTGAAAATTAATTGTGACCTTCGAATGTTTACAAATTAGTTTATATTAATGTTTAAGCAAAATAAATAAATACGATTTAATTAGAAAATATATATTCTAAATCGTTGTAGATAAATTCAAATATAATATTTAGTTCAATTTAATATAATCAAATTAAAAATTTGTTTATATCAAATTGAACGGTTCATTTTTTTATTTTATGAGAAAATAATATATATATATATATATATATATATATTCTGTTATATATTTTTATGCTTTTTAATTAAAAATTGTTTTCGTATATAACATGAGATTTTCATAATAAAATAATACCTTGATTTGCATACATTATTAATGTAAACTATTTTTATATTATCGACAAGTTAACATATATTAAGATATACGATAGATGCACTTTTTAAATTAATTATTACAAAATTTAATAATTTTTACATAGTAATAATCTATGATCAAATAATAATGTGATTTTTTATTGTAAATTATAATTAAATTTATAAAAAATACACGAGAGAAAAGCACGACATTAAGTTAATCCTAATCTAATAAATTTATAAAATATATTAAAATAATAAGACACCCTCTTAAAAAGTATGAAAATATATACCTTACACAACAAAATTATAAAAATAATTAAATATCATAATTTTATAAATATATAATTATATTAATACGACTGAGAAGTTAATTTATAAATAAATTATATTTACACTTGAATTTGATTTAAATTATACTCGTTTATTTTCAAATTTGGATTTAAACTGAAAATATATTTTAACAATTAATTTTTATTATTTTTATGTCATTTCCATTTAATTTGATGGGTTTGTCAACACTCTAAATGAGTCGTGCAGAAATTTTATTTTATTTTTATCTTTAGAATTTGTTTAATAGACACAATAACAAAATTGTGATACCATATATTAGTTTTTAACTATTAAAACATGATAAATTTGTTATATAATAAATTATCAAATTTATCGCATGAACAAAATTGAGTAAAAAATTGCCTTTCCAACCTTTGTTTTTAAAGATGCCCCAATGATAAATGCGTAGGGTCCTTAGGTGGATTGTTCGAACAAAGAAGCATGTGCCGAATCACGTACCATTGATTGTTGAGCACGTGTCCTATTCAATTTCATTTAATAGTTGTTCAAAATACTTTTATCGATTTTCTTAATTAAAGAAAATATTTATATATTATACTAATTTTAAAATAGTTTTTATATCTTAAGCGTTGACTAGATTTTTTCGTCCTTACCGTGTATGGGCATAAGATTGATGCAATAAAATAAATTGAATTAGCCTGTATCCTTTAGATTTAAGATTTGGTTGAATGTAATTTTTCTAAAAGCAAACTTTTTTGAAATTTTGTTTAAATAATTTATTTTCATTATGCCAATAAATCTATCATGAACAAGTTAATATCTCTAAATTTTTAAATAGTTTAACAGATATGTAATTTATAAATATTATCATACTACTTTATATCAATTTATTGAATCTAAAGGACTTTTAAAGACTACAAAACATGACATTTTTAGTTAATTTTGTTTAGAAATATCTTAATCAAACAAATATAGTTAGTAAAATTGATTGTCTCAAGCTTAATTTAAACTAATTGATGTAATCCGCTGCACATATGAATTTAGGCCTGTTCGGTTTGCTCTTTATGAATAAGTTATTTTTTATTTGCATTGTTTTATGACAACTTTTTTATAGCAACTTCAAAATTTCCATCTAATGTCGTACGTTTATTTCTCTCACACTTTCTAAAAAAAAACTCATTGAATTTGGTTTCGTTAGTTAACTTCCTCTCATAATCTATTTTATATTTATCGTCACGTACTCTTCAAGGTTTCTTTAAATTAAATTAACTTTCGTCCCAGCATAGCTCAGCTGAGTGGCTAGTGGTACATGATCTTCTTGAAGCAAGGTTTGATCGTCGTTATTCTAAAATCCTCACATCTTATCTCCTAAACCACACTCTCTTTCCTTAAAAAAAAAACAAACCAATAATAGCTTTAATCGATTCATTTTCAGCAATGCCTTGTTCTTCTATAGTCACAATTAAACAAATTGGTCGAGTTCATAGTTTCCACAGTGATGTAGGATCTTGTGAACCCAAGTCCACTCTTAAAATTTGTTTTTGGGGGAGGCGGGGTCAAGATTAGTTTTTTATTTTTTACACTTTGTACTGTTTTGCAATATTTTTTTATCCTTAGTCCTCAGAATTTGGGCCCCTTTTTTAATAACTGGGCTAAGTGGAGTCCTACTCACTGATTTTGATGTGAAGGCCCAGAAACTTAGTAAAAGCCCGGCCCGATGATGACATTGGAATCGGAAGTAGGAAATTGTTAAACACCGGGTAGCATGACCTCAGATGCAAAAAAAAATTTTAAAAAAAAAGATATTATATCCTTCTAAAGTATTCTTCTAATAATTTATAAAACGGTAAAATAAAAGTAAATATATTTAATTTTATTGGATCGACTACTGTGATATTAAATGGTTGATTCTACCGGTGAGTCATTTATCAAATTAAATGGAAAAGGTTATTTGATTTATTTGGATTGGTTTAATGGTTAATTTTAGGGTTTAATGTAAGTTGATCATAATAAATTTTTATTCGTTTCTTGTCATTTCTCATTCACTTATGAGCGATGGCGAGATGCTGTTTAATGTGGACACGCAGAGGTTCCACTTTGATTCCGTGAAGGAGAAAAACGTACCGATCATCACCGCTCCTCTAGAGCACTACCCGCATTTTACGTTTTATGGCTTTGCATGTTTAGACAGAGAAATTAAATAAAAATGAATAAAATGAAAATAAAATAAAGTAAAATAAATTATGTTTAGCTTGATGAAAATAAAAGTGAAAGAAATTTAATTGTTTTTAATACATTTAAATGGCATGAAATGTGAAAGAGATTAATGTACTTAAAGCATAACAAAATTATAATCCTCCTGTCGAGACTATGTTTAAAGTTTTTAATAAGGCAAATTTGGAACAATAATCTATAATGGTTTGTTTGACCAATTTCATTTCAATATAACTAAAGAAGGAAATGCACAGAGCGGGTTTTTTTTATCAATCCGATCAAATAGTTGAAATGGCCCTTAAATTGAGAAGTAATTTTTATAAAATAAAATACAGAATTATAATTACTAAAAAAAATAATACCTGTGTAAATATAATAAAATATGAATTAAAATATCAATAATTAATTTCTCAACTTAAAGTCAAGAAGAAGAAAATTAGGAGAAAAAGAGAAACTGAAATTATAACACTTTGTCTTTCCATGCAGGTTAAACTCGGACACATGCAATTCCGACTATGTAACGTTTCTCTTTGTTATCTCAAACTTTCAATTTTACTAATCAATGTACAAAAAAATTATAGTATTAGCTAATGATATTTTTTTCTCCATCTTTGTGTTAAAGTCATGTCATGTGTGTGGTTAGAGCTATCAAAATAGGCAAAAGTCTTAGAGCTCTACCTGTCAGTTTTTTATATAGTTCTATTTTTTTTCAAAGTTTTATAATTAGTAGATTTATATTAGCCCTAAGCCTTAAAATAAATAAAAAAATAGTAGATTAGAGTTAGATTTCACAAAGTAAATAATAATAATTATATATTTTTTATAATATTTATTAAATTATTTTATTTAAATGAAATAAAAACTATATTAAAAATATAAAAAAATATAAAAAATAAATTTTTATTTAATATATTAAAATTTTATCATAAAAATAATATTAAATATAATTATATTATAAAATTAAATTAAATTTAACTTTTACATTTTGTTAATTTTATTAATTAAATTTAATATAGTACGTTAATAATTTAAAATTTTAATTAAGAATTAGTATTAAATATTTTTAAGTAAACAATAATTAAATGATAAAATAATATTTTATAACATACTATTTAATAATTATTTTAATAAACTTAATCAATTTTAGTATATTTAAATATTTTTTAATAATTATAGATTCATTATTGCTTAAGTTTATACAGGTATTTCTAATATAAATATAAATATGTAAAACCTTAAATAATTAATTTTAATATATTTTATATAAATATATATAGATGTAGATAGATTTTTTATATTAAAAAAATATAATTGTTAATATATACTTAAAATTTAATAATTAATTAATTTATATGTAATATGTAATATGTAAATATATATTTTAATTTATCATATATATAGTATTTTTTTATATTATATTAATATTATGG